CTAAGTTTTACACATCTGAAATTCAGGCAACTACAGCAAAAAGCTTAACAATTAAAATAAGCCTTGAGAATAGGTGGGGTGAAAGAACAGCCAGTCGAGTCGCACTCTTTAATCTCTCCCTCTTTTTGAATATAGAAAAAAAGCGAAATTCTAAATGGCTAAGCCCTATTCGTGCTAAAAGATAAATGTAAATAGTTAACGTTTTTGTCCTGACGGAATCAGTTGATTCATCGCCCGGTGGGGGAGGGGTGGGGGAGTGGCAAAGGCTTTAGGTCGAATTCAAAGGAACGGGGGGGGGTCAAGCGTCGTCAACATTAAGGGAGGACTATGGAAAACTGACCGCCAATTAACTGTAGGGGAGGGGGTGCTAAGAATGTTACATGGCCTATATGGGGTGGAAAGGAAAGGGGAGAGATTAGGAAAATATTATTATACAAGTAAAATCCTCTAATCCCCCCATCACCCTTCCCAGGCAATATGTAACGATCGGTCCCTTAATAGTGTTTTTTCATTTGCTTCAACTTCACACGCTGAGAAATATAAAAAAGGAAACGAGATTTTTCGAAATCGTCTTTAGATTGGAGAGATATATTTATTCAATAAGACCGAGTATGTAGAAAAGAGAGGTCTGTCAAAACACCACAGAAGTAAAATGCACGCTCTTTGAAAGCGAATCTACGTAGAACTGGGGCCCGGGTAGCGACACAAGCATGTTTTTTTTTGCGGTGTTTTGTTAACTTTACTTAAATCTCTGCGACTGTAATGTGTATTAGCTATCGTAATGTCATTACATCATAAAGAACTTAACGACAATCCTTGCATGCGTTCGTTTTATCTGTAGGAAATTCTCTACCATCAGGACGTCTCAGAGAGACAAGCAGTGGACCAACACCTGCCCGTGATGGGATTACCGACAGCGAGGAGCCATCCCTTCAAGCTGAATTGAAGAAATCGTTTAATATCGGAAAGAACCGTTTGAGTAGAGGAGATAACCTACCAAAATCATTAAAAAAAATAAAAAAGGTAAGGTCAGATTACGAGCTTAAAGGCTCATCCTCCCAGAGCTTATCCCAGCTTCTGTAGTATGAATCTACTCGGTGTATCGCAACTCCAAACAGTGCCCCCCACCGCGCCCGGGGCACAACCCAATGACGCTGCTTCAGGAATTTGCAAGAGTTTAGCTTTTCATTCCCATAGTTAGTACAGATCTTCTTTAAGGCTGTCCAGTGGAAGGGATATAATTAATCGGAATATATGATTAAAAAAGATGCGTCATCAGTGTCGCTTTTTACTTAACTCAAACTCAAAACACGGAAGTAATCTTGAACCCTGAAGCTGATACCAACTGGGGCTCGGTTGGCAAGATCTAATATCTTTGCTTGACGTCAACTTTCAGATTACTCCTTCCGATGACAATTGGGCTCAGACTGAAATGACTTCTGATGAAACTCAGCACTTTGAACGTGAATCACTCATCAGCGGGGGATCTGGTGAAAGTCAAGACGCGGATTCAGAGTACAGCACCGACTGGGCTTTTAATGAAAACGAATATGATGCCTCTGGTTCTGGAGAGCAGGAAGAAATGGAACGTGACTCTGAAACTGGTGTGTGTCACTTACTTTGCTTAAAATTGTAGTTACCAGTATAATACAACGAACACCTTTCATTCATGCTAAATGCGGGAAACTATCAGCCTTTTCTAGAAAAAAAAAACATTTTGATCACCGATACTGGAAAATATTGAGCTCTTTGTTTACTTTGTGGCTCGAGTTACATGCGTGCAAACGGAAACATGTTGGCCGAACAAAACAATTAATAGGGATAAAAGATACGCTTTATCGCATTCTTGAAAAATTAGGTTATGTATAGTGAAAATAGTTTTGCAGGTTATGGATTCTTGATTCGAAAATCGGCCTTGAGGCAGGCCTTGAAATGCGCGAGTTTGGTGCATTTCTCGGTTCAGGTCTCGGAGTTGTTTTATATCTAGTCAGAGACTATAAGAGGAACTGTTAGCCTTCCCATCTCAGTGATAGCCGAAATTCAGGCAACTACAACAAAAAAAGCTTAAGAATGACAATTAGCCGTGAGAATAAGTGGGGTGAAGGACCAGAAAGTCGACTCGCACATTTTAATCTCCCCCTCTCTTTGAATATGGAAAAAGCGAAATTCTAAATACTTAAGTCCTATTCGTGCTAAAAGATAAATGCAAATAGTTAACGTTTTTGTTCTGAAGAATCAGTCGTTATTCATCGCCCGGAGGGGGAGGGGTGGGGGAGTGGCAAAGGCTTTAGTTAGAATGCAAAGGAACGAAGGAATGGGGGGGGGGGAGTCAGTCGTCGTCAACATCAAGGGAGGACTATGCAGAAATGATTGCCAATTCACTGCAGGGGAGGGGGTGGTAAGAATATTACATGGCCTGAGTGGGGGGGGAAGAGATAATGTAAAACATCTTTACGCAAGTAAAATTCTCTAATTCCCTCATCCCCCCTCCCCCAGGAAATATATAACGATCGGTCCCTTAATAGTGTTTTTTCCACTTGCTTCAGCTTCACACGCTCAAAAATATAAGAAAGGAAAAGAGATTTTTCGAAATTGTCTTTAGATTGGAGAGATATTTTTATTCAATAAGACCGAGTATGTAGAAAAGAGAGAACTGTCAAAACACCACAGAAGTAAAATGCACGCTCTTTGAAATCTAACCGTGATATATATTAGCTATCGTAATGTCATTACATCATAAAGAATCTAACGACAATCCTTGCATGCGTTTGTTTTATCTGTAGGAAATTCTCTACCATCAGGACGTCTCAAAGAGACAAGCAGAGGAACAACATTTGCCCATGATGGGATTACCGAAATGACTTCTGATGAAACTCAGCACTTTGAACCCGAATCACTCATCAGCGGGAGATCTGGTGAAAGTCAAGACGCGGATTCAGAGTACAGCACCGACTGGGCTTTTAATGAAAACGAATATGATGCTTCTGGTTCTGGAGAGCAGGAAGAAATGGAACGTGACTCTGAAACTGGTGTGTGTCACTTACTTTGCTTAAAATTGTAGTTACCGGTATAAGACAACGAACACCTTTCATTCATGCTTAATGAGGGAAACTATCAGCCTTTTCTAGAAAAAAAAACATTTTGATCACCGATACTGGAAAATATTGAGCTCTTTTTGTTTACTTTGTGGCTCGAGTTACATGCGTGCAGACGGAAACATGTTGGCTGAACAGAACAGTTTATAGGTATAAAAGACACGCTTTATCGTATTCTTGAAAAATTAGGTTATGTGTAGTGAAAATAGTTTTGCAGGTTATGGATTCTTGATCCGAAAATCGGCCTTGAGGTACGTCTTGTGATGCGTGAGTTTGGTGCATCCTAAAGTTGTTTTGTATCTAAATAGATTATAAGAGAAATGTTTAGCCCACCCACCTCAGTTTTAGCTGCGCTAAGTTTTAGACATCTGAAATTGAGGAAACTACAACAAAAAGAATTAAGAATTACAATTAGCCCTGAGAATAGGTGGGTTAAAGACCAGCAAGTCGACTCGCACTTTTTAATCTCTTCCTTTTTTTGACTATGGAAAAAGCGAAATTCTAAATACTTAAGTCCTATTCGTGCTAAAAAGTTAACGTTTTTGTCCTGAAGGGATCAGTCGTTATTCATCACCCGGAGGGATAGAGGTGGGGGAGTGGCAGAGGCTTTGGGTGGAATGGAAAGGAACGGAGGGGAGGGGGGGATCAGTCATCGCCAAAATCAAGGGAGGCCTATAGAAAACTGACCGCCAATTAACTGCGGGGGAGGGGGTGCTAAGAATATTACATGGTCTATGTGGGGGGGAGGGGAGGGGAGAGATTAGGAAAAATATTATTATACAAGTAAAATCCTCTAATTCCCTCATCAACCTTACCCCAGGAAATATATAACGATTGATCCCTGAATAGTGTTTATTTCACTCGCTTCAACTGCACACGCTGAGAAATATAAGAAACAGAACGAGCTTTTTTTGAAATCGTCATTAGATTAGAGAGATATATTTAATCAATAAGACCGAGTGTGTAGAAAAGAGAGAACTGTCAAAACACCACAGAAGTAAAATGCACGCTCTTTGGAATTTAATCTACGTAGAACTGGGGACCAGGTAGCGGCACAAACATGTTCTTTTTGCGGTGTTTTGTTAACTTTACTTAAATCTCTGCGACTGTGATGTATATTAGCTATCGTAATGTCATTACATCATAAAGAACTTAACGACAATCCTTGCATGCGTTTGTTTTATCTGTAGGATATTCTCTATCATCAAGAAGTCCAAAGGAGACAAGCAGTATCCCTGTGTCTTCATTGAAGCGTGTTCAAAACAGGCTCCATGACACCACAGATGATTATTCTGGGACTCGCAGGGGAACAACATCTGCCCATGATGGGATTACCGACAGCGAAGAGACATTCCTTCAAACTAAATGGAAGAAATCGTTTAACAGCGGAAAGAACCGTTTGAGGAGAGGAGATAACCTAAAAAAATCACCAAAAAAAATAAAAAAGGTAAGGTCAGATTACGAGCTTAGAGGCTCACCCTCCCACAACTTATCCCAGCTTCTGTAGCATGAATCTACTCGGAGTATTGCCACTCCGAGCAGTGCCCCCCGCCCGGAGCACAACCCAATGACACTGCCATAGCTCGAGCCGGAAGCATTCGATCTCAGGACGCAGCACTCGCTCCTAACCTTAAATCAGGAATTTGCAGGAGTTTGGCTTTTCATTCCTGTAGTCAATACTGATCTTCTTTAAGGCTGATCAGTGGAGGGGATATAATTATTCGGAATATATGATTAAATAAGATACGTCATGTCGCTTTTTACTTTACTAAAACTCAAAACATGGAAAGTAATCTTGAACCCTGAAGCTGATACCAACTGGGGCTCGGTGGGCGAGATTTAATATCTTTCCTTGACGTCAACTTTCAGATTACTCCTTCCGATGACAATTGGGCTCAGACCGAAATGACTTCTGGTGAAACTCAGCACTTTGAATCTAAATCCTTCATCCAGAGGGAATCTGGTGCGATTCAAGATGCGGATTTAGAGTCTAGCATCGACTGGTCTTCTTCTTATCTCGAATATCACGCTTCTGGTTCTGGAGAGCATAAAGAAATGAAAAGTGAGTCTGAAACTAGTGTGCGTCAATTACTTTGCTTTTTAGGGTACCGGTAGTTGACAACAAACTATTTTCATCCATGCTAAATGCGTTTAACCCGGGAAACTATCAGTGTTTTCTAGAAAAAAACATTTTGGACACCTATACTGGAAAATATCAAGACAGCTTATCGGAACTCGCAGCATTTTTCTAATAAATCAGTTAATACACTCTGTCTCATTCCGGTGTGTTTGCCTTATCTCACGTACAAGGCATTGATAATTTATGGTTAGTTACGTCACAAATACGTGCTTGACTAGAGAGGACAAGCGTTGATGTATTCCCAACACTTTAGTCATATTTCTTCTTTCATAACTTGTCAACTATTTCCTGTCGCCTCTCACGATATAGAGCCTAAAATTTATGATGAATGGGAGTTTGAGGATTCTGATTCTAATTCTGGCCCTGGCTCTTCTCCGAAACCCACGCGGCCTCGACATATTCAAACTAAAAGTGGTGCTAAATGGGTCACTGATGACCCCGGAGATACCCAACAGGACACTGAAACCCACCTGGGATCTGATCAAGAGCCACCTACAGAACCAGGATCTGATATTCGCTGGATTGGTTTGTCCTTGGCTCACAGAAAAAGCTATGAGGAAAGAGTAAGTGTTGGGAAAGGAGATAACAAAAAGGAGAAAGAAAAAGGAGTTGGCTTTTCCATCATCATAACCTCCGTGGTCGGAGGAGTATTTCTGTTTCTTCTGACGATTTCTCTCCTTGTGTTTACATGGTATGTACAACTTACATGAAAATCAATCTTTAGCAACCACACACCGTAATCATTTGTTTGATTAGTGGTCTTGATATGTTTGGCTTGGGTTGGATGTACTACGAAATGTCGTTACTCACCAGGCATCGGTTGTTCGAAGTTTGAATAACACTATATCCACAGGATTAGTCTCTATCCATAGCGAATAGCGCAGAAGCTTTTGATAACACTCATCCACTAGGTAGTTTTTTGTCCGTTGGATAACGTTATCTGTCCCTTCAGCAAATGGGCCCTAGCTCTTTGGAGGGACATAATTGGTAACCAATCTCTAAACGAAAGAAAATACGTAAGGTCAGTGCTTTATCTACAATTTGACCTTTCTTCTCACATAATCACAAAGAGTCTGAATCTTTCTGTGTTTCGCTTTCAACCGATTATATTTCCCGTACCGACTCTGAAGATGGAGTTAGACGATAACGGAACAGTAGGTCGGTGATGATCTAATTATTCTCGTAGCTGAAGACAAGGTTCATAAACTTTATTTTCTTACTTCCAGGCCTATAAGGAAATACTATGAATACAAGTACACGACTATGAGAACTGGTAATGCTAACACTGGTCAAGATGGCGAGGAAGAACTCACGAGCATCAGAGTTGATAGCAGTCATCCTTCAGCGGCTGAATATCCTGCAGGCTATTACTACTATTTCTATCCTCAGGAAGAACCTATTCCCGGTCCTGATCAAACCTCAGGTATAAAAATAAACTCTCTATCACAGTCATTTTAAAGGTTTATGGCTTAAGGCCGGAAAAGCTAGCTGGGCTTTAAGGGGAGGAAATACGAAAATTCACACGACTGAGAGATTTACAATTGAGAGAGGGCAAAACGGGTGTTAGAGAGTGCCGGTGGTGGACTATCCAGCGTCTTAATAAATTTATTATTAAATCGTATTCTTTCTAGGAAAGCAGAATACGATAATTATTGTATTAATGGACATGCTTGTACTAGTAGGGGTGGCGAGATAATGTGAGTTTTACATCCTCGAAACGGTGGCGCTCAATTCTCGAGCTTAGAGTCGCTTGTGGGATTAATTTGATTCTGAGATTCTTTCTTCAAAGAATGTTTGACCAAAACCTCCGGTTTTTCTATCTTTTGGAGAACTAACAGTTTCTAATATCGATTCGAACGGGAAACAGCTGACTAAGAATCAGATTGTAGGATATTCTAGCACAAGAATCTTATATGGTTCAATCTGAGGGAAGTGAATCGGTTTGTTATATCTGCACTCTTTCCTTTTTACTTCCTTTAAGAAACAGATGAATATTTGGTGGCCTCGACAAATGACTACGTGGGTACGGCAGTTCCCCAGGGTGCGGCAGTCCCGGATGATACAGAAGTCCCCCAGGTAACGGAAGTCTCCCAGGGTATCCATGACAAAGTGAGAACGACCAAGGATGTGATTAAAGACGATAGGCAAAGAGATTTCCGGAATGCTGAAAGGAGAAAGATCATCAAACGCCATACCTCTGAGAGGAAAAATTCCCTTCTCGACAGCTTGACGACAGCGAAATTATTGATTTACGGCCATTCTAAGAACAAAGAATTTGAGAAAAAGGCCTCTGAACGGCGCCGTGTGATAAAATGTTGTGAATCAGAACTTTTGCCGCAGAGTATTACGTTTGCTGACGAAATTCAGACCGCATATTCAGTGATTGTGCCAAAATGGAACCACAGAGAGAGCTTGAGAAAGTCAAAAGAGAAGTGCCAGGCAATGAAGAATCAGTTTTCTTGCAAGAGGAAACCATCACTGGCGGAGGAAATTAAATTTGCGAGGGAGATCATCGTGGACAGTGAAAGACGAAAGTATGAAATTCCAGCTGCTGTTATCGAGGAGGTTGGTATCCCTCCCGGGGGGGCACGTACATCCTAGAAATAAGTAAATTGGGATGTGCCACTGGACGGGTTCGTATCTTCACAACTGGATTGATTATAGTGGGTTTCATTTTCAATGGAGTTACGAGAATGAGGTCGAACATCTTTCGGGATTTGGGGAGTAAGAAAATTCTGGTAACTAGAGATTTAAAAATGGGAAGATTAGTTGTAAAAAAGTTGTAATCGTTTTTGTGAAGTGACTAAGAGGGAGTCTACAATTAATCCAAGAACATACCATAATGAGGTAGGGAATCTGAGAGGTCAGCGGCACATAACCAGCAAAAATTCCCCCCACTCCAACCCCCATGCATCTCTCTACTTGGGAAGTTTTTTTTTAATTTTGTTTTTAACCGTTTTCTAATCAAGTAAATTCATTCCGGGCCATCGTCATATATTTTTGAGACAAAGTATGAGACGTGAATTTTCTTTACCTTCGTATATCAGCTCTTTGGCGAATGATCGACGAATTAGGTGGGGCCTTAAATGTATACAAAAGAATTTTCTTTTCACAGATGATTATCGCCCACAATTATCCTGGTGGCTCTAGGAAATACTATGCCGATGTTCTTCACAAGCTAATCGAAGAAAACATGTATGTTGATTTTATTTACATCTTTATAATGAGGGGGGAGGGGGCGGGAATGTGGGTAATCGTTTGAGTTATAATCACTGACCAAACCCGTAATATCATGACTAAATGCTAAATGCACTTTTCGTGAGAAGGAAACGCTAGAAAACTTGAAATTCCGCTTGGAAGACATCTTTATTTAAATAATGCTGTCATTTTTCTTTTGGGGAACGGCTTTGCAAAAGTCACAACAACAGCAACAAAATATGTGAATTTGCTTCTACGAGATGAAGCAAATTCACTTAATGGAGTTTTAATCGATATTTGCTCCTAAAAATGATGCTTTGTCTTTTTTGCTGTAATCCATTGTAGTGAAGTGAAGAAGAAGATCAAAGCGTTACGAGAGGAACGTTCAAGGGCTGCTCAAAAAAAACAATACATGCTGGAAAACGAGGTAGGAAAGCCATATATGACGACTAGTCATTTGTAAGTTGAAAATTTATTGTGGATCTTTTAGCGGAGAAAATGAAGAAAATGCTGGCAAATTTACAAAACTCAGAATTCCAAGCTTGCCTTTGGGGTATTGATTATTGTAGTAAAATCTAATGCAAGTGACCACTAGTAGAAAGAAAGTTTGAAAGCAGTTGGACATCGCAAAGATGAGCATTCTCAGTTTGAGCTGTTAATTGTGTTAGTAAAACTCTCCAACTAATAGATGTTTTAGTCGACTCATTCTCCTACTCAACCTTATTTTTGCAGATGCTCTGGGGCGAGCACAGTTTCTGAAAAAGTGAGTATGCGATCCTTCTCTCAGTTTATATTAGCATTATTTTACTTATTTTCATGATATTAATCAGGAACATTGAAATTTTTTTGAGAGCAGTACGTTTCATTTTTTTCAATTCAAGTTCGTTTGGTTGGGGGGGGATGGGGGGATGGGGGGATGGAGGGATGGGAGGTGCACAGTAGCTCAGATACTGACTCTCATCGTTGATTACTCTTAATTTGACGTCAGATGATCGTCTATGCTCCTGGTGGCTTCTATGAGATAGTTAAGGATATCAGAATAGGCTAATGTCATTCCCTATCTCATTTATAACCAGGGATGGGGTGGGGGGGGGGAGGGAGTGCTCCTGTTGGCTTCGATGAGTTAGTGAAGGATATCAGAATAGTCTGAAATCGTTCCTTAACTCATCGAAGAAAACTGGTCTGTTATTTTTGGTTGCATTTTTTATGGGGGTGGGGGGGGGAAACGTGGGAAGGGGTCCTTTAAATAACAAAAGATGACCAAACCTGGACTGGACACTGGAAGCACTTTTCTTCTGAGATAATCTACTTGCCTTTGCAAAACTGCATTGTATTAACGTTTATTGTTTAAACACAAACCCAAATTGCACCAGTGGCCTGACACTGTTAGGAGATCACCTCAGTAAACACATTATATTGATATTATAATGTTTCCTTTTCTTCTTAGATATTCTGATGATTGTGGTGTTGTTGCCATCATTTACTGATTTTCATGAAGAGAAACTGTTTTTGTTTTTTTTCTCATTTCTTCTGAAACTACCTGTTAATTTATACAAATTTCCACTGTCTTAAAATACTTATTTTTACCAAAATTTTTCAACTGTCAAGGAAAAGAGAACCTTTCTGTGAAAAATGCAACCTTTGTGCTGTGGTTGCAATCATTTATTGATTTTCATCAAGAGAAATTTGATTTCCTTTTTTTAAAAAAGAAACTAACTTTTTTTCAACCAACGGAAAGATTTATTTAAGCCCTAACTTTACTCACTTACCAATCATTTTTCATTATTTCTACGATGGAAAAAGGAAAGAAATAAAAGTCATGTGTTTTTCAAAAATGTGTTTTTGTTGCCTCCTCTATAAGTACAATTAACTCTTTACACCATCGTTGTTTGCCCCTTTAACTCCCATGAGTGACCAAGACAGAATTTCTCCTTACAATAACAATACAATATCAAGCAGACAAGTGATGATGTGAGACAAGACAAGTGATGTTAGGAGATTATTAGTTGATCCAATACCAACCTCTCCAAACTAACATCACAAGAACTATATGGCAGACAGTAAGGAGAATTACTAATGAGATCTTGAGTGCTAAATCAGCAGCAGAAACTTAAGCGGTAACTGAGGGTCTCATAGAAGTGATAGCTTTCACTGTTAAAATTTTGACCATTTTACTTCGAACGGTGAACAATTCCATTGCTGCCACCGGATATTTTTGTTACGGTTAACTTTTTTTTTTACGACTCACGCTTAAAATTTGTCAATTTTCGCGCGTAGCGGTTATCATAGACTAATCATTATTCATCGCCAGTTGGTGTCACTTATGCAATTGTATTAGAAAAGCGAACTGAACTGAACATATCCCAGCCTTTTGAGTTACTTCTAATTTGAAATTGGTTTGAGAACATCTAGCCACAAGACGGGGGAGGGGGAGCTAAAAACGTTTCCGCTATTTGTTTTTGATGTGATCAATTTATTTTGACTTGGGCAATTTATAAAGTGTGAAGAACCTTTCGGTGGTAATTCTGTGAAAATTTCGACTTCCGACTTCCGACTTTCGACCTCCGACTTCCGTTTGAACTCATGAATATTTATAACCGATCGTGTCATTTCCATAGTCATTTTTAGCTGGCCTTGAAAGCCATTATTTGGGGTCGAGTTAAAGAAACAAGATGTTGTCTCTTCATACTATCCTTCTGTGTTCATTAACATTGCAAATCTCAGCTGATCTATTGTCAGAACATTCCTTCTTCGCTCCTCTGGATGAAGATCAAAATGTAAAACTGTACTGGAACGTAAGCATTGAAAGTAAAGAAATATTTTTCACCGTGGAAGCAAACACAACTGGATGGATAGGGTTTGGAATCTCTAGTGGACAGGGAAAGATGAAGGGAGCTGATATTGTAATCGGTTGGGTAAAGGACGGTAAATCATATTTCCAGGTTAGTTTGAAACGAATTAGTTAATTTTGTTTCTTAGTTATGTAAATTCCGAAACTTATTAAAGGCTCTCTTTTAAGGATTTGCGATTTTTTCCATTTCTTTTTGTAAATATTACATAAATGTATTATTTGTAGCGCGTTTAGTGCATAACAAGACGGATCGTCAGCAAAAAAGCCGCTGTAAGTTGAATCGTGGATTATATTAGATGTGGACATTGCATTGTAACGTTTTCAACCAAGGCAATTGTCAGAAATGCTAATTAAAAACAACAACTCACGCATACAATGTTTACGTTGTGGATATACCGCACATCAAAACATGTAATAAAGCGACTTGTTAAGATGAATTCAAGAGATATGCCTAACAGAAATTTTGGCCGAAGCATCGACTATTTGACGTTTTCGAAAGAAGCAACGAGAGAACAGGAACTTGCGAAACATCAGTATTGGTCCATGTTTTAATAAGAAATGACAACTCAAGCATAACAATGTTTCCACTTTGGATATACCGCACATCAAAACATATAATAAAGCGGCTTGTTAAGATAAATTCAAGAGGTATGCCTGACAGAAATTTTGGCCGAAGCACCTTATTGTATCGACTATTTGACGTTTTTGTAAAAAGCAACAAGAGAACAGGTCGGAACTTGCAAAACATTATTATTGATTCATAATGTTACAAATATGACGCAGGTAGCAGCTGAGTATAGGTGAACTCAACAGACCAGTTACAGTAAATTAGGTACTGTCAGAGGTTGTTAATGAAAAATTAAAAAGGAAAGACTGATAAAAGTGTTTCACTCAATTCAGCCGGAGGGCAAAACGGACCACAAGGAAATTTGCATGGAGCTAGCTGTTTCAGTCCTTTTGTTAGCAGGAAGCATAATTTACAACTTAGAACAAAGAACACTGACGCAGAATGACTTGCAAATATCGATTTGATATCGAGGTTGCAAAAAATTCATTTACGGAAAAAGAGGCTTAAATCCCTAGAAAATAAGTATTGAACTTGTTAAATGAGCCTCAAAATTTGGATAACTTAAAACTTCGAAACTTCTCAATAGCATTTCAAACAAGGAGTTAAAGAAAGCTCATAAAACAACTTACTTAACTCGGTTATAGCGGGTTTCGCCCATAACGAGTTTCGCACATATCGTTTCGCCCAGAACGAGAATGGTTTCGCCCAGAACAATAAAGGTTTCGCCCATAAGTAAAACTTCTACACTCTCACTCGGAAAACGTCAACCTTATAAACGTTTGTATGCACAGAATGAAGAAAAGTGACTTGACCTGAGATCATGAAATTTTGAAACGAACAAGTTACTGTTGAAACGAACAAGTCAATTATAGCTTTCACTGTGGAGCGGGGATTGTTAAGGTAATTCGCGCACGAAATACTGCAGAGACGTCCGTTTGTCGTAAAAGCATTGCTATGATTTTTTTGCATCACTTTTCTTCTCGAGAATTAAATTAAACGCTTTTGAAAACACTTGCGCGTGGAACATATCATCGTTGCAAATCTTTTGTACACGGAAGATAAGTTCCGCACGCCAGCTTATGAATACATGTGAATACGGTTTCGTGAATACTAAAACAAAGGAATCGAGAGTTAAAGATTGTATTTCTGACATAGGTAACGGCAACATATAATTGGAAAAGAGATAGAAACTAGTCAAGGACAGAAGCACGTGGTATGTCATCTTACGTGCGCAATTTCGCATTTGAAGAGTTATTTTGTAGACCACTTGAGGAGGACGCCATACTGCAATAAATAAACGCCACGCATCGAGGTCTGTCCGACCTCGTTTTCGTGCTAGTATTCCCAGGCCCCGCGCTACGTCCGCCATTACGAAAGTCGTGTATGAACATTGTATGAACAGAAAACAAAAGCCCGGTTACCGGGCTCATCTAAAGCATATGTCTAAAGAGGCCCTTAGCCTGCATAATCACTGACTGTCAGTCTGGGCGAATCGAATTTATGCCTGGGCGAAACCATTCTCGTTATGGGCGAAACGCTTCTTGGGCGAAACTCGTTATGGGCGAAACCCGCGGATACCCTTAACTCCGTCAAAACAGACAACAAAAGTATGGGAAAAATGACCACGTCAGTTCTCCAATGTCGAAGTTAGAGTTCTTTGACGTGATTGGCTGATTTGTGAAATCACGCGAGCCGCACGTGAATACAAAAATACAAAGGGGGAGGGGAGGGGAAGAGAAAAATTGCAATTTGAAATTTAAAAACGAAAGAAATATTTCCCGTACGGCCCTCCCACTAAGTCGATAAGTATTTTATCATTTAACAGCTATGTGTTAAACATTTCGAAAATTTGTTTTTGAGGTTGCTTTTCTTTCACTCTCAAATAATTTACGATAAAGAACACATTACGAGAAGTCTCAGTAAACCTGTCCAAAAATTCGCAAAACGAGTCTTGTGCTTGTGATTGTTCTTATCTAGTTTTGACCAGCCTGGTGATTCTTACATTATGTTAATTTTTTTTTTTCGGTAGGATCGACATTCTAATGGTTACTCAGTTCCAGAGCTGGATATCCAACAGAATTATAAATTGATTTCACTTGAAGAGAGAAACGGAAAAACTGTTATGAGTTTCAAAAGAATGTTTGACACGTGTGATCCACAGGACAACAAGATTGAGGTTCGAAGTATATGACATTAGAATTATTTCGTTTTTACTCATTTACCTATTCATTAGCTATTTTTTTCTCGTCATTAATGTAATGAAGGGGGAAATCTTTTGAAAAAAAAAAGGAATTGCATATGGATTGAGCTTTTGCATACCAATTTCATGATCAATGGCCCACTTTATTAAATGCGTGGTATACGATCTCATATTAAATATGAAAGCGTTCAACTCTAAGCCAAAAAGTGTCTTGAGGAAAATAAATATAGACCATGGTAATACCATTTTCCTCAGTCTATTGTACAGTTCTTTAGAATAATCGAAAGAACTGTCATCGATTCGTCTAAGTAAGTAAAAACGAACCTTCACAGAAGAAACTGGTTAGCTAACATTCTCTCTACGATCCAGGCTGGAACTACAAAAGTGATTTATGCTTACCACATGGATGACCCAACCTCAGAAGAAGAAATAGCCCCGCACAAGATAGGACACAAGGGATCAAGGAGTCTGTTGTTGCTAAACAGCCTTGAAACAATACCGACCTTACCACCAGATACTGAGACATTCGATATACGACATAACGAGGTAAGAACCGTAAACGCTAGTATACGCCCCCAGTCCAGAGCTATACGTTTCTAGAGGCTTATAAACTCCACTCCCTTAGAAATGATATGAAGCGAAAGAAAAACACAAATTTTATGAATGAGTGAACGCAGAGGAAAGATGGGACAACCGTTGGCAAAAATGAAGGTTACTTGAATGAGATATAAATGAATAAATGAATGAATAAATTAAATAGTTAATTAATTAATAGAAGAATAAATAAATTAAATAATTAATTAATTAATAGAAGAATAAATGAATGAATGAATGAATAAATAAATGAATAAATGAATGAATGAATAAATGAGTGAATGAATTAATTAAAAGAAAATATAAATAAGTGAATAAATGAATGAATTGGTAAATAGAAGAATAAATAAATTAATAATGAAGGAATAAATTGATAAATAAATAAATGAATGACTGAATAAATAAATGAAAACATTTATAGATGAATGAATGAATAAACTAATAGATTAATAAATGAACAAATAAATGAATGAATAAATTAATAAATTAATAAATAAATGAATGGATGGATGGATGGGTGAATGGAACGATGGATAAATGGATGAATGTAGGAGTGCATGGATTAAAGATGGATCGATGGATAAATTAACACTGTAGGAACAAAGGACGTGCAAAGAAATATGCTTATGCCTAATATGCTAAAGTCAAGTGATCAATTTGTGCTGGTTGTGATGACTCAGGTTTCTTTTAATTTTCACTTTGATATATTATCTTCATTTCAGACCGCTGTTCCAACTGTCCGAACGAGCTACATATGCAGAGCATTTGAGATTCCAAAAGTTAACGAAACGCATCACATTGTTATGGTAAGATATATTGAACTCAAATAACACACTTAGCATTCGCTCCACGGGAAAATTGTTAGCTATACAGTATTGTTGTTATTTGAAATGTGGTTATTTAAATTTTTTGTTTTCTGCCTACCTCTTGTTCTGACTTTCTCTGACCGTCTTCGTTTCCTTTTCGTTGTTTATCTCCCACCTTTCCGAAGATTTATTTTGTCCGGCTTTCTTTTTCTCATTGCTCTAGCTCACGTTCTTGTCAATTATCAAACATATTCCATTTCTGTCAATACCATACTATCTATCGAACAATATTCGATTGTACTGCGAGACCATACCAAAGTTCGATCAACGTGCATATTCCTAGCCATGTTCAATGACACATGAATACTGCACGAGTAATGTCAAGCCACTGCGTTGCTCCAGTCAGATAAATACAGAAACATATAACAATTTCGACAAAATAGGTACAGTATACGTTTGCTGTACGAAAACGAGTGAAAGGATATTGGGGCGAACTGGTGAAGGTGGGGACGATCTTGTTTTCCTCCAAGGGGCGAACTCACAATGAGGCGAAACTTCCATGTACTCTTTTTTTCTGCATTCTCTACATCCTCTTTCTTTTTCATAATCATCTCCTGCCTTTCCAGTAAAATTTTAATTTTTTAATTTGCATCTAGGTAGAGCCAGTAATTCAAGCGGGTCATGAGGGCATCGTACATCACATGTTATTGTACGAGTGTAGCGATCACTACCCAACACATCTCTTGAATTATACCGGCGCGTGTTATAGCTCTAACATGCCTCCCCCTGGGAGAGAGTGCGTAGGAGTATCAACAATTGCTGCATGGGCTATTGGTGGAAAGGTGAGTTAAGTGATGATTTTTTTGAAAGCGCAGCTAAATATGTGTACTGAAGACATCAAGCATTCTCTTAGAAGGAAAGAAGAGAATGGATTCAAAATTTCAAGCATAGGGAATGGGTATTTTTAGCTCCAGGGATCTTAAATCCAAGCCCTGTCAGGAATTTCATACCTCTTCAGGCCAATAAAAGGAGTTTTTCCAGTATTATTTGTGAATAAAGATTCAGGTCATTAACCATCTATTCGACTCAATAAGTTTTAATTGCATCTTTCAGGAATTTTATTATCCCGAGAATGCTGGATTTCCGATAGGAAAAGCTGACAGCCCTAAAGTCGTCATGTTAGAAATACATTATGACAATCCTGAGAAAAAAGAAGGTAATCATATGATGATAAAATAACACCAAAGTGCCCCATCAAACCAGAGCTTCACCCAGTTTCTACTCCTTCTGAGCGAGAACCCAGTCTTCCTCAACTTACCCTCTCCCCCTCCCTCCCCCCCTCGCTCTCATTCCCCCCCGGCCTAAGATTTTTATTTAATATTCCTGGGTGTGGAGAGAGGCGAGATAAGTTTCTTGTCCAAGAATACAACGCAGTGACCCAGTCAGGTCTTAATTCAAGTCCTCTCGACCCGGAGTTCAGCACGCTATTCGTTGGGCCACTGCGTCTGGCAAAAAGTTTCAAACAGAGTAGAAAATACTAATCATGCTAAATCCACCGTGCACTCTCTACAAATTTTTAGCTGTTAATGCTGCGATGCCGGTTATACAGGCTTCACGAACATTCATCTTTCACAGCGAAATAAGGAACATAAATTTCATCGGATTTATGTTAAAAAAGGGTTGAAGCCATAACTTGAAGATGATGTTTGTGGCTCCGAAACGCGGTGTTACAAAATAAGAACTGAATTGATCGATTTCTGATTGGTTCAATTAAGGACTGAATGACAGCTCTGGCCTAAGGTTCTACCACACAAAGCAACTCAGACAGTATGATGCAGGGGTGCTGATGGTTGGAGAAGGGGTTTCAAGGTACATGATTATCCCGCCAAAACAGAATGCTTGGCAGTCGGATGGTTTCTGCCTCAAAGAGTGCCTGAAGGAGGTGGGTGAATTTTATCGGCCGTTTTTTAAGGAATTTCGAAAAAATCGGTGAAGTTGTTTTTCAAATAAGTGTCAAAAGTAATCATATATTACATGATTCTTCGTCTCTGTGCTTTGCATTGGACAAAATCTGGTTATTCTCTAACCAAATTGGACTACAGTTACAGCACGGTCGCTCATATTTCCGATTATTAATCTAGATAATTTGTATTTAAGTTAATACTTTCCTTTTTTTATCGATCGATATGACTTCTCCTTGGTTTTAGCGTTTACAGTACTTAATCGAATCGTGCTGTTTTTCTAACAAATTTAATTTACTTTCGTTAAAGAATTCATTTCATGCGACATTTTCCTAACGTTGTGTATTACCCTTAGGGAATGAAAGACTCCAAACTGCCAAAAGGAGGAATAAATGTCTTTGCTGTTTTGATGCATACGCATCTGGCGGGTAATCTTGTAAACTGAGCCTTTACACATAACGTTTACTCATTAAAGTAATTTAGATCATTACAGACCACAACAAGGAGCCTTTTTCTTTGTCATTCAGTTCGCTCCAAGTAAATGAATCTTATATCAGTTAGAAAAATTGCTGGGGTGTTTTAGTCCTCATTAGAGTAATTTTTTTACTTGCACGGTAATCTACTTTGAATTGCTGGGATTTCTAGACAGCCACCTTGTGTTCAGTGCATTTCGAACTGATTCTGAAACTCGCGCGTGAAGTTATAGCCTTTGTGTATGAAATAAATGCCAGGAAACTCAAATGTTGATGAAGGCAAAGAATTCAAAGTTGTCTTTTTACCTCCGGGTTTGGTATTTTACACTTTCTAAAGAGAGTACACTTGTCTTTTTTCACGCGGCTTCCTGTTGTAATTCTTCCTTCGTCCTTTTTCATGCCTTTGCTGTTTAGGCCGCAAAACCTGGGTTCGTCACGTGAGAGATGATGTGGAGTTACGAGAAATAGCTCGAGATGATCATTATGATTTTAACTTTCAGGTATTGTTATAGTTTGATATTGGATTCCTTTCTCTCTCTTTTTAGAGGTGTCCTTGCTTTAAAACATCGATTCTTTTCGATTTTTTCGTTTCGGTTCGTTTCTTTTCCTTCTTTTGTGTCAGCAAGATTTCTATTCAACAGCCCCAAACTAGTCAATTATTTGTACATAATAAGCTGTATCTAAATAAAAATAATATCCAAACGTGGTATTATCTCATTATTACAGTCGTAACAAAGAAAATATGAATTTCTCATGAAATTTATTTTCATTTTGGTTGATTTATTTCCTTTTAATCATTATCACAGGAGTATCACTCATTGAGGAAGGAGGTTCACATTGCTTCGGTAAGAATATTAGGACCTGCATCTCACCAGCTGTTTTTATTGCCGAGGGAATCACTAAAGTAAATTTAGAGTGATAAATCAGCTGAGAGAGGAGCACTGTGCTCCACGGAGTACTCGAAAATGGGCTTTGTGCTTCAAGAGAGGTTAATTTTGAAATTACGAGTACGTTTATCCTTGAGTTGTACCAAAGAAAGTCAACTGATTGTGAAATAAATAAAAAAAAATTACAAAAGACGCGGAATTAGGAAAGATTGATGGCATTCTATGATTCTTATATCTCTTCTTTAAAGCTAGGTTTGTCCCTGAATTTTTGCTGCATTTAGTATCTCGCTTTCCAAGCTTCCCAAATCACTAATTTGGTTGCTTGCCACGGAAACCATTATCTATTTAATTTTCGTCCCTTTTCGTTTCAAGTGGAAGGCAAAAACCTTTTCACTCCAAGTATTTTCTCAATTTTGACCGGTTGACAATGACTGACTGGTAGATGAATCTGATTGGATAGTATTACTTGCTATTTTTAAAATCGAAATTTCTTTTAGTTGCTTAAGAACTGTGCGATTTCGCTTGCTTGAGAAAGAACAACTTGAAATGGGAAATTGAATTGCATCGATACTATATATTTCACCATTAAAACAGATTTTCCATTTATTTTCCTGACAGGGAGATTCGTTGATTAATGTTTGCATTTATAACACTGAGGACCGACAGACAAAAACAGTGGTGAGTGATCATAAGCTGGAGAAACACAAAGAAAGCGCCCATACAAAGGACTTCAGTAACTAAAGTTACTGAAGTTACCGCTGACCAATGAAGAGCTTTGGGCAATTGTCATTTCATAGAGACAGCATCTCAGTTAATACGAACAGACCAGGTGTAACTAAATATCAGCTGCATGGATTCCTGCGAAGTGTCTCGTCTACCCAGCGTAGATTTTCTGAGAAGCTAATTTTAAAAACGGAAATTCTCAAAAATAAAAAGTGTGGATTTTAATTATTTTAACACATGCTAAGCAATTTTTGGATCATTATCGTGCGACTTAAATGTCCTTAGTATCCAGCCCTCCACAATAAGAATTTAACACGTTCAAATGGTTGTCAGCCATGAAACCGAGAGGTGTGGGCATCACCATATTTGTTCCATTTTGGGAAACTAGTACTGAAAATGGATTTTAAATGCGAAACGCGTAATTCTATGTGGCTCAGTGGTAGAGCGCTAGGGCGTGGAATCTGAAGGTCAGAGGTTGTATTTCTTATAAGGATTCGGACTTTTTTTCCTTAGTCACCTTTGTGACATGACGGAAAAAAACATATTCCTTCATTTTGTATTGTGTACACGAACGTTCATCAATGTTAACTTCCAAATTGTGATCTTTGTGTTTGACAACAGGGTGGACTTTCTACAACTGATGAAATGTGCTTGTCATTTCTGATGTATTATCCCAAAGTTAACCTCACAAAGTGCGTGTCCGTGGACTACAGCGCTTACCAATCATGGGAAACGGCGTATAACAAGTAAATTGTTCAAAAGAGACGTTAAGCCTTTCTCCTGGAAAATTTACATGTTTAAGTTTGTGACTTGCATTTGCACTTTTGATTTGATAGCAGCCAGGTGTGCAACATGTTAGGATTTAAAATTGTCATATGGGCAATTTTTTTTTTCTCATGCAGAGATGGCGATCAAGCACAACTCAGCTTCTGGACAAACGCAGTCAACAATGGCTTGAGGGATGCTTACCAGGGTTCCAAGAAGGCGTTTGCAATCTGCCAAGCGCGCGCGCATCTACCAATACAGGTAAGTTTAATTACCTTTGGAGGATTTCTACATAATCATGATCATTGCCATCGTTACCATTTCATTTTGAAGTGAGCTCAGTAAATATTTAAACAATTGTTTCTTTGCTTCTTCAAACTGTCAGGCGCACAAAGGATGGGAATCAGTTACGTGTCACCCACTAGTTTTTTTATTCTCGAGGAAACACTGGAAGATCACTGTAGCCATTTACATATTTTAATCACGTTGGCTCACAATTTATTGAATAGATTCTAAGGACATTTTAAAAGTACATGAGACGTACGGTCTCGCATTTCTTTGAAACATAAATTTTTACAAGGAAGGGGCATTTTTGAAACTGCGATTTATAAGATGACTAGGTTCATAATGATAATAATCATGGTCAAAAGTATGAAATATATACGCTAACCGTGGAATGTTTTGTGTTTTGATTTTCCCAAAGGCTCGCGTGTAGACAATACCCAGAAAAAAAGAGTGGCCCGTGAAATATTCCACAGTGTACCACTCGAAAGCGTGATATAATTAGAATATATGACATCGTCCACCGCACTTCTCTGTGACCGCATTGCATTGTATTATCCTGTTTTCGTTTTACAGGGCGTTGACAGGGAACAACATTCAAAGCCAATAATCAATAGTCCCTATAAACCAGAGGTGGTTTGCCCTTCAGCACGACCGCCATCAACAAGACCGACGACTTCGAAAAACGTTGCCATAGACAACAGAGGTGCTACAAGTTACCTACTGCTTCTCTCTACCTACATATACCTGGCAGCCTTTGCTGAACTCTAGATCTCTTGGTACTTTGGCAGAAAAAACTTTGTTACCCGAATTCGAGTAACATATCGCATAAAGCCAAATCAAAACGAGATGACTGTATTTGACAGCTTTAGATGATATATACGTAGTGTGCGTTAATTAGTTCGGGACTGGACTGGTCAACATTTAACGTCGGGGAGGAGGGGGGAGGAGAGGGAGAGGATTCTGGTTGTGTCGCAATAAAATTTACTGATCCCGTAAAAGGTTCTGTAACATTTATAATCCCTCTTATTGGCAGTTAATATTGTCAGTCAATTATACCCCCACCCCCTTCGCACTATGTTGGCAACGACTTATCCTCAAAGAATCCTCCCTCCCGTCCCCCCCCCCCCAAGTGATTAAAAGTGACCAGTTCCCTTCAAGTGATAAATAGCAGCGTTCAGCATGTACCATTTAGCATTTAGCACTTAGCATTCAGCATTCTGCATGTAGCACTTAGCATTCAGTATTTAGTATTCAGCATTCAGCATTCAGCATTCAGCATTCAGCGTTCAGCGTTCAGCATTTAGTACTTAGCGTTCAGCATTTAGCATTCAGCATTCAGCATATAGCACTCAGCATTCAGCGTTCAGCATTAAGCATTTAGCATTTAGCATTTAGCATTTAGCATTTAGCATTTAGCATTTAGCATTTAGCATTCTGCATTCAGCATTCAGCATTTTAGCATCTTAGCATTTTAGCATTTAACATTTAGCATTTAGCACTTAACATTTAGCATTTAGCACTTAGCACTTAGCACTTCGCATTTAACATTCAAAAATAACCAATTAGCAGTCAGCATTCAACATAACTACATTTACTCAGTATTTCGTTAAAAAGTGGTCTGTATTGAACGTACAAAGTTAACAATCAACGTTCGCTTTTACAGCTCATGTAATCTAACTTTTTTTTTAACTTTCGACTACGAGCCTTTATCTTGTGATAAAGCTGGGAATAGTTTTTGATAACTGCTACAATTAAAATTTATACTTTTTGCTATATATAACATTAAGTTTATTACCATTCCGTCTATCTTGTCGCCCTGCCGTTTGTATAAGTATTTTTCAGTAATCAAGCATCATGCACTTCTGCAGAATGAGGTGGAGCTGAAGGGTAGACTTCTTTAGGCGTTCCACCCTCTCAGACCACGCAAAATGAACTGCAGACACAAGCCTGCTTAGTAGCCATGTAACCCATTCCAGATCCCGAATGGTCATCTTTACACATATTCAGACAAGGTGGCGATTACTACTCCGTTTTTTCTTGTGGTGCAAATTTACAGTTTAGCTCATATGAGTAACAAACTCCCTTGCCAGAGTTGCACTCAGTCACTATGAAATTTTTTAAAGTTCGGTTTTTCTTCTTGTTTTATGGTTTTCCTTTTTGTTTGCGCCATTTTGTTTTGTAGGAAGGGTGGTGGAGGGGGGGGGGGGGGGGGGGGGAGGGAGAACGGAAGGATGCTACTCGAGAACCTGCGTCTGTCCTCATGCTTCATGAGGTATTTTTGTTTTCTACCATCTACTTCTCGTGTTTCCTAATCATGTAATCATTCAGAAAACGATCTGATATAAACCAGAGATAAAACAGCAAGTCTTTTCCATTTGCTTCATTTCTTTGAATAACCTAACTATTCCGTTATATAAATAAATTCTTCATACAATGTCTAATTTTAATTGCAGCTCCTCGACGAAAATCGTCAATGTTCTCTAACTCACATCGGTCTTCAAAGTTCATTAGCTTTGACTTGTTTCGCGCATTCTTTAACGCTTTTTCTTTCCAAATATCTCCGGTTCTGAAACCAGTTTCTAATTTGAAGTTCTGTCATTTCCAGTCCTCTCGCCAACAGCGTGCGCTCGTCTCGGGTTAGATATTTTTGGCGGGAAAACAATTTTTCGAGATGTTGGAGCTGATGTTGAGTGAAATGGCTCCGGTGTCTTCGCTTCCTTTTGGGGGTCAGGTCCTCGCCGACGTCCATCTTAAACGGTTTGGGATTTTCATCGCCATTTCCGTCTGTTTTGGCGTCTGAAGGTGAAGAGGAATAATGTAAGTCATATTTGACCTATTTGGTAAATAAACCTGTTCAAACGGCTGGTAAGTCGCTGACACTATCTGCGGCTGAGATATTGTCCTAGAATTGAATATTTGGCCGAGAACAAAGCCTCGAGAGCAAATGTGAAATCGGCATTATCAGTCGACATGCCAGCAGGCCAGGAGGGGTTTATTCAATTTGGAACCCTCTTGTTAATTTTCGCATCACGCGTTAACTTATTTCCCGAGCAGCGGCTGACGATCGAGTTTACTGTTGCATAAAACCTCTAGAACACAGGGAACACAATAAAATCCGTTTTACTTTATTTTCTAGAGGAATTTGAATGTGGAACCCGGCCTTCAATAATAAGCTTTTCTTGTTTTTTTTGTTTTTTGTTTTTGTTTTTTTGCCTTCTGTCTTAACAAAGTGGTGTAGAAACGATATTTTTTCTGCAACTAGGGGAACAGTAGACAAACAGAAAGCTTTGAACCGAAACCCTCATCCAGTGACCCTGTAAACGAGTTAGTCAGACCATGTAATTTAACGCTTATGCAAATTATGTTTCAGAGAAGTAAGAGGCGTTACGCTTCATTACTATGCAGGTATAGAATTATCCCTACCTGTAGTGATCAAAAAAGCAAGAGGACTTAAGAAAATTATTACCTTCTTTATGTTGAAGTGAAGAATCGTCCTCGAAACCCGAAATATCTTTGTCATTGGCGGGATTCTGAGTCACTATATTCTGTTCATTTCCCTCGTTAAAGCGTAAACATCGTGCATCCAATTTATAAATAACGGGCAAATATCTAACAATCATTGGTCTGTAATAATGAACTCCATGCAATTGGTAAGATGCACTGTCCAAACGCTTCGTAAAAGTTGACCTAGGTGGCATTAGTTTCACTCTGTCATTCTTCACCCCGCGGGAGAAGTCGTCTCGTAGAATATTCTCGATGGAGAAGGAAAGATGTTCCTTTTTGTGACGGAAATCCATTTGAATCGAGTTACAGGAGATGGTATGCAGTACCTCAGAGCTTTGAAGCTCTTATGGAGAGTCAGGAACCCAAAGAGTTTAAATACATCCATATTTCTTCAGCGTGGGCTATTTTGGGAATAAAAATCACTGAGTAAAACTTTCATTAAGGAATGTAACGCACGCATGTCGCATGATGACCTAAATGCCGTCACAACCCACTCAGTGACGTGGGGGAAAACGTCCTTCCCTACAATCGCAACTTTACATTTAAGGTTATTTAACGCAAACGCGTCATGAAATGTATACTACGTGCATAAACCAGGAAACTTTGCTAATTCTTGAGCTGATAAATCTTCTACTAGGAGGAAAACCTGTATGAAAAAAAATTCTACAGGTTTCGCGTTGTGTTTACAAGAGTGCCATTGTCGTCACAACTCAGTGAGGATTGATGATTACATTTGGCACGCCTTTCCAGTCCGTAAATAGAATGACTTTTAAGATGCAAAACTCATTTACGTTTAGTGACGGAATGAAATGGGGCTTGGTAAGGATTATTTTGCTCATAATAAGGGGTTCGAGAACTGTATATTATATCGCTTTGCTTATCAGCATGGGCTCATGGAAATTCAGCAGAGAAAGAGAGTTTATGGAATGAAGGCCTTTCCGCACTAGCAGACAAAACTGGAATTGTCCCGACAAAATCAAAGGACAAATTTTTGTTTCAACTGTTGCGTTCGCATTAAAAATTTCAAAGCTGTCAGATTCCGTCCGCGCCTGATTTGTTCATAAAACCGACCAGCATAGTTTTACCGCTTGTGATTCCACCTCCAATTTCAAGGATTTATCCTAGGTCGTCTTAAAATTTATAATTACAAAAGACAGTTTTTGCCTCTCTAGTAAACTGATTTCAGTTCAATTACACGCTGGTCGCTGAAGCTTTTACTTCAAATGATCTACTAGTTTATCACGGTTTTGTTTATTTGAATGGTTTTTGTCCAGTTCCTACCCGGGACAAATTTTGTCAGGGGTGCGTTTTAAGATCTGTCCGCCACGGCCACATTTCCACATGTAAAATGTTTGTTATGACAGGAGATTTGTCTGAATAAACAACTTTTTCGCTGGTGCGGAAAGGCCTTAAGGCCCTGCTTTTTTAGGACCGTGACGTCACTTTCTATTTTGTGCTCCAAGTGCCTTTGTTTTGCAAAATCGTTTCAGTTCTTGCCGCCAAAACCTGTCTTTCTTCGATTCCCCTTCGATTTGACTGTAAAGAGCACTGCGAGTCGATGCCTAAGTTGAAAAGCGTACTCTCGCGTGATTGAAAGCATTTCAATTTTACTCGGCTCTATCAGTTAACCCTCCTAGTCACGACACAACGTTACTGTGATTACGAAACGCTTCAGCGACTCCGCAAAGGAAGGCGTTGTGAATTAAACCCATAGCGCAATAGGCAAGGATTACGACTGATATGCCCGTCTTTTAAAAGGCAAAAGAAACAATATAAAGGAAAAAACCATGGCATTCTACAATTTTGTTTCTTCAATGCGTTTCGATACTTTTTTGGCTCAGTTTAGTTTCCCTTTGGCTTCAAGTTTTCGTTTCGACTCAATCAGAGCTCAGCGTGATTCCCTTCAACATAGCTAAAGACACCTCCAGTGGCAAAAAATACAGACAAAATCTATCGCAGTCTACAATTTTATCAACTGAATGCGTTTTAATACCCTTTTTTTTGCTCATATAGCCGTAGTTAGGCTCCCGATTTTCGTTTTAAATCCGTTGGAACGCTGCGTGATTCCATCGACACGGCTAACGGTATATTCAGTAGCTAAAATTACAGACAAAATACCACAACCTGATCATTAATCTACATTATTTTCCACAATTAACTGAGAAAAACGATAAATAAGCAGAGCACTTATGCTCATATAAACGGATACATCCTGCAAATTTGCGGTTTCCTTGACCATGCCATGCCTCATCAGTTGTTTTTTTTTCACGCCCGGAAGAGGGTGGACAGCGATCAGTTTCATGGTCAACTTACGTCACACAAAATTGACTCCGTCAGTGGTACTCATCTGAAAAAAGGTAATAATATACAACCAGTTTTACAATAACGCTATTAAAGAAAAATGTGAATGCAAATTAATTGGCAGACAAATTTTGTTCAGAGTGCAGTTTTAAAGCACATGCTTTCAAATGTGACTCAGGTTGAAGGCCGTAAATTAGATAACTCATTGGGTTAATTACGTCACCTTCGTTAAATAAAGAATATTGTATTGTATTTTATTGTATTTTTAATGGAAAATAATTAGTCATCTCTCCCTCCCTACGTTTCTTAAAATGAAGAAAGCAGAAAATTTGGGTTTGCCCAATGACTTCCCATTTGGCTTCCTTCCTTCTTAAATTTGGTTTTGTTTTTTTTTTAATATATTGTCTTTTTTATTTTGTTGTTATTTTTATTTGAAAAGGTTAATGCAACTCATTGCCTTTTGTCGTGTTTGGTAAACTGCAGCCTCACCTACATTTTCTCTCCCGGTTCCCTTTATGAACCAACAAGATCTTATCATCCCACGCCCCAGTGAGCCAGACAACTGCGTCATTACACAATAATCGTTTCCTTCGTGCGAACGACTATTAGCTTAAACAACGACATACCTATCGTAAGACAAGCTTTTTTCGCACAAAGATATTTTTGATTAGTAACGACACAACGTAAATATTTTCAGTTACACTGAATTTAAATCACATTTTACGAAGACCTTATTTGGAAAGCTTCACTCGTCTCTCAAGATCTAAGGAAGGAGATAGCTACTTGAGCTAATCAAAGGCGGAACCCGGCGCGAATGACTGTTGAAGATCGTGGTATGTTCTGTTTTATTAAAGCCTCAATTTATTAACCAACTGATTTTCTTGTTTGTTTGTTCTGTTTTTCCTTTCTTTGCCAAGAAACTAGCCTACTACTTGTCAGTCCTTGGATCTACTCAGAGTACTCCGTGATAGAGTGACACAATCGGCTGCCCCTCGTATGCCACTTTTTTGTTCTTACAACAGAACAGAGGCACGGCAACATGGATTCAATTTGCTAATTAGAATATACTTGTGATTGCTTTAAAAGCCAATGATACCATAATCGGTTATTATAAGAAACAGAATTGAGCCGTCATTCCCGCCTAAGTCCTCCCAATTTGATGCGCCATAATTAATAAGATGCATGCACCAGCCAGACTCTCAAAACATGACATTTCCCAAATTGGCTTGACTGTCACGGAAAAAATCACCACCCAGGGAGACACTGGTCATATAAATAGATTGCTATTAAACATAAGCAGGGAGGCGTGTTAAAGACTACTGGACTGCTCAATCGTTTAAGTACAACCCCATGGCCTCGAGAAAAGACGGGAGTTAAGATCCATGAAAAGTATTTGCTACGATAGCAAATATGGAGCACCTTGCAATTGTGAAAAAGTGATACGTTGTCGCTTTTTTCACCTTCTCATTCCATGTTTCCATTTATCTCTTACGCGATGCCTTCTATGGGCTGTATTACATTATATAATTATACCTGGCCCGCCAAAATCTATATTTTGGCCCGCGAATCAAATGCCCGTCAAAGTGATGACAACATGGAATCAATTTGTTCATTAGATGATGATAAGAATTGAGCAAGCATTTTGCTTATGGTCTGTGGGAGGATTAAAGCATAGATTATGTCATCGATAACGACATTTTTCTTTTTCTCACACAAAACAAAATTTTTTGTCCTCACTACAGTTAAACATCGTGGCAACGTGGAATCTGACAACTTCCAGAATTTTCAACGCAATGCTACGCAATTTTCTGGCCGTGATGTCTAGGAAACACAGATTCAAACACGGTGATCCTATTGCGTGGGTTGCCTAAACACAAAGAATTCTAGCTTTTTCGCTTCTAAATAGCAGGGTTTAGTATTCCTATTAATAAAAGTTTTGTCTCGAAATGTTTCTTTCTTATTTTTGCCTTCCTTTTGGTTATAGTTTTGGTTAAAAAGCGGTTATTTGGTAAACTCGGCAAATGTGTTTAGAGTTAAGAGCCGCAACTCTTAAACATCTTTCGCGCTCTCTAAACTTGCCGCATGCTTCAAATCTCCATGCAAGTATATGAATATATATCTACGAATAGATAAAGCAGGCTGACTCGAAGCCCGCCCCTGTTCCACTAGCAACGAATGTTAAGCCGCAAGCTTATAACGTCGCCTACTCGCTCATTTCCTTCGGCCGTTGTTTACCTGCGTCGCTTCGTACATTATTGGTTGTAATTCGGTGGAATCTCTGTGCAAATATATTCTTTTCCATTGAAAATTGCCAAATATACACAATTTATATCACAATGTTGGGCAATATTTCCGTATTTCCTCTCGCACCCGCGAACGGAAGGATGAAACTGATAAAAACCACGAACGTCCAGAAGAGTGCAGCTGGTATAACCTCCTCTGTGCAAAAAATAGGTCATACCTGAACTCGAAACCAAAAGGAACGAATTGGATTCCATCAAGGTCAGGGACGAGAACCAAATGACTGGGATGCGGTATTTTGCCTTTTTATGCATCTAGTGACAAAACAGTAGGCCAATAATAGTTGTCCCTCAGAAACGAGATTTTAATGTAGTTTCTTCTTAGGGTATCAATTTGCTTTTTCTTTGTTATCTGTAGCATAGGCGCCAGAAATAAACGGTTGGATTATTAGTTTTCGACGCAAGAAACAAGACTCTCTTTTACTGTATGGCAGTAACAAAGCAATATTTCTAGAAATTCATAACAATGGCATCGAGTCTAGTATGAAGTTGGTTTATCTAACGTGAATGAATGAGAATTCACAAGAAATAAAAAATGAGACAAGCAAACTGCTTTTAGTGCGGGAAAAAGGGTTTTAGTTTTGAATCTGGTTAGCAACGAAATCGAGAAGACTGCTTTAGACCAATCACACGACGAACTAAAGCAAAATCAAAGCAATTCCGGATTATTTTCGACTTTCAATTGAAAACTATTCCAAAAGTCAATTTTTCTGAGGACGAAATTAAAAAGACCTCAAGTGTGAAAATCCGGCATGCCCACAACATTATGTACAAGCGACGTGGGATTGACAAGAGATTTCTCCAGAGGAACATCAATGTCAAAAGTATGACGTAACGGGCCTCGTCCTGATGTCTTCCGCGCATTGCGTGCTGGGATTGGTAGTTCAGAATGGTGAGCGGGAAGTGGCTCCGTGAAGAAATATGGATGCAATAAGGCCTGAAACGAAATGCAACAATAAATTGAAGTGAAACTAAACAAACGGAAGAGTTTAATTTGTACCTATTGACATCAGGTATTCCTTTTAAAAGCTTTTTGTGCTTCCGCACGAGTAGCCAGTTTACATCATCAACTCAGTTAAAAAATCAAATTATGTTAGGGGTCACTTTTAAAACTTAAGCCTGCAAATTTGAAAGATCTACCAAAGAATAAGTGGACACATCAACTGACCTCTTTTGCGGAAATTCTCTCTTTAGAGTGATACACTAAGAAGCGTTTCAGCAAATCTATCGCCTGAAGACAAACAAAATACATTACTAACTTGTACACGGCTTCCAAGAGTCATGTTTTGTCGATATTCTGTGTAAAGTAAACTTCAAGTTTGAACACAGATGCGGCAAATTAACGGCTTACGCGACACACATACAAGAAAAAAACAGCGACGATATTCAGACGAGAACATACAACAGAAGATAACTGCTACTGAAGGGTGTACTGTTATGGGCCGCGCACGATACACGCATGGGATACGCACGGCACACGCACAGCATATACAAGGAACACGCACCTCTGGTGAAGCATCAGGAACAATATTCTCTAGAGGTATTGGCGGCATTTCAGGAAAAACGATTTTGTTATAATCTGGTAGTTCTGTCATTCCCTGTTTCAAGCAGAAAGAATTACCACTAAAGTCAAAATTGTGTTTATACAAAACGTAAAACAAAATATGCACGAAAACTTTATTTATTTGTAATAAAATACAGCGACATTATTCAGCTTCTTTAAAGAATCAAATAATCACGCACAAATGAAACCTCAATCGTACATAACAAGATGAAATACCAACGAGATTATGGACTAATTTATTCATAATTTTATGAGGGTGCAGCAGCCATTTTCTGTTATTAAATGAGTAAATTAGCGATCGTAAACATAGTAGGTACCTTAAGCGGTCAGAAGTTGATCAAAAATTGAACTTTTATTTTGGTTAAATTCGCGAATGGCTGGCGCCACATCTCAACTTCTGCTTAACGCGCATGTGGGTAGCATTGAGCTTCAGACGGAAACTTCGATAATTCTGCTGTCACGGTATCCGTTCTCAGACCACGCAAATTCCGATGATTTGAATCTGAGGTTTTGCAGAGGAAGGCTTAGAAATGAACAAAGTTCTAAAATGCACGTAGTGAGCATTCGTTCTGTTTATTGGATCTTTTGTTTTTACGCGTTCTCATTGTGGTTGCCGCCGTGGTTTGCTTTAAATTCCTAACTACGGGATTTTAAATATATGCAACGCCTACAGCTGTGAAATCTAACACGTTTCTGTTACCTGGCCTTGGCTGGGTGTTCCCAATACTCGAAGTACACAGTAAAGCTGTGTAATATCACTTTCACCCTAAACAATAATCGGCAATAGAAAGAAACGTTATAGACAATTTTTCTCCTCTATTTTGATCAGCTTTTTCACCTTATTTATCCTCAAATTGTTCTCATATTTTTTTTACGACAAGAAACTGACGATAGCCCACCGACCAGGCAGAAAGATTAGTGAAAGGAAGGAAGATGTTTTATGAGGCTTGATACAAAAAAAAACTCAGTTGTGATGATTTCATGCGGTCGTATGAAAAGTTGTTCAATTGTTCCTTCGCCAGTTGTTAATTTTCTATAAAAAATTCCTCTTGGACGTCAAAGCAGACAAAATTACCCTTATCCAAGTAGTGAAGGCTTCACTATTCATATCAAATTCATGTCTGATCTCGGAGTAAAGCAGTAAAGAATAACAACCACAACTAAGACTCCATACGTTCACTCTCACTATGACCAAATAAAGTTTCAAAGTATACAAAGGAAAAGAGAAAAATTCCGAAGAAATCATGGTAAGAATAATCGGAAACAATAATAAGGACAATAATAAGAACTAATAATAGCAACTGATGGGCAAAAGATAGAACGAGGATAAAGATAACTTACGAGGCCTCAAAAAATCTCGTATACATATTTCATGATAACACAACCGTGTCTTAATTTATTCATTTCTCTTCTGTTTTCTGCTTATCAGGAGCTAGCAAATCTTTTCGATCATTATTTGCCTTTTTGTTCCCATCTCAGTTTTCAAACTTTTTCCACCGTGCAACGAATTAACTTCATTCAAATGGAAGTCTATCCTGATCCAGGTCTGGAGTTCAGTTATTAAAACGAAGCACGTTAGTAAACAGCGCAATAGCAGAAGTGGAGTGAAAAAACGAGAGGTTTGGATCGAGTGGCGTCGCGTCGCGCACAGAACGCGACCAGACCTCTCTCGTTTTTTCACTCCCCCGCTTCTGACACGCCGTTTACTATTTCGTTTCGTTTTAACCCTTTACGTGTAACTCCCAATATCTAGTTGTTAATTCTCCCCTCTAACTACAACACATTTCCTAGTAAATTAGTTCCAAGAATTTAGTATTAGATCAAGATAACAACTTCTACCTGATAAGTTTGAATATTCTCATTACCTGTTAGGTGGATAATGAATATATAATTATTTTAGGGGGAAATTACATGTTAATCACTATTGGGAGTGAAAGAGTTAATAACTGAACGCCTGCAATAGGCTAAATGACGTCATGCCATATACTTACTGGAAAAAGTGGAGAATTGTTGAGGAGCTCTCCAAAAATACAACCAACTGCCCTGTAAGTACAAAATAAACAAACACAGTGTAAATAAAACACATCACCTCACACAAAAGGGGTTGGTAAAACACCCTATAGTTTCCTGCGCTTTTACAACCCAGTCCCCAAACAAGGTAGTCTGATAGTTAGTGTGATGGATCCCCAGAGGTAGGCTCAGACACTGGTGCTTGCTGGGTCATTGTTTTGTGTTCTTAGGCAGGGTACTTCACTCTCATGGCACCCTTCTCCATCCAGGAGTACACAGGGATATTATGAAACCCTCAGGAAAACCTGACATGAAGCTGAGCTAGTAACCTGCAATGGATGTGCATCCCACCCAAGGGGTGAAGGGGGTTGGGGATGGGGGAGGCAATATGGAGCAGTGTCTGCCTCTAGGTTGTTAACTCACTTTGCTCCACTATGCAGTCGCCACTGGTCACAAGGGATGCAATCGTGTACAGCACCTACTCACTTAATGAATTACATTGTAGCATTCAAAATTTGATAAAATGGTTTTAATACCAGAGATCAACTCCTTCATCATATTTCCTTGCTCCATACAGCAGTTCAGGGGCTCTGTACCATCTGTTTGTGACAAAAAAAGAGAAGGAAAGTCTCTATAATAACAGCTGCTATTGGACACAAAAAATACTAGGTTCCACATGATAATAACATCAAACTACATAGAGTCTGTTGGGGGCCGTAGTAATAAGCTTCTTGCTTACTACCAGGTTCAGCTAAGTCAGAGCATTTTGTGTCTAATCCTAGTTGTTATTTCAACCATATACATATATTTTAGAAAAGTGATTAAATAAACAAATTATTCAAAAGCTTTATTGCTTAAATCAAACCTTGTAGCCACTTGATGACTGTATTGTCTGTTGCCATCATTGGAAAATACCCTAGCAAGACCAAAGTCTGCTATCTTAAGGTGTCCAGTAGAACTGATGAGCAAGTTTGCAGGCTTCAAATCCTACGAGGAAAGAAGTTTCACAGGGGTTACAGTAGCAGCCCAGTGGTGGGTAGATCTTCACACTAGTAATGTGCTGGCTACCAGCTAGTAGTCTTTACACAAATATCATTGTACAGTCCTCATATACATGCATTTCTCATCAAATTGGTCGACTTTTGGCAATAGCAAAGACACATAAATATGAGTAGACATTAAAATGCAGGAAAATGCAACTGTAAGAGTCTACACCTTCAAAATTTCCCATTGTTTATGGCGAATATTTTTGATATAATAATCTTTTTCTTGCAGGAAAACTTGAATAGCTTCCATCACTCACCATGTGCAATTAATAGTGGGCCTTAGCATGAAGATCTGACCCATATACTTTTTAGCTGTCAACATTTTTTACATTCATGTGTATCTCAATAGTAATAGATTCCTGTACATACCCTATGCATTATAGAGTTCTCATGGCAAAACACTACACCTTTTAACAACATCAACATGTAGCTTTTGATCTGAGCCTAAAAAAAGAATTGATTACATACAGTACATGTCAGCCTACTAGCAGATGATTTCAGTAAATGCTCCACAAAATTTAGTCCCATCTCCTTATTGAGTAAAAGTTGTTATCTGATCTAACACTAAATTCTTTAAACTAATTTATAAGGAAATGAATAGCAGCCAGAGGGGAGAATTAACAATTAGATCTTGGGAATTGAGGAGTTAAGGCAGAGTCAAGTAGGTGTATGTGTAGGCCTAAAAGCTCATTGCTGCCACAGTGTATCCAGTTTACTATAGCATGATGTGACTATGAGCAGCACATGATTACATTGCTCTTTCTTAAGTTAAAGTCCATTCTAATTTGCTGTTACCCATGGATTCGTACTCATAAGTGGAGAGTAACACTTTGAGAACAGGATCTTTAATGCGTCTCATGTACTTACCCAAAAGCACAACTAAATGAAATAGTTTGAGCCTAAACCAGACCTTTTAAAGGATAGCTACATGTGTGCATTCCAGCATTCTACCCACTACCAATGTAAGATCACTGCATCTCCCTGTTTAGAAAAATTAATATAATGCACAGTACTCTGCTACAAACCTCAGTCAAGGGTCTGGCAGAGTTGCGCAGGACTTCAGACAGATCAGAGAGCATGTACTCAAACACCAGCACAAACCCAGTGCCATAAGGGAACACATCAATCAACTTGACAACCTGATCAAGGAGAGCCAAGAAATAGGTTAGAAATACAATCACAGAACTGTAACTTCTTTGCACACTGTAAAATACATTCCCAAATTCCATTTACATGCATTTGCAAGGAAGAAGAGGAGATCTCATGCAGACATGTATTCTACTCAGAATGATCAAGGTTGGGTCCAAACCCTGAGTGAGGTCACTTGCAGGCAAGACATTTCAGTCATCATCATATACCACCAAGAATATCTATGGTTACAGGCAAACTGTTAACCCTCTACATCCTAACATCAGTGTGTATATTCTCCATACTGTTCTCTATAAATTTCTTATGGTGCTGACAAGGAGAATTTGTTTAAGAATTGTGACCCTAATGGGTGATTCATGGGTGATAATAATTAACCCTTTAACTCTCACAAGTGACCAAGACAGAATTTCTCCTTACAATATTGATACAATATCAAGCAGAAAAGTAATGAGAATAAAGAAAAATATCAGTTAGGGGATTAAAAGATGATTCAATACCAAATTCTCCAAACTGGCATCACAGGAACTCTATGGCAGACAATAAGGAGAATTACTAATGAGATCTTGGGGGTTAAAGGGTTAATGCATGTGTAAACTCCACATACTTACATTTTGGTTGTCTTCTATTTCTTGTAATGCTTTAATTTCTCTAAGTTCAAAGTAATGAGAATTACTAATGAGATCTTGGGAGTTAACTGATCTTTTAACTGTCCTCTTATTTTGTCCAATTACAAGTATTAAGCATACACCAGGGATGTAGATAATAGCTGGAAACAGGGAAAATTACCCAGCTGTGAACGCGATTTTTCTGGCTGTGAAGCACTACTTCTCTCTCCAAAATGTTTTTAAATGTTGTCAGAAGATTGTTATTTATTTATTTCATTTGTTTACACCTTTAAATCTAGGTATAGCGTGTCAAAGGCACACTAGAGTGGGCCTTCAGCCCAAATACCCACCTATCATTCCAAGATTCCTGCCTGTTAAAAACTTGAGCTACATCCCTGTACACTATCCTATTAGTGCTCAAATCAGGCTGGTGATAACTGATCACGTTCAATAATTTTATTATAGTTTTGGTTAAAAAAATAGTAGTGATAATAATAGATTGCGTTTGGGACTATGACTTTGTTTTACAGAAATATGGGGCTGTGGGAAAATCTCTGCTGTCAAATTGCTATTGCAACCAGAAAACAAATAACAGCTTCTAAAACTATGCAAAATTAATACCAAAAGGTCAAATAAGACTATGAAACCTCAACGCAGTATTTGGTATTCCATCCTCAATCTTTCTCAATGGAACTTTCTTTAAAGCAACAACTTCGCCACTCTGTAAAAATGAAAAATGAATTATCACACAAATAAATAATGAAGAGACTAGGAAGAAAAATCAAACTACAGTTATCTACTACAGAAAAACCTGAATGAACATTTAAAGTTCTTTTTTTTTTTACATGCCATATGATAAAAAAATATATAGTTTATGTTATGCCAACGATCATGTGTGATCTTTAATAGGGCTTCCATACTGTAGTACTAGGATTCCAGTCTCGAATAAGTTGAAAAATTTTCATGAAGCTCTTCATTACCAGTTATCATATATTTACTTTTGTTTTTTAACGCTTGTCTGGCTAAAATGCTGGCACACTCATACAGTGATCTGCCTGACAGTCGGATATAACTAACCTTGGGTCGAATAACTGCAGATCGAGACAGATTACTCATGTAATAAGACTCAGAGAATTAAGCCTGGACTGTGTATGCTAAAGAAATATTTACCTCAATGTGCTTAGCTTTGAAAACAATTCCATGAGCTCCCTCGCCAATGTTTCCAAGGATCGTGTACTGTCCGCAGTGTTCCATGACAACCGATCAAAACATATCGTCCCGTTTAAACTACTAATGAATCAAATCTTTCCTCGATAAAATATAAAACCATTTTTTCTCGAAGTCTTACATTACCATCAGATTTAATTACGATAGATGGACAGGTTTGTCCCTAGCCATGAAAACAGATCAAAACAACTAAGGAACATGAAGAGGACGCCATTTTCAATGATGCAAAGATACTGGATCGAAAGATATCAAGGAAGTCTGGAAGATAGTTAGTGCATTCTTATCGGACAGCGGCTTCAGGGAGAGTTCATGCGCTCCTGTTATCTACATGTTGTTAGAGTCAGTGAACGAGGATGTATGTGGCTAACACTTTAAGCGCTAGAAGCATTGTGAAGACAACTTTTTCTGAATGGAGGATTTTTCCTTAACCTCCACGTGTTTCTAAAGTTTTCAAACTGAGAAGTGCTCGCGTTTAAATAGCCGTTATGTTGTGTTTTGTGGCGTGTTTTGTTGTGTTGCAGAAATTTAGTGTAATGCTGTTGTACCACCTCGTATTCGTAGTTGTGCCGTGCTGTGTTCAGCTGTAACGTTGTTTGTAAGCACTTCGTTGCTCTGTAGTTTCGTTTGCACCTGTTGTTGCTTGTGTATATTGACTCTGAACTGCCGATGATGACAAAAGGCGAACCAGACTTCAGGGATGGTGAAATTCATAGTTCTGAGGCAGAATTATGTTTAGACTTCAGACTTGAGATCGCTTCTTGTATGGGCGGCCGTCACCGCCAAAAATACAGGCATAATAAATGGTTTGTAATAAAAAGAAATGGTCTAATTGTCTCGTAAGTGCTAAAACATGAAACGACCTAAAACCACCTAAAACCACCTAAAACCACCTAAAACCACCTAAAACCTCCTAAAACCACCTACAACCACCTACAACCACCTCAAAAATTGGTAGTTACTAAAACAAGGAATGACCTGAAATGACCTAAAACGACCTAAAATGACCCAAAATGATCTAAAATGACCTCGAGTGTTTCTAAAATGAAACGCAGACTTTTGTTTTTGGCTTGTCGCGCAAAATTTCTAATTTTATTTTACATGTTCTAGCTTGCAGAGCAGGCGTAATTTTGGCGAGCGAGTGTTAAGTAATTTCATAACGAAGATTATGGCCGCCATCTTTGATTTTAATGGCAGCGGAAGGCTGGGGAGAGTAAAAATTTACACCAAGGGGGCGGTCGATGGTCAAAAATAAGGAGAGGGGTGGGGGTAGGGGAGAGAAGATTACAAGTAATTCAAGTATTCGTTAAACTCGAGCGACACTAGCTTGGAGATTCCCTTATATAGTTCAGGCTTAATTTCTTCGTGCCTTAAAAGCGCATTATCGCTTCTCTCCATTGTTTAGTAGCAATGTTCTTCATCAATGTTTTTGTTCGGGAATCTCTGGGAATTCTCGCAGTCACGTTTCCAGACGGATTCATGAACACGATTTTTATACCATCGTTTGAAAGATCTTCCACATTCTTATGACTAAGCATCTAGTTTTCTTGTACCAACAAGGCAGACAAGGTATTCACAGCGTTTTCAAAGACGAGAGACTTTTTCGATCACGTGAGAGGAGGAACTTCCCTCAACGGAGTCTTGCCAATTGGAGAACTAACACGTACAGATTTGGATTTCCTCTACAGTGGAATAGCTTTATCTGGCGTGTCAAGGTTTCTTTTGCTAGTTTTCACTGGAGTAGACTTCGTTGCAGTCGCTTTCTTGACAAAGTGGTACAATTGGCCTAAATTTCGAATCTTACGGCCACATGGGTTGCAAACACGATCTGAAAATCTCGAGCTATCTTGCACCAAGGGAAATCCAACTTGACGAAAAATTTCGCTCAAAACAACTACAAAACACTCCTTCCGTTTCGAAGGTTTGAAAATATTTTCTGATGAAGAGTGCCTTTGCTTGGGGAGATTTCCGAACTGAATTTTGAAGGAAACTCCACAAAGCCTACAGTTGTCACTTGCACTCTTATCGGACATTACGCACTATGTAGCTAGATAAGACGGCTCGGCTCCACGTGTGTTTGTTTTTGCCGGAAGTCATTGTCAAAGGCTTTTAAATAAACTCATTTTTATTGGTTACCTTCTTATTTCCGGAAATGCAGTGAAGCGCAACTAATCAGGCGGCGTATGGCATTTTAACAGCCTCTTCGGGCAGGCGTCTTTTCTCCCTTCCTCCGCCCCCTACCCCCACCGTTCACTCTAACTGCAAATCAAAAATGGCCGGTCGAACAAACGATCGCGAGCTTTTAGCGTTAGCTCGCACTAACAAGACGCCTGCCCTGCAGGCTAGACATGATCCGATCCATGATCCGTGATCCGATCCGTGATCCAATCCATGATCCGATCCGTGATCCAATCCGTGATCCGGTCCGTGATCCAGTCTGCAAACTCAAGTCGTTTAAGGACATTTTAGAAATTACTCAAGGTCATTTTAGGTCATTTTAGGTCATTTTAGGTCATTTTAGGTCATTTTAGGTCATTTTAGGTCATTTTAGGTCATTTTAGGTCATTTTAGGTCATTTTAGGTCATTTTAGGCCATCTTAGGTCATTTTAGGTCATTCCTTGTTTTAGTAACTACCTTCAAAAATTTCAACAACCACCTACAACCACCTAAAAAAACATCCACAGCCACTCGCAAACAATCTAAAACCATCCAAAACAAGGCACAAATGTCAAAGGCGAGACGACAACATGTCACGTACATGAAATACGAGAATCGAACAAAACCTCCACCTCCCCCTGAAATCTTACTCTCCCTGGTCCGTTGTAAAATCAACCATCGCACGACATGAAATGCAAGAGCATGTTAATTATATTTTATATCAGCCGTGGCTACACACACCTTGGGTTTGGGGCCTTACGGAGGGTAAATGGCTTGGGTTTGGTTAAGTTCATGTTTCATGTTACCCTTGGGGATGCGGTTACACAGTAAAAGACTCCCGTTAGGGTCAAACATAATTAGATATGAGTTCACTGACCTGACAAATTGGTAGGAAAAGTACAGAGCAACATGGATGTTACGAATCGAGATCTATTAAGCTTAATTTCAGTGATTCTCCTGCAGTTTTTTGCAAGAAGACACCGCAGAAGGCGCGAAATTAGCCAAGCGCATCGGAGGTCACCTCAAAACACTGCAGGCGATTTCCTATATTAGCTACATTCTGCTTTATGATTGGTCAAGCCACCTCAGGGAGCAGATGAACTGAACTTTTCGGTTAAGGAACTGTCATGGGAAGTTCTTTTGTTCTTTTTGATGTATCCATGGAAATAACCCTAGAGCAGTTTTGGTCTGGGGAAAGCGGTGACACTCAAAAACGTCCTTGCCCGTGGGCAAACGCTATTTACCCATGGGTAAAAGGGCCAGTGTAACAACGGCTATTACCTCAGTACTACTGGTAACTTTACAAGCAGACGTTTTGGCTCACGTCTCATTTGATTACGTAATGGTTCAAGGTATTGCTTTTCTCCGTTTAAAATCTCAGCACCGGAAATGCAATAGGAGCAAAACGTGAGTCACTATTGCGTGAGTGGCACCACTCGTACAACTGCATGCTGTATAAATGCCAGCACGATGGTGTTTGTGCCAAAGGAAGATCCCGAAGGTACGCACAATTCGCTTAAAATATTTTTTATGACCATTCTTATTCATACTTTTTCCGGCTAGACGTGAGCCAAAACGTCTGCTGGTATCCAGAGTAGAAAAAGCCAAGTCAATTCAGTCTTTTGACTACGAGTTTGTTATTTTACTTTATTATTTTTGGAAACTTGATGGTTCAGTTTTTGAAACATGAGCCAAAACGTCTGCTTGTAAAGTTCTTTAAGTCTTTTACTACTGAGATAAAGGAGGTGGAGGTTTCGTTCGATTTTCATATTTCACGTATATGACATGTTGTCGTCTCGCCTTATTTTAGACCTTTATGCCTTGTTTTAGATGGTTTTAGATTTTTTGCGGGTGGCTTTAGATGTTTTTGAGGTGGTTGTTAAAATTTTTGAGGTGGTTGTAGGTGGTTTTAGGTGGTTTTAGTGGTTCTACGTTTTAGTACTTACCCTAATTGTCTTTTGGAGAACGGTTTATCTTATCTCAAGAGATTTATTCAAAATATAAATGGACAAATCGCCTTTGGTGAAATGAAATCTTCAGTATCAATAGTTTATACAATTCAGAAACTGTGCAGCTATCCTTATTGAACTGATTAAAAAAAAAGAATTGGCCAAGTGTTTACTGAAATGGTTCAGTGCCGAAATGACAAACGGTTCAGCTAACTGTACTTTGGTTGAGTGACTTGACACAAATAGTTCAGAGTGGTGTGAAATGGCTCAAGTTATCGGAAAATGGTTAATCGTCAGCCGCAATGGTATAGTATCGCATCAATCTACCCACCGTAAAGTGAAATGGTTTAGCGTGACCCCAAATGGTTTAGCTTGACGACAAAAGGTTTAGCACAAACCGAAATGGTCCACTGTTACAGCTGTTGGTTTACGCCATGAAAGCCAAAAATACCAAAGTGAAATCGATAAGTCAAGCTTCAAATGAAACATTCGATGTGGGGTCTTAGATCACAGCCCTATAGTTTTTATAGTTTTTAGGCGCCCCGATAGTTGTAGTTTCGTCGCCCTAAAACAACGAATCGCTTTATCAAGTTTCCAAGTTATGGTTCTGACTGTCTAGACTTTAAATGTGCTGTTATGTAAAATGATGCATTTATCAGTATTTTGTCGTTCCTTTTATTTCAGATTCTTATTTTATCTTGAGGTAGTAAAATGGAGAATTCTTACCTTAGTCACCCGTAACCATAGTAAGAATGCTCCATTTAAAGTACAGCAGTTTTCACCGTAAACTATTTATAACTATGTAGTTTTTAATGGAGAATTCTTACCTTAGTCACCCGTAACCATAGTAAGAATGCTCCATTTAAAGTACAGCAGTTTTCACCGTAAACTATTTATAACTATGTAGTTTTTAACTATATAGTTTTTATAGTTTTTAGGCGCCCTTTAGTTGTAGTTTCGTTGTCTTAAAACAATGAATCGCCGTATCATGTTTTCTAGCAATGGTTCTGACTGAGGTCGTAAAATTTCTAATAGTCGCGGCTTAACCTTGTTGGGAGTTCAAATTGCTGTTAGCCAGTTTCAAATTGTTCTTTTGTTCTTTTCGGTTTCTTACAGTGAAAACTGCCGTTCTTTAAAGGGATAATTCTTACAATGGTTAAGCCTAACCATGATAAGAATTCTCCATTTTACTACTTCAAGAAACAATAAGAATCTGAAACAAAAGAAATGATTGAATAACTGATAAAATGCATCATTTTTGCGATAGCACACCTACAGTCTAGACAGTCGGAACCATTGCTAGGAAACGTAATATAGCGATTCATTGTTTTAAGACGACGAAAATATAACTAAAGGGTGCCTAAAAACTATAAATAACTAAAAGGTTGTGACCTAAGACTCCACATAGACTGTTCCATTTCAAGCTGGACTTTTCCATTTCTCTTTTGTATTTTTTGGCGGTTACGGCGTAAACCAACTGCTGTAACACTAGATCATTTCGGTTTGTACTAAACCTTTTGTCGTCACGCCAAACCATTTCACTTTACGGTGAGTAGATTGATGCGATACAAAGCCATTGCGGCTTAACGGATTAACCATTTGCTGGTAACTTAAGCCATTTCACACTACTCTGAACCGTTTGTGTTAAGTCACGGAACCAAAGTACAGTTAGCTGAACTGTTGGTCATTTCGACACTGAACCATTTCAGTTAACAATTCGCCAATCGTATTTTTACTGAATCAGTTCAACAATTAAGGGTGGCTACACAGTTTCTGAATTCTATAAACCATTTTTTGTTTGAATATTTCATTTCACCAAAGGCGACTTGTCCATTCGTATTTGGAATAAATCTCTTGAGATAAAAGAGGCCGTTCTCCAAAAGACAATTAGACCATTTCTGTTTAGTACAAACCATTCATTATGCCTGTATTTTTTAGCGGTGACGGCCACCCATACTTTTCCCCAAAGAGAGGCTGCATCCTAGTTTCACACTACTTTTGAAATTAACCATTTTGATACGCTTATTAAAAGTGTCTAATGTTTCAGACGATCGAATAGATTTGTCGAGTTTGGACTTAATGACAGGGCGTAAATAAATCAGGCAACGTTTGCCATGTATAAGCAACAGTAGGAAATTACATCTGGGTACGGCGAAATAAGATTTTTTGAGGCGATGCTGAGAATTGGTAACAACAATAAGTCTGTAATTTAAGGAGGCGCCAGACCATTTTTAACTTTATACGCTGTGTATACACTTTTCATTATTATTTTTATCATTGTTTTCCATTTTTTCTACTTTTCCATTTTTCTTCCAGCCGAACTGGTTTGTACATATGCTAAGCTTAATATTTATGCAAAAGAAAACTAGTGTCATAGGTTAGTCTGGAAATGTGGAAATGTTTTCTGGCAATTACTGCGCCCAAACTGTTCCTTTGTAAGACAGACGTGAAGAGTGCTAATAGAGGGAATCCACTGGGACATTATCAATGGGGAGTAAATGCAAATTATGCTCTCGTTAATCCACAGGCCAATTCAAAAGCAAGCGAAGAACCAAATAAAGCCAGCGTTTTTGTGGACAAGAAGCCATTTCTAATCATAGTTCTTACCCTAAGAGCTTCCCTAGAAGGCATTGTTTAGGAAAGTCTTAACAGCATGCAAGACAGAATTAAAAATACGGAGGCTTAAATTGCGTGTGTTAACCTCATTATAAATTAATAGACTAGTGTGTTGGAGAGACCCAAGACACCTCACCTCTGGCACTGAATCAAGAACGCAACGCATGCACAGTTGTGAATGCATTATTGAAGAAAGACCACGAACGACCTGAGGTACTTCGATAAATCTCTTCGACATCACACTCGCCGCAATGGCTCAAGCTATTAGAGATTTCTTGAAGAATCATTTGCCTTCGCCTTTGTTTGGCGGAAGAAATAGAGAACACCACGAGAGCAGGGAGTATCTTCACGTTGAAAACCAAGGAGAAAGCGATGAGGATGAAATAGTTTACCCGAGCGAGGAAATGACCAAGGCTAACGAAAAGGAGTCTTCAAAAAATACTTCGGCTCTACAAGCAGCCTGGAATGTATTAAACTTGATACAAGGTAAGTTTCAGAATTATAATGTCTTACAGTTGTTCTCCCAATTCTCCGGTCGAAGAAAAGCTGATATTAATGGGGGAAGGAAATGGCTTCATCGTTATTTTTCACCAGAATTTTAATCGCGGTCAGCTTCTCCCCTGTGGCAAATGTTCCATGCATCAAATTATTGATTTTTTTGCCGCCGGATATTCTCGATCGAAAAACATAGTTTTTTTTATCTATGCAACATGTCTACGATGGTATGAATGCTGAATGATATATTTTAAAGTCTCGACCGAGTGAATTTTAATCCAAACCATTGTTGAGAAAATGGAAGAACTTCTTTCCAATTCACTTGTTTGAACTGAACTAAATTCTGATCTAATTTCTTATTATCTTAGCCGATGGAAAAACTGGATGATTGGCTTGTTTTTGATAAAAATTGTTTAAAATCAAAATTGTGTAAGATGAAAAAGTTCTGATTATCTAAATAAATGTATAGAAATTAGTTTGCTCTCAGATTTGGTGCTATGACTGGTTTTCTCCGGTTTTAAAATAACTCGTTCTTCTGTATCTGTTATAAATGTACCGATTACTCGATGGATTATCGCAAACTAAAAATATAAAATTTGTTCTGGGAGACATTCGCCAACTTTTTAAGACTGGAAAACATTTCCCTTTTCAGGCTTCTATCTTTCATTATTTAGGATATCACGTTTTTTTATTCATCCAAAAATTGAAGTTCACTTCCATACAAAGTCAAAGACAGCAGCAATGTAACAAGTAATTTTTTTAAGCTCCGAAACTAAAATTCAAAAGTAGCTCAGAAATTTGCCTTTTAGCTCCCTTCCGAGCTGAAGGAAATTCCGACGTAGATTTATCATTGTAAGATTTTTTACAAATTTTCCGTTCCTATCTTGTCTTTCTGATATGAACCAGCGCCGATTTAAAAATCTTTTTTTTTCAATTGACGACTCAGTTCCTGTGTTAAAATCAAAACATTTCAATGAGATGGTTTTCTTCATTTAAAAGCTAACTCAATTTCTTTTCTTCTTATCGAAGAAACACATAAATAATTAAGGTGTTATGGATAATTGTACAAAGGCGGGTTTTGAAGAGCAAAGGGTTGTTTCCGATAGCTAAGAAAAAAAATACGATTTTTTTATTAGCGTGGGTGTTCATCACTACATTAAAGAAAAACAATTTCGTGGTAAATCAATTAAATATTACTGAATACCTGTCCACTATTAATTAAAAGCAATGTTTATCCTTACTAAATTCGAAGGCTTCCGATCATAAAAAATTAACCACGTTTGTTTTTTCCTTTTGACTGAATTTCACAGCTGCGATCACAAAATTTCACATGAAAACAACAGTGTGAGCCATCCAGTAACAAATAAAAGGCAAACAAAAAAAGAAAACTTGATAAAAACCTTGCTGTTCTCAAGTCCAAAAGATCTCAGGAGCTGAATGGTTTAATTAAAGTCACAAAACTAATTAAGTCAAAGATAAATTTTTCCTGGCGAACGTTACCCAACTAAATTTAAATATGATGTTTTACAAACTACTTTTGATTTCAGTATTTCGGAAAATTTTTCGTTAAATTTCTTCCCTATACTGTGGAGAAAGTTACCCTAACAAAATTAGAAAGTGTCTTTTTTTTTTTAGCAAACTCCCATTCAGTGATCGTAAAATTTAAAAACAAATTCTCTTTTAAGATCTTCAATATCTTCAGCGTCGCTAGATCGGATTTCAAATTTCGCCCTTAAGAAAAACACCTTTTGTTAAATTCACCAAGACTTAAATAATTCAAAGACATGATCTCAATAATGGAAGATTCTTTGCCACTGAGACATTGCCTTAAGAAAGAAGAGCACAAAAACGAGGTCACAGCTGAACGGAAAAATAAAACAACAGATCGATATATTTGGCTTCCTACCATCAACTAGTAATACTCGATATCGGGGGTGGGCTGGATTAATTTCCGTTGTGCATAAAAAGCGACAACGAAGAAAATCATTGAAGAAATACCAAGCAGGAATAATTCAACAGTTATTCGCCGAAGGCGAAGTGAATATTGTTGAATAATTCCCGAGACGAAGTTGATGGGATTATTCAACAATTCATGTTCACTGACCCTGAGGCGATTCATTATTTAGACATAATTCCTCAGGTGCTTTCAAATACTGCTTTGAATTCGTTCTGTTGTTGATACTATTCTGTTACAATTGTTTTAATTACTCGTATCGAGATAGGCAGCCAGTCTCCACTAAAATTTAAAAGGTTTATTTAATTCAATCGGCAAAACTCCATTCATTTCTTTTGAAAAGTGTTATGCCAGACTTAGTAGTATTTTCTAGACTCTTGGCAATAGAATTTCCTTCTGACGCGTTTATCTCTTCCTCGTTACCATTGACAAAACGCGAGGCAGCCATTTTGAAATCTAGCGCTTCAGATGATAGTCACCTTGCGCGAGGTGATTTTGGCGAAATTTGACGCAATCCCAGACCATTAGCAGCGTGCGTATCTCTACAATCACCGGAGCAATTAAGCTAAAAGCTCTCACTGGCAAACCGATAGCAGGTTTTAAATGAAACTGCTGGTACTATTTGCTGTACAGTTGAGTTTATTTGAATTATTTTCAACTTTCAGGAACGGGAACCCTTGGCGTCCCATTTGCTGTTATGCAGGGGGGGTACATGTCTCTGGTGGCCATTGTTATCATCTCAGTAATCACTAACTATACAGGGAAACTTATCATAGAGTGTTTGTACGAAAAGCCGTTCAATGGTCAAGGTGCACGAGGAGTTCGAACGAGGAACAGTTACGCTTTGATAGGTAAGGTGCAACGATGTAGAAATACCCACTGCAGTCATGTTGATCGTATTTTTTTAATTTGTTGTTGTGAAAATGTTGAATATGAAGGCGATATTCATAGCCATGATCACCACTTACGTAGTGGTGAAAATAAGGCCTGAAAAAAATTCAGGTCTGTACGGGATTTGAACCCATGACCTCTGCGATACCGGTGCAGTGCTTTACCGACTGAGTTAACAAGCCAACCGAGAGCTCGTTGTTATTTTGGTTCCAAATAAACCCGTGAAGTGGTGAATCAATGACTGTGATTACATGAAAATCGTATACGTGAACTGCGAATGTGAAAATGTTGTTGCTGTTGATGTCATCATTAGCATCATCATTAACATTGTTATTATCCAGGCTGTAAAGTTGGACAACACGAAGTCCTGTCACCAAATATACATAACTATAACAAAATTTGAGAGCCAAACTTGCCATTGGTCGGACGTCTTCATGAAAAACAACAGTTAACTCGCCGAAATGCGCACACACGCGTACACGTTTTTGGCACTAATAGGACCGTGTGCGCGTCATGTTTGTCATTGAACAATGTAATTAGACAAAACGCGTCACGCGCGGGCGCTGCCGTCGCACATTCGCCGAGTTAACAGTTTCCTTTTATGAAAACGTATAACCAATTCAGATTTCATTATAGTTTTCACTAGTGGGTATCAGGACTTCTAGTCGTTCAATTCTATTTGTAATCGTACTTGTATTTAACAAATTAAACTCCCGCTCTGCGGTCTTCCGATTTTGTTTATCACTCGTTTGATTGTGGAGCACACAGTCTTAATAATATTACTAATGAGTATCGTGTTAATAATATTGTGAGTAATTACAATAACATTATTACTTTATATACTTCATTATTACTTAATATACTTCTGATTTTAGGCCAAGCATGTTGGAAAAAGTATGGTAGTGCTGTAGTATGCGGCGCTCAGGTGATGCAACTCGCTTGCGCATGCGTCCTTTACCTGCTTCTCGTCGCCGACTTTTTCAACGACTTGTTTGAGCACCATGCCCTCTCGTATTCCTTGTGGACCGTCATTGCGGGTGTTCTTCTGCTCCCGTCAGTCTTCCTGAATCATCTTAAACACGTCTCTTGGCTCAGCATGTTCAGTGTTGTCGCTCTTGTTATGGTGTTTTCCTCAGTCATTGGATATGGCGTGACACAGCGTTATGAATGGGATTTCAACCTCGGCGTAACAACGCTAGAGGGATTTCCCGTAGCATGGGGAATTATCCTGTTCAGCTTCGTGTGTCATCCTTATCTGCCAGGCATCGAAGAAACCATGGAAAAACCAGAAGAGTTTAATAGTATAATGAACTACTCTTTCTTTGCTTCGGCTGTGACCAAACTAATTTACGGTTTCATAGCAGTTTTAACCTTCAAAGGACAAACCCAGCAAGAAATCTCTGAAAATCTCCCACCAGGGGCTCTCCAGAATACAGCCAATGCCCTCCTGGGGTTCAACGGTCTGTTCTCGTATGCCCTACCTCTGTTAACCCTCATTACAATTATACACAAAGCGCAGATTTCGTGTATCCCTCCATGCTTTCCCGACGAGAAGCATCCATTGTCCATCAAGGAACGCGTCATGATTTACTCGCTGCGATCTGTCTTTGTGGTATTTACTGTAATGATTGCTGTGCTCCTTCCACAGTTCTCGTTGCTAATGGCGGTAATTGGTAGCATATCAGGTGTCCTACTTACTTTGGTTTTCCCCTGTCTTTTCGACATTATGCTTCACCTCGAGCAGATCAGTACCAGTCGTTACGTCATCGACTTACTCATCGTCTGTGTGGGGGTACTATCGGGCGGTTTTGGTTTGGTGTTTTCACTTATTGCAATAACAAAATTGTACGTTTAATAACTTTTCCAATAATGATATGTATTAAACTAATGGGAACACGGGGATACTACGGTTGCAGTATAGCCTTTGCAGTAAGGGTGTCTTGCAGTACAGGCGTCTTATAGAGAAAAGCGGGTAAGCGCTGCAAGCTCACTTTAAACGAACGAGGCGCCATGTTTTTTCAAGATGGCGGCCAAACGTTTTACGAATGAATCCCGAGCGGTCGCTCGAAAAAATATGCCTGCACTGCAAGTTATGCTCTGGGAGAAGTTATGGTTTAGGCTCCAGTCAGCGGAAACATCAGGAAAGCATGCACCAGAAATTTAACTATTCATCACCGTAACTTTGCGTCCATACGGAACTTGTATTGGAGTTGCAGATAGACGAATGTTTGCTTAGAGTTAGGAGAGCAGTGCAAGCACACGAACTTCTGTCAAGACAGCTCTGCTATGTTTCACTTCAACTGACAGAGAGCATTTAGTTTGAAAGAACTGAGAGACTTTGTTCGAATAGTTGATCAAATGAATTAAAACAACTTCATCAATCTGAATGGTGCTGTTAACAGAAGCCATAACCATTAATGTACAAGGCCGGTGTTGGAAAAAATATAAAGTCTGATAGTATTTAAAAACAACAAATACATGACCGTGAGCACTGTGTCGAAAGCAACATTGAAACTTTAACTCAAGGAAAAACTTGGGAGAATTACCTTCTCTTCATGACAATGAGCTGTTTTCAATCCCTCTCTGATGCAGCAACTTTCTGTGAAACGACAACCTCCTCTTCAAAAAAACCTGTGTTTAATTCCCAAGGTGTCACCCTTCATCACCAGGAAATGATTTTTCATTCATCTATTCACGAAAGTCTTGTTGCTAGGCCGGTTGCTACGTTTTTTAATAGTTCCTTCTCCCTCCCCTCCCCTCCCCTCCCCTCCCCAAAAAATCGCCAACTTATCCTTGGCAAGGAAAAGTCAACTGAAGACATTTACTAGGAGGAACGACCATAGGTACTTCAGTATAAAATTTCTTTCTTTCTTTATTATCGTCTCTGTATGAAGACTTTGAGAACTATTCAGCCAGAATGCATGCAATTAAACGTTTTGTACAACCAATATTGAGTACGCTGTTAGACAAATCTTCAAGTTCTGTTTTGTTCTTGTTGTTTTTTTACTTTTTGGTACCTCCGAAACTATCGCAAGTATATCACCATTCTTAAAGCAACTGAAAGCATTCTTATGACTCTACTTTTTCATTTATCTCCTCTTCCTTAAATGTTCGTTTTTCTGTCTCGCATTGAAAGTCACCCTTAACATGTCTTCACGCTAATGGCCTCGTTACACCACTCATTGCGACAGAGAATAGCAACGTAACACTATTCATTCTATCTCACGTCGCCGCCGACTTTTCCATAATTGCATTTATTCATTTATACTACTGGTGTCTATTTCCTCTTCTTTGTTGTTTCTTTTGATTTTGACATTGAGGACAAAACCATTTTCCTTTTGGAGCGTCTGTTAATCCAACACATCCGTAATGAAACCACTCAATGGGACACTGAAACGTGAATAAACAGCACAATCAGGAGTTGCTTCAACCGGTTCGTACCCAGTCTGTGTCTGTTAGTGCCAGACCTATTGGTTTATTCGTACCCAGTGTGCATCGGTCCGTACCCGACCCGCTGGTCGATTGGCACCCTAAAATTAAGTGACGTTCAAAATCCAGAAGGTCTCAGGAAACAAAGATCTCTTACAAACCCCGTCCCAGACCTCGTTTTTGTGAACACAACGGTCAAATGTAGGGCATACGCAAGGGGATCAATTATGAGCCGGCCGCACTAGTTTCTCGCGATTTCAAAAGGAAACATAAGAAACAACCGCAAAATATGCGAATGAAGATTGAAAGTTCAAAGGAAACAAAAGCAGGGAAGAAGAAAACCGAAGACTTTTCGCAAGCAAAGCTTATCAAAATACACTTTTCATGTTAACTTACCATTTTGCTTTGAGCTTTGACAAAAAAGTTTTTCGGTCTTCAAACACCGCGACTTACCAACTTACGATTGTTTTTAACACTTGTAAGACAAGCTGGTATTGACAGCCTGAAAGCAAGACATCTAAACAAAAAACTGAGTGGGTGCGAATGCGGGTTCTAGCAGGGTACGAATCGGCTGAGCACGAAGCGTTCGTGGTTACGAAACGACTGGTAAGCTTGCAAGGAATAAAAGGGGCAATTCAAGAAGAGCAAATAATGTTTCTAAGTAACAGATAGTGATCATTAGCATGTTTTGAAGTTAAAACGACGTTAAAACAATGACTCACTTCAGTGTTATCACATCCCACCATTTCGCCATATGACACCTACAAGTAGACATAAATTAGAAATATGTAGGACAAAACTTGTTTTCCAAAGCTAAAGTTATCACAACAGCCAATCAGGAAAAGGGAAAATATTACAAGGAACCAAAGAGAAAATTAATCCTAGAACAAGCAAATTGCCTGAAGCGCGGGAAAACGCGAGTGATCACGTCGCGAAGACTAGTTTTAGTTTGAATCTGATTGGTCGAGAAAGTGACACGAGTTTTCTAGACCAATCACAAAGCGAAATAAAGAAAAACCGAAGAAATCCCGGTTTACTTCCGACACTATAAGACCTTTTTACCCACCTGATTACAGAGGCAGTAGCGTGGTTCATTGGGATCGTACACCCAGTCCGGTACAGCAGCCGCTGCAACGGCTGCCTCTTGTTCAGCGACCTGCGCCGAAGCCACTGCTGTGACTTGAGTGGAATTTTTACTTCTGTCAAAGACAACAGAGAGAATCAAAGAGTCACCTCAGTTGTCAACTAAGGGTAATGATTGAGTGTTCTATCGATTCTTGTGGCCCAAAACACCGGTTCTTATCCCGATTTCCCCAGCATTAACCCTTTCACCCCTAAGAGTGACTGACTTCTAGTTTCTCGTTTCAGTATCCCTCTTGAATCAAAAGTTAAGGCCATGAGAATGAAGGAAATGATCACTTATTTATAAAAGAAACTCCATACTTTTACAGTTAACCCTAAAATTGACCAATAAGTGTTAAAATCTGGATGAAGGTAAAACTTGTTTTTTTCCGTTCGTTTGGTAAGCCTTCGACCTTCTTGCTTAGCCGTGAGACATATCTTATTTCTCTCGAAGGCCAAAATGAAGCGAAGCGCGTGTATTCGTAACCAGATGATAACAATCGAAAGACAAAGATAAAATCAGTGAGCGGAGTGCAATTTATAACAGTGCTCACAGAACCTAACGCGACCTAAGGTGCTGACAAGGAGAATTTGTTTACCGATCAAAAGCTTTTTTAGTTGGTGATCTTTTCCTTCATTCTCATGACCTAAATGCGTGTTTCAGAGGTGATATTGTAGGGACAAAATTAGATGCTGGTCACTCTTAGGGTTTTAAGGGTTAAATTACCGGGACTATCGAGAAACGGGTCCCGCGGACCCTAAATACTGTTACACGAGACTCCACAAAGTGCTTACTTTTTCTTTTGTTTTGTCGATGTTGGCGCCACACTGATCGAGGCATGTACGTCACTTGGAGTAACAGGTATACTGACAGAGTTTACGTTAGTGGATGCCGGGTCAAACGGCATTCCCAGGGAACTACTGGCGGGGAGACCATTCAAACCACTAGGTGGGGTAGACAGAGTGCTCAAAGAACTTCCTGTAAAAAAGAAAATAATTATATTTTTCAAAACAAATTTTTGTTTTTTAAAAAATAACAATAAGAACTATAAACAGCCGTATGTCTAGGATATAGAGTAACAATCCAGCAAGCATCGAGTTCCGAATCGAATGAGCTCTATGAAATATTTTCATTACACATTGACAAATTCGCCGATTTCTTTTCTATAAAAATTATGTCAGCTTCCTCGTGACAAAACGTGAAATTTTGAACGAATGGCAAAGGTGCCTGTTCAGGAAAACAGCAGACTCCAGAAATCAGTACACCCACCCAAGGCTGCAGCATAAGGCGGTTTCAAGGCTCCACTAGCTCTTCTACCAGGCTGCATCTGCAACGTCGTTGTAACTGCCTGCGCAGCAGCAACTGCAACTGCAGCTGATCCTGCTCCGACTGAACCTGAAGAAAGGAAAAAAATATAGGTATAAATAAATACAGTGTGCTTTCATGAAGTTTTCCAGCCTTGTTTACGCTTAAACCTCAACAAAATGTGGTGAGAACAAAAATGTGGGAGTGGCCGGGTGTGTCACTGGTGTTCTTATCTCGTTTTGGTGTCATCTGTGATATATTCCTGAACAGACCCATGGCAAAATAAAATCTATATGTTTTCCATAATAACGACGTCATCAATATCTCTGTTCTCCCGTAGATCATTAGAGAGAGCCAATCAAAATGCGTGTGTAATTCAGTTTATGATATACACGTTGTTTAACTCACTGATCTGATTGTTAATTCTCATCTCCAGCTGCCACACATTTCCTTGTAAATTAGTTACAAGAAATTGGTGTTAGATCAAAATAAAAACTTCTTTCTGATAAGTTTGAGTATTCTCATTACCTGTTTGCTGGATAATGTATGGATATTTTGGGGAGAATTTGTAAGTCAATCACTTCTGGGAGTTGAAAGATTAATCCTCTCACTTCCAGGTGAGATTAAAATGGAACTTCCATACCAATACATTTTTCAGCAGAAAGGTACAGAAAAGAAAGCTACCAAAGAGAGGACACTGTTTAATTTAACAAAAAATTTTCTGTCTTAAAATTGTTAGAAATGTGTGGCAGCAAATTCATATCTAGATCTCAGGGATGAAAAGGTTAACCCTTTGATCCCTGAGAGTGATTAGCATCTAATTTCTCCCTACAATAGCACCTCTAAATCACACAGTAAGGTCATGAGAATAAAGGAAATGATCATAAACTAAAAATCTTGATTGATAAACAAATTCTCCCAGACAGTACCAAAGGAAATTTAAAGAGACGGGTAAGGAGAATATGCATACTTATGTTAAGGTGTAAAGGTTCTCACACTGCTGTAAGCTGGGTTTGCTCACCTAAGGTGTAAGATCTTGGAGCAGATGAAGGTGACTGAGGAGCAACTGATTTTGGTGATGGCGACATCTGGTTGTAGGTTCCAAGGGAGCCATATGCATAATCATGCATTCCTGGGATGGACAAGTGATCGCCATTGACCAAATCAGTAGTGAGACTGTCGGGAGCTTTCCTTTCTGCAATGGAAAAGCACAGAAAGGATTTAAGTCTGAGAATTGACAAGCATAGCTGCTGTTCATAACTAACTCCTGTTTCTGTTGCATGAGGTAACCATGTGTATAAAGCTACTTCTCTGGGATAGGAAACTGGTCCATCACAGATTGTCTGACAAATTCCAACTCATGCCAACCGGTCCAGCTCTCTGCACCTCAGCTTTCATTTAAGTTTTCTATGGGATTGCATATACAGAGTTGTATGGTTCATTTGATAAACTTACTATGCCCAGTTAATTGCAATGATCCATGTATGTGGTTACTCCTTGCAGGAGAGGGTGGATTAATAGGTTCATCTAGTCTCAGAGATCCTATAGAAAAAAAATGTATCCAAAATTAAGCTACATGTACATTGCTGGCTACATGTACCTCTACAGAGTATTAATTAACTAATGTTTCCACTTAGATACTGAAAACCCCTCTGTTTCAAAATAACAAATTTATGTTCCCTTACACTGGACTGAACTTTACTTACTTTGCTCTAAAACCTCTGTAATACCGGCATTATCTGCTTCTAATTCCATTTTGAACTTGGACAACTCTTGATCTAATTTTCTTAAGTGTCTGTCCACCTTAGGAAAGATAAAAAGGAAGCCACAGGTTAAACTTGATGCTTGTTTACACACAGTGTATGCATGCTAATGAAAATTACAATGTAATATCTATATGCCCATTCTAAGAAACTACAGTAACAACAACAACAGCAGCAACAAAAATTATGCAATGAAAATAATTGAATTAGTATAATAATCTAGCTGTGTTACCATACCAGATCATAAGTCTGTGTTGCTATGCTAACTTTTTCTTCAGCATCCTCAACAGCCTTCTGATACTCCTTAAATAAAGAAAAAAAAACAAACAAACAAAGATAAGTTTAAAGAAAAACTCCCAAAAAACCCCAAGAAGGGGAAATATCACTATTTGACTGTGCCTTTCAATGACACGGAAATTCTACAGATCAGAGATAAAATGTGATTTCATTTCCAGCTGACCCCAGGCATCACCTAATCATTCATCTAAAAGTGAAAACAAACATAAGGAATTAAATCCTTGAATCAAAACTTGGAAACATCAACTCTTAACTCTGAAATATAGCCTGAGTTTCTCTTAGAAGCCAATTAACACATTTCCCATGGTGTGTCTCCAGTTCCGTACTTTGCATGCATTGGAAAACTACCGTAGTTATTCGGTTATAAGGCGCACTCAGCTATAAGACGCACCCCCAATTTGGCAACTTCATTATTGCATGTTTTCAAACTGAGAAAATCGCTAAAATACTTGGTTATAAGGCGCACCGTTGTTTGGGGAGTAAAGATTGGTCAAGTTTATTGTAAATTCTTTCATAAACTTACAAAAAAGCGAAAAAGTCGTGTATTGATTTTAGTTTACCGTTAATCAACAAAAGCAGAATTGTCGCACACACGACCATGCACACAAACAAAAGCCTTGATTAAACAAGATGTACCGCCGAGAATGCAGGTCTCAGTGCACTAAAAAGGCTGAAAGGATGAAGAAGGTATTTACTTCTTTGCTTGTTTATTTTCGTTTCATTTTGTGACATATCAAATTATTAAGCACGTGCTCTCGAGCACGTATCACATCTATGCAAATTTGACTTCGCTTGTCTTTTCAGAACCACCATATTCATAAAAGTCAATGTGTGTGTGTCATTTTATTTGCTTGAAATCGTACCAGTAAATGCAATAAAAAAAAATTGTTTCGGGAAAATATTTGCCCATAAGACGCACCCAAACTTTGGCGGTAATTTTTAGTAGAAATTAGGAATTTCTTGAAAAAAATGGTGCGCCTTATCACCGAATAACTACAGTATTCTGAGTACGAAAAAATTGAAATTTTCTAAATGCAAATAATTCTTTATTAATGATTGTAACTTACATCTCTGATTTGTTTGTACTGTTGTTCTTTCCATTCTGGCTTTGCTTTTCGGCAGTTCATGAAAAACTGCTTCACTCTGATGTCCATGTCATCTATTCTGTCTGTAATTAGAAAAAAATGTTAAAAAATCAATTGGTGACAATGAGAGTGACTATTCAATTGTGCATGGGAAGGTGTTGGAGACTATGCCACGTCAGTCAGGTCTGCATTAATCAAATCAAGCAATACCTGTAATTTAAAGGGGGTAAGTTTCTAAAGAAACTGAAATGCTGTATCAGTGGGAGAGTATAACTGGGTAATTTAGTATCATCAACCAGTTGATAACATAAATTGGCCACCATAGAGTTTTAAAGCTGACATTTCAAGCATTAGCCCTTCGTCAAAGCAAAAAAAAAAGGGCTTATGCTTGAAACCTCAATACATTACTTTAGTTAGAGCACACTGATTAAGTTTTGTTAAACAAAAACCAGTATAATTTACAATGCCTAGTCAGAACCAAGGTTACAGGGAGCAGAAAGTTAAAACAAGTAACCCACTTAATGCTCAAGAAAATCCAAGCCAAGACAATGTGATTATTTAAGATAAAGCTTCTAATTGTAAGGATGGTAAGAGTTATCAGAACCAATCAGCAAGAAAAACATGTGAAACCAGCACAATCATGGATCGATTTTAACACTCAATAAAACTTCCCAAAAGAACCTAGTGGAGCATCTAGTTAATAAAGCAATTATTAAAGTGTAACATAAAAACATTATTTGAGTACGTTAAAAAGTTTAATAATGTAAAAGTGCTTCCCAAGCCATGACTCACTCTGAACCTGTAGATCCATTTCCCTCATGTCTGTGAATCTGTCTCGCAGCTCAACTGGCAGCTGCTCAATCACTTTAAAAATTAACAAACATTTTATGTTAACTTCATGGAAATGCAATAACAACAGATGGTGACAACCATCACAAGGTCATTTACAGTACACTAGGATAATCTCATACCTTAGATAACAGCGTAACAGTGTGTAAAAAATTGGAACAAGATAAATGGTAAATTTTCAGCATGAAGGCAGAGAAAAGAGATTTTTTTATAGTTAGTTACTGTTAAGGTAAGAAGAAACATCTGAGTGCCCTATAAGGAATCTAACCTAAGACCTCTCCATTTCTTGCTCTGATGCACTGCAGCACAAAGGGTCTGAAGGGTCCAGGCTTCAATTCCTCCAAGGGAACTCAGATTTTTTTTCTTAACCCATGGTCAAAACAATACAGATAAAATCTCTCTTTATAATAATGTTTTTTGAAAACCAATGATATCAATAATAATTGGTGTAGGTTTGCTGTAAGTGGAAACAATTACCCCTTTAACTCCCAGATCAAATTTGTAATTCTCGTCACTGTCAACCATACAATTCCTATAATGTTAGTTCAGAGAATTTAGTATTGGATCAACTAATTATCCCCAAATTGATGTTTTTCTTTATTCTCATCACTTATCTGGTTGATATTGTATTGATATTGTAAGGAGAAATTCTCTCTTGGTCACTCAAGGGAGTTAAAGGGTTTACAGTTAAAGTATAAAATTTTACCGTAGCAACCATATTGTATAAAAGACAAAAATTGCTGCCATACAGGAACTTCTGAGGCCATGTTCACCATGCCCTTCACATGCAGGAGCATGATAACAAAGAATTCCTCAAGACTGGAAAAGTAAATGATCACTCAAAAATTGTAACATGTAAGTCAGTGCTGGGGGGACTATTGGTGCACATATTTTTTGAAAGCAGAATTGGGGAAAATTATAAAACACTTTTTCCACAGAAAATGATGAAAATTTTTTTTCACTCGTCTTAAATTTATAAAAAGCAGTCATGATTACACCTTAGAGCCCTATATGCGTTCCACGATGTACTGCTTATTGATAAGCTACTGCGCATGTCCGTGATTATTCATTGTTTACAGATTTAAACACAATCGTGTTACGATGACGATCACATAATTTAGCACAGATTTTTGCTTAAGCCACGCATCTTGGATAAAATTTCACTTTTAGAATCAAACCAGCTACTTGGTTCGTAAAGATTTCGACATTAAATAACAAAAGCAACGCTACAAACGATCGAAGGCTTGATTGACTTTAAACGCGTTTTTATGGGATAAAAAGACTCACAGCAGTCATTTACGGCCAAGATATTACCATAAAAATAAGCTTAAAAAACCTTACACTCAACATAGTCCTCCAAATACAGCATTTTGCTTCCGTTCTCAAGTAATCTTCTAATACCTCATCTCTACCTTATGAATTTCATCATGGCGTCCATTGCACGGACGCTATAAACATAATATAACGCCTGCTCCTTAGGGAGACTGCTGACCAATATCTGCATCTTCGTGGTCGATGATTATTTCACAACGTACTGAGAGGAGATTATTTTTCTACGTCGATCTGAGGATATTTTGGTAGACATATTGAGAATCTTGGAAAATGAGTGCTATTTTCCGATTATCTACTAGTAGGTTTCTTTGTAAAGCCTGCAGAAGGAATATTCGGCTTCCGATGTCCAGCGTGGTAACAAAGACTTCGCATGGTTCTCGGGCGTTTGCAACAGATTCTGAGGTAAGCGCATCTTTTGCGCTCAGTTGCTGTACCTAAGAGAGCTACACTTAATGTTTTTTGTAAAAAGCATTTCAATTTTATTTTTGGAAATTTCAAGGACATCGCAATGGAAATTCTCACTTTATCAGCATTCAAGCGGCGGAGGGGGGGGGGGGGGGAGAGGGGGGAGGATTTGGAAGGGGACTGTCGGGGGTATGGCAGTTAATACAACTGTCCCATGGCAGTTTACCCATGAAATATTGTCTGGATGTACTCAGAAGTTGCTCTGTGAGGTTCATATTCTACACTTTGCATACTTTTTGTTCTAAAAAAGATTGCTAAGTGAATGGATTTTGTCTTAGACAGGGTCATATTTTAAATATCTAAGTGCAACACCTGCCTACCCCAAGTTCCATTAATACCCCCCCCCCATTCCTTAAGCTAAAGGGGAGGGTGGGGGGGGGGAAAACTGGGAAAGGTTAGAGAGAGGAAAGAAGCATGTGGCAATGCATATTAAGTAGTTGCATACTTCTTTTGTAGACTTTTTTTTGTTTGAAGCAGCACTTATCTTATCCTAACTGCTTTTTTTTTCAGGAGAATTTGAGAAAAACGCCTTTGTACGATTTCCATTTGGAGCTTGGTGGAAAGATGGTCCCTTTCTGTGGTTGGTCAATGCCAGTGCAATATAAAGATGGTGTACTACCTTCACATTTACACACTCGGCAGCATGCCTCTCTGTTTGATGTATCCCACATGTTGCAATTTAAAGTGCATGGAAGTGACAGAATTAAGTTTTTGGAAAGCCTGGTAGTTGCAGATATTGCAGGACTTGCAGATTACACAGGGACTCTTTCTCTGTTTACCACAGAAGATGGTGGGATTATTGATGACTTGATCATAAACAAAACACCTGAACATTTGTATGTAGTGTCCAATGCAGGGTGTGCAGATAAAGTTTAAAGCATTTCAGGGATGGCATCTTCAGGTAAACTATGGTAACTAGTATCTTTACTGAATCAAAATCAAGAATAAAGGAAATGATCACCAACTAAAGAAGCTCTTGGTTGGTAAACAAATTCTCCTTGTCAGCACCTTAGGAAATGTATAGAGAACAGTATGGAGAATGTGCACCAAGAGCAAAATGTTAAAATTTCATTTAGGGGATTATAAGTTGATCCACAGGGATCAAATTCTTACTTAGCTAAAAATTAACTAACATCACAAGAACTAGGGGTAAAATGCCTACCATTGCCTTTAACCCTTAAACTCCTAAGACCTAATTGTTAAGACAGTAAGGAGAATTACTAATAAGATCTTGGGTGTTAAAGGGTTTAAGAGATCCTTTTAGGATTTAACCTTAAACTCATCTGACCAAGACATAATTTCTCTTTACATAATCAATACAATATCAAGAAGACAAGTGATGAGAGTAGAGAAAAATTAAAATTTAGGGGATTATAAGTTGATCCACTACCAAATTCTCCAAACTAACATCACAAGAACTGTATGGCAGACAGTAAGGAGAATTACTAATAAGATCTTGGGAGTCAAAGGGTTAAGGGTTAGGACCTGTGACCACCATCTGTTTAGCTTGTAAGTAAGCTCTTGTGTTTGGGATATGCATTACAGCACACCTGCTTACTACACCATCAGCAACTGCTTATAGAAAAAAAAATACAGAAAAAACAATCCCTGGTTTACCTGAAGGTCTTTATGTCATTCTTTGCCTGAGTGAAGACATATTGAACTTGGACACTTTGTTAATTGTGGAGGCATGGTGGCCTCATGGCTGGTGCACTCAACTCTGGATTGAGTGGTCCAGGTTTGAGCCCTGGCTGGGGTCATTGTGTTGTGTTCTTAGGCAAGACACTTTACTCTCACAGTGCTTCTCTTCACCCAGGTGTACAAATGGGTAACAGCAAATATGCTGGGGGTAACCCTGCAATGGACAAGTATCCCATCCAGGGGGGAGTAGCAATACTCCTAGCCACTTCATGCTAAGGAAACCAGAGTTAAGCACCGGCCCCATGAGCCACTTGGGCCTGTATAAAGGCTTTTTACTTTGTTAATTAGGTGCTTGCTTGATTGATGAATTAATTACTGAAAGACTATAATCCTCTCTCAAGTTACACTACCAGGGCATTGTACACCTTAAGTATGTAGTTACTAATCAGTCTAGCGTACCATTCTTTTGAACAGGATAGACTGAAGGCAGTGAGCAATGATTTGGATGTTGCGCTTGAAATTCTTGAGGACAAAGCACTTGTTGCGTTACAAGGTACTTAGAGACATTTGTATGCAGTTTAAAATGGCAATTTATTTATGTGAACATCGACAAAAACACACCGATACGTTTTACTGAGTGTTCCCTTTCGTCTTGAAAAAGGAAACAAAATATTTCTATGAATAGTAGCGTTTTCGGTTTGCCCTCAGCTATCCACACAGCTGTGTTTTCATTAAAAATCGCAGATCAGTCTCAGTCTCTGAGCAACTACGTACGTTAACCCTTGTTTGTTATCGGTTGACTGTTGTTGGCTTATGGAAGGGGTAGGTGCGCAGTTGGTCAAATACTCACATTGATCCAAAATCACATACATGTTTATGCGTTTTCGTCTATCGTCCATACTAGAATACCCGAAAACGCAGATGGAAGTGACAGTACGTAAAGCATTTTTCGTCATCGTCTCCAAGAGTGTACATTTTCACTTTTCCACACAAGAAACGGAGCGTTTTAAGAGCGATACGTTTTCAAAACACTCCTCTTTTGAAATCTTTTTCTATTAAAAAGATTCCTTTTTTATCAACAGTTGTAAGCGTTTAACAATAAATTATGGGCAAAATATGTAGGAGAAATAAGCGTTTTCCGACGAAATCGCAATAGCGTGGATGGGGTCTCATATTTCAGTTTGAGATGGTCAAAAAAGTGGTTGTCATCAAATTACGAGAGTCAATGTAAATATTCTATATATTAATCAAGTGTGGATGTACATATATTTCAGGACCTCAAGCTGCCAAAGTTCTTCAAAGTGGTGTGCAAAGTGATCTTAGTAACATGTTTTTCATGCACGGTGGCGTAGTGGAAGCGTTTGGGATCAAAGATGTACAAGTTACGCGTTGTGGCTACACGGGAGAGGATGGGTTTGAGGTAACGCGACTCCTGTCCCAATTATAAACCCGTTCCTAACAATCTCGTCTTCCGTTTATCGCCTGCCTGCTCCCTCACTTGTCACCGATGACGGAGTGCCTGAAACAGGTTACTTTTTTGCGTATCTTCGATCTATCCTGCATAAAACGGACAAAGCTATAGTCATCACAAGTAGAATAATACAGTTATTAATTTTGAATGACTTTTTTCGCTATGCGCAGCTGTCAGTGGACAAGGAGAGAGCTGTTGATTTGACGAAAGCATTATTAGAAAGCAGAGAGGCAGATGTTAAGCCAGCAGGCCTGGGGCCGAGGGACAGTCTGAGACTAGAAGCTGGGCTTTGTCTCTATGGAAACGATATTGATGAAAACACCACGCCTGTTGAAGCTGTTCTTGTGTGGACAATTGGTAAGTTGGTTTTATTTGAAAAAGAGTTCTGAGCCCAAGATCTGGCCGGGTAATTGTGTCATTTCTTTATCCTTGTTGCGCATAATTTCATACGCAACTAGCGCGTTCACATCCTAAAGAGTGGCGACTTTTACTCTTTGATTGATCTTCGCCAAATAGGTAAATCCCAATTACCCAATCGGAAAGCGCTCATATATGCTGTTGATAAAGTTGTAGCGACACGGGCTACGTGTACACGCCAAATATAATATCTGACAGCATTAAGATATATTCCTTGATGGTGTGAAAGAGGCTACATGTGAATATCATGCTTTTAAATTTTTCAAGGGAAAAGACGACGTGCCCAAGCAGACTTTCCAGGGGCAGAAATAATCCTCAGACAGATTAAAGAGAAGGCCAAGAGGAAGAGAGTAGGGCTTGTGTCGAAAGGCCCTCCTGCGAGAGGTAAATTTTAGTTAGAAAATTTTGCGTCTCTTCTTTCTGAATGATACGAAATTTTGGATGTAATTTCTAAATACTGGGAAGTACGAAAGAAATATGTCGTTTTGTCTTGTCACGAGCGTGAAATAAAGGAGGAGATCTGAGTCCCCATGAAGAATCGAACCTCAGACTTTCATACTTTCGGATTCTACGCTTTGATGCAATGACCCAGAGTGTAGAGAATTCTTTGGTGACTCGGGTCCTTGCTTCTCTCGCATCCTTCTGGAATCAGCAATGTTGGAAAGCTTAAGTAGAATAACAAAGATGGTAAATTTTTAGCTTTGTCTTGAAGTAAGGAAAAACTGTTATTCGTCTTGTAACGAGCGTAAAAGCCAAACCAGATATTAATTTTTTGTTTCTTTTTTTTTTTTCAGCTGGGGCAAATATTTTAGATGCTGATGGTAACAAAGTAGGTAGGTGACATATGCAAAACTGCTTCTGTTTGAATCCAGTTTATAAACACACGATATTACCATCGTTTCTTTCGCGTAAAAACGTTATATCGATTTTGGTAGTCCGGTTGGGTAAATCTTAACCCTTTACACCCTGACATCAGTATCTATATTCTCCATACACTTCTCTATACTTGTCGTTTGGTATTGACAAGGAGAATTCATGTAATAATCAAAGGTTCTTGGGTTAGCGATCATTTTCTTTATTCTCATGATCTTAATGAATGATCCAGCAGCATTACTGAAAGGAGAAATTAGATGCTGGTCACTCTTAAGGGCCAAGGGGTTAAGGAGATTAAAATAGATCGCGTCAAGATCAGGTTTTGAATTTCAGGAAGAAGGAGGAGGAAAGGGATGGAGGGGGGAGGGGAGGGAGGGGAGAGAAACGAGAAAGATGCAAATTGTAAACAATGTCAGTTCCTTTCAGGCCCTTAACTCGCTGTATACTCGATAAAAATCACCGAACCGATCGTCGAGATCTATTCCATTAACCACACTGTATTCTCTATATCTTTCCTCTTTTTAAAGCATCCTTCCGCCATAAAAGTTATAGGTGATGATGTAGTCGAGGAAATCAGATCTCCCTTCATATTTTTGAGCTACCATTATTATTAATATTAAAAAGTGGCACACATGTTAGAATCCTAGGCTTGATCACGTTGTTATAGGTTTTTTTGCTCGCTTTGATGAAATTGTTGTTGTTCCCGTTGTTATTTTTATTTTTATCATCAACCAATCAGAACCAAATTCTTTGTGTTGCACTTGAATATTCCTTTTTTTTAAATTATTACTTTTTAGGTCACGTGACAAGCGGTTGTCCATCACCGTGCCTGAAGCAGAACATTGCAATGGCTTACGTACCAACAGCGTTATCCAAACCAGGAACAGCATTACATTTAGAAGTGTACAAGAAGAGGATTGACGCTCAAGTTGTAAAGATGCCTTTTTTGCCAACAAACTACTACTTTGGGAAATGAATATGAAGATGAATGATTTTAGAATTAAGGCCTGAAACGAAATGAGAACATGAAATATCTAGCGTGACTTTCAAGTAGGAATACTTTTTGAAATTGACTACATTTTAAAATGCTCTGTGAAACCTATCGAAGATAATTTATTTATTGATTATTTTATAGAGGTTTTTTAACGATGTCGTACCTATGGATTGAAGATTAAAGCACAACTCTACCATTCAAATATTCTTATATATCAGATGTAGGACAGTTTTTAAGATATAAATGTTAAATATCATTACGTGTCGTTTTCATAGTTGTGAAAGGCATATAAGGCAGTTGGGAGGCATATAAGTCTATTTTGTAAAGAAAAAGATTATTTTGCTAAAGAAAGGTTTGAATGACAACAAACAAAGATGATGGTTTTTAAAAATGACTTCAGCGGCTCCTTTACCTTGTAGAGTACGCAACGTGCTCGATCTGTTGATCTTCGAAATTCCTCAAAATATTGATACACAAATAAAATGGGGGGGGGAGGGGAAGACTTCTCTCAGTTTCGCGACCTTCCCACCATCTTTTTACCCAGGTAAATTTGGAGCACAGGTGATAAAAGCCTTTTTTAGGAGTGCGCCTTCTCCTTTCGTACCTTTGTTGTTAAGATATTTTTAAATAGTGTCAAGTAATGGGCTCAAGTAATGGATAGTGTAAAATAACAAAAAAAAACAAAGCGAGAGGCAATCACCATCCCCTACACGCCCTATTTTTTACCATTCAATCATCTGTCCGTTTGTCTCTTCGTTTATTTATATTCATAGGTTTGATACAGACGTTATAAGCCACTGCGGTCTTTAATTAAACTGCTTCATTCGTTGTGACGGTCAAGTGAGACGAATGTCACTGAACCGGAAGTTGTGCCCAGAGAATGTTTACTAGACAGCGGTTTTCTGTAAAAATAGATGCTCAGGTCACGAAAGGCGACGTCTAAAATTAGGAAAACAGTTGAAAACTTTTGAACCGGCAGTCACAGGTCGCAATATTATCGGTATTTCTCCACAAGGAGATGGATCAGCTTATTCCAGTTATTAACAAACTTCAAGATGTGTTTAATACTGTGGGATCAGAAGCTATTCAACTTCCTCAGATTGTGGTAGTTGGTGCCCAGGTTTGTACAATTCTAGTAGAGAGATTTGTACGTGAGATCGCAGAATTCAATTTTTGATCACTTGTTCGAGAAAAATCTCTGCAGTTGATAATATTTTCTCAAAATCGTACATATACTTAATGGTTTTTTCTGTTCATTTTCGCTTTTTGATTTAACTCGTGAATAAGTTCCGTTGTTAAATTGTATGCCGAGATTGCGAAACCTGGCGGCAAATCGAAAGCAAAGATGTTTTTATTTCATCAATATGATTGATATTACGTGAAGATAATTTTAGTGAAGGTATTCTTTTTTTGTCGCTACAAAAAATTTCACGAGTTTAGACACATGTCCATTTAATTTTGGAACAAGTTTGATATGTGATACAAGTGTCAGAAAATTGTATCAGTAACTTGTTCAAAACAATTCCTTCATAGAGACAGTCTTGTACGTATTTGACTGTTTATTTGTATCAACTGTAAACGGCATTGTATGCAGAGCTTATATTCGCCCAATCTTGTCTTCTAAGCCCAGGCAAGCAAGCAAGCATGTAGTGAACCAAAATTCATCGTGATTACTGCATGTTCTGAATAACATAGTAAGCTTAAAAATCAATACTGTGCAAGAATTGTTGCAATTAAGACGTCAATATCTAAAAAAGATACACTTTTAAATAACTTTTTTAGGGTGGGAGTATCTTACTGAATCAGCACAATAACAAAAGGAGTCACTAAGGACAACCTCCACTACATGTGTTAAGTGCTGCTTTAAAAAAAAGTTGTATTTTAATACTTTGTGTGTGGAACACTTTTAAGAGTGTATCTTTGATGTTACAGAAAGTTTTAATTAAATAACACTGTGTGTTTACCATTATGATCCTTAAATTACAGAGCAGTGGCAAAAGTTCTGTCCTTGAAAACCTGGTAGGAAGAGATTTCTTACCAAGAGGTAAATTAATGTAATATAATTTTGTTAATTAGTTTGTAAATGAAAGTTGTTTTCATGAGCATGGTAATATAAACAATAAAGACAAACTGAAATATCAATGTAGTTTGGCAGTACAAATTTGTTTGCTAGGGTAACTCTTTAACTCCCAGAAGTGATTAACATGGAACTTCTCCTTATAATATCCACATATTACCCCACAAACTGGTATTGAGAAAACTCAAATATATCAGTTAGAAGTTGTTATCTCGATCTAACACTAAATTCTCATAACTAATTTACAAAGAAATGCATAGCAGCTAGAGGGGAGAATTACCAATCAGATCTTGGGAGTTGAAGGGTTAATTAACTCAGCACCAACCGATGAGCATGGGAACTTGACTGAAACACAGTGGGACCTAATACTGTTTTGGGCTATTGCCATGACACCCTTTTGAAAAGCAACCACTAGCGTTGGCAACAATGTATTCTTGAGTAAACCAACAAAAATACTCCAATATTTAATGAGAGAGAAGGGAACCATGGAAGCAGAATGCTGAAACAATGACTGCATGTTAGAGTTAAGCAAAAAAAAAGGGTTTGACTTTGATAAGAGTTGTACAAATTTATTTACTACCATAAAAATCCATGAGACTATCCCTCATTGGAGGGGGGAGGGGATTGCTGGCTAGCATTGTCTTAAGCTTCACCTCATTGCACATTTATCCATTTAACCTGTTCTCTGACCATAATTTTTTGTATTCATACCATTTAAGGATCTGGTGTCGTCACTCGTAGACCATTGATTCTTCAGTTAGTTCACACTCCACCAAAGAATAAGACCACAGCTTCCAAGAAGTCAGCCAAAGAAGAGAAGCCAAAAGTTGGTGAAGATGATGATGAGGACGGGGAAGCATGTAAGTATGGTTATTAATTACTAACAAAATCTCCTTGAAACATTTTGCTTGACAAGTTTTCTGTCAGCGTTGATGGAAACATGTAGCATTTTTTTCTTCATTATCAATTTTCCTTGTCCTAAAAGAAGACTTGTCAATTCAGTAATGTTAAGATCACCAGACAAGAATACTTATCAAGGACACTTTCAAGGGTTCAAGGGAAATGCTAGTCCAGTATGTTTTTCTTGACCTCTCAATTTGTGGGGAAAAGTAAAAGAGAGAGGAAGGCAGAGGAAAGCAAGGTGGGACCTCTCAGACCTCCTCTAACTTTGCCTGCTCTCTTTTTCACTCATCTCCTCTGACCAAGAACTTGGTATAAGTTAAGTTCCCCTTGGCAATTGTCTCTTTGCTGAGGTATTATTATCCATTTTTCTGAGGAAAAACACCAATGCACTCCAAAAAATAAAAGTGTTAGTAAAAACTCTTTTTTATGTTGATTTTCTATCAAATCTTTTTCCTAAGTTAAATAATGTTCTTTCAATTTGATACATGACAGATTTTTCAGATGATGAAGGTGAAGAAACAGAAAAGGACAATGAAGATCCAGAGGAATGGGGAAAGTTCCTTCACCTGAAAGAAAGAGTAGGTTTGATATTCTGTTTGGACTGAAAAGTTTAAGAATAATGTCAGTGCAGTTACCAGACATGAAGGGCAAGTTATGTACACAAGGTCTGACCCAAACCACGGTTTCATGCTTCTTTCATGTCAAAGGTGTAAATTTACTTAAAATTGCCTATTGTTTCATCTCTTTAGGTAATAAGTGACTTCAGTGAAATTTGTGATGAAATAGAAAGGGAAACTGAAAGAGTGACTGGAAATAACAAGGTTTGAATGTTGTTTTGCATCCTGTTGTAGCTTCTACATACATATGTTGTGCAGATCATAATTTTCATCACTTTACAACAATTAAAGAGAGCAAAAATCAAAATTTTCTGAGCTACAAAGTCTACCTAACCCTCTGGAGCCTCTAATACTTCTAATCAGTAGTAACTATTCTCTGATGGTTACGAATGGCAACATACTGCATTTGCACTGTCATCCATGTGGAACTAAGATTTTTTTCCTTGGCCCATACTAGTTACCAAATGAGTGACCTCTATCTTTCTTTGACAACTAAGGTCAAGCTTTACCATTTTAGTCAAATTTGTTTAAGGGAAATCAGCTTCAAAGTGGATTTAATGATTTTGATGGATTTTAGTCAAATTCCTCAAAGTGCAATCAGCTTGGCGGATTTGATGACTTTTACCATTTTCATAAATGCATGCATTTCTGGACATATCTCTATTCACTGTACACATACTTAATCACCCTTGTGAGACCTTAGTAGGAATAGAATTACTTCTGCAATCAAAATCTCACTTGGGTGAATATCTTTAGAAGTCTTTAGAGATATTCGTAAACTATAATTCCCATTTGTAATAGTTCTCAAACATTTGTCTGTTGTATTATTTATTGTGATAAAATATGTAATGTTATGCCTTGTGAGAACAATGAGATTTGGTTCATTTTATAGGGAATTTCAAGTGAGCCAATCAGACTGAAGATTTATTCACCAAAAGTTCTAAATTTAACTTTGGTAGATCTTCCTGGAGTGACAAAAGTTAGTGCTTATTAGATTTTAGGGTCAAATATATCTATGAAGTTGTTTCCATGCTACTACTTTTTCCAAGGTCTCTAATAATAAACAAAATTTATCAATTACAATTACGAGAGATGAACAATTCTAACTATTGTAAACTCAGTGCAAAAAGCCAAAGGTAACAGTGATTAACCCTTCAGCATAAGCCTTTATTTTTTCCAATTCACTCTGACAAAGGGCTAACACTTAAAACATCAGCTTTGAAACTCTCTACAGAGGTCAATTTATGTTATCTACTCAGGTGATAACACTAAATTACCCATTATACTCTCCCACTGATGCAGCACTACAGTTTCTTTAGATATTTACCCCCTTTATTTCTTTATTTTTTTGCCTGCTGGAAAGTATTAGTCCTTGAACTACATAAGCTTGCAAGGCAGGGTCTGGAAGGGGTCTAACATGATTAGTACCAGATCCTGGACAAATCTCTTCTCAATTCCTTGAATCTTCCAGACGGCAAAGGAATGCTAATGGTGAGGGTCTGCTCACATGCTATTCAAGTCCTTGTTAGGACAGTGTGTCCCATGGGCGAGACACTTTACACTCACAGTGCCTCTCTGCACCCAGGAATGTAAATGGCTACTGTCTAACTGTCAGAGAAATCTGACATCTTGGGTGAGGTGAAAGGGGGAGTAGGTGGATAGGTAAACCTGCCATGTAGTAGCATTCCATCCAGGTGGGGGTACCAGAACCCTATGTCACTTCATGCTGCTTATTGCAAGATAAGGTGCAACTCAAAAGCTGACTTAATTATGCTTCATTTATGGAAATAGAGGTGACTTCACTTTCAATATTTTTCCTACAGGTGCCTGTTGGGGATCAGCCCCTAGATATTGAGCACCAAATTCGTAATCTTATCCTGCAATACATCAGTAATCCAAACAGCATTATTCTTGCTGTCACACCTGCGAACATTGACCTTGCTACATCAGAAGCCATTAAGATTGCCCGAGAGGTTGACCCAGATGGTAAGATCGCTGACCAATTATATTGGCCATTTTACAATACATTGGCTGATTGACATCATGAGTCTTGTTATGTTGCATTTTACTACTAATGAAAGTTTGTTTTAATTGGTGGATGTTTAGTGTGTGCATTGGTGTACAATTTCATTGACTCTGATGTTTTGTCTTGAGTTTTGTTTCTGCTGTTCCTATTTTTGGTTCTTATGGTTTTTTGGTTTTTATTGTTTGCCTTAAGACCCAAAGTGTAGAACGTTGGGGGTGGGGAAGAGGCTGGAACTCCATCTCATTTTTCCTCTCAACAACCCCATCTGTGTCCATCCCATGCTGTTGTTTTATATGTATAGGTTAAAATGCATATTTAAAATGAAAATATCAACTGAATAGTTAAATTTTCACCTTATTTCTGTCAAGGAAACAGGACACTTGCGGTTTGTACCAAGCTGGACCTTATGGATCATGGAACTGATGCTTTAGATATTTTGTTTGGAAGAGGTAAAGGAAAAGATAGCATTTATCATCAGATATTAAAATTTGTCATCCAAGTCCCTTTTTTCGTCAAGTTTAAAAGTTTTTAGATTTTATTAATTTAATATTAATTATAATTAATAATAAATATTAATAATATATTAATTACTTTTCCCTTTTCTCTCTTTCTTTCTCTTTTTTTTCCAGTTATTCCAGTCAAGCTCGGGATAATTGGTATCATGAATCGAAGTCAGTTAGATATAAACAACAAAAAGGTATTAGAGGGGCTTATAATGATTTTCTTCCTTGTGTAATAGTTGGCTGGCTGGGTGGGGTATCCACCTGACACAGGTTTCGCTGTATTAAGGAAATTACTCGTGGTGAGCACGTACAGATCAAACCAAGAAAACTCAATAGTTTTGAAAGGGGATACAAATATTACGAAGCTGGATTAACACACCGCTATTTGTAGGTACCTTAAGCAGTCGCGACGGCAACGCCAAGGAAAACGTCAATTAAAAAATGAATTTATATTTTTGTAGTTAGAATTTCGCGAATGGCTGAATGTGTTTACCGTCTCTTATGGCGCCACATCTCAACTTCAGCATAATATATGTGAGCAGCGTTGATTGCTTAGTGGAAACTAAATAACTTGCCGTCGGGAATTCCGTCCTCAGACCACGCTAAGAAACGTGCAAAGCTTTAAAACGTACGTGCTAAGCGATTCAGTTTTCCGGCGTCCTTCCCTTGTCGTGGTTTGCTTGAGGTTCCAAATAACTACAATTGAAGCGTCCTGGCATGAGTAGTTTTTTCCCTTTTTTCACTTCGCATGACTTGAATTTAAGGTTACTATATTTTTAATTTTTGTTTCAGGTTGTTTGATTTTCAATTTGTGTTATTTCTCTCCGCAGACTATCAATGCTGCCCTCAAAGATGAAGCGTCATTCTTTCAAAAGAACTATCCAGCTTTAGCATCCAGAAATGGGACCCCATTCCTCGCGCGGACACTTAATAAGGTATCAAGAGGGCGCGAGATCGAAAACAAAATTACTTGTTTTTGATTATTTTGTCAGAGATTCAAGGCTCTCCAAAACGAGTGTATTCATGAACAAAACCTGAAATTATATTTCCATTGTAGCTTCTGATGCACCATATTAGGAATTGTCTTCCCGACCTGAAGTCACGTGTCAATGCAATGACATCACAATACCAGCATTTACTACAGAGTTACGGAGAACCGGTGGAAGACAAGGTATATCAAATAACCGTAAATTTATGAAAATGATATATATGAGCTACGGTTTAAGAAGTGAATTTGGAAGCGATCTTCGCAGTAATGAACACTTCTTAAGCAGTAGTAAAAATAAGGCCTGAAAAAAATATTCAGAGCCTAGTTGTTCAGAGGGCGAATAACGCAACCGTTAACAAAACGTACTGCGCTATCCATCTGATAACGATTTATCCAGTGGATAGCGTTATCCACCGTTTGAACAACCGGGGCCAGGCCTGCACGGGCCTGCTTTTTTATTATCATTATTTCAGGCCTTATTTTCACTACTACTTAAGTAGTGTTCATTACTGCGAAGATTGCCTCCAAATTCACAAGGTTCATCGTATCGTAATAATGTTTGATGAAATAAAGTTCATTTGATCTGTGGATGAAAATCAAGTAAAGAAATGATCCTGGCTGGTAAGCTGCAATTTAAGCACCTGTAGGAAAGAGGACCGAAAACTATTGCGGCTTTGATGAAATGCGAACCCTCGCCTCCCAGATACTGGAGAGCTTTAGATTTGATACGGGCACGACTTCGACTACGAGTTTTTACCGGGAGTAGAGTGGCACTAGTCTTTTGTAGTCGTCAAATGAATAAGGGGAGTAAGTTTCTAAAGAAACTGTGGTGCTGCGTCGGTGGGAGAGTATAGCAGGTAATTAAGTGTTAACAACTGAGTTGAAAACGTAAATTAGCCACCGTAAAGGGTAAAAAAGCTGATGTTTCGAGCGTTAGCCCTTCGTCCAATCGTTCTGACGAAAGGCTAACGCTCGAAACGTCAGCTTTTTTACCCTTTACGGTGGCTAATTTACATTTTCAACTCAGTTGTTAACACTAAATTACCTCTCGTAGTCGTTGTCTGCCGTGACGAATTTGTAACTTGCTACACACAAGAGCGTAGCTTTTTCAGAATCAAGAGAACACTTCACAGATAGATGTCAGGTCTTACTGAAAATACCTTCTTTACAATTCGCTGCCTTTTCTTTTTTGTATTCCTGAAAAAGTCTTATCTGGAAAGAGAAGAATTTTGACTCACCTTTCAACTCGTAGTGCGATTACGAGATTTCCTGAAAGACTCGTAACTAATGACGGGAGTTTGCGTGACCTGTCACGTAGTACAGCATGCGCACTACTCCTAGCGAGGAAATCTCGCAGTCGTACTTGTACTCGTAGTCAGATCAAAAGCTCGCTGTTAGTTGGCCGATAATACCGACTGAGCTACGAACCCAGACGTTGGGAGCGAGCCACATGTGCCCCGCAGAACAGATGAAACGTAAGGCTCTTCCAGACCAATTTCCGTTGATCACTCTGGCAAAGAAGTCAGGCAACGACTAATTAATTGTTACTCTTGCCTTTGTGTTAATAGGGCCCAGTACTTCTTCAGCTCATCACAAGATTTGCCTCAGCATACTGCGCCATCATCGAGGGAACTGCTCGTGATATTGAAACAACAGAGCTGTAAGTGACATGCACAGATAAATAAATGATAAATAAAAAGGAAAAGAAATGTAGATAATCATGAAGTAAAAGTGAATAATTAGTTAAATAAGTGAAGGCTAAAACTATCTAACTTTCTTTTGATTTTACTTACCAAAACAGTTGTGGAGGAGCGAGGATATGTTACATTTTTCACGACACCTTTGGCCAAAGACTTCAAAAGATGGATGCCCTGGAAGGACTTTCCACAAAAGATATACTGACGGCCATTAGAAACGCAACGGTAAGAAATAAGATCGCAGTTTGATGAGATCACTTAGACATGAGTTTCCCTCAAATCTTAATTTTTTTTCCCGCTCACAGGGTCCTCGGCCCGCCTTGTTTGTCCCGGAGATTTCATTTGAGCTTTTGGTCAAGAGACAGATACGTCGATTAGAAGAGCCCAGTCTCCGATGTGTGGAGCTCGTCCATGAGGAGATGCAAAGGATTGTGCAGCACGCCTTCAGTCAGGTATTGTGAAAAATGTTGGCAGATGCACAATTTCTTGCTTTGGCCGCTTGGGAAACGTGACCGATTTTTGAGGAGGGGGGGGGGTTCCAGCACGTCAGTGAGGAGATGCAACACTCTTATTTTCCACCAGGCTTGTTAGAAATTACTAGCAGACACGTTTACCTTGCGACGAACTCCGTGGTGTGTAGCTACAAGAATAAAGGAAATGATCACCAACTAAAGAAGCTATTAATTGTCAAACAAATTCTCCTTGTCAACCCCCAAAGGAAATGTATAGAGAACCGTATGGAGAATATTCACACTGAGGTTAGGGTACAAAGGATTATCGTCAATGTAATTTGTCGTTTTAAGTCTTGTGATCCCATTTTTCTGTAGGTAATAGAAGTGAAGAGATTTCCACAGCTTCATGATAGAATAGTCGAAGTGGTGACTAATCTTCTCCTTCGACGACTTCCCTCAACGAACGAAATGGTAACCGGATTTTTTTTTTCATCATACGAATACAACCACACAGATTCCATGACTTTTAAAATGTCATTCTATAAAAGGATAAATAATCTCAAGAAATTAAGTTCTGTATCTTCCTTGTATTGTAGGTAGAAAACTTGGTGGCAATCGAGTTGTCCTACATCAACACAAATCACCCGGACTTCACAGACAGTGCCTCGATTGCGATGAATCACGAAATGGTACGGTTAGAGATATAGTTATAAATGCTCAGTGATCCACCTGTCTAAATTATCATGATTCACTAAAGAAGAACCGTGAGTTGGTTCTTCAATTTTCAATTTAGTGACTTAGACTTATCAATCTGATTTCTGTCTGGTCCACCATTTGATTAAGAGGACATCTCAAACACTCGAGACAATATTAGATCACTTCTCCCGACAAAACTCTTCAAAAATGCACTTTAGGGTGTCGCATTTTCAACCCCTCTAGGTACGGAAATGTGACCCGCGACTATCTCGCCCTGCTGTCACGCGTGTTACTGCATGTGCAGTTTTCGTGCGTCTTTCCACTCGCGACAGACCAAGTGTTGGATTTTAACGTTCATTATATTTCCGTACAAATAAAGAAAAAGTTTGTCACCTTTTTTTTTTCTTCCAGGAGCGCAAACCGCGCCCGAACCATCTTGTGAATGGACCCGTAGAGGTAAGGTGTAAATGAGTGTTTTGTTTGATATTTCGTTCTTTCCGCTTTTCCCCCACAAAATTGTGTTTATTTCCAATCTTTTTAACTAAACCTCCATTTTTATTTTTAGAGTGTCAGATCACAGACTTCCACTCCTGAATCAAGTCCGCACCACAGACCCGATGTCAGTGTTAACGCGTCACCCGCTACCAGTCTTCCCGCAGATAAAGTCCCTGCTTCCTCGTCCTCAGTTGGAGGCTTGGTGTCATGGATTCCCGGCATGCGTGGCAATAGTGCTCAGCCTGCCGTGGACCAAACAAGTGCGGTGACTGGAGCGACACAGTCATCAGCCACGGAAGAACTGGTGCGTAACAACTGTTACATATGAAAATAAAGTTACTGATTTGACAGCCGATCCATAAAGGTACAAGAAGTTTATCACAAAACTTTTAAAGACACTGATATCATTTGTTATCATTTTTGTGTCAGGCCTTACCATCGTCTTCCAAACCAAGAGGATTAACAGATCGAGAGCAAATAGAGGCCGACATCATCCGTGAGTTAACCTTCACACAAGCTGACACTTTATAATTAAGATTTTCCTAGATTATAAATATACTGCACCCCGGCTCACTTAAACAACCAATACAAGAGCAAAGATAAAAAAGTATAATGATTTAAAAAAAGAATTGCACGTCTGTCGACCTATTGAAATTGGCGTCATAGTGTGTCCGGGTTAAGATGTTTAAAACTGTTAATTATTGCTATGAACTGTAAATGGTCCACATTCCAGAAGATAAGCTGCGACTGAGGAAGACTGGGTCTAGTTTACGAGGTCGAAAATTCACGGGCTCACTCCCTTGAGGGGAAATTGCAAAGCGACTAACTCTTTTATTTTGACTGCTGTTTTGGCGTAGTCACATCGCACAACTACGAAAGTTTACGGTTAGAAACTTATTTGAAGAAAGGATAAGCCAAATGAAACAAATCAAACTAAGTTAGAAGACTTTTTTTTGCCTTTGGTATTGATTTTACGCAGGGAAGTGAACCAATGTACTGGTTTTTCAGGCTCGCACACTGACATGTTGAACACGGCCCATCTTATAATTTTCTTTTACTATTTTCTAGGGAAATTAATTAAGTCGTACTTCATGATTGTTAGGAAATCAATTCAAGATAGGTGAGTTCATATGAATCATTATACTGACTACAGTATTCTTTGGAGGTGTTTTTGTTCCCCGCTTAACCCTACTGGGTACTAGTGTGCTTAGAGATAATGAAAAGAACAAGGAAGACTGATTTTTGCAACATCTTCTGACATGGTGGCCAGATGTGAGAATGTTGGTCTCTGCTTTTGAACTCTGGTCGAAATCCTTGTGATCATGGATAAGATAACAGTTTCTCCGTGCTCCACGTAGAAGTACCTATAATTCTGGCCTGACGGGTAACGAGGTGTAGTCACAAGTCTCGTGGTTCGGGCTCGAGATCTGGATTTTCAAATGTATAATCTATTATTATTATTAATACTTTTCCGTCTCCACTATTTTAAATCTCGTTTTCTTAATTTTATTTTGTAGTGTACCTAAAGCTATAATGTGCTTCTTGGTAAACTTTGTCAAAGAGAGAATTCAGAGTGAGCTGGTAGAGAAACTTTACAAGGTGAATGATTTTAGAGCATGAATAGTTTCTAAAGCTTTACCGCAATTTCCCCACACCTGTACCGTACTTTCCCCGCACTTTCGTTCCACTTTTATCGCAGTTGTAATGCATCATGATCGCACTTTACTGCAATTTTATTGCAGGTTAACCGCACTTTTGTCGCACTTATACAACACTATTCCCGCATTTTCGTCGCAATTAACCGCAGTTTACTGCATTTTTTCGCAGTTTCATCACACCTTTATCGCACTTCATCCGTATTTTTACCGCACTCCCTGCACGTTTATCACACTTTCTTCGCGCTTAAGTGCACTTTTATCGCACCATCAATTTGGCACATGTGTTTGTTTTGTAAGAGCTTTTTGATGAAAACGTGATTGCTCAAGGAAAATCGTCTCTTAACGATATTTTCCTCTTTCTGTTTGACTGTTGGGATTACTTTGTTTTTGCTTTGACCACACTCAATCAAAAATCGTTGTAGCAATAGTGTGCAGTTCTAATCGCAAGGGTGGTGAAACGTCAGTACAAGGCGAGTCTCGTTCGACCTCGCGTTTATGTAATGTAGTGACGTTTGGCGTGATATATCACAAGAAGAATTTCAGTATGATTTCATCATGTTTTTCAGAATGAAATGTTCAATATTCTTCTTGAGGAAGCAGAGCGGATGCATATCAAGAGGAAAGAGGCGGCGGAAATGCTCAAGGTAAGAAACAAACATACAAATTTGAAAGCAAACGGGCATGACACACTCCTCAATAGGTCGCTGCTCACCCAAACAGTGGTGCGTGCGTTTGGTTTTATTTTGGAACAGTTCAGTTTTTGCCATTCCATTTTGAAAATTGTACGGCGTACGCGTATTTTGGCAACTCTCCTTCTCGAGATGGTTCTTACAAGATTAAATGTTCTTTTTCCTTGCAGGCGCTCCAGAGGGCAGGACACATTATTAGTGAAGTGAGAGATACACATATTTGGTAATCAAGACCACAAGGGAAGAGAAAACCAAGAGAATGCAAAGAAGGGATCAGTTGACCACGATATGATATTAACAATGTATTTAAATACAACTGAGTTAGAAGTGTTTTTCAGGATTCTCTTTATTGTCTGAGCTTTCCCTTGATTTTAAGTAAGGTTTTTGCAACGAGATACCCTTGCAGTATAAGTTGCTGTCATACGGAACCTACCAGCTTTCTGTAACGTTCAAAATATCAAGTAACGAAGATTGCGCGAATGCTTTCTAGGTCTCTATAGTTACCGTCATGGACTACACGTTTGTCAGAAAATTGTTATTATTTTTTTAAGTTTAGTTTGCAGCTATTGCTCTGATGCTTGTAATATAATGGTGAGAATGGAATGATACTGTACTCGAACTAAGAGTAGTATTGGTGATTTGTTCTCGTAAATCATCGCGTCACTCGCCTTGAATGACTATATATCGTAAATTCTGGAATTATTGCCTCGCTTCCAATACACGCCCTTCCTGTTCACCGCCACTTAAAATAGGTGCTCTCTCCCTTCCCGCTGTGTTTTATACGAGAGTGACACGAAGCGAAATAGGTTTGATATACGGATGGTGAGTGACGTACAAGTCCTCACATGTAAACTGTAACCCAGGCTTCAACAGATCTTTAATCTGTGCCCCCTAACTCTCCACAGTCCTGCACCTTGTGCTTCTCCTTTCTTCGCGTGGATAGCTCTTGCGCACGCCCAGTAATGATGCATGAGCTGTCATTGTGACGCATCAATTAGAAATTATTTTCTCTCTAAGAGAGAGCGCTGTTTCTTACCACCCTTCGAGACAGCTCAGAGTCATGAATAAGAACAAAGTTTTCATCGTTTTCCTTCTACAATATTTACTGTTACTCGAAACGGCATCTTGTAAAGGTAAGAAAACAAACTAAGCATTGTTTGTAAATAGAACAGGAGGGCTCGGTAAAGAAATAGAGAAGGATGTCTTTCGTCTTGTCACAAGCGTGGGACAAAGAAAAATTCTGAGTCCTATTAGGAATCGAACCTCAGACCTTCGGATTCCGCGCGCCGTACCAATGCTTTACCACTGAGCTACAAGTACTCTATGGTGGGGGAGGTCTCCTATAGCATCAAAATAGAGTAAGAGATGATACGTTTTGAACTCGATAAAGAAATGGAGAAAGATGTTTTTCGTCTTGTCACGAGCGTCAACGATTTGTACGTGTACAACTCAAATCTTTAAACAGCATCGTCCTTAAATTTGCGATATTGACTAGGTGCAAGGTAGATATGGCTGGATGTTTGCTACTATTTATGGATTGAAACGAAATCCAGGTCCATGAAAACGTATATATGAACGAGACCAACAGCCAGCCATCCTGACGGAATAAGCTCGATAAATAAAAGAATTATCACAATGTATCAAAGGATTGCCAAATTAATTTACTCAACTCTTCGTTGTTTCCTCCGCTTTGAGACGTGTTCAGGACTGTTGTTGCCAAATTATCCGGAAAAAGATCTCGTATAATAAGATTAAGATAAGATTGATCAGATAAAGGTTATTAAGAAAGTTAGCCGGTTCTACAATCGCCTTAGACTTGTGTAATTAATGAAAACCCTTTACGATCATTGTCCATAAGTAACAAATAGCACTAATGTCAATCATATGATTTCCTGAACTTATTCTTTGCATTCACTCACATTCACTAATGATGGTACTACGCTATTGTTCTTGGATAAGATACAGATCAAGTGTCCTTTTCTACGCATGCGTTCTCCTCGGAGGTTATATCACCGGACATGTCAATGCCTGATAAACGACATGCTGACAGTAACAACAAAAGCGAACCATTACCACACGATAACAATAGAGTTCAAGAAAGCGGAGCTTCGCATTTACGTAAAAAAACGTCAGCGATGACTCACAATAAGATAGTCGTTCGCCGTAGAATGAAGGCAGCGAAAGGGCCGCATTGGAAAATCCTCCAAGATCCTCCAAGATTACACGCGGGTGAAAAAGGAAAGCATGTCAAAACGAAAAGTGAGAAATCTCATTCGAAAACCGGAGATGAAACAGAAGCAAGTTCTGCTGCAGTAGTTGGCGGTGTCTTAGCAGGAGTGTTAGCCATTCCTTTCATAGTTACTGTTATTGCCCTTATATGGTAAGTTTAAATGAGTTAGGTACATTAAATGAGTTAGGAGATAAAGTATTCCTTTATCAGCAAGTCCAAAAAAAAACCCTAGGCAATTTTTTCACATTTGAGAGAAAATAATGTCAGCGCCCACTCTATATAAGGTTTAAACTGTGTAGAGATGCTTCAAATGAAAATGGCTCCATGGTACTAAACAGAAATTACGTAATTTTTTTGTAAGTAAATGGAATCTCCTTTAAAAAAAGGAGAACGTATACGTGGCAGCTGGAGAGATCTTATTGTTCTTATATCGGGTCGGAGTGAAGATATCGCGGTGGGCTTGGGATTGAATTGGGATTGGATACAATGATGACTAGGTATCTTCAGCAAGATTCCCGCTCTACCGAAATATTATTTTTACTGAAGCTAAGAATAAAGAAGAAATAAATCCAATGTATTAGAGGAGAAAATGTAGAAATATACGGAACAAAATCAAGATACATTTATAAATTTACTAAGTACAATCATGAAAACTTTGTGTGCTCGATTCTTATCAACCCAGACACTAAATATTAACCTTCTCGATACTTATTATTTTTTTCGTGTTCTCGTCCTACCCAGGAATAAATGTCAGAAAAGAAGTAATCTTGTCAGGCCTGCTGATTCTGAAGCGCAACTAGCTGAAGTAACAAGAACTACTAGTCTGGATGGAGATCTTAGTGACGGTGAAATCAATTACAAAACGAAGTTAGTGATGGTGAAGCCTTACCAAGATTCTGAACCTAAAACAAATCCCTTCCAGAATGACCAACCCTCTGATCCTACCACGCCTAACAAATCCACAGACTACCCAGTTACTGGATTTTCACACCTTTTCAACAACTCTGCAGATTGGACTTTCCCGATCACGAATGAGCCATGCAGCTCGACTTCCTCGAATGCGTCGCTGAACTGTCTTTCTGCAAGCCGAGCAGAATCAGAGAAGGGAACTTTGTTTCTCTTCGAGGAACATAATGGGACACGGGCAACTTGTCAAGAAACAAGACCAAATGTGATGACAGACAAGGCAAGTTCTCTGACGATTCAATGCCAATCAAAAGATTCGGGAACATCTCAGGCATCTCTAAAGGAATTTCTAAACGAATCTAAAATCCTGTTGGACGAGAGAGATGTGAGGTTTCCAAAAGAATCTTATAATATGCCGATGATTCCATGGAACAAAGTTGTGGTAAATGTGCTAGAAAACAAAAACATTAAGTCCTCGTTCTTCTTCTCGCCAAACGTGCAATTACTAAGTTATCAAAAACATTCTGAAGAGGCGGGTTTTAATTCTGTGAACGTAACTGAGGCTGAATCATCTAAAGAATATAGCGACTTGCCAGTTGTACCGAGAGAGGAGGTCGTGATAAACATAGAAGATGGATATTGCATGATATCTTCATCGACTTCACATCAAAACGGCAGCGTGTACCATCATGGCTATGGTAAAGGGCCTGGGAAACTTCACATGACTGATCTCAAGGATACAGCTTCTGTCAAAAGTTCGGGAGAATTTCCGTGTAAGACGCTACAATCACCTTGTAAAGAGGTTAAAATAGGCCTAGGATGTCCTGCTGAATCACATGTGAAATCACAACAATCTATTCCTGTCAACTGGTGTCCTGAAAAACACCTCTACATAAACGAAAGCGCGATGATCTCCTTGACAGCAGAAGACGAAGTAACAACAGCGGATCAGGGCGACCAGAATGCTTTATTAGCGTCAGAATCGATTTCGCAGAAAGATGCTCATGAGAAATCAAAATTAGAATCAGATTTACATCTTATGAGAGACCTTTCACATCGTAAGAGAGATCTTCACCAGTCGTTTATTGTGAGCAACAAAAGAGATGATCACCTCTGGAAAACTGCTTTTCAAGCAATGAAAAGAAGCAAGGAACGATACCTGACCATTAAGACAACGATGGAAGAGGCGAGAAAATGTGATTCAAGAAGGAAGGTTCAATATACATCCACTGATATCAAAACTGACGAAAAACAACCGCCTTTAGAGGAAGAAGTAAGTACCATGTATATCTTAGCTGTATCACCTCAACAGTTATTTAACATTTTCAATCTCAGAGGGGTTTAACATAGAGCGTATTATTCTTACAGGTATCTATCACAGATAAGAAGCTGACGGGCCCCTCCATATCTATTCCTAAAGCAAATTCTCCAGCCGCTCTTAGCTCACGAGCGTGTCCCAAATCTAAGCCCAATAAAATATTGTACACTTCAAAGGCGAAAGATGGTGCAAATGTCACTCCTGAGACACGCCTTCAAACGGAAACTATCTTAGGAGAAACCATTTACAACCAACTCTGCTGATAACAATCTCTCGTCATCTCTCACTGCAAAAGAAAAACCTTGACCAAGTACTTTGCCGACATCACTTAAATCTGGTCAAATTCGTGCCTGAAAAGTCGTTGAAAGGAGGAAAAACAGTACCCTTATCGTTTCCAATTCATAAAAAAAATGGTTGTTTTTCTTAATCTTTTTTTATTCCTGTACAATGTTCTTGTTAGGTTCCGCGGGTAATATGATGAAATACGACGTGAAGACAAATCTTTTCTTGATAATATGCAATAATATGCTCAGTTACATAACTGAGCTACAAAATAAACATATTATGTAATCAGTGAGTGAAAAACTTGATTATGCGAAGAGCAAAATACTCCACAATCAACCCACCCCCACGATGTGCGACGATAATTTTCATGTTTTAGCGATACATTTTTGCGAACTCTTAAGGATACATCATATGCGAAACATAAACATAACTTTGGTGTATAAATGAAACACATAAAATCAAGAGCATTTAAGAAATGTTTTTTGTAAATTGTCTTCCGCCAAAATACAAAGCGTGGAACTTTGCTACACATCCATTGCTATTCGATTCTGTATCAATGTAGTTCTTATTTGTCCCGACTTTGATTTATATCCATTGTGCCAAACCAGTCAAAAAAGTGCTAAAAGATTTAACTTATTAATAATACATGAGAAGTGAGTTACTCTTATTCGAAGTTTTACCGTCTAAGCTGGACAAAGGGCCATTTCACAGTTGTGTACTTAGTTGCCAAGCTTTTGATTTTGAATGAGGCTGAAGGTGACCTTGTTGTGATACAGACCAGTATCTAGTTAGCATGATAACAAAGTAATTTGCATGTGAAAAGCAGCAAGGTTTGAATCATAAAAGGTCAATCTTAGCATCACTCCTGTTCAAAGGCTTGGCAACCAAGCACACAACTGCAAAATGGATCATTAGATACGAAACCCATACAAGAGGCTTTGGACTGTTTATTTGCTAGGACAAAGAAGTGGCTCCAGCAGACTTTCTATACGTATTAAACACTTCAATGTATTGGAGTATCGTGTCTGATGGACAAAACAGTTCACTTGTTTTATTGCTGCATTTGGGAGGTGGAGGAAGCACGATTGAAGGATCCATAAAGCTCAACAGAAACTCACTGATCAATCCCCAACATTGTTGAACATCTAAGCAGGGCAGATACTCCACCTGAAAATACACCAAACACCAAATAATAAATACATGAATAATTAATGAACGCCAAAACGAAGAAAAGAATTAAGAACTCTATATTGTTTTACTGCACCTCAACAACGATTCCTTTAAAACTTGGACCCGCAGAAACTTGTCCGAACTTAAGAACAAAGTCTCCCAACTCATAGCGATGTCCTTTCGCCTGAAAAGCATTAAAGAGTGTAAAGATGTAAACTTGGTTATCACCTTTCTCTAAAAGTTATTCATATAATTACTCTGGTGATTATGGAGATGCACACATTCTGATTGGTCAAGTATTGCACCATATCTCTCTATTGTCACCTTGCATTAGGTGATTATAGCAGGGGGCACTAAATTTCAAAATGGCTGCCTTGTATTTCGTCAATGTTATGCAGGAACTGATAAATGTAATAGAAAAAAATTCAATTCTGAGGAGCACAAAAGATGTCACTAAGTTTAGCATAACACTTTTCAATAGAAAAATGTGAAGTTTAAGCTGATTTAAGTTAATAAACCTGTTAAATTCTAGTGGAAACCAGCTGCAAGGAATCAAAACAACTGTAACAGACTGGTTTCAACAACAAAACAAATTCACAACAGAATTCAAAAGCACCTGAGCAATCAAACTAATATTACTCACCTCAGGCTTTGTAAATACTGTTGAATAATCCTTGGACTTTGTCATGGGGATCATTCAACAATGTTCACTTTGCCTTTGGTGAATAATTGTTGAATAACAGTTTTTCCCTATGGGATGATGTCAGTTTACATACAATGAAAAACTCTTGACGACTGTCTAAACTTCTCAAAGGACATTTGCAGGTGAGCAGAGGCAAGCACAAAGTGAGTGTGAGAAGAAAAGGAAACAGAAAAAGCTACAAAACTAGCTGCCCTAAGCCTTAACTGATTTTTACAAAACCAAAATATTCACCTCTATTTTCGATGTTTTTCTTGGTGCATAGAATGTCTTAAGTTTAGACATCAAGGAATCAAAACCAGAATCTGCTACCAGACATGTGCCTGTCTCCAGAACAGCAAATGATGAGTAGGGAAATTCTGTACTATGCACCAGATGAATGAGTTTGCTAGCTGTACCTTTAAGAAGAACAAAAAACTGGATAATATTGTAGATATAGAAGGTCATTGGAGTTCGACTTCATGGCTGACAGAACAATATTGCTTTTTTTATCTTTACAGAGCACAGGTTTGGTATCCTTAACATGATACTTTTTAAGAGAAAAGTTTATTTCAAGCTACATTTAGGATTTCTTTCAACTCTTTGCCCCAAAAGTAAAGCAAAAATGAAGTAGTGGTAAGAACAGCCCCACCCCACCCCCTTGTGGCTTGAGTTTCATTCCTGCAAAGGCACCATATTTAAGTTCAGTTTGTTACCAGTTTGGTCTGCAGTCTGAAGATTTTTCTCCACGTTTCCCAAACTTCTTCTCCAAAGTATTGTTATTAGGAATATTTCTGTCAAGGCATCTCATTCAAGGTGACAACCCTTTCCACTTTAATCAGCCACATGACTACTCAACTTACATGCAGACCTCAACAGATTTGAAGAAATGTGTGTGTTACAGAGGAATATAGCAGTAAGTTCAGAGATTGACAAGATCAAGGACATTTAAGTGCTCTCTGTACTTACTGAATGTCGTTACTGCCTGGTAAGTCTCACAGTTGACACACCAGTTACCAGTCTTCTGAGCACCCATTAACTCGGCACGTTTTTGAAGCTTCTCAACTGCAAGAGCCTGTTGGCCACTTTTTCCTTCTGGAAGTTCCACTGGAATCAAGCTTAAAATTAAATTATACTAATGAGTTGTTAAGAACATGTTCAGAGACAACGATAGGCTTTGGCACCTTTTAATATGGGAAGAGTTAATAATGAGAACATTACTTTTTTTCTTCGTGATTATGGACTACAGTACTTGGTTCGAGCGCACACATCTATAGCATTTTATGTGCAGGGACGAAATACAATCACGATCTTTTGCAATGCTAGCCCCAAAACTTAATCACAGCTTACAGAGGTGGCAAACTTCAAAAATTGCTCAGATTAAGATCAGTTTGGGACTCGAGTCTCTTGCCAAGTTCCAAGTAGTGACGTGGTGAAATTCTGAGTAATTTTTGTGGCGCAACAACGATAGGCTTTGGCACCTTTTAATGTGGGAAGAGTTAATAATGAGAACATTACTTTTTTCTTCGTGATTATGGACTACAGTACTTGGTTCGAGCGCACACATCTACAGCATTTAGCGATCATATGGTACACAAAGTATCTTACTGGAGAGCAAATGCTTGTATTGGACATCCCAAGCAAAGCAGCGTTTATAAATTTTCTTTCCGCCGTTCTCCCAAAAAGAAACACGCTCTTTGACAGTACTACGCTGTTTCGAGCAAAGATCGCCTCAATTTAATGTTCTACTGATTTCATAACTCACCAAGTTACTCCCATTTTAACCGGATCTGTGTTAATGCCTCTCTCTTACTCTAGTTGACGAGATCAACCATTTATGTCCGGGAAAATTAACTACTAACTGTCTAATGGACGGAACATCAGTTGCTCAGATTTGCGGCCATCTTGGAACTTAGTCTCCACGCCGTCCGCTTTCCAAGAAACCTCGTACCCAGGGATACGCTGATAGCGACAAAACGCGAACAGCAGGGGGAGGGAGGGGGGTGATGGAGTAAAAAAGCGTCTTACGGAATTATATGCAGACTTCAAAGATGTAGTCATGTGCACTCACAATTGCTAAAAAGTAAAATGAAATAAAATAAAACGGTAATAAATACTGAAAAAAGAGAGTTATTTCCAAAGAGCGTTCATGAACCATTCTACTGAAATATTGGTATGGAAGTTAAGATTATGAAAACAAAACCGAAAAACAAAACCCTCTAGGGACAATTTACCAGGTACATGTTCACAGTAACATGAATTAAAAAATCAAACTTTATTAGTTAAGATAACATTTCATTTAAAGAGATTCCATCTCTCATTAACAACAGTTCGTGGAACAAACATCTATTTACAAAAAAAATAATATCTTTTAACTGTTTTTAATGAGTAACGAGCATTCTGGCAATGGAATCACAGCCTTTTTCACTTAAGAGTAAAAGCCCTGAAAACAAAACTTCTCAAAGAAATTGATTTACAGTTACAAAATTCTTGCTCTTTTTGTTAATTAAAAGAATATATTAACCTTTTGAGTTTTTCAGCGTTTGTATAGGGGCACATGTGGGTAACGTTTTAAAGTTTCACGAGAAGCACTGTGAACCAAGAGAAATGAAGGTCAAGGAAGGACATTCAGAGATCTCTCCATCTAAGACATGTCCACTAGAGTTAACGTTAGTTCAGACGGAAACAGACGTATGCTTTCCTATACTTCCGAATTCGCGCTGAAAAAATACCCTTCCCTTCTTTTCGAAGTCGATTTGATCATTAAAACGTATCTTACCGCTCGTCATTATGATGCATTCACTTAGAACGGAGGTGTCCGAAAACAGACCCGTTCGAGTCACTTGCTATAAATAACTATGATGAAATTACTATTTTTAAAGCCTGGATTACGGGCTTTCCTCTCTCTTTTCTCATTTTCCATGATTGATTAAAATCACCTCAAGAAAACTTGTCTGTAGCTCTCTTAATCCCAAGCAGATCATCGGGCAACAACCAGATACACGACTGAAGAAGAAATCCCACTCTGCCCACGACTACCTTAAGTTGTTCGCTCGACCAAGTTCGCCTCCCAAACAACACATGACGACCCTCGCCCCTTGTACATGTGACACTTCCATAATATCACACGAAGAATGACTTCACTTGCAAACAGTTTGCTCGAATGAATTACTGAAGGAAAAATGTTATCATTGTATTTTCCACCTTTTTGTTTGACCTAACAAGAATTCGCCACTACCCGGCGCGGGAACTGGTGCATTGTACTCCAACAGGGCACTTAAACTAAGCGGTTCCCACAATCTACCCTGGCTCTTCTTCGCTTCCCTTGAGCCCATGCTACTTGGAGGGGCTGAGAGAGTTTCTCTTATATTGATCCCTCTATGAGGCCCTTTAGAGAGTGGAGCCATTTCTTTAGAACATCCAAGAGCCTTGTGTCGTTTGGCGAATTCTCCCTCACAGGTCGCCATTTCTTCAGTGAGGAATACAATCTTTTCTCCTCCGACAATCACGTCTTTTTTCTCCGGTTCATGTGTGCTTTCTGCTCTAGGGGAGGGTGGTTCCTGTATCGAATGGCGTTCTCCATCAGCGTCTGTTAATGCGAGCGTTGGTAATCGTGCAGGACGCGTTTCCTAGGGATGAAAATGGTTAAAAACAGCTGTAACTTTTAGGCTAAGGCCTGGTTTTTGAAGCCTAAAGCGACTGGGAATTTTGATGCTTCCCCTTAATGATATGCGAGTAAATCTCAGTGCTTTCTAACACTAACGAGTTCAATCCATTCTTTTTCTACCTCCTCTTAGAGAGTGGTCTGCCCTGTAAGGGTTTAAGGGTCCTTTTGCTGATCGTCATTGTGGCATTTGACATAACTGGTTACGCCATAAAGTCAATTTCAAATGAGTGTCAAAAGCGCGGCAACAGCGTTTGACCAAGTCATGATTAGTTATAGTTAGAGACGATTTATTGTGGGACTGGGGCGAATTTTGAGTTTTGAGATCAATCACAGAGCGAAGCATAGTCCAGGCAAATTAAGCTAATTCAATCCCAAGGGGGTAAGTTTCTTAATGACTGCGGTGCTGCATCGGTGGGGGAAGGGAGGGGGGAGAGGGGAGGGGATAGGAGGTATAACAACAGTTGAGAAAAACATATTATCTAATTCAATCCCGGATCATTTTGGACACTAAATTCAAAATTACTTTATCCAAGATTGAACCATTCCATTCACGCTCTTACCATGGGCATGTCAAGTATCTGCTGCGGATCGTATCTTGGTGGACGACTCACTGTCCCCTCAGAGGGTCCCTCGGGGTCCATAGTTTTCACCAGTAGTTTGGTTTTATCACGGTTCATATGAGCCACTCTGAACATAAGCTCTAAACGATGCCGTGTGAATTTAATGTCCTGTATCAACTGGCTCTCACTTACACGATCTTCTTCAAAGACCTACAGGCGAAAAATTATAAAATCACAAAAGTATTCTTTGAGTGTCGACTGATCTAGCTTCAGTAACATTATTACTACGCGATCAATACGTTTGGATACGAGCCGGGAAAACTGGGTCTAGTGCACAAAATCGAGGCTCTCTAGTAAACCTCCTTTAAAAATATGATATGACAAGCTAAAGTCGTATTTTCTGATAAATGATTTTGTGAAGTCCTATGGAGTCCAATCGTACAACCAAAGAGTTAATTTAAAGAAAATCCAAATAGCACACGGAACAAGTGAAATCCACACAAAGTAACGAGTCGATGAGTGGTAAAAACAAGATTGTTTAGCAAAGAGCATCGTCTAATCGAAGTCCAAAATACAGTGATAAAAATTAATTTATAAATTAGGAAATAATTAACTTCACAAAAAGGTCCATGACAGAATCATTGAACAAGTACAATCATTTATAAATTCATGACGGTGTGTTCTACTCACGTTTTCTTCGCCCTTGCAGAAACTCCTTCGCACTGTAGGTACGTTGTTGTGGAGACACTCCCTTAGGAAAGCCCTGTAGGCATTCTACGACATGAAAAAAAGGGAACATATGTTTAAAAAAAAAATGGTGTTCCCTACTGATTACACTTCAGCCCAGTAGAGAAACAACATCAGAACATTTATATGCAGGGACGAAATACAATCACGATCTTTTGCAATGCTAGCCCCAAAACTTAACCACAGCTTACAGAGGTGGCAAACTTCAAAAATTGCTCAAGTTAAGATCAGTTTGTGACTGAGTCTCTTGCCAAGGTCCAATTAGTGACGTGACGAAATTCTGAGTAGTTTTCGTGGCGCAAGAATATAATTTTCAAACAGTTGGAAATCTTAAAATAACAGTTAGCTACGCTAAACAACGCTACAGACGTCAGAATAAATTAAAACTAAAAGACACAGGGATGACAAAAGACGTCGAAGAGTGAATTTAGTTACAGATTGTGCAAATTACCTTTACATCAACTGGTATCATGTCATCTTGTGTTTCTAGTTTAGATTGCGAATCGCTCCTCAGTATTCCCCACAGTTCACGCGCTCCAATGCCACTCACTGAACAAAATTGCAATAAAGAATAAATTTTGTTATTTCAAGTCATACAGGTCACACAATAAGTCACTGCTGACCTGTTCAAAGATCTCAGTCAGTGGAGGCTGTTAAAAAGGCAGGCACGCGAGGGAAAAAGGAAAGTGAGAAACGTTACGTGGTCGTTTCCCGCTGCGCTCACTTACTTCAAACAAGAACAACGTGAGAACCACGCGTTCCTTTTTCTGCGCATGAACTCCGCACGTATGGACCCGCGCGCGCGCGTGTTCCCACGCGAAAAAGGTTCTTAAAATACGTACGTTTTCTCTGCGTCGCCATCGGATTAAGAGTTTTCTTAGCTCCTTCGCGGAAAGTCGGATGAAGAAAATCTTCGGCATCCGCACCCAACAACTTCTGCAACTGAACCTCAACAGGATCATGGAGCAGTTCCTTGAAATTATCCGTGAGAAGCGAACTTTCTACCACAGCCGTTCCGTGACTGTCCAGACTAGACTGACCGGGTGATTGAGTTTTTGCACTTTCGTAGCTACTTTTAGTATCTCGCGCAGACTGTGGCGCACGGACTGGTTCGTGGCTGCTAATGACACGCACGTGTGATTTTAAACGGAGAGCTTTCTTCTTGTCTTGAGCTGTGAAAGCAAATGTTTCATCAAGTAATTTAGCCGCAGTGGATGAACATACCAGCGACACAGAAGAAGAATGCAACCACATCCGACTCCAAATAATGTATTGAAATCGTATTGAGAGACTACCACTCCATTGATGGTAGGAGTGAACGGATTTAAATGATTCACAGGAAACTGGCCTTGCACCTGATTTCGAGAGGCCCATTATTTCAATTCAAGTTCTCTTTTACAATAGATGCAAGAAAAACCTACGCGAAAATCACAAAACTGTCCCCAAGAAGCATCCGCTGAGCGTATCAAACGTTCTAGAGTAAACAAGGTGCAGAGATAAAGTATTTTATTTGTGAAGGGGGGAGGATGATTTCTCTTGATTTGCGCTCAATTATTACGATGAAACCATCTACTACTCTTAGTCTTCCGGAATCTAACATTCATGGCTAACATATGTACATAGCTTTGTACTTCCACGTAAAATGATGAACAGGGAACCAGAGATTTAAGAACAACGTTTACACGTACGGCACACGGCAGGATAAGAACTTTTCCTATTTGCCTCTCAACTGCTTGTGCAATAAGGCAGTTTTCTACAAAATCTTTTAACGGATTGGAAGGAAAATGAAGCGAAAATAAAGAAAAGTTTAGTCGTTCATTTTTGAAGAAAATGCAAGTTTAAATCCACTAAACGCTGTCGAAAATGTGAAAAGTATTTTAACCCAAAAAAAACGAAAAACAAATTGCAAAAAATTTCTCACTTACCTAAAACATTTCGAACGAAATCGGTGTATTCTTTCGACTTGGCCATCTTTGACAAGCGTTTTGCTTCTTTCAGCTAAAAAGTACAGAGTTTCAAGGCATTACGACTTGTACATTGAACAAAATATGGTTATATATTCATGAGAACCAACACTTTAAACAACAAAGTGTTACCATGAAACTTGCATCTCATTAAGACGCAGAGTGAGCTAACAGAACGGTGTTACGCATTACAAAAAGAGAAGACATAAAGAACAAAAACTTTCTCAGTCAAAACAGCGTCAATTCGTATGATAATTATATTTTTTGTGCATACCATCTTGTGGGGCAATTTCGTATCCAAAAGTTAAAATGCAAATATTAGATTGATAGGTAAATTATTCATGATACAATTGAGACATCATACCATGAAATTCGCAATGCAACCCTCACATTAACACGATCATCTCCTTCAGTGCCCATGACAATAGCGACATGTTTTCAAAATTTTATTTCGAAAAGGAAGCCCAATTCGACTGTTCCACGACTGTGCTCTGTTCTACTACATGGAAGAACTGTTGGGGGAGACACTAAACCTAGACAAGTGTTTGATCGCCCGGGTGAGGTTCAAGTCAATGGTTTTTCTCGAGATCTCTACTGCTTCCAGAGGGTTCTATTAACAAAAGAGAGCACAATCGAGGCTTCCTTCTTTTACGGTAAAGAATCCAGCAACTTCCCCTCACGCATTTCGCTGATGTTTTGAAACACTATTATACTTATTACATACCACTTTCATTAACAGTCTATCGAAATATGGTCGAAAAACTTCGGCTTAAAGTCCCAACTTACGTCTCGAGGAAACCGTAAAATCGAAATTTACTATTAACGTTTAGACAAACTTATTCGCAGTTTCTGGTCAGAAAGAGAGAGACCCTGGGAACAAGAGTAACGCTTGAAATGCAGCACGGAACAATAATGCCATCGTTTCGCATCTAGAAACATTTAGACTTTTGTTTTAAGCGTATTATTCGCAATCCGCGTTAAGTCCACCGTTAATCTTTCCCATCCTTAATTGATCTCGACTCATTCCACGTCATTCTTGCCTCCAACTGTCTGTGTGTCCTTTCAAACTAGGATTCATTTCAAGAATTAACTTTGATGGAAGTTTTCCTCCATCAAAAAAAATGACTCAAAAGAAGTGATGCACTCCGTACTTGTAGCTATGTACTAAAACATTCCGATTCAGAATTTGCTGGTTCAGGTGTAGTTTGGACTCTCACAGGCGAGTCGGAGAGAGCTTTACCGGGACTCATGCAAAAATAATTAATAGTGCCAGACCCCTTGCAGACTTCTCACCGACTGGCGCTGCTCAGAGGCCTCATACTTTCCTGAAGGCGCTGAAACCGTGGCGGTCGTGCCGAAGCGCTAACTGGGTAAGGTCCTGCTCGCCGGCCGTTCAAGTTACCTTTCGGTAGTACTTCTTAACTCTTTTGTAAAATTTAAGCTGTAACATCTCACCTGCCACCGTTTCTGTTCCAGGTGAGCTTGACGCTTCTTAAAGAGCGAGTCTTGTCTTTTGATGAGTTCATGTTGTATGGCGACTCTTTCCTTCAGGTATTGGTAATGTTCATCTTTCTCCTCTTGTTTGATCTTTGACCACACTTCATATAAGCGGACAGATTGCTGCAAAAATAAGGAAACGTCACAAATTACTAACGGGTAATACCATAAACGCTCTCGCAAGCCCCATTCCCCCCCCCCGGGCTTCCAGATGCAGGCCTTATGGATGGGGAGGGGATTATCAGAAACTTCGAGTTCCAGACGACCATGCCCGGTTACTTCTGTTATTGAAACATCTAGCGTATGTTGAACGTCACACTGTTACAACACAGTTATTTCATAACACACTGGCTGTCTACAATAGTAATTTGGTTTTATCAACTGAGTTGAAAATGTAGATTGAATAAAGAGTTCTAAAGCTGACAATTCGAGTGTTACAGGGCAATTTAGAAATATCAACCAAGCTGATAACGTAAATTGGCCAACGTAAAGAGTTTCATAGCTGACGTTTCGAGCGTTAGCCCTCCTGACTTTCGCTCTGACGAAGGCTAACGCTCGAAACGTCAGCTTTGTAAACTCTTTACGGTGGCCAATTCACGTTAGCAGCTCAGTTGATAATAGTAAATTACCCTGTTATACTCTCCCACCGACGTAGCACCACAATTTCTTTAGAAACTTACCCCCTTAATTCGAGCGTTAGTCCTTCATCAGAGCAAATGCTTGCCAGTGCTTGTCACACAATGCAAGCCAAAGCATCTGCGTAACACAACACTTACCACGCAAAATAGTCACACAACACCTTTTCACAGATTACCTCTCACTGAATGATTAGCTTGTTAGCCCTTTCACTCCATAGATCTCATGAGTAATTCTCCTTACTACCAGCCATACAATTCTTATGACATGACTTGGAGGATTTGGTATTGGATCAACTAATTATCACCTAACTGATATTTTTCTTTTTTCTCATTACTTGTTTACTAGGTAATCTATTGATAATGTAAGGAGAAATCCGTCTTGGTCACCATGGGAGGTAAACACAACAAACTACTAAAGTACCTGTTCCCTCTCTTTTGCAGCCTTCACTTCAGCTTCTGCCTTCTGTTTCTCAGCTTCTGCCAGGTGCTTATTTTTGCTCTTTTTAGAATGAACTGAGCTTGCAGCATTACTGGTTGTTTCCAGAACCCTACACATGGTGGACAAATGTAATAATACAGTTTTGTCATTAGAAATTAGATTTTTTGCACTGCTGTTCATTCAGTTGCCATACAATTTTAAAGAGGAACCTGTCAATGGAACATTTACACACAAAACCTTTTCAAGTCTACTAAACTGCTTCATTCTTGTGTGACAATTTCATCTTCTTTAAATGTGTAAGAAGTCTTCTCTAGAATGACTCAAATTGTACAATACTGCTAGCTCATTGTGTAGTACAGTTATACTTATCATGAAAAATCTGATTGGGCATTAGAGCATTCAATTAATGTACAATAGTGTGTGAAGTTGCCACTACAAATGCAATACCTTAGGTGGATATTGCATTTATCATGTTGACTTCAAAGTCTGCCTTGTTTCCAAGCCCCTCATCTGTGTAGTGTTCTCATACTTAAGCAAACTCAGAGAAAAGTGTCTTCCTTTGCAGTTTGAAAAATGTATAATAAAACAATTATTGAATTTGGTTGTCCCATGATATCATGAATTATCAAACTTCAGACATTGGTTTTGATATTTCATGATATCATGCTCACCCTCATCCAATAATTGCTTAACAGTAGAGGCAGCTTTTCATATTTTTTGTGTACTGTGACCATGATGTCTTGAAGAGAGCTATCAACAATTATAAAATATCAAAGTTAAGATGAGAGACCTGGTCCAGCAATATTGAAATTTAAGGTGAAAACTTGGCAGCAAGATGATGAATTTGTTAAGTTCATTAACCTTTCACACCTTAATATCAGTATGCAAATTCTCCATACTGTTTCCTATACATTTTATGGTGCTGACAATGAGAATTTGTTTAACAATCAAGAGCTTCTTTAGTTGATGATCATTTTCTTAATTCTTGTGACCTTAATGTGTGATTCAGGAATGATACTGCGAGAAAACATTGGATGCTAGTCACTGCTAAGGAATATAGGGTAAATTCACAAGGCAAAGGTCCAGGTTTCTTGTCTGAGACCATGCTTGTGGATATAAGATTTGTTTGCTTTCCACCAGTTCGGATTGTAACCTTATTATTTAGAGTGCTTGGTAATGTACCATTTGAATTATTGTTTTACTTCTATTTTTCCACCTGCTTTCATATCATAAAGGACATTTTTCTATTAATAAAATACACATATACAGCATGTTATTTTTTCCTATCCAGTGTTATTAAAGAACCATAAATCTAAAAAAAGTCAGCGATCTTTCTTAAACGATATACTCTACTCATGTCTACTGAGCGGAAAACATAAAGCTAACAACGAGATGGATCTTGTGATAGAAATCATCTGTGACATCCAGTATGATGTAACTCGGAATCAGAGATTTTCCAATTTATTGTTAATACAAACAAGTTTAGAAATATCCTTGCCAAATGTTCAATGATCAATTGATTTCTTTGGAAAGTTATTTTACCAAACTATTATTAACATCATTAATTTTTGAGAAGAAAGGTACGACCCATCGTAAAAGCTGACAGTTTTCTGTGTACTGTTGTCAACATCAAGAATTATCGAGTGGTTCGAATCGCGCTAATTAGCCACAAATATATTGGTGAGCAACAAACATCAACACATGTACGTCAACTAACTTTTGCTTGTGCTTTTGGGTGTAAACACCCGGTAAGGCAGAAAAAACTGACGACAAAGACATCTCAACTACCAGCTTGTCTCCTTCTTAGATCCACCATTACGATGTTCATTCGATTTCAAAAACAGATTAGAGAAACATTTCCTTCCATTTGCGTAGTTTTATTTCCATAGCGATAGCGATATGTATGAGCGTCTTGTCCGCAGTCGAGGCCTGGTGACTGAGTTTTTTAAAAATTGAAACGCTGGTCATAAATATGCGGGCTTTTTTCTTCCTTTAAAACCGCTGGCTATGAAACTGTCGGCCGATGAGATATCTCAGCCAATCAGAGATCGCCAACTAGACCGATAGCACTGGCATTTGCGTAATCAACCGGCAAACACCAAAGAGTGTACGCGAATTAAGCTTCGGTAATTTTATGGTTTTACTTGTGTGATCGAGCTAATTTCTTGAGAATGTGGTTATTTATTGTTCTCACACTAAACGCCTTACTCGGCTGTCAAGTTTTACAGACAGAGGCGAAGTTAAAAGAAGGAGAGTGTGAAGGTAAATCTTACATACAACCTTGTAGCGACAGGAAGTGAAACTCAGCTAAGCTTATAACATGACACGTATGGCTGTACGGTTGTTAGGCCTTCACCTAGACTTAAACATGTAGAGATAATGAAGAGTTCTTGTATCTCACTCAACAGACCGGCTAAGGGTTCTGGGAAATTATGAGAACTTTCTACGCCTTATAATTGCAAAGGCACTTTTTTTTGACACAACATAATTTATTAAGACTTGCAACCTAGATACTAAACTTAATGTACTTTTTTTTATTTTATAAAAAAGAAAATCCAGTGAAAGTTTAAGTTTGATTAAGTTTTTAGGTTTTAGTAATTTATGGAAAATTCAAGCTTTCGGCCTTTACATGCCACGATCTTGTGGAGTGGTACAAATGCACGATCTTTAGTATAATGCAACAGTTCCTTTTAAAACTCTCAACTCATATGATGTAATACTTACTGAGCCGGTGTTAATCTTTCTCTATCTTGATGTTTTACTAACTCAAGCTCATTCTTGGACTGATCCAGGAATAAGAAATAATGGAGCGATAGTTTACTCTTGTTTAGCATCTGTTGTCTCAACTGTGTGTCATGTTTCCTCTGGACTGTGTTTCACAGCTGTTGAGAATTTCAATCAGACACCAAAGCCTGTGTGTAGTAACACTTTCACTCTAAGAAAATTTTTTAAAAATCAGTTACTGCTACTCAAATTTTTATATCAAAACTTATCTCTTGGGAAGAAAAACCTTAGGGAAAAGTAAACTACCCTTTTTACTTTGATTCAGTCCTCATATTGGACATGTCCCAGAAAAAAAATTGGAAGGCTTGAAACAGCTGTGAAAACAGATATATTGGGAAAAGAAAACTTCAAGCCTTGAATGTATTTGTATATGTTGCATGGCTAAATGCCTTTTTTTTCCTTAATATTTATTCCAATTTTGTGGTATTGTCATGCTTTATAGCACATCATTATTTCATTAACATTGGACATATTTTTTCCTTTTAATCGATAGTTTGTATAAAGTTTCTGACAAATTTTGCAAGTAAACTGTCAAGCGATGAAATGTCTGACATGAAAGCAATTGAAGAAAAGTTCAAAGCTGCTTGCAAAAAGGCAAAGAACAAAGAAAACAGATTTGTAAGTGCATTTTATAGTATGATCATGTTTAAAAAGATGTATGAAACCAATGCATTTGCATGTAAGAGGTCTGGGTTCAAGCTTTGAATTCAAGATTGGCTGGGCTCTTTTATGACACCTATGTTCATGTTTCAAAATGGTCTGTGGATTCATAAGGCATACAAGAAGCTACAGGCGAAATTTTTTTAGTACACTTGCAAAGTTTTCGATAAGATTTTTTCAAGCTTTGAGATTCAAAAATTTTGGTCTGGGTATCTAATATAAGAATTAGAATTGATATTTTGCACAGCCAATTGACGAGCTGAAATTTTTAATGAAAACGGTATTAAATATTTGGTTTCCTTTGCTGTTGTCCTGACAGCCACCAACAATCTACTGCATGTTTGGGAGACATGGATGATTCTCACTAACAAACGTTTGCTAGTGTATATTTTCCTCACTCACAGTTTATCAAAATCACTCGCATTTTGCGAGGTCGCGAGAGTTAATTTCGAGTCTTGAGCTACTATGCAAAGTTATCTGGCTAACTTTCAGTGGCATGGGCCTTTCTTCAATCTGATGGAAACCTTGAATATTGTAGAGGGAGGACAAAGCCATTCATAGGATGCATCAGTATCTGGTGATAGGATTTATAAGTCTTTTGACACTCATCCCCTTAATTCTGACCTATGTAATGGTCAATGCTGTCTGCCTTTTAATCTACCAGGGTCAGTGTTTAAATGGCTTTCAACAAATGTCTGGAAAACTTGAAAAATTACTGGGAGAAAAGGGAGTTGCATTGCACTTTTGTTCCACTCAGGGAGAGATTGAGGAGGAATACTCCTAATCCCTTCATCAGTGTTCTCCCTCAATTTAAGCAAAACAGGCAAATAAATTTTTAAACTGGTAAAAAATCCTCTAATGCCTTGAGTTTTCAAGAATTCAAAGCTATTTTAGGCAATAATAAGAGGTATTACAGGCAATAAATTTTACCATTTACAGCCTGAAAAGGAAAACACAGCTTTATGCCTCAAAAATAAGCAGATGAAGCTCGACTGTAGTTAATCACAACACTTTTGTTTTGATCACCCAGTGTTACTACATTGGAGGCACTGAAGATGCTGCTACCAGTATTCTTAATGCAGTCCTCAAGCCTCTGAGCTACCACAAACCTGCAGAGAAGATCTGTGAGGACCTTAAAAAACAGGACGGCCAAATTTGTGCTTTGCAGTATGGTAAGTTTAAGTGTGAAGAAATTCATTTATTTTTTCATTTATTTTTTTCATTTTCTTTCAATTTCATGTACTTACAATCTCATAGAGATACTACCCTTGGGAAAATGTAAAGAGCATTGTTTGACAATGACCAGTGTGAAAAAGGTTTTATTTGGGAGAGAAATGATAAATTTACTCTAAGGAAGTGACGTATTTGCTTCTATAATATTAGTTGAGGTTTTGCACATGTCAGTGGCTTCTTTTTCTCAAGTTAATAGGGATATTATTACAGTTAAATTGTTCGCATGCTGATATAAATTTTGATCTGATCCCTATTGCAGACAAGCAGATTGACCTTAACAATGTTGACCTGAAGAAGCTCCGAGTGAAGCAGCTCAAGAAGATTCTCAGTGACTGGGATGAAGAATGTGTGGGATGTTTAGAGAAATCAGACTTTATCAAGAGGATTGAACAACTCAAAAGTGAACACACGGAACTCTGATGACCTTAGCGAGTAGAAAGTTATTCAATTTAGCTTGTAAAGTGAATTACACTGTACTCTCCTATGTTCTTACAATATGAGCAGGAAGTTCAGTTTTGTGACTGTGCAGACATCAATTCTGTCTGTGATTTGCATTGCACTGAAGCAGGGTGGGGGTTGCTACCCAACAAAGTATTGTGGAAACAATATTTTATTCTCTCCTTACTCCCCTACTCTGCATATAAAATGGTATGCTTCATATTCTAAGGTCAAATCTATGTACACATCTCTAAGGCAGCTGGTTGTTACAAAGGTACTTTTGGTTTAAAATGAATTGTCTCTTATACTGCATTCTCTTGAGTAAAATTCACCATAATACAATATTTGGTTGTGAAACACACTTCAAAAGGAAAAGGTATTTCAACTTTTATCAACCCTGAGAGAGCAAAACAAATTCACATTTAATGTACATTTACCTTCAATGGTTGAAAGTTTCCAAGAATCCAATTAAAGTTTGATATATTGACTTAGTAAAATGTGAAGTGTTTTCTGAACAGTTATTGATGTCAAAATATACATCTAATCCATGTCACATAGAAAAGGGATGCACCTCAGTTAATTAACCCTTTCACTCCTAATTTCTTATTAGTAATTCTCCTCACAGTTTTTTATACAGTTCTTATTATGCCAGTGTGGAGAATTTGGTATCATATCAAGCTATAATCCCTTCATTGGACTCTTTCTTTATTCTCATAACTTGTCTGCTTGATATTTTATTGATGTTGTAAGGAGAAATTCTGTCTTGGTCACTAGTGGGAATTAAAGGGCTAATGGTGGAATCCAAAGGGTGAGAGTTCACAAGAAGACCATGTTGATGGCCAACTCTGCGTAAAGAGTTTGTGGCTACACAGTCAAGGGAAACACAACGATTAAAAGTTTGACGCCTCTTTCGTGTTCATCTGTCACTTCTTTTATTTTTGATATTTAAGACACATCCGAGCATAGCTTAAAAATTAAGACACGTCCAAGTTAACAAATCATGACTCATCCAAGTTCAAATTTAAGTTGACATCTTAAATTACAGCGTATCCACGGGACAGAAACAGCTGCTACAATTCCCATACAGTTTCCAACTTGTTTCCTCTACAAAACAATTTGTTTCCTCTACAATCAGGAAACATCATGACACCAAGATAAACCTTTTCAGATAATCGTCGGATTCCGACGAACTCCCGTTCGATAGCTTGTCACTATAATTTATTTTTGCCTATAAAACTAAAGTCAAACTTCTTTAAACAATATGCGTGACACTTTTTCGCCGAGAGCTAAGTCGAAACAACGTCACACAATCGTTTTCGTTCAATCACGATGAAAAGAGCAGTGTTCAATAAATGGTTTGCGCTACATCCGGGTGTGGCGTGATACTCTGATGTAACCAATTGGATCAAACTATTTACTGCATCCAGAAAATCACGCTTAAAGCACGTGGAATCCGTCCACATTTCCCGCGCTAGACTGTCAGACTGTGGCTACCGTTTTCCAGCGCTTGTCAATTATTTTTCTTTTCTTCATTTTTTTTTCCTTCATATTCTTGAGCCTCAATCGCTCTCGATTTGAAGTTTTAGCCACTCGTTACAACACAACTCTTCATTCAAAACTTCTCTATCTTTGTAAATAAAGTAAGAGAGATAGTAAGTTTTGAGCTGAGTAACGAAGTGGAGAAATGTTTTTTCGTCTAGTCACGAGTGTTGGACAAACAAAAAATTCTAACTCCCCATAAGGAACTGAATCTCAGACCTTCGGATTCCGCGCTCCGATGCTCTACCACTGAGCCACAGAGACTCTATGGTGAGAGAGGCCAATTACGAAGTTGATTGTTCGGAGCGCGGAATCCGAAGGTCTGAGGTTCGATTCCTTATGGGGACATAGAATTTTTTCTTTGTCCGACGCTCGTGACAAGGCGACAAAGCATCTTTCTCTACTCTATCTCTATATCGTAAAATAGGTTTTGGTTATTTTTGGTGGTAAATAACACTTTCAAAAGAGTAAAGTAACCGATTGTCTCAAAAAACAAATTTCTTAGCCTTTTAAAGAAAAACAAATCAAAACAAAATAGGTTCCTCTTCAAATCATACAAGGCCGAAGGAATAAGATACAAACGCTCTAAAAGTTGCTTGCGTCTTTAAAAAAAGAATACCAATGTATTCTATACACTCGTCTGAGTACAAAAGATTAAATTGAAATTTTTTCGATGTTAGATTAACCATTTTTGTTAAAACTAGCCTTAAATTGGCTAAGAACCGCAGGATAGAAACGTTTTCACTCTTGAGACTTACGCAAACGTTTAACATACATTGAAACTTATTGTGAACTGAAAACAAAAACACACAAATTAGATATTGTTGTTAAAAGTTCGCGTAAGATGTTGAAGTAAACCAAAAAATATATCCTAAGTAGCTTCTCGATACAAAGTTCAGTCCAGTTTTCATAAAAAAAAAAAAGATATCTCTATGAAAACTCGAGAGCAACTTTTAAAAAATTAACAAGATGTATAAATTCGGATTCAATCTTACCATGTGTCTAATTCAACTATGTGTAAATTCTAAACGTACCTTGGAGCTATCTACTAAAAAGAATATCAAGCTGACCATTTTGAAAAATGCTATCATACTCTTTGTTGTTTGTGTAACAGCTATTGTGCCAGTGACAGACGGAGACTTACAGGATTGCGCTGCGCGTGCGCGTGAAGTATGATAGTACTTTTCGAAGTGGCCTTTTATTTAGAACGCTGTGTTCTCTAAGATCCCAGAAATTAAAAAATAGAAAATTATCAAATATCAATTATGCTCACGTGGGAAATCCATCCCTAATCGCTTTTCACCAAAATATTCATCACAAGCCGCATGTCACACTGCATTCGGGATAGAAGATACCTTGAATCTAGAAATAACTTTACAAGGATTACCGTTAGAATGACTCTCGTATGCAGGATCCAGTCTCTACCTTCATCGACTCCTGACACTAATAATTCTGTTAAAGCCTAGAAACACTAGGGAAACACTGACTCGTTCAAATTGTCACGCAACATGTGACACCGCAAGTCGTTAGCTGCATTGCCAGGAGCACATTTAACTTGTTACGCAAAAGCTGTCAGAGTCGCTATTTCAGCAGCTTTTTTGCATGATGTAGATCCAAGTGCAACTTTTGCAACAAATCTGTTAAACCTGAAGAAATGATCAATTTCGCTCAACAAGTCGAACACGCATTGGCAAATCCTCTTCGACTTTAAATGTAGCAATGTCGCGCGAGAAATTCCGCAACTACGTTCCTAAAATAAATTCAGCTTCACTATTCTTTGAAACAACCACAGCAATGGGCAATTCCTGCTACGGCATAACATACTCAACAAAAGCAATAAAGCTAATAGGCTATTTTACAGTTGTGTACTTAGTTGCCAAGCCTTTGATTTGGAGTGAGGCTGAAGTTGACCATGTTGTGATAGAGACCAGTATCTAGTTAGCAGGATAACAAAGTAATTTGCATTTGAAAAGCAGCAAGGTTTGTGTCAGAACAAGGTCACCCTTAGCCTTACTTCTGTTAAAAAGGCTTGGCAACCAAGCACGCAAAAAATTGAGTGTCGAAAGTAATCCTGGGTTGCTTTGGTTTTGCTTTTCTTGCTCTATGATTTGTCCACAAAAAACGCACCACTTCATCAACCAATCAGATTCAAAACTAAACCCACTTGCGTCTTGGTTAACGCGTTTTCCCGCGCTTCAAGCGGTATGCTTGTTTTTCCCTCGAGTCCCCACTGACCTCTTGTGATACCTCACTTAACTGTGATTGGCCGAGGTGATTACTTTGGTTTATGTTTTCCACACTCAATCGAAATGCGCTCTGAGACACATTAGCGTTACAATAAATACAATAATACCAAACACTCGACAAAAACATATCTAGTAAATAGACTTGGAGCTCCCCAAAAACGGGCATAAAACAAAAACAATCTAACAGTTAAACTACGAAGCAATTAGTAAAATGGGGGCTACGCGTCTTTCTGTGTACTGCATATTTCACCCTTTGACACTTAAGAGTGACTGGCATCTAGTTTCTCCTTACAATATCACCCCTGAATCACACATTAATGTCACAAGAATAAAGGAAATGATCACTGACTAAAGAAGCTCTTGATTGTTAAAACAAATTCTCCTGGACCGAAACTTTTAAAATGTATCAAAAACAGTATGGAGAATGTGCATACTGATGTTAGTACGAAAAGGGTTAAACATTTATTCCAAGTTTGTCATTTTTAGTCCCTTCATTCGTCTCCATAATTATTCCTTTTTGCTTGAGTTTCATGGTCAATAATTATTTCTCTATCACATAAAAGTACAACAAACATTAGCTAAAATTAAAGGAAAAATTTGTACATGCTAGAAAAACTTACTTTTGGATATCACGAGATACTCATAGCTTCCCAATCATCCTCGCAACTTTTTACTATTGAATTATTTTCAATTGGATTTAAAACGTGTTAAACCTTGCCATCATATATCCTTCTTCATATAACCCTTCAGGTCGATATCTTCTCCCTTTGGTGTCCCACTGCAAAAAGGAATCCAGGTTTTTGCCTGCTGATTGACAAAGGAATACCAATCGTGGAGACAGTTATGGCTACGTTGGTAATTTCTCCTGAAGACTTTTGAAGTATGCCTCGTGTATTTTGGCTACGAACTGTGAGTCATTCTACGAAATAAAACAGTCGCAAAAGAAATTAATGAGCCATCCAAGTGGTTGTGCCATAAGTGTAACTGCCGCAAATAAAGGTTTTGGGCTTTTCATCATAGTGATGAACGATATTGAAGCAATTTCCAACTGGGCGTCAAAAGTAATCCGGGATTTCTTTGCTTTGCTTTACTTCGCTCTGTGATTGGTCCAGAAAACTCCCACCACTCTCTCAACCAATCAGTTGCTAAACTAAAACCGATCATGAATCGGTCGCTTGCCTTTTCCCGCGCTTAAGGTAGTTTGGTTGGTTTTATTTAAAATTCTCATTGGCACTAAATGGTACCTTCCTCTCTTCTGATCGGCCGTTTTGATTACTTTGGTTTTTGTTTTACGACGCTCAATCGAAAGGCGCTCTTGTCGCGAACAAGGGAAAGAGCAGAGCTTTGAGTCCGCCATTTGAAATGGAGCTCCAGACCTTTGGATTCCGCGCTCCGACACTCTAATCCAAAGGGAATTCTTAGGTGAGCTAGGCTATTAGAAGGTTTCAAATGTGACACACTTCCTGTATGGAAGCCAATCTCCCGCCTGGTTCCAGTCCACGCGGCTTTCCTCAAATAGTTTGACCTTCGCGCGGGTTATGAGCAGGTGAACAGGTGTTCGCTCAAGTTCAAAAGTGATCATAAGTAACGTTACGTTCTTAATGCTGTTTCGCCGTGTTCCCAAATCGTCAGGTAATTGTCCACTTGTCTCTTATTTCCTGTGCTATTCCTATGTTATTTCCAATGTTGTAATTAGTTGTTCGGTTCTTAATGTAATATGCTTGGAACATTTTTTGTAGAAATAACTGGCAATGACATGTATAGTTAAGAGTTCGAGTCGTCCAGAATTGAACTCCTTTACGTCCTAAAATTCCTGCTGTTGCTTTGGTTATATCCTGCATACTGCTGGGATTAGCAATGTCGAGAGCGTTGTGCGTGTAAAAAGTGTTAGAAAAATGATGAAACATACCTTTAATAAATATGTCAGCGCTTGAACTAGTTGTTCTTGTGTTAGGGGAGCGATGTCCATTTTTGGAGGCTGTTTGGGCTGAGGTGGTGTTGGTGTTGGAACAGTCACTTTCCCTGAGGTTTTGAACGCTAATGGAGACATAAGTGATGCTGCTGTGGCACCCCCTTGGTCCGGCTGTGGCTTCTGGGGAGAGTCCTAGCACAGACAAGGAAGAGTATACTGTTTTATACTATAACTTGCTCTGACAGTGGGTAAGATGTAGCAAATCCTCTATATCGATAGGCTACACGAGTGAGCAAGATGGGTCAAGCGTGCCTGGATAAGATTAAAGGAAAAAACAGAGGATTACTGGCACACCTTTGCTTGAGACGCCATTATTGTCTGTGGAGGAACTGTGGGTGTTGCAGGTGCCATGGCCAGGCTTTTTGTTTCCACCTTCTCATTCTGAAATAACTACCGTGAAACAGAAAACATTAATTTCCTCAGCATTTTGATAATTCATTCATTTACGACTGTAGAGTGTGCATCAAGCATCAGGGATCGAAGAACAGCCCATTTCCAAGTATTCAAAGTTCAGATATCTTCGTACTTAGCCTCGTTCTCGTGCCTAAATTTCGTCACCAGATCTCTGAACTGTGAGAACTTTTTGCAAATGGGCGAATCTCTGGCTACCTTGCAGAATTCTCCCTCTAAATTTCAATGGCTGGAGCTAAGTAATTCAGATGCATTGAATATGTTCCGTTTATTTTACACTTTAATTCGCATTTCCTAATTTTAAACCTTAAGATCAAATCTTGTGAAAAAAATCCTTATTTTGTAAACTGACAAAACTTGTTGTACCTTTCTTTGTGCACCTGCTTTTCCTTGTTCAGTAACTGCAGAGTCATCCTGACTTTTTTTCATGAATCCTGATACAATTAAAAAAAAACACTTGTGTCTACTCTAGCTTCTCTTCTTTTGAAATTAAAACATTGCCGTTAGCAATACTAGCGAAAAATTCCTTTTTTTTATTGCGGGAAATCATATCGGTAAAAACGCTCTCCTCAACCTTTGATTACCCCCTTTAGAAGTTTGATGGAACCTGGTGATGATTTGCAATTAAATGTACTTTAACATTTCCCACAAGATATATTAATTTATCTGCTGATTTTAGTTTACTTTTATGGAAATAATTTACAATAAAAGCTCATTTAATCTAGCAGTTTCTTTGAATACAATTTTCCACTGTTTACCGGTACTTCCCTGATAGTCTACTCAAAAGATCCCTCAAAGATATTACTGGGCCTACTGAATTGGTTTTGCACATGGTAAATTCCTTAAAAACGATGTGAAAATCGGTGAAAATATGTAGTTCTGCATCATGCTATGGCACCTTGCATCTCACCTGAAATTACTGGAGCCTTCACATCTGACAGAGGGATACTCTTCACTTTCAGTTTCTTCTTACTTGTCTGTCCCTCCCTTGCTGGTGATACACCATTCTGTTGCCCCTCCCCTTTGGATGGTCCTTTCCCCACAGGGGACAGTGACAAATTTCCTAACAGGTAGGGGACAGGGGTAGAGTGTGCTCTTTGCTTCTTTGGCTGAGTGTCCTGAGTTTGCAATATTTTTTGAAACTGTTCCAGTGGTTGTTGGTTTTGTTGGAGGAATCGCTGTTGATGTTCTCTTTGCTCAGAAGGTATCTGTGGTCTTGGGGCTGCCTTTACTACCTGAGTAACTGCTGCACTTGCACCGCTTGCCTTGGACTAAAATGTAATGGATATTATTGGGAGAAGTTACATGGTAATCACTTGTGGAAGTTGAGGGGTTAAATATGACCATTTGAAGCATAGCTTTTAAATATACCTGATTATTGTATTTCTCCTGGGCCTTGGCAAATAACTGCATGATATCAACTTTTTCCTCTGTGGTATTGCTTGGACTTTCCTTGAAAAAAAAAAAAAAAGAAGCATTTAATTCTCAGCAATAGGTCTGTAATTGGAAGAGGGGGAACCACTAATAAGGATGGTCTAGGAGACCTTTACTAAAAGGCCATAGCTGGGAGGGATGGGGGGATGGGGGGGTCCTAAGTGCCCATGATCCCCTTTGTAAGCCTTCTTTTAAGTAAAACATGCCATGGATGTTCAACATGACAATCTGGTGAGTATCTTCTGTTTAACGCAGTGTGACCCCCTTCCCCCCCTTTGAAAAATCCTAGCTTCACCCCTGTACTGTATATGTAATGAAGAATATAAAACATAGGCCATCAATTTAGGACTGTAACCAATTACACCTGTTATGGCTGAGCTCACTTTACATAATAGGTGAAAATTTTGATAACTACAGGGGTATCAGAAAAAGCCTGTTACTAGCAGCATACTGCGGCCTCTAAGACCTCTTACTGCTGTTTAGCCTACAAGTACCTGGTTCTGATATTTAGGTTTTGCCTTATGGTCCCTTTCCGGGCACACCTACCAATTACACCAGCAGCAGCCACTTGTGGAAAATGTTATTGAAACCCCCGTTGCTATCACATAATTTTCCCTTAGGAAAATATTTCACTGCTACAGCTGATATGTACAATGTAACAGCTGCTTCAAAACTTAGTGACAGCCCTGTAGATACAAATGATGTGAAAGATGGGAGTTTTTAAGTTAACAACATACCTGTACCTTTGGCTTCTCTTGAGCATATGATGGTTTGGGTGAAATGACTGTGGCACTTCCTGATGCATTTTTCTGGGAACTGATCCTAGAATAACAAAAAAAAAATTAAATCTTAGCTTGCAAATACATGCTCAGTTTTTTTCTGAATAGCTACAGTCCTGCTTACAAAAATTCTGGCACCCTATCTGATTCACCGTGGAAAATGTATTGTTTAATACATGGCATTCACCTACAGCTGTAATTTTGACAAAAGATGTTTCTTTGTTTTATCACAAGCATGGGAAAAAGAAACATTCTGAGTCCCACATGTGAGACTCAGCACACAAAAAATTGTAAGTTGGTGAAGAGGAAGTATCAGTGCTAAGAAATATAAAATATACATTTCTTTTAGCCCTTAAACCCTTAGAGTGACTGTAATCTAATTTCTCCTTACAATATCAGCCCTAAATCAAACATTAAGGACATGAGAATAAGGGAAATGATCAACAACTAAAGAACTCTTGATTGTTAAACAAATTCTCCTTTTCAGACCCTTAGGAAATGTAGAGAGAGCAGTATGGAGAATCTGCATGCTGATGTTTGGGTGTAAAGGTTTAAAGTAACATGCAACTCACATAGTCAATAGGCTGGCCAGTCTTTTGCATTCCTCAACATCATAGAACCAAATACCAAATATCTCTTCTAAAAGACAAAGACAATTATTACTAAAATTAGTATTAATTTTGCCAGCTAAAATGTACTAAACATGTTTTAAGCCACACTCAGACCTCATTTTAATTCTTGCCAAATGGCTTGGGGACTATGATCACTCTAAGTCAGGCCCAAAACATATTTACTCCTGCAGAAATAAACTCATCTGTTTTATTATAGGATTTCTGGAGCATACTTCACCTCTTCTTTTTTCAGAATGTCACAGTGCACATAGCATACTCACTTGCACTATTCCTGTACAGGAGGAATGGATCTTGAAGTTTAAACTCCATTGTGTTTGTTATTGGCTCCATCATATTTTTCATACTCAATCTATTCATAATAAAAAAGGCACTTGTTGGTGTAGCAGACCTGCAGGAATTAAATAAAAATAAGGTCAGTACCTGAAAAGCATTTAACCTTGAAACTTCTTCAGTTGTAAGATCTCATTTTTTAGTAATTGTCCTTACTATCTGCCATACAATTCTTAAGACAAGTTTGGAGAATTTGGTATTGGATTAACTGATTATCTCTTCATTGATAATTCTCTTTATTCTCCTCACTTGTCTGCTTGATACTGTATTGAAATTGTAAGGAGAAATTCTGTGTTGGTCACTCACTCATGGGAGTTTAACCCTTTAAACCCAACAAGTGACTAGCATATAATTTCTCCCTAGAATATCACACCTGAATCCCACATTAACGTAATGAGAATAAAGGAAATGATCATCAACAAAAGAAACCCTTGATCAGTAAACAAATTCTCCTTGTCAGCACCTTAGGAAATGTATACAGAACAGTATGGAGAATATGCATACTGATGTTAGGGTGTAAAGGGTTAAGTATGGCTGACTCATGTAACCAATTTTGCTCACCTATTATAAACAAATAAGGCTCCTTCCACTTCTGTTTTCTCCTAAAATAAAGAAAATCATTATTGAATTCTGAACATCACAACAAGATAAAAAAATAGCTTGTCAAATCCCATGTTGAAACTCCATGTCTTACCAACAAAAATGACTTCACTTGATCACCAAGGTTTGGGAAAATAACATGACAGATACCAAATCAATATTGCAGGATGGATTTGAATTTTTAGAAAGATTTAGAGAAATATTTTTTCACCACTTCAAAAAAGTAGTGAAATTGAAAAATACAGGTTTGGACAATGATGCAAACTAAACTCGAAGATTAAGGCTATCTGTATATTGAGGGATATATTCTCTACAACTGCAATACTGCTTAATTGTAACCTTCCCAATTTAGGAAATTTAAAGTTTAAGCATTAACTGATAACATTCCAAAATTTGGTTCAAATTCATGCTAAGTTTAATTTCCAGTTCCTTTTTTTTTTTTATTTCGGCTTTGTTATTGTACAAAAATGATTCTGGAACACGGGAGAATAAATTCAATCAAGGATAAAATCGGACCACAGCACATACCACTACATATCAATAACTATTATGAAGCTCGTGCACGAGAAGGGATGGAGGAAATAGTTAAATTTTGGAGTTAAATAACATCTTAATGTATGTTGTGTCGATATTAGATAACACCAGCCGCTAATAAAAGCAGTTAGCTACATGCATATATAAAAAAAATTCTTCTACAATGAATGCTTCATGACACTTTCCACAATCAATTAATTATCAAGCATTTATCACACGATATAACAAGCCGATGCATTGAAATCAACGTACGTAGATTTAGACAGTTGGCGATAATTTGCGGGATTACTCTTGTCATCTAAAACAACGTCCATTTACTACGTGAAAATAAATCAACATTTCAAACTAAACATTTCATCAAAGATTCACTACCATAAATATTTACAAAACGAAGAACCACCGAGAAGGAAACGCCGTCAAAAGTGAAAGGGGATATCGACATTTGAATGCACTACGGCATAGAGGGAAGTTATAATGAATTCTGCCTTACCCAGGCTTGTGTATCACCGTTAAACTTGTAAAGTGCCACTTGTGATGCATTATCCAAGATATTCATGGCACACTGATCGCTTTTCTTTATCGCTGTAAGGTTCAACGAATTCGCTACTCTCTCCGCCGCCATTTTGAAGTTTCTGGGTGAAACGTTGTGTAGAATGTCACCAAGTGAACATGATTCGCGTCAGTGCGCAACAGGTTATTGTTTAGTACTTGTGACTTATGGTTTATTTATCTCCGTTTCTCTATTTGAAGACTATTTCCATTCGCTCTGACGAGGCTAACGATCGAAACGTCAGCCTTTAAACTCTTTACGGTGGCCAATTTACGTTTTCAACAAAAAATGATCTATTTTACTTTAGCAATATGCCATAGTATGATTGGAAGAGTCCGGGATGAGTCGTATTAAGCACGAACTAATTTTGGCAAACCTTTGACATTATTTTTTAATAAAATACGATTTTCCATCAGTTTTTTCTATTAAAAACAACAAAATCCCAAACTCTTCTCTAAACAGTCAAAACTAAGAAGACCGCGACGGGTTTAAGGAATTCATATAAAAATTTGGAAATTTTCCCAAGCTCGCAAACTGTAAATGGAAATAAGCTAGTGCCCAGGCGTCCTCGTATTTTTTAATTTCGTGTCACTTTGAGCTGGTTATCCACACGAGGTCTGACTCAAACTGCGGTTTTTACGCAAGCAGTTGGCTTACACATTTTCTTTTTTAATTAAGTATCCTTTCACTGCTGGCTTCCGGCCCACTCGACACTGTTCACAAACATAAATGTTTAAATAAAAGACTCAGTTAAATAAGACCGTGGTTTTGTTGAACAACGGCCAAATTAATTAAAGACGACTAAATTTCGTTTAAATGACCGGCTTTTTGTGTTTCCTAATCCTACCTACTATGGCGAAATAAACTGTGGGCGGAGTGGGAAGGAAAAACTGTAGATAGAGTGGGAATTATGTATTTGTCGAAGTTCGAGAAACTTTTTCTACGTTAACTCATCAAGAAAACAGTTGTTAACAACATTGGTGAAAACTACTGAAACCTAAATACACAATTACGAACGAAATGGATAAAAGGAAGAATGAAAAATAAAAAAAGAAAGCTGAGAGCGGGTGGCACATCTTAAATAAAAACAATCTGTGGGTCGTAAGTGTATAAAGGTTACTCTTTCCAAATTGAACACCCTCTGCATATGCGTGGGAATTATTTTATATGTGATATAATCTCTAATGCCCCACAAAACCACTTTCTTCATCACAAATAAATGATATCTGAAAATTTGTTTCTTTTTCGTGTTTGAGATTTGGGGCAATAAAATTGTGTGAACTTATGATGATTTGAAAAATTAAAGACCTCTATAATAATTTTCTATTCTTTAAAAGTAACCAATTTTTGATCGATGTGTTTTTATCGCCAGCGGTAAATGATATTCCGTGACCAACTAAGCATTTTTAAAATGAAACAGGGACTACCGAGTGTTCCAAGGTCATCTGGTATCTGATCTCAGACATCCCGTCCTCTTTCACTGATAGATCTATAGAGAGAGATCAGCGTTTCAATCAAACCTGTATTTTTCATGTATCAAAAGAAAGGGATTCGTTGATGCCTCGACGATATAACTCACGGACAGCATAAACAAAAAAATGTTTTCACTAACGATGTTTTGACTAGCTTGTACCGTTGTCGTTGATGTTTGGTGAAAACATTTCGTTGTCTGGCCTACTCTATTTCTGATTTTATTTTGACGAATGCGGCCGGCCGCAGGGAGAGCTTCAGTGGAATCGCTTGACATCCCAACCGAGATTTACTTAGACGCAGTCAGACAACGCACGCATTTTGAGCTTCAGAAAAAAGGTAACTATGACGACCAAGTTCATTTAGCACGGCTATAAGTACTAATTTTCATAAGCTTAAAAACTATATTCTTATCCAAATAATCATACATAATAACACTGACTTACAGTTATAAAATAACCGGTACTGGACACAAAATAACATTAAAATCCTGCAGTTGTAATTGGCAGACACTGGTATTTTTTAGCGTACCAACGATAAACAGAAATAAAGACAAGAGTGAAACTTATCAGCAGAGCACATCTTCTTGAAAATATGTTATTTAGGATTTGCTTAGCTTTTTCGGCTACCTGGTCAGGTGTGTTCCAGAATTTTTTGCCATGATTCATTGTGTCGGTAAATTTAAATATGTCATCAGTTTACTCGTTGTACCTAAAATGTATTAGAAAAAATATCTGTAACACATATCCAGCAACTATATGTTATTCAACTTTAATAAGCAAATAAACCGACCATGGTTTTTATGAAGATGATAAAGCACAAAACAACTCGGTGCGTTTACGTGCTGAAGAGCTCTATTGCATCTGATTGATGCGGAACACTTAATGACGCAAACGTCTGGTTTTCTTAATTACCGTAATGCTTGTGACAATGTTTGAATAAGGATTTATTTTGTTCAAGTAACTTTGTTCGAGCAATTTTGTTCATAGACTGAAGTTGCTATCAGGAATAACGGAGCTGAAACAAGATCGTATGCCGGAAAGGTGTGCGCTTTATCAGTAATGAATATGCGATCGATAAATGTCAAACTCTCATGAAAGGATCTTTGAGTTGAATCTCAGAGGGAACGAATAGTAAAATGCGACACTTGCTGGAACATTTTTTTCAGAATTGGACACTCAGGCTGGTTAAATTTGGCCAAGCAACTCGTTCTAATTGCTTGCGTTTTACTCGGGTGAAACTTCAAGGTGCTTTAATTTTGATGACGCGCAATGTTAATTAGGGTTACTATTCTATCTTCTACGTTCTGCTAGTACGTTTATGCAATTCATCAATGTCTACATCGCAATATTTTCAAACGATAGCGATCATACACATACTACGTTGATAAATGACAACGATAACTCTGATATACTTTGGCTCCCTCTTTGATCGAAATCTCTAATCTGAAAGAAAAATAAATTATTCTGGACTATTAGACCCAGGATTCATCAAAGAGTCATTCGCCACCCACAGTTCATCGCCTGCACACAAACACCAGCTGGAAAAGTAGCGTAAGCCCAAGATTAACACTAATCCTCAATACTGGGTGAAGAAAAACATTACGTCGCCGAGGGGGTTTGAAAGCTGTGCTGGCACCAGTCGCGGTCTAAAACCACACGACCCTAGAAACATTCTCGCACGTGAGCGCCAATCACAAGGGTCCGCTCGCAGGTTAAAAATATTCCTGCATTCCTTATGATCTGTCCGGGGTCATAATTAGATTCAACTAAAACCAGCTGTAGCTGAAACAGTCGATCCCGATTAAACAACCTAGGTGTGCTAACAAAAAAAGAAAACATTATTTGCTTAAATAAAAATGTAAGTGCGTTGGTAATTTCTTATTAGCAGTGACTAAAACAACTGAACCACATTCAATATCGCATCAAGGAACTCATTAATCCAAAGTATTCAATACTGTGATGTTCCAGTCAGTTCTTGACACTCCTTTTCCTGTTTAACAAATATCGCTTTGAATACTTGAACAGCCATTTAAACCACAAACGCTTTGATAAGCACTATTCAAAGTGAACCGCGTTTCGGTTCAAACGTCACTATTTGGTCAGATTGGAGCCGTCAGAGATCTGTGTGGCCTCCACAGAACCCTCTCGTGGACCCCTCACAGACTTCTCGCATGCTCGTATCGCCCGAGGCCCATGTTCCCATGAGATCATGCTCGCAAGAGCTTGCAAGAAAACGGCTTCAACATTATCACTATGACAACCAAATTGATCATCTAGCATGTGCGATTCTGTCAAATAATTTCCAGAGACCAAGACGACCTTTCAAAACTCGTGTATACAAATAATTTATGATTGTCTTATGCACGTAAAATGCTTTAAGAAAGGGTTGCTCTATAGCATAATGGTAGGAAAAGTGGAAAATTAATTTGACCACCTATTTAAAAGCGGATTTTGTATAACAATTGATTTTTGGCTGTTTTTCAACCGGTTTTGTGAAAGATGAATACAAAGTATACTATATACCAGCATTTATTTGTCTTATTTTCCGCTAACGAAATTTCAAAAGTTTGCATACAGCCTGTCAACAGGCCTTAGCTCAAACTCAATCGAGACGTTTACAATGTGCAGCGCGACCTTGATTTCTCCAGAAAAGTGTCCTGTTCGTCGGGGTTGAGCCTTTTTTTGAGTCCTGGATCGATTTTGACAAACTCCTTGTTCGATGCTTTGATGATACCTGCTTAAAATTTCAGTCACACTTCGGTAAAAAAAATAATAAAAGCTGTCATTCCTAATGCCATCGAAAAGTCATAAAAATTCAAAGGGAGAACTCAAACTTGTGTAAAAAAAAAATAGCTCCACTGCGGTTATGTTAATAGCAGATTGACGAAGAACTGAACCAATGACTTTAGCTGATAAAAATGGAGGTGGTACGACGGGCAGGTAAGACGTAACTGGGTTTTAAATGCGAGTCTCAAAAGGATTTAACAGTTAAGCGTAAAACGGCCAAAAAATTTAGTCCTAAAAAGGTCAACCGTGCGAAATTTTTCCTCTCTACAATTTGTTATACTGGGTTCACCGTAGCAGTAAAATTTCCAAGATTTTAACCGTTAGGCGTAAAAGTATCACTTATTGGGACCATCTTAAAATTATGGCTTTTACATGTCTGATAAGCCCGTTTCATGACAGATAAAAAGAGAGAAGTTAGAAAGAAAAGAAGAGTTGAAATTAAGCGACTATAAGCTTGTATTGTTCTTCGTCACAGGTAGTTTTCCAAGCTTTCGAAATAGCGAAGTAAATCAAAATCCGGGAGTTTTGTAGGGAAAAAACAACGACAAAAACAAAATAAGTCGCACAACAGAACTAATTGCAAAGTGAACGCTGTTATCTTGAAAGACGATAAAAGTGCACAGCCTGAGTTGATGAATCTAAACGCACACGCGTACTGCCATAAAGCAATTAAAATCTCCTTCAATGGCAAGCATCTTAGAGACGTACAGGCTCTGTTTTCTTTTTGAATATCGTTATTTTTGTTTATTTGTCATACAATCTGACCTTGAAGTTCATTTTGAAGGCATGTTCTGAGTCAGTTGTTTGCCATCGGAAAAGATTTGACCCTTTAAAAATTTTTCGTTCGCCTTGAAGATAAAAATTATGGAAAGACACATTCATTAATTAGTAATTAGACCCAACACCTGCCAGGAAAGATACCAATTAAGCGAACTCTTTCAATATTTATGGTGGCAGCTCTCAATGAATTCAACCATCATATATCTTGCTCATAGCTTCTCTTTTTTATCTTATTGCAAAACGCTTGAGTCTTAACCCCATTAGACATATCAAATATTTTGTGAATTGAAAGTAATCGAAACGGTCTACCACCGAAAAATGAAGAATGCTTTTATTAAATTAACAAGGTTATGGCTGAAAAAAATACGTCAACAATTATCTTAGCGAGTGTACGAAGCCTAGCCGTTAAGAAGCTACAGCCTTCTCGAATAACATGATCATAATAATAATAATAGCTAGAATAATAATAATAATAATGATAGTAATAATAATAATAATGATAGTAATAATAATCATAATAATAATGATAATTTTACATACACACACGGATATTTTCAAGTAATTGGCGAACTTGATTCAGAATTGCTTACGCTTTCCTTTTTTTCGCTCTGTGATTGGTCTTGAGTTGACACTGCATCCGGAAAAAAAACTAGACTTAATTTCCGTTTTTTCCTCTAGTCCAGTCTGCGCTCCTTCTGTTCAGGGGAAGCGTTGGCTCATTTCCCTTACAGGTTCTCATATAATCGAGCCTAAGATTAGAACCCATGCCAAGCCGTTGACGGCAGAGCACTCTCACAAGATGCGTCGTATTCTCTATTCGCGGGTAACAAGCATCATTTGACCAAATTACTGTTTTAAATGGTTTAACGTTCAGTATCAATATAATTGATAGGGCCTTTGCACAGCGGGATACTTTAAAAACAATTTATTGAAGAAAGCAAATGCTGGTCTAAATTTCGCCGATGATTCCACCAAATTTGATGAGCCACTTAGGGTTTAGAGTTAGATGACGTGTATAGTTGGAGTAAATCTCTTCATTCTAATAACAACCAAAATTTATTCGCCTGTGGCATTCTTAAAACCAAGCTTTTGAAACAAAGATTTTGAAATTTTGTCTCAAGGGTAGAACAATTAAGTTCCGCGTGAATACTCGAACCCCAAGTAAGTTTGACTTTAAAATCGTCTGTTAAACCAAATAAGTTTCGAAGAAAGTCTATCTACATGGTTCAATTCAAATCTGACAGCCTTCCAGCTTAATAATAGAATTAGCGATGAATAACGTTTGGAGATGCAACAAAAGATATGATAAATTTTGAGCTCAGCTATCGCATAAAGAAAGATATTCTAAATTAAAAGAGAGTTTATGTTTACTAAAGTTATGTCAAATCATGTTCTGATTTGATTGTGACCCACCAAAATAACTTCTTTACACGTACACCCCGGTGAAATTCGAAAATCGATCTTTGATAGGCTCTCGGTACAATTGCAGAAAAAATTGTAAATATTTGTCACAAAAATCCAACACTAAAATGCCTCAGCAATGTCTATTATTCTTGACTTTAAAATAACCGAAAGGAAAGGAAAAGTGATTGTTAAGGCAATAACAGCAGGTGAAAGAGAGACAAAGAGCAAAGCACAGAAAAAATTGTCATACAGAGTAGGGATTGAAAGGTTCCCTTTTAGTCATAGGGTTTAAAAATAATTTAATACACACTTCGCACCGCATGCTCCTCATGTTGCCTCTCCCCAGGGCACCGGAACCCCTTCCCACGACCACGCCCGGCTTTTCTGATCCAATTCATCCCAAACTTTTTGCTATTGTAATTTATGTCTTCATTTACTATTACACTGGAGACGACACAAAAAACGATCGATACAATGTCCTAAACTACAATACAAAACAATGACGCCAATCAAGGTGTTTGTTTCTCTGTTGGTGTGGGATCTGACTGCGAAATCGCATCTTTGTCCCACGCGCTTGGAAAACGTTTTGCACCTTTGTTGGAAACAATGGCTGTTTAGAACAGCTAGGTCAAGGTGGTATACAATATGAACCCCCTCGTAGACAAGTGCACTGCGACAGAAGCCTCTGGTCCTCTTGCATACTCCACGCAATCCTGATTTCGGTATATACGAAAATAACTTAAAAGACGACTTTAGCCAGCCGTGATCGTCAGAGAGGGAGCAATAGAACGGGCAGAACTGGCTAGTTTGGGTTATTAATTCTCGCATAACCTTTATTTTGTATAAAGTACGTTGGTCTCAATCGCTTTAGCTTTCCCATTTCAAGTTCCTCAGGAAATTGATGCTTTACAGGTGAGTTCCTACCATAACCCCATCGAAGAAGTGCCGGCACTAGTTAGTGGTTTCATGTTAAGATAAAAATGAAAAATTTAATGAGTGTGCAGCGACTAGTTAGTGGTTTCAGTTATGCGGTTACTTGATTTCCATTATTAATTAGAAGCGACGACATATTTCTCCACTTCTATTTTTCCTGGAATTCATGACAGCTCAATAAAGGTTATCGCACAGAATTTAAGTGTTTCTCTCCATCCGCTTTTCTCTCTGTCCAATTAGAAATGTGGAAATTCCAAACGCGAACAGAAAGCTGACCACTTCTATAGAATGCTCTGTGAACGGCATGGCACTGATGTAGGCAATTATTAAATGTATTTGGTTTTATCCACTGAGTCGATAATGTAAACTGGCCGCAGTAGAGAGCGTCAACCCAAGTCTCCTTAGCGTTGTAAGCTAATCCACTCGAAAGCATAATAATAAGAAAATCAAACATGTAATGGTTTCAGTATGAACAGTGATGAAAAGGGTAATCTAAGAAAAGGGTAAATCAGTTGTTCACAGAACTACAGGCACGAGTTTTGCACGCCTTTCTCTTACTGGCAATGACACTTTTTCCTCTTAAATTCTCGGGCATCCCTCATTTTGTTCCTTTATTGTAGACGGTACCTGCAAACTATTCACATCCACTGGACTGCATGAGTGATCTGCGAAATTCACGGCGAATGAACTTGGCGGGAGATCCAAGAAGTTCTGCCGCCTCTTTAAATTAATTTTTCTACAAATTATTTCTTAAAGGTATTGTGAATTCCCCCTGATGAGAATGTTCGTGACTTTTGTCGTTTTGGAGAGCTGTTGAGCTCTCGCCTGCCCCTTAGGCCCACCTTCTTCCGAGTGGTCTGAATCTCAGCCGATTAGCTAATTGGGAATTTGATTCATTATTTCTTTGGTTATTTGTAATGGCCGTTAAGCTGATGATTGACGCCAATGCTAGTGAGTGCAGGCTTTTAATAAATGGAGATCTTATTGCAAGTTTCGACGGGAAAGGAGTAGGAGGTATTTTTCCCAAGGAGGTGAAATTACCCTAATTACAGGAAGGCGATCGTTTCAATGTGAGATAAAATCTTTTATCGAGTGTTGGCGTTAGGGTCTGCCAAAGTAAAGCGTTTCAACAAATGCTCCTGTGTGCGCCCACAAGGAGAGGAAAAAAAATAATCATAAAAATTGAAACGATTGGTGGCATGTAGTTCATCTGGTGCAAACGCGTATTGCATGCGTAAGTCTGTATGCATATGACAGAACTCAAAACAGCGGCGCGTTTTGTTTCTAAGCATGAGAAATGATAAAAAACAACCGTGTCTGTTTAGACTTCATGCCATAATTTATTCAGAAATTAACCTGAACTGCAGTGTAGGTACAGCACGCGCCATTTGATTCACCCTGGATCTTGAGATGTTTTTTAAAAGATATATAATCCTTATCTTCCTCTTATCATTTCGAGATTTTCAAGGCCTGAATATGAAAAAGCCTTCCGGTCCCTTGTTACTTCCGTGTAGGTTTTTTTTTGTTTACATGTGGGTGGTTCAATCTTATGCGCATGCGTTCCCACAATTAATTTGCAGCTGCTTGGAAACCTTTAGAATTTTTATCATTCACGATTGAAATAACGATTCAAAAGAATATTGAACGCCACAGCGGTAAACGCTTTTTTTACCTCCTAGAATTTCATAGAAAAATTCTAGTGGACAATCTATAAATGCTCTTGAAATGAGGAATAAAAGTTAACCGCTAAGATATTTCAATTTCGTCTACTTCTTTTATTGCGTTCTCAGACAACCCACGCTTAAGTCATATGATACGGTGAGGTAATAACTTATTTCCCAGTGAATTAATTTTTTTTATCCCAGTGACATCGGTTTGTGGTCATCAAATTATCGCATTAATGCGACTTTAGTGAAGAGGCATGGTCTCCAACGGTCCTATGTGTTAAATTTTGGCGAAAGAAAGGTCGGAAAACGTATTCTATTATGTTTAACTAATCATTTTTTCACGATGCAGTTTTCGATGAAGCCCTCGAGGGGCACGGCTAGAGGTAACAGAGGGTTGTATATGTTGTCACGGAAACTGTTGTTCGGGTTAATCGTAGCGTGACAGCGTCACGCAAAGTTGTACTTTCTGGTAATGAAGTGCCCGTATGCACTTCACTCTGGCGTTTCACGCGGATAAAGTGTACTCGTAGGACATAAATACGGAATTAATGATGTGTATTGGAAATTGTTGACATGATTGTGAAACTACTTTGTCCAAGCTAAATGTTTAAGAAGCAGGCTAATTTAAGCAACCATAATGGAACAAAACGGTGAGTATTTCTAGCGAGTTGTTTTGAGTCGGCCGGGCAGTGAAAACAGCCAACAGCAGCACGATACGAGTTCGGCACTTGATGCTTTTTCCGAGTTTACTATACCGGCGGTGCATATGGAACCTACTAACTCCTAACTGAGTGTTTTTATTGAACTGTTCCAGGCTATCCAAGAACCAATTTTACCCAAGGTTCAAAGATATTCTGGCCGAACGGGACAGACCTTATGCAGACGAGAGCACGGCTGAACGGCCACGGAGGGAAATATGCGAAATCTGTAGCTGCCAAACGACAGAAAAAATCTGGAAACGCTGTTCGGCCGAAGAGAGCACTTCTGTGTCTCTCTCTCGGCAATCCAATTCGAAGTGCTGCCATAAATCTCGTGGAATGGAAATATCCTTTTAAATAGCAGTGGTTAACCTTTTAGAGAATATTTCTCGCGCGAATTTGGGTTTTGCGGTAGGGGTGTTTGGCTTCTCGTGGTCGTGCAGTTATTATCCTGTAGATTTTCTGTTGCCTAGTTTAAGGTGTTATTGGAACGAACTTCAAACGTATTCCTTGACTCTTGACTTAAGCCTTTCGATGTAATGATTCTGATCACAATTTTCGCAAATTGTGCCGCTCTCGCCGCGTATGAGCCTCTTCCAGAGAAGGATAGCAGTGAAATCAACGACAACCTGGTAAGTCTTTTTGATTACTTGTAAACGCGGTGTGCGGGTTTTCTATAATTTTCTGACATGGATGAATATTCATGCTGTGAAATGTGGTTGCGGCTTTTATACATCGTTGAAAATATCATCTGTTTTTGGAAGAGCTTAGAGCATGCGATCTTAGAGATCAAAGCACCAGTTAAAAAAATTATAATTTTTGCACAAATGTAAACGAGCGAAGTGCCACGCGAAAAATAAAAATATTCATGCGATTTATTGCTCTGTATACGCTTTACCTTGTTTTAGTTTCAAATGAATTTGTTATTGGCTCAACAACCTGCTAAAAGCCTAAATCTTTGGCAAAACGAGACTTTACGCGGTCCGAATTTTGTGTTTATACCATTGACAGTATTTACATGTATGGGCTTCGGTCAGCGATAACATTCTAGAACAGATGATCGGTGATCGAGGTGTCAGTAATTGTCTTTAGTAAAGTTTGTATTTCGAGCACCAGATACCTTTGTTTAGGTACAGAGAAATTAGATACAACTGCAGGCGTCGAGCGTAAATAGTGTGTGCATTTTTGCTAAGGTGAATATTTACTGTTTTGGAAGAAAAAAAAACCCAGACAACTCGCGTCGTCAGATGCGATTCTGCTATCACGAACGTACAGTATGTAAGCTAACCTGAAAAATAGAATCGCGGTTTTATAATTTTTATGAAGGTTAATTCATTCGATACAAAGGTAGAAGTTGATCGTGTTTCTCGCCAATTAAAGTTTAATGCTAGTCAAAGCAATTCGTTCGTGTAATCCGCCGAAATCGCCGTTGTCAATTTCACAGTCGTAAAATTGCGAAAAATGGATGACTCAAATGTAAACAGAACCCACCATGCTCCAGTGGGCTTCAGTTTTCCAGCTTTCAGTTACATCGACTTGACCTTTGCGAATAAGTACTTGTTTATTCATTGAAAATCAAATCGCTTCGGGTTTGCGTCTGTTCTATTTGCATCTCTTTATAGCGTTTGATCGGATCGGAAGAATTTTAGTTCTTAAAAATCGACTTCTTTCGAAAATAACTTTTTATTTGTTATTTCAAAAACTGGTTGATTGCACCGATGAAAAGATACAAATCAGTGAATTTGAGTGAGTTTAATTTCAGAGTACATTCTTATTGCTTGTGACATGCACAAAATACCAAACGTCTGTTATATAATCGCCATTTATCTCGGTATATATATTGAATTAGCGAAGGAAAAGTTCTGATTGCTCAACGTGAAAACTTTTTAATGAGGCAGTTGACATTTTTAGAACCCTGAGTTATTTAATGGTTGAATGGTGAATATCGTTGTTGATTCTTGCCAGTTAGCCGTCAGATTTATTCATGTTCTCAGAGTTTTACATATGTGTAGTCTGTGCATTTTGACGCCGATATATTCCGGTTCTTTTGTCCTAAGGTAAACACTCAGGTTTAAATAATTTCAGAAAAGAGGTGAAAATAATGAAATGTCGGATTTAGTGCAAAAAATAAAATGCTTATTCATAACTTTTTGATCTTGGTTTCCTTTTCCAAAACGGTAATTGGCAAAAAACATTTTTTCAAGGAAATATTGAAAATCCAGAACTGAGATTTACAGGTGACACAGTCAAAATCAAATTAAAAATAAAAACCTCAGTGAAGATATACATTGTATGTTTCAAAGTAATTAAAAATAAAATAGCTGGCTTAGATTTATATAGAATTAAGATGTATTTTGATCTTTTATGCACAGAGATTTCATATTTTACAATGTTAATCGATGTTGCAGCAAGCAGTCTGTTGGAAATTGATTCTCTTCAGTGAATGAAAACTGTTTCAGATCTTACTTTTGCCATATAAGTTGTCCTGATGATTATGTGGTCTACCCAGCTAAGATCTTTTGTATCTCTCTGCATATGTAATTAGCTCTAAATATAGCTCTTCAAAGCAGAAGCGTGTAGTGTGCTTTAGATAAAGTTTATTTTTCTGCTAGAGAGCTTCTTCAGTCTCCTTGAAAGGCTAATTGTGTTACCAAGCTTCAATGTGATGGCTGCTGCAAAATAAAAATTTTTTTTCCACAGCTTTGCTTTAATTTTGAATCAATTCTATACAAAGTTTTTTTACAAATAAATTATATGTTGTGTATGTTCCTATGACTTTGGTGAGGAGCTCAAAAATACTCTCCTAGTCGAGGTGACTGCCTCTTGTTTGATACCAGTAGTTTGATTGGTTGAAAAGTTGTCTACATAATTTTCACAAGACTGTCACTCCAATTAGTTAAAAAATATTTCAGAATAATTATGTAGCCCTTTGTTCTGACTTGAGAATATTCTTGACATGTGCTGGCTAATGTGGAATTTTGGACTTCTTTTTTTCTCGATTTGTATTTCAGTTTTGTGAGCCCAATTAAATGTGGTGAAATTCATTCAATTTGAACAGAATGGTATATAATCTAAAATGATTGGGACTCACAATGTGTAAACTTTACTATTTATGTCAGAAGAGGAAGAACCTTGATTTGTTTTTAAATTAACGTAGTTCAAAATTTGCAAAGAATTTTTAAAATGTTCTTCTCACATCAACCCAGGTCCCAACAGTATCACCCCTTAAATCAAACATTACGGTCATGAGAATAAAGGAAAAAATAGCAAGGTCAAGAATCTCTTGATTATTAAGCAAATTCTCCCTGTAAGTACCATGGGCAACATATAGAAAACAGAATAGAGAACTTGCAGGCTTATATAAAGAGGGGGGATTGGGGTCTATATTGGGAGGGGGGCATTGGGGTCTATATTTGGAGGGGGGGATTGGGGTCTATATTGGGATGGAGCCATTGGGGTCTATTAAAAACGGTAAAACTGTGGAAAAAATCATCCAAAACCTTTAAACTGCAAAATAATTCAATCGAAATTGAAGACTGCATGCAAAACTGTCAAAACCAATAAATTTCCTCATCCTAGTTATCAAAACTGTAATTGATCTAATTCAGTGGTGGATCATACAGAGATCAGTGGAAGTGCATAATTGCTGCTCAGATTGAAGAGGAACAGGATCCCAAATAGGAAAAAAATTAAAATCACATCAGATACCAAATCCAAAAAGCTATTAGTATTGTCAATGGAAACTGTAAACCAAATTCCAAAAAATGGAAAATCTGCAGACCAAAATAAACGCCAAAACCGAAAAACAGAAGGTTTTTAGGCAGAAATATTCAATAAACTGATCTTAATAAAATAAAACTGAACATGCCAAAGGTCAGAGTATAAAGGTTAACCCTTTAACTCCCAAGATCTCATTAGTAATTCTCCTTGCAGTCTGCCGTATAGTTCTTGTGATGTTTGTTTGGAGAATTTTGTATTCGATCAACTAATAACCCCCTAATCAATATTTTTCTTTATTCTCATCACTTGTTTGCTTGATATTGTATTGATGTTGTAAGGAGAAATTCTGTCTTGGTCACTCATGGGAGTTAAAAGGTTAAGGAAGCTTGACTAACCAGATGTCTAATATTTGTTTACAGGAAGTTGCAGAGTATGTGTTTTTGGCAGTTTTCACAATGGAAGCTGTGCTAAAGATAATAGCTTATGGATTTCTTTTCCACCCTGGAGCATATCTTCGTAATGGATGGAATATTTTAGATTTTGTAATTGTTGTAGTAGGGTAAGTATGATGCAATTATCTTTTATCCCCTTAAAAGTGATAAGCATGTAATTTCTCACAACATGAAGGTCACAAGAATTATGGAAATGGTTGTGAGGTCAAGAAGGGCTTGATTATTAATTATTAATTGATTATTATACTATAGGAAATGTATACAGAATGATATGGAGAATTTGCAAACTGATGATTGGGTGTAAAGGGTTTTGTTTTGTGAGTGTATGCTTTCTTTCTAGAGAGTAACGAGTGACACGAATTGATAATAATATTTTTTACATTTTGAAAGTGGCATAAAAAGAAAGAGGCATAGCAAGGATTTTTTTTTGGGGGGGGGGGGTTGGTTATTGATTTCTGAACACCTTAGTTACGTAAAGTAGTTTTTACCACTGATATTCCTTTAGTATTAGTAGGGTTGTTTTTGCATGATGCTAAGGTATAGAAAATGGAGTATTTAGCATTGAAGAAAGTTTTTTTTGCCATACAGATTTGTCAGATTCACTTCTTCACGAGCACAAATTCATGTTGTTTAAAGAAGGTTTCACTTTTACCTTAACAGTACATTTTTTTGAAAATTTCTCTCCTCAGAATAGCAACTATTTTAGTAAAAGCATTTCTGAGTTCAGGAAGTTTTGATGTGAAAGCTTTGAGGGCCTTCAGAGTCCTGCGACCCCTTCGACTGGTGTCTGGTGTTCCAAGTAAGTATTAACCCTTTCACTCCCATGAGTGACCAAGACAGAATTTCTCCTTACAATATCAAAACAATATCAAGCAGACAAGTGATGAGAATAAAGAAAAATATCAATTAGTGGATTATAAGTTGATCCAATATCAAATTCTCCAAACTTACATTACAAGAACTGTAAGGAGAATTACTAATGAGATCTTCTGAGTTAAGTATGCTTCATTACAATAATATGATAAGCTAAATAATATAACGTGCATTTAATTAGCTCTTGCCTATGATCTATTGGAGGACAGATGCATAGCTGAAGTGACCAAAAACAAAATTGTATTTTTTAAGCTTGTAAAACAAACAGATGCTGATCAAATTCAGGTTAAGATTCCTCTACCAGAAAGATGAACGCTCTAAAAAATTTGCCTTTCTCCCAATGTGTAGCTTCTTAGGTTAACCCTTTAAACCCTAAGAGTGATTAGCATCTAAATTCTCCTTACAACATAACCCCTGAATCACACACTAAGGTCATGAGAATAAAGGAAATGATCACCAATGAAAGAAGCTTTTGATTTGTAAATAAATTCTCCCTGCCAGCTCTTTAGGAAATATATGAAGAGCTGTATGGAGAATATTCATACTGATTTTGGATTGAATCTTTTTGAAGGCTGGATTTTTTCAGGCTTCCTTTATGCATTGGCTTGAATTGTCTTAATCACAGAATACCTGCAAGGATCGTTGCTTTACTTAACTCTTTAACTCCCAAGATCTTATTAGTAATTCTCCATACTATCTGCCAAACAATTGTCATTATGTTAGTTTGGAGAATTTGGTATAACATCAATTAGTAATCCCATAATTGATATTTTTCTTTTTTCTCATCACTTGTCTGCATGATATTGTATAGATATAGTAGGGAGAAATTCTATGTTGGTCACTCAGGGGAGTTAAAAGGTTAAATAATTCTTGCTGTAAGAATTTTTAAATTATTTAATAGATTTAAGTTGCTTCTTGGCCTCTGGGTATAATTTTTTAATCAGTTTTTTGATTTTGATATTTTTTTGTTGCAGGCTTACAAGTTGTATTAAATTCTATTATCAAGGCACTGATACCACTCTTCCACATTGCCTTGCTGGTAGTTTTTGTTGTGATAATTTATGCAATTATTGGTGTGGAATTGTTTATGGGTCGGCTTCACAAGACATGCTATAACAATGTAACAGGTAATTTTTCTCTAAAATACATTTATTTTAAAGCAGGTTTCAGTGTAGTGTGACAAAAATAATCCAGGATTGCTTGGGTTTTGCTTTACTTTGCTCTGTGATTGGTCTAGAAAAGTTGTGCCATTGACTCTCTCAACCAATCAGATGCAAACCTTATGTTAATCACGACTTGGTCATGCACATTTTGCTGTGCTTTATTTCAAATGTTTATTGGTTATAGTAACCCAGAATGCAATACAGTAAAGTATAGTTGGTTTCAGTGGGGTAATGAAGGACAAGATGTTTCTCATTTTTGCCAGGATGTGATGCTTTGATGCAAATTATTCCCACAGTTTAATTAGTTTTCAATTGATTTCACTGTTACCATCTATATTGTACACTCCTGGGAATGTTAGCATATTTTTTTTTTTGCCAAACAACACTAGACAGTGGCCTGTTTAGGGAGTTAACCTAGATCTATATGTCCAGCATTTGACACTCTTAAACATCAGGCCCCTTCAAAATGGAAGACCACATGCTTATGAAAAATGCATGATAGTAATCGAGAGGCAAGTAAATCCTAGAATCATCTGCTCTTCCATTTCTGACACCAGCTGAAGAATCATTTGAAGAACCTCACCCCTGTAGTTCTGGAAGTTCAGGATTTCAGTGCGATAAGGATGCAGGTCAGGTGTGTGAGGCAGGCTGGAAAGGACCCAATCATGGAATTACAAATTTTGATAATATTGGCTTGGCCTGTATGACTGTGTTCCAGTGTATTACGCTTGAGGGTTGGACTGATGTATTATACTGGGTGAGTTATTGGTCTGTTCATGTATCATACCAGTGTCCTAACAGAATTCAACCCCTCTTTATTTGGAATACGTTGTAGTTTAAAATGACTTTCAGATAAAAAAAATTGTGTTGTGGGCTCAGAGGAAAGTTTGATTCTAACCTGGTAGAATTCACTTCAGCTTTGAATCATTATCAACTACAACACAGGCAAATTCAGGTGATTGAGAATGTATACGATTAATGAATCAGGGTCTGAAATTGCGAATAGCTGGTCGATCATGCGATTGAATGATGATTGTTGGAGATCAGCATTTTAATGCTCATCGACAGCACGCGACTGACTTAGAGTCTTGACAGTAATGTTCATGCGAGCCAGCGTTCAGGGAACGCAACTTTCATCATTTTATTTCGCTTCGCTGTTATACACTCAATGGTGACCGTTTGCCAGTAGGAGTGTATTTTAAGCAAAAGAACGTCGTAAGAATTTCAGCCATCGTATTTAGTTGATTGGCGAAAATTTGTACGTATTGAATTTCCTAGCGACGACCAACTTCTTCCATACAGCGAATTGAGCAAAATTGATTAATCGCCACTGGGTGTTAGAGCAAAAATTCAAAAAGTTTATTTCGGATCCTGATAAGTATGATTGTGTGTTTTGCAGATAAATGATGCAGTAGGGAACTCTTGGCCGTGGGTATACTTTGTTACTCTGATCATTTGGGGATCTTTCTTCGTTCTTAACTTAGTTCTTGGTGTACTAAGTGGGTAAGTAACCGTGTTCTTTTCTGTTTTTTTGGTTGTTCTTTCAAATGGCAAGTAGGCATAATCAAACGTATATTCTCTTTTAATGTGCTTGTGACAAAATTAGTATGTAGTGTGGGATTGGTATCGAATTTATGCTCGTCTTTGAATAAATATTTTTTTCATGTTGAGACGAGAACAGGACAGAGAGATAATGTGAAATGTCTTCTGTAGTGGATGTGTAGCTTAACCTTCGTACTGTCAATTACATGCGGAACCTCTGGCCATTGAATTATTTTTTAATGACTTCAAACTAATGACGTTGAATGTTTTCCGAATACAGAGAATTTGCCAAGGAAAAGGCGAGAGCTCAGAAGAGTGGTGAATTCCAAAAGTTTAGAGAAAAACAACAAGTTGAAGATGCTTACAATGGCTACCTCGACTGGATTACACAGGCTGGTACGTGACACGTTAAAAGAAAAAAGTTTTATTGGTCATTTTAATCTTCGGGAAAAGGACTGACAGTTGCAAATCAAATTAGATTTGTTCATTAACAAAATTTGGAAAGATGTGAAAGTCAACTGATCCAGATTTTGAGACTTTTTCGCTGCGTCTCTTTAAAGGGAACTTTTCCACTCAGTTTTCCGGCTATCAACAAACCACTATAAGCAAGATTTTCCAAGGACCATTGCATTATATTTCACCTTAATCACTAAGGCAATTAGTGCAAATAGTTTTGGCAGCAGAAACAAGTAGTTTTTTTTATCTGATGACGTTTATTTAGGAAAAATTGCATCTTGCTGTCTTGTACGTAACCTTAATCGCAACAAAACTGCGAGAAAAATAGGAATCGATACGGATTTTGGACTGCAGGTCACTTGGTTAAAATGACGGAAGTATAATGTAGTCAGCAGACACATGTACACGCCTCGAACCCAGTGAATTTCTATATTGTTTCTTTAAACAGAGGACATTGAAGGCGACAGTGAAAGTGAAAGTGGTGATGAGTCAAAATCTTCCAAGAAGACCTGTAAGTATTGCAATGTATGTGACAGTCGTCAACGTCTAGATCGCGGTATCACATTTCTTTCAGAAAAATGTAGAGTGAATCGGTGATAATAAATACCTTAAGGTTATCTTTTGATAGGACGTGTTGTTCATCGGTCTCTTACAGTAAGGAATGCGACGTGAGGTGGTGAATCTGAGAAAGTGTGTGGCGGTACCTTGCGTGCTGTTATGCGTGCTGTTATGCGTGCTGTTATGCGTGATGTGAAAGCGAACGCGATACGAAAACTTCGTATTGTGAAAGGACTGTAAAATACGACTACTTGTTTATGGTTCATGAATTTAGACTTAATGGTGCAATTGGACGCTTGTGATTTGAAGCTTTATCACCGTAGCAAAATTTTAGGGTCAGAATTGACAAAGAAGAAAATTTCGGCCAGAAAGAGCGGGTTAAAGAAGTGTATATGGTTATAAGTATTCAGTACGATTTTAATAATTTTTTTCCAAAGCATCAAGACAATCCAGAACTGAAGACATCGAAATGATCGATAGAAGTGAGAGACAAGACAGTATTTCTCAACATGATGCGCACCACCATGGTTGGTGTCACAACGAGAAGTAAGGAGACTGTATCAATAATAAACCCTCACCTCCCCTTCGCCCTTACTAAGCGGTCAGCCTCGACTGGATGCACCAGACCCAGTTTCCCCGGCCTGTGTTCAAACTTATCGAAGGCAGGCTATTGGAGTGCCTTTCGATTGAGTAATGTGTCCTTTCCTTCCCGTCTTACTTTGCAACCCCTCCTCTCTTATCTCCCATCGTCTTCATTTTTCTCTGTTATCAACTTCTTCTGTGTTGTTTCGTTTTGACAGGAAAGTGTTAAAAAAATGGCATCACCGCGCTAGACGGGAGCTGCGTAAAGCAGTAAAAACACAAGCTTTCTACTGGATCGTCATAGTTGTTGTATTTTTAAATTCATTGACGCTAGCATTGGAACATTATGATCAACCTGACTTTTTAACCCAATTTTTAGGTAAGCTGTTTTATTTGTGTTTGTTTGTTTTTTATATTTGAGTTATTTGTGTTTTTCGCTTTTTTATGAAGAGACTATTCTCTTGATAAGTTTGGATATGAAGAAAGAATCACTTGAAGGTAGAAGAGCAGACCTCGCTTCTTACCTTGCTGTGCTATGTGGCTCGAAACAATGTTCTTTGAGCCCCACCAACCCCTCCCCTGAGGTGACATACCGCCAATGCGCAGATAGCTTTCATTTAATGTTGTTACCAAGGGGGAGAGGGCGAGACAACGCGTAAGGCGAGATAAAAAACTGACTTCCATCTGTTTTCCTTTCTTTCAGATATAGCAAATAAATTATTTTTAGGAATATTTACCATTGAAATGATAGTCAAGATGTACTGTTTAGGATTTCACGGCTACTTCGCATCGCTTTTTAACAGATTCGATTGCCTGGTAAGTTTTAGGAATAACAGATAATTAGAATAAATTATCATAAATAAATTATTAAAAAAACTTATAAAAGACGGAAATGTTTCGGCATGACTCATGCCATTATCAGTTTAATGTGTTGTACCACTGACTGTTTTTTTACGCGTTTCATGCAAAGACGTTATCAATTTAAATCGAATCACAATTTATAAATGTTTATAAGCCATTTATAAAATGTTCAGGCAAATGCGCGCGCCGTGATTGGTCAGAACGAGTTCATTATATTTCCATAAAGCACGCGCCTTACGTCACACAAGTGCACTGTTGAGATATAATGTACGCAGCCTACGTCATCGGTACTAGCGCGCGCAATTCACGATACATTTTATAAAAGAAATTAAAAAACTTTTTCCTCGAGCATTGCTGAGTTATATAAGCACGCGGGAATTTTTAAGAACACTCGAGAAGTGCAAGAAGCACTCGCCTTCGGCTCGTGCTCTCCGCACTTCTCTCTTGTTCTTAAAAATTCCCGCGTGCTTATAGAACTCAACAATGTACTCGGTGCGTTTTTTGTTTCTTTAATAAACGTCGTCTGTGGCGTCGTCTGTGATCTATTATTGAATAGAGGCACACAAACATATGAACTATTTCTTTAATTAATGTAGAGTTTGTATATCTATTTTAGGTGACTTTTCTAACTTCTTTTCCCCCAAGGTTGTAATTAGTAGTTTGTTAGAGTTGGCAATCACAGAAGCGTTGAAGCAGCCCCCTATTGGAATCAGTGTACTTCGATGTATTCGTTTACTTAGGATTTTCAAAGTAACCAGGTAAGGAACCCAACACTCCACACATAAGAGTGATGAACATGCAAATTCTCCTCACAATGTCGATACATTTTCCAGCAAATAAGTGAGGAGAATAGGTTCACATATGAAATGGAGGGTAGAATCTTTGTATGGTAGCAAACGTTGTTAATTATAAAATAATTCAAATAGTACGCGCGCTTTGATTGGCCATAAAACCATTTTACATGAGCGTATGTAAACACGGTTTTCGTTCCTCTTTCATTAGTGATTTACAAGAGAAATGTAAAATGGTTTTCGTGTTTACATAGCCTGATGTAAACACGGAAACCATTTTACATTTCTTCACTATAACTCAATGAGATTATTAACTGGGGGAGAATTACCAATGAGATCTTGAGAGTGACAGAATTATGCGCAATAGTAAGATATAGGGTGCAGGGCATTTTTAGTGGCAGTTTATCATCCGTGACAACCCTGTTTTCTGACGATAAGAATGCATAGTATTTTGCAATGGAATTCATTCCTGTAAATACGTCAGCATGGTGCGATAACAAGATGGCCCCAGTTGACTATGTCTTATCGTTGGCGCTGTTCTTCTGGTGTACACTTAACCCTTTAGAGCCTAAAAGTGACCAGCATTAAAATGTTATCTCTCCTAACAGTAATACTGCTGAATCATTTATTAAGATCACGAGAATTAAGGAAATGATCGCCAACCTATGAAACTTAGATTGTTAAACCGACTCTTCTTGTCTGTATCCAAAGAAATTTGAAGAAAAGAGAATGGAGAATCTGTGTACTGATGTTAGGGTGTAAAGGTTAAGGGGGTAGTCCCGGAAATCAGCTTGTCGGTCAGACGTGGTTATTATGGACTATCGTTGGAGACGCGGTGGCTTAACGATTAGCGCGCTGACTCCAGGTCGAGAGGACTGGCTTCGAGACTTGGCCGAGTCATCTTGTATTGTAAGGCATGACGTGCGTGACTCGTTGTTTTTCCTTCTGATTCAGATACTGGAGCTCACTTAGCAACTTAGTGGCGTCACTGTTGAATAGTATGAGGTCTATAGCTGGTCTTCTGTTGCTGCTTTCACTATTTATGCTCATTTGCTCACTGCTTGGGATGCAGATCTTTGGTGGAAAGTAAGTAAAGATTTTTTTTATGTGCAGGTTCTCGCTCAAATGATTACGTTTCCAACTCTAGTTTCACTCGTTTCTTTTCGGTACTTCCAGAGTGCGGTTGTACTCACCTCTAAGTTTATCGGACCTTCTCTCTGTTTATTTCTCTGTTCGTACATTCTGTCTGTCTGTCCATCCGTTCGTACTAACGCATTTGAGCTATTACCAACCGCTGCAGAATATTTAGTGTAAACGCTTCAGTTTAAAATTGTGCCTTTTTATACATTTTTTTCTTTCTCTTTTTTTCTCTCTCTTTTTCCCCGTGAAGATTCAATTTAGGCGATGACGAAATTCCTCGCAGTAACTTCGATTCCTTTTGGAGAGCTCTTATAACAGTTTTCCAGGTAAGATTGGTGAATTGTTGCTATTTTTCTGCAGCTCAACACGTTAGAATAAGTAAAATATAATCCTTTATTATTTGTTTTTGAATATTATGTAAACAGATTCTCACAGGCGAGGACTGGAACGCTGTAATGTATGACGGCATCCGTGCGTGGGGTGGTATTGGTGAAGGAGGTTCAGCGATTGCCATCTTGTACTTCATATTCCTCGTTGTCGTTGGCAACTGTATCCTTCTAAATTTCTATGTTCTTTGTCCTCTTTAATTATTTTTTTGTAATAAGTGGAAAGGTCAGGAGAGAGATACTTCTTCGCACAAAGGAGTGCGTTGCTCGCCGTCTCGTGCAATAACTTATCACCAGGCTCTCATTATTAGCGCTCCGGCTCGAGCGTTTCCTCGCTCGCGAGGAAGTCTTGGAAACACCTTGAGTAAAGCGAGTCAGTGAAAGATCTGCAAGGGATTTGGTACTAGTAACTATCAAGTTGTCAAAATATTGACGACCACTAAGAGCCTGGAATCGGAAAAACAATGACATACTCCCAGACCCTTTCAACAAGGATCCGCTCCTAGGCCCTTATATTGAGGGTCCGCTCTCAGGCCACTCGCTCAGGAGGTCAAGTTATTTCTTGAAGACAGCACTCCTATCAATTTTTCTTTCTCCTGGTTGAGTAGTTTTGCACTATTTTCTATTCTTACTCTGGGGTGAAGCAAAGTTGTTGTTGTTGCTGATTGAAAATCTGTTTTTAGGGCAAAGCTACCCTTTTTATGATTTACAACGTATCATTTGATTAAAAGTTTCTTCTAAGGTAGCACAAGGAATTTATGAGTTAACACGTGGAATGACTCGTGGAATTCCCTCAAGCATTCCATCATTCTTGGAAGATCTTTTTGTCCGTTTCCATTTGCCTTGATTTACCATTAGTCAAGCGCATATTTAGTAGCCTTTTTATCATGATATGTTTTTGTGTGAAGTCTTTGACTGTTAAGGTTCAAAATTGTTCTTCAATACTGTTGAGGCCATTTCTTAGACCTAACGCCTCCGCTCACCAGAAAATAATAACTTCATGAGCGGTTTCGCGCGAATATTTCTACAAATTTTACTTTGCCGAAATTAAAACATCGTTTTTGTTTTGTTATGGCTTGCGAGATTCCTTGACATTTATTAGACATCCTTTTGAATGTCTTCTTGGCCATTGCTGTCGACAATCTTGCCGACGCTGAAAACTTGACAGAAATGGAAGAAGAGAAGAAAAAGAGGAAGGAGAAAGCGAGAGAAAAGGAAGCCTTAAAGATGAAGGGTTCCTTGGATTCACAAAGCAAGCTTGACGCGGATGGTGCTGTCGTACCCAATCACAGTTCAGCGTCACGGTCAAATGTGTAAGAGCCAACTTCTTGTATGCGGGGACTGGGTAGAGAATCAACAGAGATCACAGTATCTGTCGAAAGTGTTGCAAGGCGACATAACATGTGTTGTGACCTGATAAACATGTGACAACTGTTTGACACCCAAATAATTTTTTTGCAGACGAGAAGTGTGCAACGTTTCACCATATCGAAATAAATCCTTTTCTTCTTCTTTCCTAGAACACTTGACAAGTCAACGCAAGAACTTCATTCCACGGGAACTCTCAATGGAAATGGTGTTGCAAGAGTAAGTTTAACTTTCGATGGAAAATTGTTGGGTATTGTGGCTCACTTCTTTGACCTAAGATTGCATCGCGTGACTATACTCACGTTATATTGCGTGACCTTCTCTTTGAGTAAACTGTATTACTTAGTCATGGTCACGCAATCTTGCGTGTGACAGAATTTTCTCTTTCCCCCTTAGTGATCGATAGAATCGATCTACTAGTTGGTTAACGATAGTAAACGATCATTCCACGTATGGTTTGTAAAGAAAGGAACCATTAGCATTAAATTGGCTTCGTTAGATAGCGCCTACTTGTCCCATTTATGCCCATCAAGTGTAAAAAATGAAAACTTTTGCAACTACTCTAAAGAGAAAACATTTTCAAAATGTTTTAATTCTAGTATGGACAATTTTAACGAAGAGGTCTGATCATAATGGTAACGCATTGAGTGTCACAGTCCAAATTAGAGTCTTGTTCCACGATAAAAAGTCTGGGTTCGGGCTTTTTTTTGGTTAGTCATATGTACGAACACCACGTTTGTTTCTTTCTTCCATCTTTTGTTTTTCTCCGACCAGTCTACTCGTTCAAAACCTGACATAGTTTTAATTGTTTTCTTTCATCATTGCTAAGAGTTTAAATGCGACTTAAGGTATTTTAACTGGGCCAAAGTTATAGTTGAGGGAGTCACATGAGAACCTCCCTATTTAACTTCTCCTCACAGACAGCATCAAACGACGACGTCGAAGCCCAATCTACCGATATTTCCGTGATTGGAGGATCAAAATCTGCCGTCAATAGTAAGTCTTGCTTCTCTTATCGTTTTTGTTCTCGTTTCTCTCGAGCGTCAGTTGTTATTTTAGAGCGCATTTCGTTCAAGTGTCGTAAGAGGAAAGAGCCAATCAGAGCGAATGAACATAACGCAAGGAACCAATAAGAACTCAAAGTAAAAAGAAGTCAATTGTCTTGAACGCGGGAAAACGCAGACGACAAAGTTGCGAGTCGCATCTGATTGGTTGAAAGAGAGGCGTAAGTTTAATCGACCGATTACAAAGCGGATCAAAACAAAACCCACGGAATCTCAAATTGCTTTGGACTCTGCTTTGAAAATTGCTCTAAATGTCATTATTTTCTCTTTTTTTTTGTTTCTTTTTGGTTCAGACAACAACGGGAGTAGTAGTGCTACTTCAAGTGAGGATATCGACAGGGCACCAATGCCCCCAGAGTCATCTTTATTCGTTTTCTCCCCAACCAACATGTAAGTATCAACCCTTTGATTCCTAAGAATGACCAGCATCTAATTTCTCCTCACAGTATCACCCCTGAATCAAACATTAAGGTCATGAGAATAAAGGAAATGATCACCAACTGAAAAGGCTCTTGATTGTCAAACAAATTCTCCCTGTCAGCACCTTAAGAAATGTGTAGAGAATATTATGGAGAATATTCAAACTTAACTGAGGGTTAAAGGGTTAAATTAAGTAAAGTGTGAGTATTGTGCCTATTTGAAATGTAAATATACCTTTATCTGGCGCAAAGAACCTCATCATGACTCTAAGCAAAGCAAAATGCTTGTAGGGAGGGACGTAGGCTTGAAACGCTCCCTTGATGTTGAGTCAAAATGCGGAGCGTGATGGTGCGACGCGTTTTCAACTTGATTGAAGGATATCAGTTCGAGCGTTAACACCGTAAATGGTTTGAACCCAGGAGTAATAGCCAATCGTGATTTCTGATCGTCCGGACAAAAGCTTTCCTTCAAAGAACTGTTGTCGGTGGCAATGGCTGACGTTTCGACTTCCTGAGCGGAAGTCATCAGAGGCCAATAAGAAGTTGTGTCAGTCGAGTGTTTTGAACTATTTGCTAGTAAAACGCGATGATGACTTTCAACTTCGACCTTTGACCATCCACCTTTGACTTTTCACTTCTGACTTTCGACTTACGACTTTTGACCTTTGACCTTGACTATTGACTCTCAACTTTGACATCGACTTTGGACTAGGGACCTTGACTTTCAACTTTTAACCCCGACTTTTGAATTAACTTTCGACTACGGCTACTTTCATTGTGACGATCATCACTAACTAACACGAGAATTGTTATTTCTTTTTCTTGTCAGATTCCGCGTCGTTTGCTACAAGATCGCCACCAACACATACTTTGTTAATTTTATTTTATGCCTCATTATTGTGAGCAGTATTCTGCTGGCGGCTGAGGATCCACTCAACGCTAGCGCAAAGAGAAATCAGGTACGGTGTCAGTAAAGCAGATGACTTAGGAGGATGTGAATAAAGCGGTGCACTTGCAACCCCAAGATCCTTGGTGTGAGTCTAAGATCGGATTCCCTCATTGCCGAGTGGTTTGCCTCTTACCAGCTGAGATTTTCAACCATTTCTTGCTTCATTTGAATGATTTGCCTGGCTTAGCCTCACTGGTATATGTTCTATAAACATTTCCTTGTGAAACCAAAATCATATATTTGATGAACAATGTCTCTAAAGACTCCTTTCAGGTGACCTTTGGGGAAGTGGATAAGCTTTTGTTACTCAGGGTTCTTTTCTTTAGGATGGGCCTCCGCTATAATATTATTTGTCTTAATCTAGTATTTATTTAACTGAAATCACCAATAAGCTCGTCCAGTTATATGCAGCTTCATTCCTACTGACGCTTTTAAAATGTCTTTTTTTTTCTTTTCCTTGCAGGTTCTCAACTATTTCGATTATTTCTTTACATCCGTGTTCACTTTGGAGATTCTTATCAAGGTAATCGTGACACAATTTCATTGAGATCGCCAAATGTCATTTTGATACATTATTTCCGCGATGTAAAGTCGCGTAGTTTTTCACGGTTTGTCCTGAAATAGTGTGTAAGTCCAAATTATCAAAGTTTCTTAAAAATGGACCAAACGGGAGGACATTTTTTGTGTCGAGAATAAAATTTTTAACCAAAGGTGGGGTTTCATTTTTTCCTTCTTTCAGTTTGTGTCCTATGGACTTATCCTTCACAAGGGATCTTTCTGCCGCAGTGCGTTCAATCTATTGGATTTACTAGTCGTATCCGTTTCTGTAATCTCAATAAGCCTTAAGTAAGTGTTGGTAAACATCTTATTTTGATTTAGCCCTGGTCATCAGCTTAAGATCATAATGTAGTGGGATCGCTTGAGTGCTGGTTATCATTAATTGAAAGGTAGACTTTGGAGTATAGGTTTCGAGAGTAGAAATCACCCATGAGGTACTTAAGTATTAAGTATTAAATACGCTTACTCCGTGGGATTGCTTTTTTTAAGCAGCGTTTTTCTAGAGATGTAGACAGCCATGATCTGTGAAATAGACGTCGAAGGGTTTGATTGAGCAGTTGGGTGAACCAAGGGAAATTTTTCATTGTTAACCCGCGAACAAGACGCCTATACAGTTAGTAAGATGGTATACTCACTTCTGTGTTCAATGATTTTCCTCAGGGACTCCCAGTTTTCTGTTGTCAGAATTCTCAGGGTTCTCCGAGTGTTAAGACCTTTGAGGGCGATTAACAGAGCAAAGGGACTCAAGGTACGTCTCCCGTTGACTGACTTCAACAAATACAATTGTCACCTTGCTGATTGAATCTGATTGGTTGAGGAAGTGGCGTGAGTTTTCTGGACCAATCGTTTAGCGTAGTAAAGCAAACTAAATCAACCCAGACTTATTAACGACACCCATTTGAAAATTACTCCATAAGAACTAGTTATCTGAACTAATTCATATAGAAATATATTGCAGCGAGACGGGAAAATTAAAAACCAGACCTCAGAAGTTGAAAAATGTTAAATTGTTTTGTGTTTTGTGTGTTTTGTTTCCTGCAGCACGTGGTACAGTGTGTCTTTGTAGCCGTGAAAACGATAGGAAACATCATGCTTGTTACCATGCTGTTCCAGTTTTTATTTGCTGTCATCGGTGTTCAGCTATTTAAGGTAAGATCTTAGGGTACTACCAAACTCTGCAAAACCGATATTTGAAGAGGAAGCTGGAAGGTGCGGGGGAGGGGGGCCAGTAAGTAATTTTAGTCGGGGTTGGTGATAAAATGTAAAACAACTTCAGGCTGGGTGCTCCTCTACATATTTCAATTCCATGCGTGAGGGGAGGGTGGGGGGGCAATGTTTAATCCGACGTTGGGGGTGGGTTATGGGAATATCACGTATCTACTTATTCTGTTAGATTTTGTTGTGATTATTAATAATTAATTTTTTTTTCCATTCATTTGAAAGGGGACTTTCTTTTATTGCACTGATGAGAAGATGCTAACTGCAGAGGATTGCCAGTAAGTCCTCTAAAAATAGTTTTAATAGTAGATGAGCACGAGGGACTCATTCTTGGGCGCGAACGATTTTTCATTTGCCGATCGATGTAATTAACTTTGCTTTAATTTCTTTACGGGAAATTTTTAAGTTAATAGAGGAGCTTAAAGAATAACTATAGTTATCTAGGATATGATTCAGATTCACACGATGACTGCGTTTAAGGATGTTTTATAAGAAGTAGTCAGCAGCTTACATTTTAAATCTACGTTTTTCGATCTCCTTTAGAGAAATTCTCGAAAGCATTTCATCAAATTATTTTTGCATAGGGTTAGGGTTAGTTGGTCGATACAAACTAATGTGATTTAATTTCTTTCAGGGGGACCTTTAATGATTTTAATGGACCTGGATTGACAAACCCAGAGGTTAGTTCCTATGTGTTGATAGATTTTTGTAAAAGATCCATGATTACCCAATCGTGACCCGAATGGTAATCTCGTTATATACGAAATTTGCACAATGCCTAGCTAGTGTTCTTCGTGCGTCTTTGCACACAGGGCCTCGGCCAGAGAACACCGATTATCTTTTTCGGTTGCCAGTCTGTCAAGCTGTCCCCCATTTCCAGCCTTTTTCCCTCAGTTTCCTTTCTTCAGTTGTCCTCCAATGCACAATTCATACTGGAATTTATATAAATTTTTGTCACGTTTAGCCACAGAGAGTTACTAACCCTTTTAAAATTCCCGACTTGTTTACTACTTGAATTAAAAAAAATGGTAAGTTTTAAGCTCGGTAAATATATAGAGGAAAATGTTGTTTCTCTTGTCACGAGCGTGGGACAAAGACAAATTCTGGGTCTTCATGAGGAATTGAACCTCAGACCTTCGGATTCCGCGCTCCGATGCTCTCTGTGACCCTACGGGCTCCTGCAGTTTTGATGTCTTTGAAAAATGTACACGTTCTAATTAACACCAAATTGCACTCGAAATCATTATTACCAAGACTATTTGCACTGATACTTTTTTTAAACACTACTAACACTATTTATACTACTATACCAAGGCCACTTGCATTACAGCACTGGCGTCACTTTTAAAACTATCAGTTTCATGTAAAACGACATTGCTAGATAAAATTTTTAATAACAACTAATCAACTCTTGCTCGACAGGTGAAAAACAGAGAATGGAAGAAACATCACTTTAACTTTGACAATGTTGGTGAAGCCATGTTGACACTGTTCACTGTGATGACCTTCGAAGGATGGCCAGGGTAAGTGAGCATGCATAATGCGTTAAATCGTAGCGAATGATTCAAATTGACACATTTAAAGAGAAAATGGGACGACGATTGTTTAATGCGGGTTAAGGTCTTAGTCAAGTATCATTTGCATCTCACCTGATTTTTGTCCAGTTCACAACCTTTGTACTCCTCCTCTCCTTCGCTAATGGGGGGAGTGGAACACTTTTCAACAAACTCTCGGTTTTAGTTCAATAGGAATTGCATGAAAAACAGTATGGGGAGTATGCATATTGATGTTAGGATGTAAAGAGAACTTTTTTCATCGATGTAAGACGATTGAACAGCGTTTAGGTTTTTCCATTTCGTTCGCTCTGACTAAGGGCTAACGCTCGAAACGTCAGCTTTGAAACTCGTTGATAATACTAAATTACCCTGATTGAACATCGATGTTTTCTTAGAAAAGAAAAGCATTTAACAAACAAGATTGAAGCAAAAAGGAGCAAGGATAGTAAAGGTGGAAAAGGTGAACAAGGAATCGCTCACAAAGAACTTTTCAAAGTTGGGCTTAACAGCTACAGAGCTCCTTTAAAATACCCGGGGGGCGATTACTCGCGCAAAACTTCATTTTTCTGTTCTTCAATCCGCCTATTTATGCCTTTAGATTAATCATGGATATAGTGGACTCAAAATCTGCAATCAATCTACTGCCTCAAATTTGCCTAAAGTTTCCTAAATTTTTTGTTTTCTCTTCTCGATAGGATTTTGGAGAATTCCATCGACTCCACAGAAGTCGACAAGGGTCCCAACCAGAACAATCGGCCGTGGGTAGCCATCTACTACATTATCTACATCATCATCATTGCCTTCTTTATGGTCAACATCTTCGTTGGCTTTGTGATCGTCACTTTTCAGAGCGAAGGAGAAGAGGAGTTTAAAGGTTGTGAACTGGACAAGAATCAGGTGAGATGCAAATAATACGTGACTAAGACCTTAAGCCGCAATGTATTTTGGTGTCACGGCGACTACGCACCAAAACGAACCACTAGTAGCGAAATGCTGAATTACGTAAATTGCTACGAATAATCATCGGACGTCGTGGTTTTACTAAGGGTAGCAGTATGGGAGTCGTAATGACGCGACTTTAAATCATTCGTAAAAAGCAGCTTTCAATTAAATGTCGAAAAACCCAAACCTAAGTTATCCCAGCCACCAGTCATAATAAAGGTTTACATTATCATCAGCCAATGAGAACCAAACTGAAAACAAGCAAAACGCTCGAAGCGCGGGAAAACTCGATTGACCAATTCACGATTGTTTTCAGTTTTACATCTGATTGGCTCAGAGAGAGTGGTGCGAGTTTTCTGGACCAATCACAGAGCAAAGTAAAGCAAAACCAGCGTTGAAAATTGCTCTACGAGTAATAATTTTATCACAGACGTTTCCCCCTGTTATTGACCCTCTGATCGTAAGTTTCCTCGAATGACTGTGTGTTGTTTTTAGCCAGTCTTTGGTAAGTTGAAAGAAATTCAACGCCCGTAATCTCGACTAATCGAGTGGAATACGTTTGAAACCATAAGCGAATTTACCGAACGCGTTTTCCTGCGCCAAGAGCTGCATGAAAAAGAAAAACAAAAGCCTCTTCCCTAAAAATCAATGATGAAATCCGCTTCGAAACCCAACCACGCTATTTTGATCACCGAGATATTACGTTATGGCTTAATTCCTTCGATGTAACGAGCAATGTTGTTATTTTTTCTTTTCTCAGCGTCAGTGTATAGAATTTGCACTGAGAGCGAAACCGCTGAAACGTTACATTCCTGAGAATCGCCTTCAGTTCCATATATGGCGCGTGGTTACGTCACAAGCCTTTGAATACCTCATCTTCGCGTTCATTGTGTGCAACACAGTTGTTCTGATGATGCAGGTATGTCCAACTTTCATAGAATTGCGTTACTCCTTTGGGAAGTCTCGCACATCATCGCCTAAGCTGTCTGAAGAGAGAGATCCTACTTTGAAAATAGGGGCATTTTGTAATAAGGGGATTGTGGTGCGTAAGAAATCTCCGCCTGGCCTGTGATACGCTGTTATTATTAGTTTGGGCTTCAACCAAAAATATCCTTTTGACTGTGTCCCTCTTTCAGAATATCACAAGCTTTCGTTATTTTTCTGCATCTTGTGTTGTTTTTCGCTTTTGCGTGTTTTTTTTTCATAGTCCAGAGTACTAAGTTTGCAGATTTTGACCCAAATTCCTACCCGCTCTTTGGACTGCAAAGAACATTCATATGTCTTACTAGAAGTTACTTCTTTTGTGTTGCCTTGTACTAGTATTATCAAGAACCTAAACTTTACACAAGAGTGTTGGACGGTTTCAACATTGGTTTTACAGCAGTTTTTCTCTTGGAGTGTATACTGAAGCTCATCGCGTTTAAACCAAAGGTTAGACAAACATATTATGTTGTCTGTAGTCCTCATAAGAACCCTCTTGCGAGCGTCATGCATTAATGATCGAGATTGTTTCGTTTGATACGTCTCGAAGAGTAGTACCCAATGTGAAGAAGCGGTTTTTTGATAGTTCGAAATCAATTGCTACGTAACGTTCTGTGTGGCGTAGGGAAGCGTATCATGAGAGCTTTAAGTAACCCATCACGTAATGTTTTCCCCTCTGCTGAGTCGTAACACTTTGCAGTCTCTAACATAAGGGCAGGTCCTCATTACTACCGCTTTGGCACGCACGTTTCTTCGCTCGCGGGAAAGTATGTGGCCTTGAACCACGAGAATAGACGAGAGGTGTGCTAGGGGTCTGGCACTAAAAAATTATTTGATGAATCACTGTTAGTGCCAGACTCCCAGCAAAACTCCCCGTCTGTTCTGCCGCCAAACAGTTGTTACGGATAGCGAGTCTCTGTTGAAAATTGCATCAATAGTATCAGTCGTGGCTAGGATTGAGTTCCATTGATCAAACGAAGGAAAAGGTCTCAACCCTCGAGGCAGAAGTTTTAATCTGAACTTTTATTCCTCAGTCCAAATGTTTTACACTGACTCTTGTTTTCATCCAGAATTATTTCATGGACAGATGGAATCTTTTTGACTTTATCATTGTGGTTGGCAGTATTATTGATATCACAATGAATGAGGTGTCGGTAAGTACATTCACCTAGAAATCCGCTGGCTAGTCTTATGAGTTAAATAAATGAAGTAACTTGCCTACGAGCTAAGTGATCTAGATCGGCACACGCATGACAGCAAGAGGGAACCTTTCACGCGTGCGTTTCTGCCCTCTCACGCGCGCGTTTCTGCCCTCTCCCGCGCATGGTACTCGCACTTCAAGTTAGCAACCGCTTGTTAGGCATTTAGATGGTTTTCTTGATCGACCCCTCTAAATATGAGGTAACATGACTGACACTATCAGTATTCAAATTAAAATTAAAGCTGCTATTAGTTTTTACATCCAAGACGATTCGGTAAATTATAGATTGCAAAATACCAAGTCTCCCCAGTCTCACTCAATTCGTTTTACCTCTCGCACAGTCCCTTCATGCAAAACAAGAGCTTCTATGTTTTACCTGCGCAAAAATACTGACTATTCCGTAGTTTAATGATACATGTTCAATAGTTTCACCATTAATTTTTAGTTGTTACTTAAAAGAAGCATTGCTTGGAGGTTTGTTCTCCTCCCCTTCAATAAAACATGATCAAACCAGTGCCTATAATACGACATATTTTTAACAGTTCTCCATAAATCCGTAAAAGATTTACTTTATTAGCAAGTGAATCGGTTTATACTTTCACTTTTTCCTTAAGCTCGTGATAAATGCCCACACTAGGTATCCTAACAACTAAATCATTTAAAAGCATAAAGACACTTTACTTCTTCTAGGATGTTTTCAGAAGACATCGAGGTATTTCGGAGCTGGAGTTAGCAATGGATAGTGGCTCCGACGGGCATATTCAGAGAATTGTAAGACAATTAAAAAAACCTAACTTAACATTTAAAACTCGTCGGGCCCATTTATGTGGTCTGAAGTACCCGAGACAACCATCCCTGAGAGTTACCGTGACTGAACTTTTATGAAAAATTTAACTAATTGTTACCATGAAAATTGCAAACTATTCAGGGGGAGAGTGGTATCGCCTCCACAGTTAGGGTTGCCCTATTAGGTGGGACAACTATTTTTTCATAAAAACATTTCGGCTTACCCGCCAGAAATGAAACGGCTTAAATTTTGACGAACATGTAGCCTTTCTTGCCGTCACGAGAGAGACTGGTGATCGAGGGGAAAGCTGTTGCAACTCACAACTCCATGAAAGCGCTCCGCAAAGTTGTCTCGAGGAAGGGAGAGGTTTCTCGGATACCCGTGACAATGTAAATAGCGCCTCAGTTTCAAGACCAAAACGCTGGCCGCAACTGATTGCGAGTTAGCTAACCATTACTTTAAATAAAATATTGATAATTTTTTAAGCGCTGATGATAAACCTATGTACCATATAAAGAATGAAGAATGAAATACAGTCTTAAGATTCTGAATCTGGTTTGTCAATAAAGTGTAAAATTGTAGAGCGCTTAAAATCGTACAGGAAGAAACATTCGTTAATGTGTATCTGTCAAACGGATTAAAAAGAAACTGAAGGATGCATAATGGGCGGTTAACCGCACGCGAAGTGTTCTAAATTTTTTTTTCTGACGTTCTAATGGGTAACCATTTCTGCGTATAAGAAGGCTGAAGCGTGTTAAAGCGCGTGACCTGTATCTACAGATGATTTTAAGTCGTTGAATGGTTGCGCAAAACATTCAGCAGAAGCTGTGAAAGGGTTGTGACTAAGCTTCACAGTTAAACTACTTCCATTATCATCTTGTTTTAAGTAAACTTCAAGCAATGAATATTGTGTACTCACGGATTAAAAACTTTCACTTGAAGGATCAAGCTTAAAATTGATAAATGCTCATCAAAAAATCAACGTAATACATATTCGTAAAATGATCCGCGCCTGGGAGAATTGTTTTTTGACGAAGCATGTGGCTCGTCTATTTATTATTATTATTATTATTATTATTATTATTATTATTATTATTATTATTATTATTTTCTTCCTCTTCAGAGTGAGCAAATGTTTGCTTTTGGTTTCTTCCGTTTGTTTCGAGCCCTGCGTCTCGTCAAGCTGCTCAACCAAGGATCTGGGATCAAGACTCTCCTCTGGACCTTTATCAAGTCATTTCAGGTGAGCTCTTCCGATAATGTCCCTTCTGTGGAAGTCGTTGTCAACTTCCCCCCTCCCCCTCCCCCTTCCCGTATCCTTCTTAATTCCTGACAGTTACCCACTATAAATTAATTCTTATTTTCTGTTCTTTTTTTCTAGGCTCTTCCTTATGTGGCTCTTCTCATTGTCATGATGTTCTTCATCTATGCTGTGATTGGGATGCAGGTATGATGGCAGTTTTCAAAGAGAATGACTTGTGATTGAGTGTTGAAATATTAAAGCTTCATTAAACTTTTCTTTGCTCCATTGCCGAGATTTTTCTCCCAGTCCCTCGCGTACAATGCCCAAATTGCAGCCACGACCGTCTAACCTAATAATGCAACAAGTGTACCTCCAAAGGAGAGCAAACCTCTTTTCACGAAGTGCAATTAAGTAAATTTTTAAACAATGATGATAGCTGCTTTATATCCTTTTATTCTGTTTCAGATGTTTGGTCGTATTGCTATCGACTCCGACACGGCGATCAACAGAAACAACAACTTCCAGACGTTCCCACAGTCTCTTATGGTACTTTTCAGGTAAAGGGAACGCTCACTGTCTCTCTTTTGTGATTTGTGCACCGCTACAAAGCTATCACAGGGTTCAGTGCTCACTCTACTTTACATTTTTATCCGTAGGTCCGCAACGGGTGAAAATTGGCAACAGATAATGTTGGCGTGTACGCATCGAGATGACGTTAAGTGTGACGCGAAGGCCGACCCGCAGGACCCGTCGGGATTATGTGGCTCAGACTTTGCCTATTTCTACTTTGTTTCTTTTTATTCCATCTGTTCGTTCTTGGTAAGAATGGCTGAAATTTTGGGATAAATGGAAAAAAGTGCCTGGTTTGTGAATAATGATTTCTGTGGGTCTATCCAATTAAAGGGGTTCTGGCCTATTTTCTCCCGGTCCTTTGTACTTACAAAGCAAAGATTGCTTCAAAGTGGGAGAAGCGTGACGTGTATAATTTCCACCATTTCCAGTAGTCATTTCTCTCGACACTTTCTGTTTTAGTCAACTGTGTGTAGCATATGAGGTAAAAACATGGAAGGGTCGTATTCATGATATGTGCTTCTTTGTGGACTGTTCTCAGCCGGTCTTTCATTTCTACGAAAAAGCACCTGTATGGATATCGGGATTATTAAAAGTTATGACCCATTCGTGTGCAGCCCCATCACATTTTCATCCATTTCACTCCGTTGTAGATAATCAACTTGTTCGTTGCCGTCATCATGGACAACTTTGACTACTTAACTCGTGATTGGTCAATTCTTGGGCCCCACCATTTGGACGAGTACGTGAGGGTCTGGTCCGAGTATGACCCAGATGCGCATGGTTGTGTAAAGCACGTGGATATAGTAACTGTTCTAAAGCGAATCGCCCCTCCTCTGGGATTTGGAAAGTTTTGTCCTCACAGAGAGGCTTGCAAGGTAGATACTACTCCAAATAGTGAATCCAGCGTTTTTCTATCAATTGTTGTGAATCCAAAACCCGAAGTAAATCACAGTGGTTTGGAAGTTAAAACGCCATTTTGACACCAAATCATGAGAACATTTGTTCATTTTTTTTGTACAGCGCCTGGTAACTATGAACATGCCGCTGACCAAAGACGGAATGGTAGACTTCAATGCGACACTGTTTGGACTTATCCGATCATCCTTAAACATAAAAAGACCTGAAGGTACGACATCGAACAGTACAATATATTTTTTTCACGTTTCTCAGTCGGTGCTCTTGATAAGAAGAATCGCAAGAAAGGACAGGGAAAGGGAGCGCGTTTACTAAGGTGAAGTTAGGTTACCCACCCCTCCCCTGACCCAACAGCAGTCAACTGTCAACAAGTTGGGGTTACTGTTGGTTAGGGGAGGGGAGGGGAGGGGGTGGGGTAGTTGCGCAGTTGCTTAGCTACTGACTTTGATCCACATCTATGTTTTTCGCTAATTACTTTGGAAAATGAGTTTCCTTCTATTGCATGTAACAAGAAGTAGTCGTATCGCATGAGGGGCTGCGTGTTGTCGCTTCAACCATTTTTCTTGCTCATGTTCTGTAGGGAAAGGATCAATAGACAAGGCCAACGAAGAAGTCCGTAATATAATTCTTCGGATCTGGCCTAAAACGTCCATGGAACTTTTAGATAAAGTAGTGCAGCCTCCCGGAGTGCGTAAGTAGCAACTTTGTTTACGTCTTTAATTGTTAGCTCACAGTCTGATGATCGAAGATGTGGTCGCCTATCTTTTCAGCAAAAACATTTTCAATGCATGAATAGCCAATTAGAAATATCTTCTGTGGCATGTGATGGTGTGAGAAGTTTTCGTTAAACTGCAATGTACTCCGAACAAGCAAGCCTTCTAAAGCGGGCTGAGTTACTTGAGACATTTCGAATGCTCTAGAGAGTTACACGATGGTTCGCTTAATTTTTGAAGAAAAATTACAGTCATCTGCATTCCGTACATATATTAATCTTTTCCATCCTTCACCTCCATTCCGCATTTCTGGCTCATTTTTATCATTGCATAATTTGTTTACAGTGGCACGCTACTTTCAAGTAAAGGAAAGTTTTATACTCCGTTGTCACGAATCGCAAATTATGGATCCTTAACGTTATCTTTACCCCCACATAGATAAGAGGCTCAGTCTTTAACCAATGAGAAGAGTCATTTACTACAAATTTTTTTCTCTGGTTGTCTGTTGTTTGCAGGTGATGACGTCACAGTGGGTAAATTTTATGCCACATACTTGATTCAAGAGTACTTCCGTCGGTTCAAAGCGAGGCAGAAGGCACAGAATCAAGCCAACGAACCCCATGGAAATAGTACAATGGCTCTACAGGTACGAATTTGTTGTTATGATTATTTGTGGTTCTGGGACGAACCAAGTGCTTTGTATCATTTTCTACCTCATGGTACCCACCCATTCCATTGTGACTTACACTTTCCAGGCGGGACTACGAACGCTTCACGGCCTCGGACCACAGTTGCGTCGAGCTATTTCCGGTCCGCTTGGAAGTGACGACGATGAGTTGTTCTTAAAGGAAGACGATTCCCAAAAGGCGCAGGTAATAAAACGACAATTAATAATTTCGTTTTTTAACTGTAATGAAATCAGTTATTCTTGTTTCCGTCAGTGACACTTTCTTTTGATTGATTTTTTAGCATAAGGGGTTCTGGGAGAGTCTGAAAAATGCAGTTTCAGTATCGCCGCGTCACAGGTAACATAAACATACCAGTTATATTAAATGAAAACTCACGCCATAAAATTGCGTAACGATTTACAGCTGTAGCAGTCTTGTCGCTTCTCATGTAGCGTAAGTAGGAGAATTTGTCTTTGTTACGTTTTGAAAACCATTTGTTAGACAATCGCGCAATTCTGTCGTCTGAAGATCTCTTTGTCACTTCATATAGCTAAGGCTATTTTGTATAATAAACTACTGTTATTTAGATTTAATCCCTTTATAAATGACCAGGACACAGACAGTTCTAACCAATGGTATAAGCACCTGCAATATCATTCGAATATGTCGTAGCGCAAAAAAGACAGCACTTTTGCAGTGTCAGCAATAGTGTGTTTTACCTCTGAATTTGAATTTTTTCTTCCAGTTTTCGTCGTCCCGCATCTTTTCGCTTGTCAGCTTTTCTGGGCAAAAATGGAAGTGGATTAGAGACAAAGAAAAAGAGTTCATCAATGTCTAACCTGAGTGAAAAAATGGTATGTCAAGTGATCTAAGAAATAATTGTGGTACCACGTGCGGTTCGATTCGTTAAAAAGTGGTATTCAATAGCGATAATTTTGTATAAAACAAGTCACAAAAAGACGTTCAATATTTCTTTTTGCCTTTGTTGTTCATTTGGCTTTAGCTTGTGTTTGTTTGTCTGATCGATTAGTTGAACAATTGATTCATATTGAGTTATTGATTAGTTTGTTTGATTGATTGATTAATTAATTGATTGATGGGTCGATAGAGTGATTGATTGGTTACCAAGCCCATCGGCTCACTGACTGGCGGAAATGTTGTACGAACGTATGGACGGACCGACTGAATAGAATCCTAATCTCTCTGATGAAGGGCTCACGCTTGAAACGTCAGTTTTAGAGAGACTGCGGTGGCCAATTTACATTGTCAACTCAGACGATAAAACTTAAGTATCTTGAAATACCCCCACCGACGCAGCAACACAGTTTCCTTAGAAACCTGCCACTTAAAAGCTTTCAGACTGACGAACTTAGTCACGGATGGAAAGCTTATTTCTTAGATGTCTCATTATTTTGTCATAGGCTACGACTATGTTCAGTGATCAAAAATACCTCATGCCGACTGCTGGCACATCGGCGGATGATAACGCAAACGAAAAAGAGGCTGACCAACCTCGCTTTGAACTTCCTTTACGAGACCCGGATGATACGGGCTCTTTCACTGCCATAAAAGGCCACGCAGGTTTGAAGGCAGCATCAAGCCTGCCGTTAAGTCCGGTAGAGGATGAGTCACGTGACCGAATTCCTTATGTAAGACAGCGGAGTAAGAGTGAGGTCATACCACCGTGGCTAGCTACGGGAGAAGTTGCCTACTTGGGAAGTGACCTTCGGCGAAACAGGTCAGCAAGCATCAAAGACCTTTTAGAGAGTGCGTTTGTCGACGAAGGTGTCTCCATTACTCTGGACGATCCACTTCTTCGAGTCGCCGAACAGGAAATTGCTGAAGCTTTCGACGTGTCCGAAGATGACCTGAACCAAGCCGCAGAGCGGATGCTTGCGCAGAGTAGCGATCATGAGTCCCATACGGAAGATGAAGAAATTAGCGAGGAGAAAATTATGGACACTATTAGGAAATCTCCTCGCGTCTCGCATCGTTGGTCGAGCGAGCCAGACGTTCCCATAATTATTACCGATCTCTGACGCGCCGCGGAAGCCGGCAAGTTTTCAAAAACGTGTAATTTCATCCGTTGCCAAGAGATGCTACAACAGCACGTGCTCTCTTTGCTGTCGTGCTAATGGCTGGAAATGTTACAAATATGCCAGTACTATCGAGAGGGCTTCTAGGCAAAAGATTTTATCTGGAAACACCTACTGAATTGTCCGCCATTTGGACTAAGTATGGTTACGATGACATTTTAAAGGATCGACATCAACAAAGTGTAAAATAATCTTAGATACAATTGACACAGGTAATGGCTCTGTTTTTGATATGTTGAAAATAGCGCTTGGCTCTCTTTTTTTAATTTTACTGTCCCTTTCATCTGTGGTAATGGAAGGACAAAGATTGCCGAGTCAGTGTTAGAAAGAAGAAACAAAATAGAATTAGTTACTTGAAAGCATGAGGCAGGATCCTTGTAGAATTAATATGAATATATTTATTGTAATATTTCGCTGTATTGGATATGATAATTGTTTTTGTGCGCAGCTTTTAACTCGCTACTTGGAATCGAATGCTGAAGAATGTTTAAAATTTCTTTGTAGAATAGAGAAATTTCTTTCTGCAAATGTGCCAAGGATTGAAAATGATGTGGAGCTCAATTTTCCTTTTACGCCCGAGGGGGCAATTTTCAAAATATGATTATAGAAGTTTATATGTATACGCAATGCATCGATAGTTATCCTTTGATTTTTTTATCATAAAATTGTGTATCATTTTAAATTATCTTGAACATTTGTGTCCACTTTTGTTAAGTTCTGATCATTCAAAGAAATTTAGTTGAAACGATTTTTGAGGAATAGAGACATTTCGTAGTGAATACAAATTTTGAAATTAGTTGTACTAGTGGAAGTCAAGACCACCACTTACAAGAAAGAGCTTTCAAATTATTTTTTATAAACGTTTGCATCATGAAGAACACATACCTTGATTGTCTTTCAATGCTCTTTTTGTTTTTTTTTATTTATTCGTTTGTTTTGTGATAGAATTTTTAAGCTCTTATGTTTGAAGTTCTATCTTGTGTTTCCCGACAGAAGATTTCCCGTAGAGATAATAGGATGCGAAAATTGAAGCTCGGTTGACAGTTTTTTTTGTCAGTATCCTCCATAATTTGCTTCCAAATTCTCCTTACTGATATTGAAGACTTAATTGAAAGTCCATTGCCGGGGAGAATTTCAATTTTGCACTGAAATTATACATTTTTGTGGTTTGTTTCGGATTCTTCTAAAATATCAATTTCCAAACAAATGCTGGGAAATATTTTCTAAAGAACCGAAAGTTTGGCTATGTAACCCCAAGGCTGTGCAAAGTTTGAAACTAGCGAGACGAGGAAAGCTCTTATGTCTTCCAGTCTTTTTCTTTTAAAAACCCGATGTTTACATTTCTGATAAAAAGTGTAACACTTTGTGGGAAGATATTTTTGTAGCACTGTATTTAAAACCAAGACGAATCAACGGAAAATATAGGATAGTTGTTAGCTTCATTTTTTTTTTTTAATGTACTGTATTGTAGAAAGATTTGTACTTGGTTGTAAATAAAATTTTAATTTTATAAAGAAAGGTTCACGCGCCTGTAAGGCTATATATGAAAAGGCGGAAAAAAATATGAGAAGTAATCTGCAAATAAAGAATATTTTGTACGCAAATGCTGTATCCCTTTTTGTAATGGTCTGTACGCTATCGTAATAGGCCAATTGGCCTCCTTTTCAAAACGAGGCTTGGTGCTCAGCCATCCGTATGAAAATGAATTAATTTGCATATGATTGAAAACTTACAATCATATGAAAGGATGCGCATCAGGACACGCTTTGAAAACGAGGCCAAAGGTTGTTCGGAAATGGTCTATGTAGTATATACCAAAACAGTGAATGGCAGTAAAGGCGCACTCTGATTGGCTGCCTTATCTCTGGATGTTCTTTGCTACTGACCTCCCAATAACTCGCGCGGGATTTGCGCCCGAAAATAATAATCGCTGCAGGAATAAATGAATTAAAGCATCTTATCAAGCTTTATCACCTAACTGTTTTAGTATTAACTAAAACAGCTATTTACCTCAGTGTCGATGGATCAATATCCACCAATGACCACCACCACTTCAATGAAGAGTTATTAATTAGTGACAGGAATCATTTATAATTTTAAAATTCTTGAAAAGGATGGAGCTGCCACCCAATTTGCAAACCTGTAAAAGTATGAGAAATTAGTTGGAAGTCTAAAAAATTTGTAAAAAGGGAATTTTTTTTTCAAGGTTAAACCACGAGATCATAATCTCAAGAAAAAAAACATACCTCGTACTAACCGAGTGAAAAATCCATACTGTAAGTTATGGAACGAGCAGAGAAAACAAGGTTCTGTAACTTACAGCACAGACCGAGAAAACGAGTTTAGTAATAGATGTATTATATATTTCTGGATTTAAAACAAGGGGGAGGATTTCAACTCAAAAAAACTTTTGAATTCAGCGGGCATTCTACGCTTGGTCTAAAATTGGACACTATTGTCTCAAATTAGACACTAGTGTCCAAAATCGGACAATGGTATCTAAAAATGGACACTAATGTCTAAAATTGGAAAATTGTCCAAATTATACACTAGTGTCCAAAATCGGACGATACTATCTAAAATTCGGCACCAGTGTCTAAAATCGGACACGAGAGTCTAAAATAGGACACTAATGCCTTAAATTGGACCCTAGTGCCTAATCGGACAGTAGTGTTAAAAATCGGACACCAGTGTCTGGATCAGAAGCAAGTGTCTAAAACTGGTCAATAATGTCTAAAATTGGACACTGGTGCCTAAGGTTGGACACTAATGACTTAAATCGGTGTTAAAAATTTGATACTAGTGTCTAAAATAAGATCCCAGCGTCTCTAATCCGTAACTTGTGTCTTAATTCGGAAAACAATGACTAAAATTGGGCACCAGCGTCTAAAAGTTCTAAAGTCGGACATTCATGTCAATAATCGGACACTAGTGTCTAGAATCGGACTTTAGTGTCTAAATACGGACATTATTGTCCGAAATCGGACACTTGTGACAAAAACTGGGCACGAGTGACTGAAATTGGACACTGGTGTCCAAAATCGGACACTTCGTGTCTAAAATCGGACACTAGTATCTAAATACGGACATTATTGTCCAAAATCGGACACTAGTGTCTGAAATTGGACACGTGTCCAATTAAAACCGGACACTAGCGTTTAAGGTGACCAATTGTAAACTAGGGTCCAAAATGTAAAAAAATAATATCTCTAATGGACACTAGTGTCCAAAATCGGAAACTATCGTCCATGATAGGCTAAGTGTCTAAAATCGGAGAGTAGTGTTCCCTTGGCTTTGTTTTTTCGCCACCGCACGTGTCCTTGTGCATCCCCTTGGCGTGTCGTCTGCGCTTCCTGCGCGTCCTTCGCGTTTCTATTGTATTCCCATATGCGTTTCCATTTGCCTTCGTTTCTTTTCCTTGTTGTGTTAGGTAAAGAAATAGAGAAAGATGTTTTTCTTCTTGTCACGAGCGTAGAATAAAGAGGACATTAAACGACTGTGAATATATGAAAGTCATATATTTGAACTACGGATAAAGACGTAAATATGAAAGCCATCTTCGTAGTAATGAACACTACTTGAGCAGTAGTGAAAATAAGGCCCGAAAAAAGTTCAGGCCTATACGGGATTTGAACCTATGAACCCATGACCTCTGCGATACTGGTATCGCAAAGGTCACGGGTTCAAATCCCGTACGGGCCTGAATTTTTTTTTCAGGCCTTATTTTCACTACTGCTCAAGTAGTGTTCATTACTGCGAAAGTCGCTTTCATATTCAAAGAAGACATTGCTGATCATGGCAGTATGCAGGACGCGTGTCACATGAACTTCGTAATAGACCTCGTTCACCGTAAATTCCCTGTGGCTCAGTGGTAGAGCATCGGAGCACGGAAACCGAAGGTCGTGGGGTTCGATTTCTCATGGGAACTCAGAATTTTTTTTCGTCCCACACCCGTGACCAGACGGAAAATACCTTTTTCTGATCCGATCTTATTCGAGTTACCGAGAAAAAGTGGGGTCAAGGAAAGGGTTGGAGTTCACTGAGTTCAAGTTAGCGGGGTTCAACTGTGAAAGAAGAACGCGAGGAATCAACAACTTCAATCTAAGACCCCAAGGGGGGTCTATGGAAAAGGACACTTAGACAAGAAGGCCATCAATTCACCCTCACTAGTTACAGACATCTACCGATTACAATAACAAGGGCGTTGCCAGATCAATGTGAAGTGCAGTAAGCTGCTTAGGCTGGAGGCTTCATCATATCACTAGTGTTAATAGACCTCTTACAGGAAGTAAGAGTTTCTCTCCAGGAAGCTGATTCTTTCAGGATTTGCAAAAACTTGCCCACTAGGTCTTTTGCTGGAGGTCAGGCATTGCCCTCCGTCTTGCATGATTTGCAGTCAGGCTCAAGCCCTGCCACATCTCAGTCAGTGAGCAAGGAACAAGTGCCTGGAGGGTGCTATATGAAATGTAGGCGCAAGGAATGGGTGCAATACGCTTAACAGTCAGAGTTTGAGTTTAAGGGTGATACCCGGGCACTGCCAGGAACTGCCCCGTTAAAAGGTAGGTTGCTAGCAGCTGTGTCCAAACCTCCAGCATAAGTGGGAAGAGCGGGGGGTAGAATTGAATTATTGGATTAATTGAAGTTTATTGATTGATAAAAAGGGGCTTCTCGGGAAAGGTCCTCTATGCCCATTTCTGTAGCAGGCTGTTTGTCGTGATTGGCAGTCAGGCCAAAATTGTTTCCCAGGTTAGCCAGAAGGCTTACTCTTTTTCAATTCAAAATGGTCGTCTTCGCAAAGCAGGAGCTTGGGGAGCGTTTTGAGTGGGCTGAGCTAACAGGTCTTTTAAACGGTTTTGACAGTGTTTAAGCTATCCCCATTAAAAGTAATTCAGCATATGCAAGCTAATGAAATATTTTAAACACCAAACATTCTCACCCAAAGCACCTTCAAAACTAGTAACAATTCTAACATCAATTTGAACCGGATGATTTGTGTGGGGTACTTTATATCATATACCAATATGTGAGGGTACAATTCGACTGCTTTCTTGGCAGTGACACTAAATTAATGTGTAAAAAAAGAAGTCACTCCATAAAACCAAAGAGTTGCAATAAATAAGTAATTTATTGACATAGCACCAAAGGTTATTTAGAGTGTACATGCCATTGGTACATGAATCTGAACAAGTATCATAGTGTTAAACACTATGACATCAAAGAGGCGGTGCACTGGTTTAAGCTAAAATATCTAACCTTGCAAACTCTGTTTCAGGATGTCTCCATGCTCTCCTAATTGGTTAACTTTTGTGACAGTTACATATATTTTCTATTTGGTGGTTTAAAACTGCATATACAGAAGAGTGTGTGAATTTGAAAAATTCTTTAAAATAAAAATGTTCTACATTTTTCTGCACCACAGCGGCATTTTAAGTGTTCCTTTTTCCTTGGTGAGGAACAACTGCTTCCTGTATCCAATGACATTTGGTAGTCAAAGGTCAACTCCTCTCCTACTTCAATATTGCGGTTTGCAAACAGTGCAATGCGTGGAAAGTTAGGGTCGAGGGTGTCAACCCAGACAGCATAGACATCAAGATTGGGATCACACTGAGGACAAATATATGAAAATATTCTTTTAGCTTGAGCTACTGAGGGAAATGAAGTTTGGAAGTGCACTCACATATGTGGTAGGAGGGGATATTGCAATGAAACAAATTCACCATACACCAATATATGATGTTTTTATATTATTTTCATCAGTTCTGCCATAAACTGCCTTTCTGAATGGATCTGTTGCTGGTAGTCATTTCTTTGAAGGATAACATTGCCACCTGCACAAGGATGCAGTTCTCTTTTGTGTAGGGAGTAATATGATTTCAAGTGTAATTTGGTGTTAATGAGCACTTGGAAATTTTTCAAAGACAACAAAATTGCATGAGCCTGCAGGGCAAGTGAAATTTGTAATAATTTACAAGTGCTTGTTACTCCAAATTGCAAGAGAAATCATGTGGTTACTTGTTCATAATGTACATGAAAGAACATCACACAGTCAAGACAGACCAAATTTTGAAAGCATGAGCACAGTATTTGTTGTTTGCACCCATGTTACAACTTTGCATGTGTTAAATGAGTATCCACTTCTTTTCAGCCAATCAGAAGCGCATAGTTCTTTCATGTACATTACTAATAGTATAATTGAGATGTGATCAGTAAACCTATGCACCTCTCTGCACATTTCCCACTTACTGAATGATTTATAAAGTGCGATATGTTGCCATATTTTTTGGCATCAAGAGTGTAAAGGCATTCTCCATCATTGAAATCAAGATCGAACAAGTATGTCTGCCCGCGACTATCATAAACTTTTCCTCGTTCTTCAGCTTCCTCTTGTGTTATGGCCTCACCGACATATTCAGTTACCATCTGGTTCTTCTCAATGTGTTCCATGGTCTTCACACCCCACCCGCAGTCATTTGGAGTTCGGAATATTGCCACCTGTTTGTAATGTACAGTTTAAATAAAATAAGTAAAACCTTTTAACCTTCAGCAGTGATGAACATCTTACAGTTCTCTCCATATTTTCCAGTAAAATATACACACCTTAAATGATGGTCCACCATCTTACACAGGTGCCTGAATAATTTGCCCACTACTTAGTATAAGTCAGAGCAATCAGCAAAATGTCTGCTTTTATTATTACATTTTGAACTATCAAATAAGAGATTTATTATCCCACTATCATTTATTTTATAGTAATTTACATTGCAGTTTTCAAAGCACTTCTTACAGCCTTGCCTGAGCATAAAAAACCCAGAAACAAAACCATTTAAAGTGTTTGTTTCAACCAACAAAAAAATATTGTGCTTTAAGTTCATTTCTACAAAAGATGAGTCTCTTTCACAAAAAAAACCAATGTTTGGATTGTTAAGCATAGCCATTGTGTTGCTCTGCTTTCTGTCTTTCTCTTTGCCCTGTTGTATAGTGTACTTATTTTGCATGCTCTGTTGCCTTAGATGGTAGATGGTGTAGAGGTGGAAAAAATAGGAGAATATGTGGAGGGCATTGCCAACCTGATCAGCTTGCAGAGCAGCTATGCAGTTTTGATGGGTTGAGTGGAGAGCTCACTATTGCTCCATCTAACCACATTAGGAACTTGGAGCTCTTGAAAGTTTCCCAGGACACGGGGTTCTAGGAAAGGGAATTACTGGACGGGGTTTTATTAAAGCAAGTGGCTTTATAGAGAATGGCGAGGACAATAGAGCTCTAGAAAGGAAAATTAAGGGAGGAAGTTTACTGGGTACTGGGAGCTCTGGACGGGGAATTCTTAGAGGGGAGCTTAGAAGAGAGGGAAGATTCTGAGAGAGAAAGCTTAACTAAGGACTTATTGCTCTAAACAGGGGGGAGTCTTTTGAAGGGAAGCTTATTGGGTGAGGAAGCTACATAGGGAGAAGCTTACTAGGAACTTGGAGCCCTAGACTGGGGAATTATTGGACAGGGAAGTTTAATACTGAGGGGGCATAATGGAGAGCAAGATTTCCAAACACTAGGAGTGCTAGAGTCCTAGGGGCCTAAGTAAAGAGGGGGGGGCTAATTGAGAGAAATCTTACTTTAGACTGGAGAATTATCATTAGATATTTGGAGCTCTAGATAGAGGAGGGGGGAGGGGTGGAATTAAAGAAGAGGGAACCTGGACAAAGAGGGAGCTTACCAAAACTTGGAGATCTAGAGGAGAATTATATTTAAGAATTGAATGGGCTTAGTAAAGAGGGAGGCCTAACAAAGGTGGAGCTGACTAAAAAAATTGGAGCAGTTCTAGAGGGAAAAATAAGAGAGGCCCTATCCAGAAGGGGGGCTTAAGAGAAGGGGGGGTGGGTGGGAGGGGAAGCCTTACCAGAAACTTGAAGCATAAAACAGAGGGGAACTATTAGAAATGGAGGCTTTAAAGAGGGAAATCTTTCAAGGGACTTGAAGCTGTCAACAGGGGAATTACAAGAAAAAGGGCTGGTAAAAGAGGAAGCTTAGTAGAGGCTTGGAGCCCTAGACTGGGCAATAGTAAGAGAAGAAGGCATATACAAGCGTTTTGGGTAAGTTCTTAATGCTACAGTTCCTAACTAGCAGCATAGTCAGCACCACAACATACATGATATTTCATTTTCCAAATTCCTTCCTTATGTTAAAGTAAACAACTTCTTCAAGACATTTTGTCAGTCTTGGTTCCCTCCTTCCACCATTTATATAGAATCAAAGATTTCACAAGGAAACACCATAAATATCAAGCATGAATGGAAGTGGTCCAAAAGAGGGGGCATGCATCTAGTTGCATAGGGTCAGATTGTGGTGGATTAAAAATTTTAGACTAAAGCACATCTTCTGTGCAATCCTAGAAGTATTGTAGCTGAGGGTCACAATGAGGCAAGTGGTTCAAGGGAGTGGGGAGGGGCAGGACAGTATTGCAACTTAGTATCACTCTTTGGGAATAAGCAGCACTTCAAGTTGCAAAAGTTTGGTCACCAAGGAAAGAAGACCAAATTTTTTGCTTGGCTAAAATTTAGCAAGAGGCCTTATAACCGCCCTGCAAAATTGTAATGTTTGGCTGCATTAGCCTTTGTAGGATAAGCTTCCTGAAGTGATTCTTAAATCTTTTAAGTTTCAAAGTGGGAAGTTATCTGGTAATCCAGCATTTATTGATGTCTTTTAAAAGTGGTGAAGGTAAAAGAAAAATCAGCACCCAAGCCAAGTGGTCCATACTGCCAGAGCTTATCCTGTTCCCTACAGCAAGAGGCCTCTCAAAGTATTGCTATTCCCCATTGGATGGGATGCCAACAAATCAAAGTTTACACCCCAACACTTTACCATGTCTGCCCAATGGTTTTCCAGTGCTCATCTGTACTCCAGGGTAGGAAAAGCAAGGTGAGAGCAAAGTGTCTTCCCCAAAAGATACAACATAATGGTGTCACTTGGTCTTGAAATCCAGACTTCACCACTGTGGAAAGGATAATGCAATTGTTATGCTTGCTTCCATCTGTAACATTCCTTGCCGAGATGGAATGAGGCGACACTATATGTATCACAAGCAGCTGTGTACTTAGGATCTTGGCAATGAGTCAGATAGAGAAAGACCACTTTGCTCTTATGGTTGTTAACTGGACCATGCTGAAAGCTACTGAAATCCAAAGTGTGCATCCTTGTGGGAGACTTGACTTTGGCAAGGCCAGTTTAATAAGAGTGGAGAGGTAAGGTGGAATGACCTTAAACCTTTGACCCCTATAAGTGACTAATGTCTAATCTCTCCTAATAATATAACCCCTGAATCTCAAATTGAGGTCACTAAAATAATGAACATGATCGCCATCTAAAGAAGCTCTTGATTGATAAACAAATTCTCCTTATCAGCGATATACAAAATACACAAAGAATAGTATGGAGAATATCCATACTGACATTAGGGTGTAAAGAATTAATAGCTTGGTTAGATAAATGTTGCACTAATGAAGTTTTTTCACATTATGGTTTGAGATTACATCTTGATACTGGCCTAGCTAGTAGCAAAAACATGACCAGGACAAAGACCAACAACAAGAAAGAGAACAGGGAAACTGTTAGAGAGGATGACAGCTTTACCTGTCAGCAAAGTCTAGGGGCAAAGATGGCAAAAAGGAAAAGCATGAGATGACCAAAGCTAAGCAAGGCAACAATGGCTTTTCTGCCACAGTGCAAAATCTCACTGAAGACCAAACTTCACATGATCAACCAGACCACATCTGCTCTCCTGGACATGGAGGAAATATGCAGAATTCCAATGGAGATAGCCCTACAAAATGTGGGCAGGCAATATTCAACAGAATGGGGTTAGTTGGACCCCACAGTCACTGATGACATGGTAACGTCTTCAGGCAGTGCTGAGGAAAAGAAGAGGCTGCAGACCTTAAAAAAAGTGAGGATCAGAGAGGGCAGAGACCCTGATAGCTTGTACCAGTATGAAACTACACCTGACTTGAATGGATGCCACACCACAACGGCAACACAGTTGAAGTCAACTAAAACTAAAGATCACACATTCTCAACTCAACCCCCGTAACTTATGCAAACAATTTCTGCCCTAAGTTTATATTGTGATGGCTCTTACCTCTATTTCATATTTGATAATGTTGAACTTAACATGGGTCAAAGAAACCAAGAAAAAGCTGTCTTCAAAGGATTTACATTATGTTCAGACAAATCCTATAACCTTACATCTTAACAAGAGTAACTTCAGAAGAGACTTAAAGTATTTGATTTTTTTATTTCTTTATTTCATTTTCTTTATAAGGTATTTCTCTAATACCTTATTAATACTTTATGAAACAGACATTTTGCTCTCTGTGTACAACAATGGAGGGAAAGTTTTATTTTACAAACAATAGTGTGCTTCAATCATCGAGTGGCTTATTATATTATTGAATATATAAAGAGTGATCAGCTGCTAAAATCTTCCTTGAGAGAGCATGGATGGGAATTGGTGGAGGAAAATGAAGGCAATGTTATTACAATCAAATAAAGCTACCTTGAAATCAATGCCGTAATTCTGTGAACCCAACACAAAATATCTGTATCGTAGCTTTACTAAATCTTCAACCCAGCCGCCCTGTTAGTAAGTCCAACTTTGAAAGGCCAGCTAAACAGAACTGTAATGATCAGCGCAGAACTCCTGTTAAGCTGGAGCACCCAGGGAAGACATAATTCTCATTTCTTCGACCCTTTGACCTCTAAGTGTGACCAGCATCTAGTTTCTCCTTACATTATCACCCCTGAATCACATATTAATATCATGAGAATAACGGAAATGATCACCAAGTAAAAAAAGCTGTTGATTGTTACACAAATTCTCTTTGTCAGCACCTTAGGAAATGTATAAGGAACAGTATGGAGAATATGCATACTGATGTTAGGGTGTAAAGGTTTGAAGGTGACCCACAGTAGTGTTGGAGGTCTCAGGTTGAAAGTTGGGCCTTCATGCTCCAACAGAAGTTCCCATCAAAGGGTCATATCTGAGTACATAAAACTACCATGAAGCTGTACAACTCCCTGATATCCCCTTTAATCAAAACTAGAACAAAATTCTTGGACATGAATGGTTATCACCAGTTCGATTTGAGCACTAATAGAACAGTGTGCATGTCATGCTTGTAATTGGACAGTGTAATAGAGTTGTCTTGCATTTTACCGAGTTAACTAGTGTTTTTTTTTTTTTTTTTTTTTTTTTTTTAAGGAAACATATAACAATGTCTAGTTTCTATCTTATATTTTTTCATAGTTTTGATTAATTGGTAACAGGACTTTGTGTGGTCCAATTACAGACTGAATTGGACTCCAATCTGTCCTATTACCATGATTAAGTATCTTCTCAGCATTCAATAGACATTTAAGCTTCAAGGGAACTGGCCAGCCTCATAAGTCTGTTCATAGATGGTCTTACATCAAAGTTGTGTGAACAATGGTCAAAGATACAAAGATTCTAATAGGTTTGTATATTTCTTAAGTATCATTCCTTGCCTCCTCATACAAGCCCTGATCCAGTGCATAAGATCTCACCTTCACATTTTTAACCTTGGACAAATATCAGTGTATTCTTAAGAAGGTGAGCTGGTCATGTTGTACATATCTGGTTTTGGCTTCTCAGATGTGGATCACTGGGCAAAAAATATCTCTCATATGAACACTTGAGAATGGTAACAGGAAAAAACTTTGAAAGTTTGTTCCTTAATAAATTTGCTAACAAAGCTGAAATTTCTCACATAGGTAGTAACAGACAAGAAAAGCTTGGTAACCAGGATCAAACTTCACAAGCCAACAGGTGACAAAATTATTCCATTGAATAATGTGAATGCTGTAAGTCTGGTTGCCAGGCTCATAAAAAGAAAAAGACAAACCACTGCTAGGGTTACATGTCCAACATTATAAATGTACATAAAAGAAATTTGAAAAGCACTCACCTTAACGGTCCGGCCTCGCTGCAACACACGATTTCTACATGACAGACTACAGGGACAGCGCGGGTTACACTCATATATAGGTGTGCCTGGTTTCACACGCACCCTTCCGTTCCTGTCATAAGCAAACTCCCCTCCACCGTTTCGTGGGCAGTCACAAGTTTCCATTGTGCATATCCGCTCACAGCTGCACCCAACAAGATAATCAATGTCAAACAAATGACTTGGCATATCTTGGTGCATCACATTATTAGTCACGTATATGAAGTCTTTCGGTGGACCTTCATTATCAACTACATTCTCCACAGCGATGTAAGCCTCCTGTGCACTCTGCTCATTTAAGTAATTTTCCCAGTCATCAAGTTCCTTGTGTAAATGCTTCTTGTATTTGTAAAACTTTCTCCGGAAATTTGGCGCATTAGAGATTCCAGCAGCCTTTCGTAATCTCATGTGCAGCTTAAACTTAGATTCGTAGCGAGCTTTAAGTGAAGTTCTTGTCTCTAAACAAGGGACAGTGAAATCTCGCTCTCTTTTGATTAAACGATTTTCTTTTCTCCTAGAAGTCGAATGTTCTTCTTTGTTCGTAATCCTCTCGTAGTAATCTTGAACATCCATGTTTACTGAGATCGAACACGATGATGAAACCCCGTCATCTTGATCTTCAAGAAAGAACAATGGTGGTTTCGACTCCCGCGAGGTTCCTGGCTTAGCGGAAACAAAAATTTCCACTACGCTTGCATTATCTTCTTCTTCATGGACAGAAGAGCAAGGAGTTATATTTGACATCTCCTCATTGACAGTGCTCGAGATACTTATCGGGGAATCCTCAATGCAAATAACATCTGTGTCAAGATGTGAGTCCCTTCTCTCGACTTCATCCAGACTATCTTGAACCGAACAGTATCCCGTGTTTGTACCCGAAGGGTTTAACAGGAGGAGAGAGGTCAGTACGCTTTCATCCATTTAAGAGAAATCTGTTGAGAAAAATCGTGATCAGTTGAAACAAAAACAAAAATTTATACCGGAATTATGAAAAGTCAATCGTCCGCCATCGCGATCTGTTCGCGCCACGAGATCTAGAAGGATTATGGGTAAGTTGTAAGACCACTGGCCATAATTTTAGTTTTTTTGTAGCATGTGAGTTCGAGTTGGACCGTGAGTCTGTGTCGGAAGTTAGTTTCGGAAAAAGTTTCCTTTACTCTTTTCAGACGCATATAAAATGAACATTAGGTGTGCTACGGTAAGGTTTAGTTATTTCTTCTGTAAATCGACGTGTGTTCATGGTTTGATCTCCTCCAATTAAGGTTTAGTAAAGATATGCCGATCCTAAACGTTGCCAATTTGCACAGGTTCTGCAACTTTCCGTTACTTTTGTATTTCAGCCTGAAGATCTGATGAACATGCAGCATTGTAACTTGCTGTGCTTACCTGAAAATTATCAAATGAAATATTATTTCTACCATGGTTTGTCTTGGCCTCAGGTGAGAGAAAAAATAATTTACAAACAGCTGACCTCGATCATTATTTGTGTTTTCTGTGGTTTTTCACATGCATGGTTTTTCTTATATTTATTTTATTTTCTGTTTCAGTTGTCATATGTTGCAGAGGATGAGAAAGGAAAGATTGTGGGATATGTACTGGCAAAAATGTAAGGAAAACTTTACATGTCTCTAGTGATTGAGACACATCAGACATAATGGTTTGAAAGGTAGCATTAATGATGTGCAAAACTTAACACTTATGTTCTGAAATTACCCAACCTATCACCACTATCACGGAGGTGAATTATAGAAGATATATATATATAAAAAAAAATATAACGATTAAACTGTCTCGACTGTTCGATAAAATATGCTTATTTATTATCTGTTGTGTCTAGAACAGTTAGAGTCTATGAAAACGTGTGCTGCTGATGTCTGTTTGTGGTGAAAACATCAGAGATACTCTTGCATGTAGTTCTTCTTACATCTCATTGTTCGTTACTCAATTTTGTGTCATCTGTCAGCAGATCTGCAAATGAACAGTAGAGAATATGGAATATAGTTTTCAAACAATGTCCCAGATGTAAAACATACTTCAGATCTATAATTAAATGCTTAAGTTGTCCTTTTTCCATAATTATCTCTTTCTTTGTTTTGATATTTTTGTTCTTAGGGAAGAAGAGCCTGATGAAGCTGTTCATGGACATATTACTTCCTTGGTAATAATTTTGTAATTTGTGAATTGTTAATAATCAACAATGATGCTATGATGTGGGATTACTTCTCCCCAGATGCTTGGTTCTTGAGCTTTGATGTCTGAAATTTTTTTGTTGCACACCAGCCACTGCCACTGCATTACCTAATTTTGTCCACCCCCCTGAAAGCCTCTTCAATGATATCTCCACCCCTCTCCCCTGAAAGCCCCTTCAATGGTATCTCTACCCCTCTCCCCTGAAATTACATACTGGTATCCCATTCTTTTCTTTAAATACTAGTGGTACAGTACTTAAAGAATAGTTAAGAAGCAAGAAAATAAAATCAATGACTGAAAAATATATTTGGGTAGCTTAGTGTAAGGCCAGTAAAATCTCCTCTCATGATCTCGTAGCTCATAAACAGAATTTGGTAGTGCTTGTACAATTTTGTAAATGACTAATATTATATTATACTTTACAGGCAGTTAAACGTTCGCACAGAAGACTAGGTTTGGCTCAAAAACTCATGGAACAGGTAAGATACACTTTCTGTATTCAATTATGGTGATTATGGAATTTTCTAAGAATTGATTTTTAAAATACTTTGATTTATATATTAAATAATATGTAAAATCTGTTCTGAATATAGGCATCCCGTGCTATGGTTGAATGTTTTAATGCTCAGTATGTCTCACTTCATGTAAGAAAAAGGTAAGACAAATCAGATCAATATCAGTATCTGGGCAACTGCCCACCTACCCCTCCCCTAACCCAACATTAACCCTAACTTGTTATCAATTGACTGTTATTAGGTTAGGGAGGGGTTGGTGGGCAGTTGCCCAGATGCTTTTTCTGAACCCTTTGACCATTAAGAGTGACCAGCATCTAATTTCTCCATACAATTTCACCCCTGAACCAAATGTTAAAGCCATGAGAATAAAGGAAATGATCACTAACTTAAGAAGCTCCTGATTGTTAAACAAATTCTCCTTTTCAGCACCTAAGAAAATGCACAGAAAACAGTGTGGAGAATGTGCTTACTGATGTTAGGGTATAAAGGGTGAAGACTGTTTTCTTGGAATGGGAATAGGTCTGTTTCTGTTTCCCTATTAGCTTGTTAAACTAAAGCCTCTATTACACAACCTTACACATCCTTTACACAACCTATTACACATCCTTTGCAAAAGTGTGAAAATTACAAGCTTTACTCTTTCCAGACTCTATTTCATGATAACATCTGAGAATTTTATGATTTGAGAGTTGATGGTACTTTTTGACAATTGTGATAATCTTGGGTGGACAGAGGCATTGCCAAATTAAAAAGTCTATGCTACTTACCCCAAGACAAATCATGTACAAACTACACATAACCATTGGCATCACTTCAAATGATGCAGATGTGAAATATCTGCAATGACAAGTAACTTAAGAGTTCCACCCTCCTCTAAAATACAGGGTCACACTCCACTGATGTAACACACCGTGCATTTATTTTTCAAACAGTAACAGGGCAGCTCTTCATCTTTACAACAAGACTCTGGGATTCAGGTTAGCTTCATAAAAAGAGTAACACCTGGAACAAAAACTTGCACTTTGTGTGGCTCCATATGTTTCTACACCCACATCAGCTAAGGCAGCCAGGGGTGGAAGTTCTAATAGTAAATATTTTTGATTATGTGGGAGAAGCAAAGCAGTAAGCTGATCAGTTTTGGAGGGGTGGAGTGTTGGAGGTGGAGTTTTGGCTTCTAAGCCTTTTAATGCCCATGAGTGACCAAGACAGAATTTCTCCTTACGATATCAATACAATATCAACCAGATAAGTGATGAGAATAAAGAAAAACATCAATCATCATGGGGATTATAGGTTGATCCAATCCCAAATTCTCCAAACTAACATCACAAAAACTATATGGCAGACAGTGAGGAGAATTACTAATGAGATCTTGGGAGTTAAAGGGTTAATTGTCTTTGATCCAGAGTAGAGTGGGTTTGGATATTTAGTAGAGAAAGACAGTTTGGTTATTTCCTAAGTTTTCTTCTTCTTGCTTTGAATCACACATACCACCATGAGACTGTTATAGAAATATTCCTTTTTTTTCATAAACAGCATTTCTGAGATTGAACCCAAATATTATGCTGATGGTGAAGATGCTTATGCCATGAAGAGAGATCTGACTGGTCTGAGACTGGAGGTTTGTGTTCTGTTACCTGTTTGTACAAGTAGCTGGATACTGATTTTAAAACACTCTCATGACCTCTTCCACCCCTACCACCATCCTCAACAACATCCAGTGCTATGGTTTTAATTTCTTGCATGCCATATTCACAATGAACTCTGCAGTGTCACGTGAAAATGAAATCTCTGGTATGGTTTAGTTAAGTCTCAATGCCTCCCCCCTCTCCTAAGGGCATTAATGGGTTCCAAAAGGACTGTTGGGAAGCCATAAGATGTGGGTGTGGGTTTGTTAGGCAGGGGTGGATCTAAGATTATCAAAGGGGGGGGGCACCATGAGCTTTCTAGGGGGGGTCTGGAGGCATGAAAATGCATAGTTCATAATTGGCAGCCTCCAATTCACTGCACCCACAGCTCAATGGCCTATTTGTCATTTACAACAAAGGTTTGGGCTACAACTGATGCCAGTTACATCTTGAAAGTTGTCTGATATTTTTTAGAACCTTTCTTAGAGTGAGAGTTAGTTTTGATTTTAAAAAAATCAGTTCAGCACTGATATTAATTTTTGGTCCACCTAAAATGGGGGGGGGGGGGCCACAGGCCCCCCGTGTCCCCCCCTTGGCTCTGCCACTGTCAGGGTAGGGGAAGGTATGGGGGGGGTGTGACAGGATATGCTTTTTGTCTTGTAAGTGCTCTCTATAAAGTGACTTCTTCCTACTGATGTACAATAGTCATTAAAACTTTGATTATCCAATATATTTAGGAAAAAATTGCTGTTGCTAAAGGTCTTGAGGCATTAAATCTTGGGGATCAATCTAAAGAAACAGAGGAAAAAGCTTCAGAGGACAGTTGCCATGAGCGCAAATGTTGTTCCTACTCCAGATATGCTAAGGAGGAGCCACCCAGTAGATGTCCACGAACCACTCTTGAAGAAAAGAAGGAGGCCACAAAGGAGGGATCTTAATAGTGACAAATGGAAGAGATACAGAACTACAGTTTTTTTCCCTTTTTTTTCTTTCTTCGGACACTTTACACAATATCATTTTGTTTCCTGTAAATGCTATGGTTTAAGCAATAAGAAAAATGCAAAATAATTAAAAGAAAAATTTAACAGCTTGAAAAACCCCTCATTGAATGGTCACATGCTGGGATTTTCTGGCAGATAAATGAGTGCATTTGCTTTTGTTCAGCAAAATTAAAGTTGTTAGGCCTTGAATCACTATTCACCGGTTTTTGCCTGAGCAATTGCTTTTGACTGGATTATGCAGGTTCATATTTTTGGGAATATCTTTCTTCAAAAGGAAGAAAGCTCACACTTCAGATGTGAGACAGATCTTCACAATGAAGCTGATCATGACAGGAATGACCACTCCGTTTTAACTGATACCTTTGTGGGAAAGAAGCCTTGACTTTCCTCGGTTATCACAAACAATAACTTCATATTGACCACAGGACATATCAAAAACAGTCTGCATTTGGCAAAAAGATGAAACAAGAGGAGATGGTCTGCAGAACCTTTTGCCTAGTGGACATTATCAGAATCTGAAAACACAGTTTCCCGAGCGCATAGTTCTGAAAACTGAGAGTTTTAATAATCAGTGACATGATATATCTGCATCATAGACTTGCTGTTGTCGGCTTTATTGGTTTTATTATTGTTGTTATTATTATTGTTATTAATATTGTTCTTATCATTATCATTATTATTATTATTATTATTATTAATAAGAAGACCCTTCAGAGAACAGACTTTGACATAATATTTTCTTTGTTTTGCTCGTTCTTTATTTTGCTTATTATTTGTTCTCAAACACACTATATTTTCTCATTAAGGGTTAAGCGATACAACGCACCAGACTGAAGCCATTCTTTCGTCTCATCTCTTCATAATTCTTTTGCTCATTATGCACTCATTCTATTGCAACACTGGTAAACGTTTATGATGTGTTGGGCGCTCTCCGTTAGGGAAGAGTACGCGTCCCGCTGGTCATTTTTGGATTTGCCTAATATTAATAAAAACCGTTCGAGGATTGAAGAACTTAATATATTGTTTTCTTTCTCTCATCGAAAAAAAACCCTACGTGACCTACCAAATACTCTAGCGTGATAATCTGTAACATGGCTTATGCACGCCTGAAATCATGGCCATGAAAGCCACTACTCATAATAAGTCACAGCGCTCGCGCAGCAGTTGCACGAGAAGGAGATTTTAAACTTCTCCAAGTCTAAAAGTAATTAGCCGGCCTAAGAGTGCTAAAACAAAGAAAATATTATGTCAGGATTAGGGCTAACCCACGGATTCAAACTCAACACCAGGCAAGACAACTTAAACTTAAGACGAGATTAACACCGGGAAAGACAAGGTTACTGTGACAAGATCACTGGAAACCAGTTCCAAAGAGTTAGCTTTCAAAGATAGGATGAGCTCTCGAGAGAGGATATCAATGGGGTTGACCGATAGCCGTAACACGGCTAAAAAGTTCTGACGTCATACCTCGCGACGTTACCTTAAAAAAAATAGGAAATAATTAGCATAAGAAAGAGGGCTTGGTAACGAATTAAAAGAACGAACGAATCCAACGTGAACCGGAATCCAGGCTTTCGCTTCCCGCGACAGGAGGCTCTACTACAGAGCTGACTAGAATCTTCATACTGCTAGGATTTGCATTAGGATTCGTAAAAAGCGTCCTGTGAGTTCATAGAACAAGGAAGATGGTAAATGAAGTAGCAGTAGATTCAAAGTTGCATGGTCCTGGCACGCGATATTATCCGTTAGCTTTATAGTTAAGTCACATTTTAGTTTCGCTGCTTTCTTCAAATGTATGACTTGCTGAAGCTCTGCTGAAACTAAAGCAAGCGCGAAAATGAATTGGTCCAAGTTGACTCCAAATAACAACTGTTTTCTCTCAAACTGGATTTAAACTATCGAGTAAAACCGGATCAGTGAAGTGAGACAACGGTATTTTGCTCCTCAAAAGAGCTTGAATATTAGCCCTTTTGAAACATCCGGTGATGTTTGGTGCTCTACAGGTAAGTATACAGGTATCTTCCAGCTGTCGCTGATTTGAACTTAAAAAGCCTTATATGGCGATACAGAAATATTAGATTTTCGCACGCGTCAGCTGATCTCTTAAACAACGCTGACGCTGATGAAATGTCAATCAATTCTAGGTGCACACCAACCGAACGATGTTCCTGATATATACACAGACGAGTTGGAGGGAATGCTCAAATAAGGGTTGAGAACCTCCCCTTGTCGAGCATCATCGGACCGTACCAGAAATACCTTGGAAAGAGAGATAATCCCCAAAGCTTTAGCGGCTCGCTACCCAAAAGATCATGCAAGGTGTTTTGCCTCACTTCATTATCTTCGTTTCCCTTTACCCAGCAGCTCACGCCAACGAAGATCAAGGAAATGCTTCAACATCAAGCTGCAAGGTTAGTCCAAAAAATGTTAGTTGCAAAACATTCAGGCTATTTAAACAAGTATTCTATGGATCTAACTATCTAATATCTAATTGAAATGCTCAGTATTAGTCAGTTGGTAATTGGTATTCAAAGACATTCTCAGATAATACGGTTTTGTTTTTTATAAAAAAAAAGTTGTATGTACGATAATGGTGAATTAGTAACGTGACATACTAGTGATCAACTTTCAGACCCCAGCCTTGCAGTCCTTCTTACACCCGGCCTTGAATTTCCAAGATCTGAGCGGTAACTCTCCCCAAGCTGCAATGCATTTCCTCTTAAAACATCGAAGAAAATTTAGGTTTCCCTCAACGCTCTGGTCGATAAGTTTGTTTATATTAACCTCGCGCAAAAACATGCTTTCTCAAACACATGAAACGATTCACGAGGGTACGAAATCCCCGTTCATATTACATTGGATAATTTTAAGTCCAGAAAAGTCGGTATCGTTCCTAGATTATTTGAAGAAGATGCATTCTAAAGCATGAATATAGTCTGTTAACATACTCTCTCTCTCTCTCTCTCTCTTTTTTTTACCCTCGATGTCTACTGTTAGCGTCAAGCTTTAGCTTTTTCTAGCTTCGCGAGAAAGTGCGGGAAGGAAGGACTAAAAAGTTTTATACCGTATTTTTAACTCAACAGTCATGTCAGTCTTGCCAATTGGTTGGAATACCTGGATCAAACGGCGTTCCAGGCATGCCGGGAAACCCAGGTTTTCCTGGTAGGGACGGCACTAAAGGAGAGAGAGGCAGCCCCGGAAAGCGGGGTGCCCGAGGAGTAGCAGGGATCCCTGGGAAAATTGGTCCGAGAGGCCCTGAGGGTCCCAAAGGGCAGATGGGAGAGAAAGGAGTTAATGGTACGGGAATCCCAGGGAACATTGGCCCTAGAGGCTCCAAAGGATTCAAAGGAGAAAGAGGGATCAGTGGAACAAAGGGACAAAAAGGAGATGCAGCAAACATTGACCCAAGACAACTGGCCAACTGGAAACAGTGTGTATGGAGAGCAGGATCGGATACAGACAGCGGGAAAATAAAGGTAAGTAACCTTAACCTTTATACCTAACGATATTTATCATTGGAACTCGGAGGAAATGAGGCAGCTATTTGGAAGGATTAACTGAACGAGTATAATCAAACATTCGAGCGTTGAAATTTATTTCAAGCTCGTTGAGTGGCATTTAAGTTCCCTCTTGGAGTCACTTCCCCTCTCAGAAAGTTTGGACCAAATTTTTAGAAGAAGTAGAGAATAACCAAGTAATTTAACTCAGTGGGAAGGCATCCAGCTCCTCTCTACCCCACCCCCCTTCTCTTGTATAATTCATTTACTTCATAACTTTTACGAACATCCTTTTCCATTCCCCCACATTCCCTTCCCCCCATTCCCCTCCCCCCCTTCCCGTTCATCTCGTTGCCCTAAGGGGTAGGTTATTTGTTCCAATAAAACTTTTCGTGTCGGAGACTTTGATTCGTGCGTGACACATGTCAGATGATGAGTGTGAACATTATGGACATTGATCGGTTTACATAATCAACGCAACCTTGAATGACCTTTTATATCAGTACTTGGCAACAACCAATCACAATGTAGAGAATATCGTATAAGAGAGTGATTTCTTACAAATTTTGCAGAGTAGCTTTTTACAGACCCGATGTGAATAAGCGAATACGAGAGCGGAATAAAACAGTTTGATTGAGTCTCGTTCGTTAGAATACCATCCCTAGTAAACAGGACAAAGTTTACAAAAACGAATGACTTCTCAATAGCTGTGCGCATTTACGGTTGAAATTGTTGAGATACTTCTGAAACCTTCTCTGATAAAAATGTTGTGCTATGTCAAGAGGGTGTCAACAGCTGCGCGCTTGTTCAATTTTGAAATCACGCGTATGATTTCAGCCCAAATTGCACTCCACTCAGTTCAATTACCATTATTAATCACCGAGAGCGACTGGCATCTAATTTCTCCTTTCAATATCACCCCTGAATCAAACATTAAGGTTTTTAGAATAAAGGAAATGATCACCAACTGAAAACCTCTTGATTGATAAACAAATTCTCCTTGCCAGTACATTAAGAAATGTATAGACAATAGTATGGAGAATATGCATACTGATGTTGAGGTTGAAAGTGTTAACCGAGAAGGAAGGACGATGGCGTAGTTAAAAGAGATCTTTAACTTCTAAATTTAGAAGCCTATCTTCGCTATAGTATTTTCATACCTTTGCCCACCTAATCATGGTCATATACATTTACCCAGACTTCTTTTCAAACACCGCCCTGGTTAAAAAATTTGAGCCTGATTTCGACGGATTTGAAGAGCTGGTGATCCTAGGAAATACAATGTTTTAAAAGTTATATGTATAAAGACGGTTCTCATCAGCAACAGACTCCATTTCACAGACTCCATTTCCACATTTCTTAAATTTGCAGAGCTGAAAAATAGTTTGTGTCGAACGAAGATATGTGTTCATTTTTCTAAATAGAATTAATTTTTCTGTTTTTATATGTTTTTTCCAGGAATGCTCCTTCAACAAGTTGTACATCAATACGACCCTTAAAGTCTCATACCAAGGCAATATCCGTGTATATTCTCATGACAAATGCAACAGATGGTATTTTAAGTTTAACGGCAACGAATGCAGTGGTCCCATGCCGATTGACTCAGTCCTTCACAACTTCTGGAGTAGTAGTTCACCGTCTGGAATCCTTCGTTCTCACTTCTTTGAAGGTTTCTGTGAGAATCTTCCTCAAGGCACGGTTCGGGTTGAACTCTGGGTAGGCAAGTGCGCTTGGTTTCCACTGGGCGTGGCTTACACAGGATGGAATTCAGTGTCCCGGATTATGATTGAAGAGGTACCACCACCGCAGTAACCCTGTTATCATCTGAACTGAATAGATAACGGTGTTAAGGGAAAGATGTTTCAACTGAGAAGTAAAGTTAAATTAAATTAAAGTGTGACAGATAAATATGTGTAGAGATTCAACATTGCAATCTGGCAGAGATTGCCTTTTTTTTCCAATAAAATACGGAAAGCATCTCAATTTAGTTGCTGATGCGGATGGTGATGGGATCACATATCATAGGGGGAAAAAAGAGGGGCTAAGTCGTCGCTGATAGAGTATAGAGGGGGACTTTAAAAAATTGACTGCCAATTAACTGTCAATGAAAGAGGAACATATTGCAGAACTAGTCATTTTTATCTATGTCTTGACACAATCCAAATCCTCTAGTAGTTCTATCATCACTCCTGCTATCAGCCGAAACTTTTTTTCTAAGAAGCGGATATCAGTACTTGTCCTTTAAGCTAAGAAAAAAAAATCCACTAAGTGAAATAGATATGCCGAGAGATGAGTAGAAAATTATTATTTCGTTTTCTGGTTCGCTCGACGAAATAAATCGCTGTCCTCTAGTAAATCAGTCGTTATCTGAGGACTTTTTCAAAAAACTGAGTACAGCGGTTTCAATAAAAGCAGGTGACGGTTGGTATACCGCCGCCTATAAGATCTCCCTTGGTTGTCTGTTTAGCTTGCCCCCAGACCCCCTTTCCCGGGTACAGCTGCCTGTTACACCTATCGGCGGCCGCTTATGTAAATAGTTATTGATCATAAAACACCTTGAGTAAACAAATTTCATTAAAGGTGAGAAATTAACCATGAATTTCGCTTTGCACATCAAATTTATATTCGATCACACACAAATTTTTTTTGGCGCCTCTGACTAGGAAATGAACGCTTTTAAAAATTGTGTATTTTAATTGAATTGTTTCAATAAGAAAAGTTGATTGTATCCTTTAATAAAAAAGTAGATCTCGCGTAAAATAAAACCACGTGAGCATCACACATTTTTACTATGATACCTTGAAATAAGCCTTGAGAGATGGAAGTCCAACCTTCGACCTATCTGACAGTGTCTAGAGAAAATTATTTTTGAACTACAGGATGACAGCCTAGCTGTTTATACCCTAATATCAGTATGTATACTCTCCATACTGTTCCCAATACATTTCCTCAGGTGCTGACAAGGAGAATGTGTGCAACAATCCAAAGCTTCTCTAGTTGGTGACCATTTCCTTTATTCTCAAGACCTTAATGGGTGATTTAGAGGTGATATTGTGAGGAAAAAATTAGATGCCAGTCACTCTTAAGGGTGAAAGGGTTAATGTGGTGCTGCTTAATACAGGTTTGACTGTACTTCCACTATTTTTACCACATTTATTTACAAATGTTACCTTGAGATCAAAACAAACCTGAACAAAATAACAGACCCATTATTAAAGATCACATGTAAAATATTATCCTTTGCCAATATAACTTCCATTTTACCACAGTTTTGTCATTGTCACACAACATTGTGAGGCAAGTTGTGATTACCTGAAAGGGCCTATTTCTTGAAAGTCCCGGCAACTTAATGGGCCCAAAGACATATTAAAACATCAAAAGTTAAAGAATAAAGAAGCAGGCTCTGGCATCCTAACCGGTCAATTTTGTTTTTCAAGCAGCTAATTTTATTGCATGATTCTCAAAATTTTTGAAACCCTTATTTTGAATGAAAACAGAACAGCTTTATGGGCCTGTCAAGTTAGCAGGACCTTCTAGAAACTGGCCCCTGGGGTGGTATTTACACAGAAATAAACAATAACAACAAACTGGAAAATTCAGATACAAAGGCAAATGCTTTGCATCACCCCATTATACATCTAAGTTGACCAATGCTTTGCACTTTTAAGATTGTAAAGCCAAGTTTAACAATTAGCTGCTCTTTCCTGAAATTTCCTAATAGATGTCCTAGTGGAAATGACGAGTCTGTGATTATCTCATCCAACAAAAGTGTAGTATCAATTAATTTGAAAAACCAGGTGGTATATCTATTACAGCTCACTAGAACACTGTGATTTAAAAACCAGTCACAAGATGATTACAGCCACTTACAAGGAAAGGTTACTATACTCAAACTGAAGTTGCATTTTGCCACAATTAGCCAAAATTCACTGTATTAATTGTCTCAAATGTTTCTGGTAAAAATATATATAATTACAACAAACAAACATGTTTCAGGGAAGTCTTCTAAGTTCACTCAGTTTAAAATCTCCTATGTCTTCTCCTTCATCCACAGATTCACCCCTTGCAGCAGCCTCAGCATCAGCAGCGTCACGAGCAGCTACTATCTCTTGCGCTTTCTTCCTTGCCCATACTTCAGGTCTAAAAAAATTTCAAATAAGAGTCTGTTTAACCCTTTAGCTCCCAAGATCTGATTGTTAACTCTCCCTTCTAACTGCTACACATTTCCTTGCAAATCAGTTACAAGAATTTAGTGTTAGATCAAGACAACAACTTCTACCTGATAAGTTTGAACATTCTCTTTACCTGTTTCATAGATAATGTATTGATATTATAGGGAGAAGTTACATGTTCATCACTACCAGGTGTTAAACAGTTTACAAATATAGATAAGCTCTTCAGACACTTTTAAATTAAGTTTTATCGATTAAATGAACAAAGCAATTGAATCAACTAAACAAAAACAAAAAAGGCCCCCCTAAATATTAGAATATCCTAGTATAACAATTTTTGGCTGAACTAATTGTAACATCCAATTAAATAAAAGATGATTACAAAGAGCCAAAGAGAAGTCTGAGTATTTGCTATGGTTATTGTTATCAATACTGTGATAGGTGTATTTAGCTGACTGGACTAAGTATGATTGGCTGGTTTGATTACAGGCGTCTGATTACAGCCACCTGTCCAGTTACACCATCCAATTACAACTGTACAGAATGATCAGTGAAGAATGAAACAGCTAATGCACCAATCACATTTGATGAAATAGTCACTGTTATAATTAACATATAGACATTATCAGGAAAAGAAAACTGTAAATGATCTGGCTAAGATAAGTTTAAGTCTTGCATCAGATTTGTCGAGATGGTGGCCAGTTTTTTAATCCAAACACAAAATGAATGTAATCCAGAGTACTCTTAACAATCAACAATTCAAAGCAAATACATGTATTCCATCAACCAGGTTCAAATTGATCTTCATTTTACATCTGATCCCTATAACCCTTTAACTCTCAAGATCTCATTAGTAATTCTCCTTACTATCTCCTATACAGTTTTTGTGAGGTCAGTTTGGAGAATTTGGTATTAAATCATTTTATAATCCTCTAACTGATATTTTTCTTTATTCTCATCACTTGTCTGCTTGATATTGTATTGATATTGTAAGGAGAAATTCTGTCTTGGTCACTTGTGGTAGTTAAAGGGTTAAGAAGGAAGAAAGAAACATTCCAAGAAGTGTCACTAACAGTTTCCAAATAAATGATGAGAGGCACTGTTTGGCTGTTTGATCTAAAAGTACCTTGTCCAGGGCTATAGTCAAACTCAGGTGGAATGTAGTGCAGCACACTAACTTTTATGAGAAATACTAACTTTTAAGAGAAATGGCAAATAAAAATAACTACAAAACTCAACAACAAGAATTTGTTAAACCATGAACACTTCGACTTAATAGACAAAAATTGCTAACACAAGTCAGGAAATAAACACATCTAGGTTTTTTTCTAAAATGCACTTGTTAAGTTCTGAGGTGAGTACTCTAAAAAACTACAAAAGTTGGACATCATCTCACCTAGCGGAAAATAAAAATATCTACAAAGCTGGGCAACAACTATTTGTACTTCCCACACACACTTTGACTAAAAGACATAAATTGCCAACACAGGTCAGGAAATGAACACATCTAGGTTTGGTGCTGAAATGCACTTGTTCAGTTCTGAAGTGGCTACTCTTAAAAATGACAAAAGTTGGAAATGATCTTACCTAGTTTCAGGCTTGTAGTAGAACAAAACAGGAATTGACACTAGAATGAGAGCCCACCATCTGTACCAAGGTTCTTCCCAGTCTTCCCATTTTCTCTTCTCTCCTGGTTTTAAGGGCTGTCAATTAAGAAGTTAGAAACCAAAGACATTCAATTTATTTTCAATTGTTTATACAACATAATTTTCATAAGCAGAAGCTCCTGGTTTTAACGGCAGTCAAATATGAAGTTACAAACGAGGACAAACACATTTATTTTCAATTGCTTATGCAATATAATTTGCATAAGCTATAATAATATAATAATAATGGTGCCTTTATTTCACAAAAAAAATTATTTTCCTACAATATAGTATAAACTTAATTAAATTAAAATCTGTCATAGGTCCCATTTCACATAGTTATTTCATTCTAATGATTACATTCTATGACAATCTGTCAATGTCTTTATTCTATTTTTGATAAAATATCCTGGAAAAACTTATTTGATTCATTTGATTCATTTATTCATTTGATAAAATACATACCAAAGGTTATGATAGACAACATAAAGCGATTGAAATACTGATGAGCACTAACAATTTCAAAAGGTTAAATAATATACCGTGAGTTATATTGCTTATTTAAACTTAAAATTTAACCTATTTAAAAACTATTTTTAAAGCGATTGTTGTGTATTTAAAGTAGCTGGCTTCTATTACATCTTTGCCTTGTTGATGATTCCTTTAATGCGCGGTAGCATAGATTGCAGAGGATGGCAGCTGTCAGAGCTAATTTTTTCCATAATCAAAATGAAAGGCACTTTGAAAACTTTCCGTTTTCCTTCCCTACATCCACATGATCCTCTACATGATCAGTTGCCTTGAAAGTGCATACACATCGTAGAATGTAAGCGTAAATTCAAAATACAAAAGCAGTACCGAATGCATCATAAGCATAATGAACTAGGTAATATCTAAGAGAATTCACATGCACATAAACGTCGTTCATTTGAACTTCAAAAATCAAGACCAGTGCATCTACAGATGAACTTTACCGCAAAAAGCAAAAAAAAAGAGTAAAAAATTAGAAATAAGTTGTTAAACTTTTCTTACTTAAAAGAAAACATCACTATTAGGAGCGAAGTCAGCTAAATATTGTTATTACAAGAACCTTTGGGTGGTACGCCATATTGAAGTGAATATAATATGACTTCCATATATTCACAAACGCCATATTGAAGTAGTATTGAATTGTGCTTGGATGGCGGAAAATTCAATAACTTACCTTCTCGTTGAATAGGAAACCGTTAGGCAGTTCTCTGTACTTCGTGAATATGCTTTGGTTCCGAGTAAAAGTCGTACTGAAAGCGAGATTTCGTCTGCATGAAGCAGCAGCCCTGAGAAGATTTCGAGCCGCCATTTTGAAATCACCTAGATCTCTTCCCAAGATGCAGTCCGGCTAAGATCTTCCCAGCATCGCATGCGTGTATAGATGAAAATAAATTTGACAGGTTCAGAGAGGATGTGAGAATCCCGCTGACATAAAAAATGTCGGGGCGGCTCATATGAAATATCAAATTTAACGCTGGCCTTGTAAGGTTCCATATTTGCTACTATTCAAGCTTAACGTTTTTCGGAAAAAAAAAACCCACATCCGGAAACAGAGAAATAGGTTATTTACACAAAATACCTCTTCCATTACATTCCGACGATAAATAAGTATTTCGTTATCGTCATAAAGAAGTGTACGAAGCTTAAAGATATGGAAGACTATTCGCTACTAATCCCTCGGTAGATCTTCGAGGAATTGAAATAGTTCGTATAGTACTGCATTTTCAAACAATGTTTCAGTTTCGACAATCTTTCTTTATTCTGACTCTACGAAACATATCAAACTCTTTCCCCAGCGCGACGAACATTTGTTTTTCTCGGTTCCAGGTGTACGCGACCACTAACCCTAAGTAATGCGCATGCTCTCCGTTGCGAATTTTCAAAATGGCGGACAGGTCAAAGAGGGAAATAAAGAAGCAAAGAGATTTTACAATAAATACTCAATAACACCCCTGTTAGAAAGGCGAATCCACGATAGAAAGATACAAAGCTGTATGCTATTGAGATCAGGGAGGTTGACAAAATCAACAAGAGAGGTTGAAAATTCATTACGTTGGCTATAGCACATGCTTCGATGAATGGACACCCTTCAGGGCCGATAGAGGATCTGGATGTTTTCTGTTTGTTCGCAGCGAAAAGCTGTTCATTCCCTCGGAAAACTCTCTAAAGGATAGAAAAGAATCGTTCCATGGCCAACTTGTTCGTGAAATAAAGAAAAAGCTTTGGTCTGGACGGCGAGAGGACCCTGATATAAACATAGACCTTAATCAGACATAGTTTGAAGCTACACTGGTTTGCAGATTTAATGAATGTAACCGAAGTTACAATTCATAGACCCAACGTTTCGACACTCCTGTCTAGTGCCTTCATCAGGGGTGATCTAAACGCTGCAACAAGAGGTCCTTTTATATGATCACTAATTAGCGGCCTTTTTTCTGACGAGGTGTAAATAGGCGTCAGGAAGCAGACCGCCATCGTCACGATTTAAAGGAGCGTGGGCGGAGTTTATGTGCCAAGCCTCCAAACAAAGGCGCTGGTGGTAACGCCGATTAGTGGTGATAATTTTAGAATTATCCCACCCAATTGTATGGTTGGTTAGGCAAGTATGCTCCGATAAAGCTGAATTTTCCTTTTGCAAAGAAACCGCTTTTTGTGCTCTTTTAACCGTGTACCAAACTGGCGTTTGGTCTGTCCGATATATTCGTTATCACAGTCATTGCAAGGAATAGAATAAATGGCGTCGGTTCGTTGTTCTTTCGTGACAGGATCCTTAGGTTTGGCGAAAATATGCCCCAAAGTCTGAAAAGGTTTTTGAGCAACTTTAACGTTGTGGCTATTCAAAATTCTCTTGATGGGTTCAGTAACACCCTGTATGTAAGGAATAACAGCAAAACCAGTCGCTGGTTCCCTTTCATCAAGAGCGTTACTATTTGTAACTGGTTTTTGGCAGTTACGGAGAAAAGTTTTTGTATACCCATTTGCCTTTAGGACATTGGAAACATATTTCCTCTCCTCAGCCTTCGAATCGAGTGATGATGGTAGACAATCAGCCCTCCTAAGTAAAGTTTTGGCTACAGAATTTTTATGGCAAATAGGATGGTGAGAATCGAAAGCGAGGTATTTGTCGGTGTGGGTGGGTTTACGGTAGACACTTGTCTCTAAATTACCCTGAACCCCTCTAGACACATTTAAATCAAGAAAGGGCAAATGTCTATCCTTTTCACGTTCAAGGGTAAATTGGATCGACGGCCTGCTTCCTGACGCCTATTTACACCTCGTCAGAAAAAAGGCCGCTAATTAGTGATCATATAAAAGGACCTCTTGTTGCAGCGTTTAGATCACCCCTGATGAAGGCACTAGACAGGAGTGTCGAAACGTTGGGTCTATGAATTGTAACTTCGGTTACATTCATTAAATCTGCAAACCAGTGTAGCTTCAAACTATGTCTGATTGTCCACCTGGTTGCCGTGTGAACTTTAATATATAGACCTTAATGTTGACCAAGATATTTTCATGATGGTTTACCAGTTGGAGTCAAATAGGGTGCCTGATTCATATCTGGGGCTGAAGTGGGATGAAAGAATTTTAAATGTAGCTGGAGATTTTGCCTATGTAATTCCAGGAACTATTAAGTATTGGCTGGGACAAAGAAGTCCAATCATTGAATACAAGCTCATCATTGTAGGTGTTCTTAACCCTTTCATAACCTACTGCCTCCAGGAACTGAATCCTGTTTTTCTTCAGAAACAGTTGTCTGAGGGCATCAACCCCTTTGTGATTTGTGGATCTGAAGAAATCTTTAGAAGCTCTACTATTTTATTTTTCCAAGCCTTGCTGTGTATAATATGCTATGTTCTGATAAAGTTACAGGAACTCAGGAACATGATAACATAGTGCATGCATGTAGGGAGTGACATCTTTTGCTTGGTAAACTTTGAGAAAGTGCTCAAACCATGATTTGATATTTCTTTGCAGTTCAAGAATACCCTCATCAGATGTAAAATCTAGCTTCAAATCACCAATTATGTCCATAAATTTAGCCCAGATCACTTGTATGTCTTTGATTTGACTGCAATGAGGGACAGGCATAGGTTGGAATGTTTATATTCTGGAAGAGTTTCAACTTTTCTGGTTCAGAAAGATCTCTATATTCCAGCTTTTTGCTCTCTTTGTTGATTCTAAAATTAAAAGTGATTCCCATACTTTTGATAAATTCTTCATAACATGCCATGTGTTTATATTTATCCCTTGGGAATCCATCAGAGGTTTTTTTTTTCTCAATAGCATCACTTCTTCTCAGCTCTCTTATGAACAAGTTAATCAAAACATCTGAAATCCTCAGAAAAAAAATGTAATGTATCTATGATGACATGGTCCATAGATATAAAATCAAATAATGGTTGCGCCTTACAGTTTAATTTCTTTCCAGTGGAAAACCTTGCTATTTTGCTGACAGTTTTAGCACCAAATTTGGGGTCATTAATTGACCATGTTCTGCTTGTGTCCCACCGTTGCTCCCTGGGACACTTGCACCACACACAAGCATAATCGTCATTTGCCCTGCCTAAACCACATACCAGTGCTAAAAATTTCAAATCTCCATCTAAAAAGTATTCAATTTTATAGGTGCAATTATTTGCACTTATCTCCTTTAAGTTTGACATTTCCATTTGAAGGTCTGCTAGGCTGTCTCTCAGATTATCATATGTCTCTGTAGTTTTTATAAAAGCAAGTATATAATTTCCCTTCACACCCATTGCCACATCCTTTTCATGGAGAATAGTAAAAGTGAAGTTGACAACTGTAAGCCCCTTTCCAATATTTGTAGCATCACCACTAAGCTTGATCTCAATAGTTTCTCCATCATTGATTTCTCCATTCTTCTGAAGGCTAACAATGTGCTCTTGCAAGCTTTCTGCAAATCCTAACTGAACACCTTCAGCATCTCCTGGTGTTGGTTTCAAGTTCCATTTACTGTTTAGCTCATTAATTTGCTTCTTGATGGAATACATATTGGGGAGATCATTAGTCTTAATGGCAATTTCATGCCAGGCCTCATTTGAAATAATGAATTTATCTTTAAGGTAGAGCCACATATTTGTGTTATTATATTCTTAAGGGCCTTTGGGTCAGACTCTGTAAATGGCAGTTCTCCCTCTCCAACAAGATTGAAAGTTTCATATTGATTAGTCTCAGTGTTGAGGACTTCAATTTTGGTTGCAACAAAACTGTACAGCCCAAGAAAGGAGAGTGTAGTTTGGCAACTACTACTCTTTTGATGGTGCTTGGAATAGTCATTAAACTTCTTCTTAGCTGGGCCTCTACCTTTTTTCTCATTTGTAATCACTTTTTGGCCAACTGAATAAATTTGTTATTGTAGAAGGCCCCTTTCTTCTAAGCTTTCTCGAGAGCTTCTCAGGATTTTTTATCCACTCGCAATCGCTTTGCCTTCTCCTGTACCAACGATTCTTCTAATTTTATTTTTTCTCCCCTCAACTGGCTGTTCTCATCTTTAAGCTGATGTACATCAACCTCGTTGTAATACACCTTAAATCGATACCGAGGGACCGTTTCCAAATTGCTAAGAAGTGCATTTAATTTCCACGATTACTAGCTTTCTTGACAGCTTTCAGAAAACAGAATATTTTCTTTCTGAAGACTTTTGATATATGGCTATTGATTATTATACCTCGTATACCTTATTGCTCAAACACTTTGTTTACAACTATTGAAAGGACCGACTCATGGTTTTCTCTGAAAACTTCTTTGCTTTGAAATAGTATAGATTAGTAAGCTTAAACGAAAAATTAATCAGGGAAGTTTACGAAAAATCCAGCGAACAAGCTTAAAAAAGGTATTTATTTAGACTTCATACTGCGATGAACTTCACAAATCTTACTTGTTTATCTCGTAAGTAAACAATGGCAGATTGATTCCCGAAGTGCTTTCTGAGTTTCCCGATCCCTCTCCTACTGCTTTCACGCTCACAAAACAGGAAAAAATCAAAAGGAGGAAGATACAGCTGTTTTGAAACGCCATTTGACGAGGGTAAATCTGCTTTTTGTTCGACACTTTACATATCAAAACAAAGGAAATTTGTTCCTCTTTTCGATTCTGGCGGTACATTTTTAAATTGCGCTTGCGTAAAAGGGATATCGCCCGAGACGCTTCGCTCGGTTGTGTTTTAAACAAAAACGCCTTGCTAATTTCACGCAACCGCTTGGAGAAAAGATTAAAATGACGAGGGAAAAGCTTTACCTTCAAGTTAGAAAATTAGCGAAATAGAAAGCCACAATATTGTAGTTTAATATTTCAGAGGTACATTGATTGCTTTTTTCCGTAGAGAATCCGCACGATGGTAAAATGTTCGAAAATTACTCTCGATTTGAGTGGGGCGTTGAAGTGGGCGTGGTCACTATATTCATGTTAAGACTATTTGTACCCCGTGAGTTTGATATGCTGCAAATAAAAAATAAAATATCTGAGCCATGTAATTATGAGATAATTGTTCCTCTCAATTCCTCACTAAAACAATAGCTATTGCACCACAGATGTTTACTAATTTATTCTAGTCTTAGTAATACTAGAAGTAATCCGTGCATACCGGCAACAATCACTTAGAGTCTGATATACTGTTACAGACACGCCTATAAGACAGAAACTCCACGAAAATGAAAAATACCTGACAATCAGTTTCGAATTAGTTATCGAATTAGTAAGACAATCTTTCTTTATTCTGACTCTACGAAAACTGCGAATAAAAAATAAAATATCTGAGCCATGTAATTATGAGATAATTGTTCCTCTCAATTCCTCACTAAAACAATAGCTATCGCACCACAGATGTTTATTGATTTATTCTAGTCTTAGTAATACTAGAAGTACTCTGTGCATTCCGGCAACAATCACTTAGAGTCTGATATACTGTTACAGACACGCCTATAAGACAGAAACTCCAAGAAAATGAAAAATACCTGACAACAGTTTCGAATTAGCAAAAGGAAATAAGGAGAGGCACGGAAAGCGAAGAGATCGTCAGCAGTTTGAAATAATCCTCAACGTCGAAGCCATTTTACGGAAAGGTCGCGGCAAAAAAATTGAGCCTCTCAAAACTCTTTCTACGTCACTCTGAACATTAAATAGTCAAGCTTCCTCAGTAAATACGAAAATCGAGCCTGATTTTTGTGAGGAACGTTTGACCATGATTCAGAAGTTTGCGAAAGAGTACAAGGAGTCAATAACCCTGGCCTACTTTTGCGGTAACCTTCTTCTTACAATCGTCGTCTTTGTAGTTGGAACCATTTACTTCTGGCACAGAGATCGAAGGGACCAGGAGAGGCGCTTACAGGAGGATCGGGAGTACCAAAACAGACGTGACCAAGAAGACCGAAGAGACCATCGGAGGCGAGAATGGCGCCAATTCGCGGAAAGAATTTACGCCGATTACAGCAAACTGAAAAGTAAAGATATCCCAAAGAAAATTGCGAAGGTAAAGAACACTTTTGAAGCTATACTAATCCACTCTACAGTAACTGGCCTTGATGTTTTGCGATACATGCTCACCGATGATAACTACCGCAATTTTGCGAGCAATTCACCTCAGTTGAAGGCCCTTCGTGAAGACCTCCACATGATCTTCGTGCCGCTAAATATCTGCTCTTCGTTGCTTCTCTTGGGAGAAGTGCCAATAAATATAAAGGAAGAATTAAGACTTGTGGTGGAAGAGTTGGGGAATGTAGCAGAGCCTTTCCTTACAGGTGAAGAACAAAGGGTCGCTTTGAAATGTCTGGAACATTTTGGCAGTAACAGATCATCAAATGCAGTGACGGAACATTTTGAAAGAGGAGTGAGAGAGCTTGATGTGCGAATTAAAGCCATTGCTCCGTACGTAAACAGCTTACAGTTTGGGGGTGCCGATGCTAAGAAGTTTCAATACAGTTTTCCTGGGGTTGGCATAGCCTTGGAAGATTGCGATTATAGCGAGTGCAGAAAATTTTCGCTTAATTTGAAAGGAAAAATGATCATGGAAAACGGCCGCGAGAATCTCGAGTTTCTCCTACAACTACACAAGGATCTAGAAAGTAAAGGACTTATGGCGCACTTTGCTAGAATCTTCAGAGAACAAATGGCAGAACTACCTGTTGAATCGATCGAGCAGATCAGCGATGAAGTGATTTTAACGAAATTACTACACGAGGTGCGTCTATGTATCCATCTTATTCTGAGCGAAAACCTGTCCATGGTAGACAATGAACGAGTTCAAGGTAACATGAATAGACTGCGTAAGATTCATGAGGAAGTAACGGCCTTCCAACCGTTAAAGGGCCAGATTAAATACTTATGTCAGAGATTCAGAGCAGATCTCGACGTCATTGAGAGGGACCCACCAGATCATCTAAATAACGAGGACTTTGTCACAAAGTTTAGGCAGTTATATCTAGAAACGTTTTGTGAAATGATCATTAGCAAGAAGCCTAATTCAGGGAATCTTCCATTTTGTTGTATTCGTAAGATAGTGACTTGATAATACTAAGATTAGTTCAGGCCTTGCTTAATTAAAGGAAGCCCAAGCAGTTTAGTTATGACTATATCCGAGTTAGCGTTAGCATCAGTTTTATTTAATTAGTGTAATCATAAGTATGAGAAGGACTTCAGCATGTATAAAAGCTTAATTGTAGCTTACAATATGTCATCATAATTTGCAACTGAAATATTGATCATGAATCTTGCTTCATTACTTGAGTCACCCTTATGGCTTTGAACTTATGAACTTAATAAAATACAGACCTTGACTTTTCTAAATTTGGCGATTGTGAAATTCCCGATACCCTGTTTTACTCTTTATTTCCTTAATGTAAATTGGAATGTCTTGCTTGTATTAGAGTCTAGCATTAAATAAAATTTTCGTTTATGTAAATTGTTTCCATTTTATCCCCAGGGGAGGAGACAGGCACTCCTCAATATATGGCCGCCCCAACGATTTGGGTTCTGAGCAGTTTTGGTCGGAAAGGTATTTATCATCTGTAAAAGGGTATGGTTTTCACAGGAAACTTAAGAGCGTATACAGGTATTTGTCTATTCGCCCTCCCCTCCCCTTTGAATAACTTAGATAACGAAATCACTAACCTCACTCAACCTTACTGCTTGGGAGAATTTATTAATTCTTGACTTCGGCACTGCTGTTAGATCTCATGGACGTAGATCATTCCCTCTGTCACAGCCAGCTGATGAGGCATTTGAAATAGCACTGGTAGCCATCCTCAACCAGAATGGAAGACCTCTCGCTTAATTCTTCTCACGAACCCTTCAAGATAGTGAGCTAGAGCGTGTGACCATAGAAAAAGAAGCGAAGGCAATAGTTGAGACCGTGAAGCACTGGAGACACTTTCTGACGGGAAGATACTTCATTCTTAAGACCGATCGGAAATCTGTATCCTACATGTTCGACAAACGTCACAAAGGAAAGTAAAGAACGAAAAATTCCTACGTTGGAGACCGGAACTGTCTTGCTACAGTTTTGACATCATCTATCGCCTTCGAAGAAATAACGTCACACCAGATGCCCTGTCTGGGGCCAAGAGCACTACTACAACTGATGATTCACAAAGTACGAAGAAAACGCGAAAAAAGGCCGAAAACATGAAGTTTGAATCTTGATTCATTGACGATCAAGATATGCACACGAGACAAACCTTGAGGGTTTCTCGTAAGATGTTAATATCTTACTTCTATGAATCATAATCATGAAGTTGAATGTGGAGACTATCGTGAGATATTTGTTACGATGACAGAAGGTAGTGTAGAATTTGATCTTATTTTACTTCAACTTCGAAGTAAAATTGCGTTAAGATCGAGGTGGCCCCCAAGCTTCAAATAACATCGTCTTTTTTTTCTCTCTGTAGTCACATAGGACACAAGGCTTCAACCTTTTAACTCCCGTGTGTGACCAAGACAGAATTTCTCCTTGGTATATCTATGCAATATCATGCAGACAAGTGCTGAGAATAAAGAAAAATGTTAATTATGGAATTACTAATTAATCCCATACCAAATTCTCCAGACAAACATAATAAGAATTGTTTAGCAGACAGTAAGGATAATTACTTATGAGATCTTGGGAGTTAAAGATTTAAAAATGTTCCAGCTAACCCTGAGCGTAAATGTGTGGGCTTTGTCTCAATTTTAAACTGGTGCCATTTTCTTCATGTTCATGCGTTATTCAAAATGAATGGCATCAGCTTCACTCTCTCTTGTTTATTTCATTAGGGTTAGGCCATGCAAAATGAATTTTGAGGCGAAGTGCACTATGAAACTCACAGATAAAATTATCTAACTTTCTCTGGTTCTGAACACATGAGATGATTGATTAGGGGCTGGAACTCCCTGTTTCTTTGGGATATTGAATACGGTATTTCTGTCTGATTTAAAAACGAATTTCGGGTTAAAAATGTATTCAAACCATTTTTACTTGTATGTCACTTTGCTAGAAATTTCTTGATCCTTCAATTGTTATTTCTTAATTTAGACTGATAATATGAATTAATTTTTATGTTCTCTGCTGTTTGAAGAGATGTCAAGTGACCTCTAGACATGTAGTTGGTACTATTGCCAGAATGGATAGGTCTAACATTTACTGTAACAAGCTGGTATTCAAGAGATTGTCACTAGTACCAGAAGCTTACTTCTGATTTAAATTATCAGTCTTCTGGTCTCTCTATGCAACTTGCCTCACATAGCTTATGCCATATGCAAATTGTGTCTCAACTTTATTTGCAGCTGTAAAGTTACCAATAAGGTTTTGACAGTTTTGTCCACATTTCATTGGAAAAGAATATGAGGAGTGATCAGGTGAAATATTGTCATGTTCCTTAAAAGCTTCCAGGATTAGAGCTATAAAGATTAGAGCTATATATAATTTGTCTGTCATGAAACTGGCATAGCCAAAGCCTTGGCTAAAAAACTATAATAAATAGGAGCCCCCCAAAAGTCCCCTTTTCACTGAAGTCTCATTTCTCTAAAATCTGCTCGGTATAAATCATCTATTTTCATAAAGAGATCAACAAAACTCTCCACATTATTTTAATATGACTTCATTCAGTCTTGTTCCCAGGAAAATAAAAGCTTTTAGATATATTTTGTTTTTTATCCTTACTGATATTATCAGCCATACTGGTTCTTGGTTTGTAATGAGTCTTTTCAGTTGTCACACAACTTTTGTAACTGAATAGGTTGGAAAATAAGGTTGTAGAGAGTGTATATGATTTTGTTGTGCAGTTGATAGGATAATTGAATATGATTTTTTTTTAGGAAATAATTGATTCATTTAACTATTCATATTACAGATGGAATCCCAAACTAGTTCCTGTTTTAGTTCACAATTTCCCTGCTTTTCAGACAACATATTTAGAAGCTGAGTATGTAGAATTCTGATTTGATGGGGAGCAAGGAGAGAGAATGTGAACTGGCAGGCTGGTTCCTGTCTTTGTACCCACTTCTTCACTCATAGTGAAATTCTCATCTGTTAAGGCTTAAGGGTAGTTTGGCCGTCGAATCATTGATCATATCTGATGATATTTCCGACACTTAGGATTGAAAAGAACTTTCTTTACTCTGAGGAAATCTTTAATAATTCCTCCCCTTCTAACCAGCTCTCCTTTAATGTAGCGACCGTATCTCTTGTGCTAATGCACGTTACCTTACTTTTCTTTACTCGACATTGACCTCTTTTATTTTGGTAATCGGCCCCGCCGGTTGTGATTCATTTCGAAAAACAAGTTTTGAAACAAAACAAACTTCTGTAAACTTTAATTCTTCGCCACGATTGCAAGTACATAGCACTAGCAGTACAGTTGAAGCTCTACAAAACGCTCACAGGAAAGTTAGTACTTAAAATGATCAACCATCACTTGAGAAAGCAATGAAACGATCAAAGTATTCTTTGCAATACGTCTGCGTTCTTCGGTAGGCCTCTTTCATCTTTCACAACTTAAGACTTTGACGCCTTTATCTAAGTCACAGAGGGAAAAATGACAAGAAAGGTTGTCTCAAATACTCGGCCCACTGTTGTTTTCCGACGCACTTTCTTCTGTAACAATCATTTCGTGACAAACCGACGCAGGCGCATACCAGCGGTTTCTCACATCAAACAAAAATTTATAAAATATGCGCAAACAAAATGCGTCCCTGCTTCAAGCCTGATTTCCTTACTACATCACGGGCGACGAGCGGGGCAGGAAGAAATGACCGAAATACAAGTGGTCAGCGGGAAAAAAATTTAATACTTCATATAGAGACATATCAGTTGTAGTTTCAGAAAGCAATAGTGTTATAAAGCCGAAATGTGAATAGTATACTTCGCTCAATAAAATGTGAAACAATTTTTCAAAAGTGTTGATGGCACATATATCTTTTACTGCTATATTAAACAATGCAGGTATCGGGAAAGGCATCGGTTGCATTCGGAAAGGCACTAAGAAAAATTATATTTACGTTTTGTAACACGCAAAAAACAATCGTGTTGTAAAGCCAAAATGTTACCAGGTTATACTTCGGTAATTCAAAAGTTAAGCAATTTTCCAAACGCTTTGACTGGAACAATATTTTTACTGCTATATTAACCAACAGAGGCATCGGGAAAGGCATCGGTGACACCGGGAAAGGCATCAAGAAGAATTATATTTACGATAAGTAACTTGTTGTATGACGAAAAACAGTATCTTGACTTGTTTAAGGCATTAATCACAGTCGGTTTGCTTTTCACTTGAATTTTGCAATCTCGATTTTCGATTCCGGAAAAATGAAAAGCTAAGCAACTCTAAAAAAATTTCGTTCCAGATTTTTATATTTTTAGAGTCATTAATAAGTTTGTATCCACAGCCTTTAGATAAGAAATTTTAAATTTCCATCTGCTGTAGTTCTTTTAGCGTATTTTATATATATTCAATCGCCTCGTTTCACGTGAAAAAGGCATGTAGGAAAACACCGAGCTTCGAGAAACAGCCAAGTTAAGGCTAATGTATTTACCATGCTTAGATATTTATAATCAGGGCCACTCGTTTAGGAGACCTTTTTTCAAAAGACCCAGGCGTTAAAATAATTATGTTTTCCGTTCGAAGTGTTTTTTTTCTTTTTTATTTAGCAAATGAACTCGGGATGAAAACTTTCGAAGCGAACGGCAGATGAAATGTTGTGTTGGTGTCTCTGCGCCCCCACGTCTCTGCGAAAGGTACACCCAGACAACCTGCATGGAAAAACTGACCATAGCTATCGCACCACATTTTTAAAAAAAATCTTGAAAACTAAACTGGTTAGCAGCACTCTGCGAACGGTAGTTGTAAAATTTCTTTATTCTCCGACGCGTTTCGTTTAACTGTCGTAGACTTCTTCGGGGAGTTTTACAGTTTAACACTAAATGACTGTATTTATAAGCCATAGTTAGTGGCTATACGGGAGCCAATGACCATATAGGCTTGGCCGGACCTACGAATAGGAACTGGTGAAGTTGCGGAAAATTTGAAAATTTTTTGGGGCAAGGTGGGAGAATTAATTTGGGGTCCACGGTTTTGGTTTTCTTTTTTCGTCACGCAGCAAGTTACAAAACGTAAATATAATTCTTCTTGGTGTCTTTCCAGATGCCACCGATGCCTTTTCCGATACTTCCATTGTTTATTACAGCAGTAAAAGATATATGTGACATCAACACTTTTGAAAAATTGCTTAACATTTTATTTAGCGAAGTATACTGTTGACATTTCGGCTTTAGAAGACTATTGTTTTCCGCAACTATAGCTGATATGTCTCTCTATGAATTATTAAATTTGTTTACCCGCTGACCACTCGTATTTCGGTCTTTTCTTCATCCCCCACTCGTCGCCCGTGATGTAGTAACTCCCACGAAGGGAATTTTCGAGGGAAGGGTAACTATGGGTCAGACAGTTGCTGAAGAGAACGCGGAGTTAATAACCCTGGCTTACTATTGTATTAATATCTGTCTAACAATAGCCCTCTTTGCTATTGGAACCATTTACTTGCGGTACAGAGACCGAAGAGACCATCAGAGGCGGGAATGGCGCCAGTTGGCGGAAAGAATTTACACCGATTACAGCAAACTGAAAAGTAAAGATATCCCACAGAAAATTTCAAAGGTAAAGAACACTTTTGAAAGTATAAAAATCCACTCAGAAGTAAGTGGCCTTGATGTTTTGCGTTACATGCTCACCGATGAAAAGTACCGCAATTTTGCGAGCGAGTCACCTCAGCTGAAGGCCCTTCGTGAAGACCTCCACATGATCTTCGTGCCGCTAAATATCTGCTCTTCGTTGCTTCGCTTGGGAGAAGTGCCATCAAATATTAAGGAAGAATTAAGACTTGTGGTGGGAGAGTTGGGGAATTTAGTAGAGCCTTTCCTTACTGGTGAACAACAAAGGGTTGCTTTGAAATGTCTGAAACATTTTGGCAGTAACAGATCATCAAATGCAGTGACTGAACATGCTCAAAGAAGCGTGAAAGAACTTGATGAGCGAATTGAAGCTATTGCTCCGTATGTAAACAGCTTACAGTTTGGTGGTCCCAATGCTAAGGAGTTCCTTCAGGGGGAAATAAACATGAAAGATTGCGATTATAGCAAGTGCAGAAAATTTTGGCTTAATGAAACAATGATCATGCAAAACAGCCACGAGAATCTCTATTTTCTCATAAAACTACATGAGGATCTAGAATATAAAGAACTTGAGGCACGCTTTGCAAGAATCTCTAGACAAAATCTGGAAGAACTGCCACATGAATCGTTCGAGCAGATCTGCGACAGTGATAGCGATGAAACGATTTTGATGAAAGTACTACATGAATTGCGTCTATATATCCATATTATTCTGAGTGAAAACGAGTTCAAAAGACGAGTTGAGGATAACGTGAATAGACTGCGTCAGCTTCATGAGGAGTTCCAGCCGATAAAGTCCCGAATTAAATCGTTATGTCAGAGATTCAGTGACGATCTCGTGCGCATTAAGAAGGACATAGAGGGGAACCCACCAGATCATCTTAATAGCCCGGAGTTTTTGAATCAGCTTAATGACTTATATGAAGAAAAGTATAATAGAATAATTGTTGTTCAGGAGGTATAGCACTAACACATCTAAGACCTCTTTATAAAGTTCATGCTCTATCCTTGTTGTTTTTGTATGACATTTTAGTACCAAGATGAGTTCAGGCCTTGCATAATTAAAGTAAGCCCAAGCAGTTCAGTTATGACTATATCTGAGTTTGAGTTAGTATCAGTTCCATTTAATTAGTGTAATTATGTATGAGAAGGACCTCAGCAAGTATACAAAGGTTAAATTGTAGCCTGCAGCATCATCGTAATTTGCTACTGAAATATTGATTATGAATCTTGCTATATTACTTAAGACACTCCTTTGGCCTAGGACTTGATAAAGTACAGAGCTTGACTTTCAGAGTCAGTGTTTTCTTAATTTGGTGATTGTGAAATTCCCAGTACCTCTTTTGCTTTTTATTTCCTTAATATAAATTGCAATGTCTTGCTTGTATTAGGGTTGTATTAGCAGTAAATGAAATCTTTGTTTTTGTTAAATGTCTCCATTTCTATCACCAGGGGACAGACAGGCACCCATCAATATATAGCCATCCTAATGGTTTGGGTTCTGAGTAGTTTTGTTTGGAATCGGATATGAATTTTGACCATCTTCAATAGGGTATGGTTTTCACTGGAATCTTGAGAGGGTATACAGGTATTTCTCATTTTGTTTCCCCCTTCCCATCTCACCTTCCTCTCCCCTTTTAATAATAGAGATAAAGAAATAACTAAATTCACTCAAGCCTACTGCTTGGAAGAATTTTACCAATTCTTGACTTTGGCACTGCTGTCAGATCTGACAGATGTAGATCATTCCTTCTGTCACAGCCAGCTGTTGAGGCATTTGAAGTACCACTGGCAGCCATACGCAATCAGAATGGAAGACCTGTCATGTAATTCTTCTCACAAACCCTGTGTCCATAGAGATAGAGGTGCACTCAATAATTTAGGCACTAAAGTACTGGAAACACTTCCCTGAAGGACACCTCATCCTTAAGACTGATCAGAAATCTGTATCCTACATGTGCAACAAACATCACAAAGGAAAGTTAAAGAACAAAAAATTCCTGTGTTAGAGACCAGAACTGTCTTAGTGCAATTTTGACATCATCTATTGCCTTCAAAGAAATATTATTGTACCAGATGCCCTGTCTGGAGCCAAGTGCGCTACTACTACTGATGACTCACTTTATGAGCTTTATTAGTACCCTCTGCCATCTGATCACTACAGTAAACATTTTGTGCAAACCAAGAACTTTTACCTTACATGTACATCCTAGAAGAGATAGAAAAGATAACAAGCAAGTACCCTGTTTGATGTGAATGCAAACCTCAGTTTCCTTGGCCTGAGAAAGGTTCCCTTTTGTGTTTATTCAGGACTTGTTTTGGACTCAGTGTACATGTACTCACTGCCAGGTTTCTTGTGCATATATAATGCATCGTGCGAGATTAGGATACTCAAACCTATAGTAAAATAGGTGATTAAATGTCATCTTTATTCTACAACACAAGGTCACACAAGCTGAAAGGGATGAATTTTTGCCAGAGAGCGTATTTCCATTGATATAGTGTTCCATTTATATATTGTTTATGGCGGTTATGCTTCAATTAATAACGCTTAACCTATTTTTTGATGTGGGACACCCTCAAAGGTGTACCATATCCTTAAAAATGGTACAGCAAATGTCATCAGAATTTTCAGAACCCCACTGAGACAGAAACTTCAAGAAAATGAAAAATACTCAACCGAGCCGGCAGGGCAGACGTAATGTTTGGCAAACAAGTGCTCAGTGACCCTCAGTATTTCCTTGGTGAAAATCATAGCTGCCATCTGTTAGTTTTACAGTAGTAGATGGCTGGGGCGAGAAAGAACCAAGGGGGTGAGTGTGGGTTAAAAGGAAGGAGAGGGGAGGTGGTGGTCCATTTAACCCTTTAGCTACTAAGATCTGATTGTTAACTCTCCCTTCTAACTGCTATACATTTCCTTTCAAATAAGTAACTAGAATTCAGCAATAGATCAAGACAACAACTTCTACCTGATAAGTTTGAGTATTCTCACTATTTGTTTCCTGGATAATGTATAGATGTTATAGAGAGAAGTTACTTGTTGATCACTCCTAGGAGTTAAAAGGTTAAGAATAAAGATAAGCTCCTCTGGCACTTTTCAATAAAATGTCCCATCCTTGTCACCAGTTGTTGTGTATTAGGGTTCGTTATATACTACTATAGAGTAACGCACAGTCCGAGTGCTTTACACAACAGCTTTATTAGAATACAGTGAAATTAATGATACACAATATATAAGCACAATCACATGAATGTGATCAAAGGTATGCTAAGCATTAAAATAAAGATTATTTAATAGTTAAGGTATTTATCCAATAGGAACAAACACCACAAATTAAAAAAAGAACAAAGTAATTGAACTAACTAACCAAAAGAAAAAAAACAGATGGCTGTAAATAACAAAACTGACATGACCAAGAAGACCAAAGAGATCAACAGAGGTGGGAATGGCACGAGTTTGTGGAAATAATTTACACAGATTACAGAAGTTTAAGAAGAAACCAGATCCTAGAGATTGATGGAATAGGTACATTAGATAATATGAACAGACTACGTCAGGTTTATGTGAAAACAAGAAAGTCACCAAAGTTAAGATCAAATATCTGTTTCAAATGGCTATAGATGAGCTAAAATCAATTGTGGATGATTCTTTAGACAAGCTTTGCAATGACAAACTTTCTGACAATTTTTGTAGCTTATGGGACCAATTTCGAGATTTGTGTACATTTCCAGCTTAGCAGCGTCCCTTGGAGAACAATGATGTTGAGTTATAAGATAATTATCCTCCTAAGTCTTATGAATACTCAGTAAATCTTTCTCAAGAATCTCCAGCATGAAGTGTAAAAGATAGCATCAATTCCTGCATTTGACCATCAATTGAGCATTATAAGAAAGATGATGACAGTTTTCAGACTGGTTAATATTCTAGTGTAGGCTTATTGTTACCTTACAGTTTTAGAAAGAAGTCTTTTTGTTGCTATGGTTTGCTTTACGTTTATTTTTTTTAATAGTTTTAACTTAACCCTTTACACCCCAATATCAATATGCATATTCTCCATATTGTTCATCATACATTTCTTAAGGCGCTGACAAGGAGAATTTGTTTAACAATCTGGAGCTTCTTTCATTGGTGATCATTTCCTTTTTACTCTTTTGACCTTTATGTGTGATTCAGGGGAGATATTACAAGGAGAAATTAGATGCTTAGTCTAATTAATGTAATTAGTCACTAATTAATCAATTAATTAATTAATGTAATTAGTCTAATTAGTCACTCTTATGAGAGAAAGGGTTAAATGTATTTCCTCGAAATATTAGTACCCAGGCGCTTATTCAAAATTTCAGCTTGAGGAGGGGTAATTACTGGAATTAGGACACTTAATCGAGGGGGGCACTTCTCAAGTTAGCACAGCAATAGGATTAAAATTAAAAGAACAGATAACGTTCATTAAGGAACTCTGTTAGCAAATGGAAATAGGAATTAGGAAGAAACTATTACCCTGTACTGATTCCTTTGTAGTTGATGCTTAAAAAGTTGTAAATAAAGTGGCAGTAGAAACAGGTTTTTCTTGTGTTCTTACTATAATTACGAAAGTGGAGATGAGGGTGGGGGGGGGGGGGGCTTATTTGCTTATTAGAGAGGGGCACTTGTTTTACATTATGGGTAATTATTTAGGGGGGTTGGCACTTTTTATAGCGTGGGAACTTATCTGCCAAGCTTTCAGTAGAGCATGGTCGATGAGTTTAAACTCACAGTAGTTGATTTTTCGCGAAAAATTGACAGTCAAATACAGCACAAATCCAGCTCCCTTGGTATCAATTGTTTTTATGGTAAGTACTAAAACAAGGAACGACCTAAAACCACCTAAAACCACCTAAAACCACCTACAACCATCTACAACCAACTCAAAAATTTCAACAACCACCTACAACCACCTCAAAAACATCTACAACCACTCGCAAACTATCTAAAACCATCTAAAACAAGGCATAAATGTCTAAAATAAGGCGAAACGACAACATGTCACGTACACGAAATACGAGAATCGAACGAAACCTCTACCTCCCCCTGAAATCTTACTCTCCCTGGTCCCATGTATAGTCCACCATCTCACGAAATGAAATGCGATAGCATGCTAATTATTTTATATTCCCTCAGCAAAAGACTTAAAGAACTTGATGCAGATGGAACACAATGATTGTTACCTCAAGGTTATTCAGCGCGCTTTGCCGGATTGCTACCTTTTTGTAATACTTTTTGGGTCTTGCCATAGTTTGAGAAAGCAATGAAACGATCATAGTATTCTTTGCAATATGTCTGCGCTCTTCGGCTGGCCTCTTTCACCTTTCACAAATAACATCTACATCGATCGCCCAAACAACCACAAAACAACTGTATACTTTTTCGCTTAAAAATCACTTCCTTCCACGCACCACACAACAATTTTAAGACTTTCACGCCTTTATCAAAGTCACAGATGGAAAAATGACAAGAAAGGTAATCTCAAATACTGGGCAGTCTCTCATATACCGGGTTCTGAAATAACTAATAATTAATAGACTGGTGTAGCAGGATGGTAAAGTGAGTGGGTACAAAGGATCAGTGAACAGAGGGCACGGAGAATTTGTGGTACGGTGGATAAGTAGGAACAGAGGATCAGTGGATCAGTGAACAGTGAGCATAAAGGACCAGAGGAACAGTGGGCACCGCGGACCAGTGGCACAATGGGTGCAGAGGACCAGTGGAACAGTGGGTACAGAGGACCAGTGGAACAGTGGGTACAGAGGACCAGAGGAACAGTGGGTACAGAGAACCAGTTAAACAGTGAATACAGAGGACCAGTGGGCACAAAGGACCCGAGGAACATTGGGTACAGAGGACCAGTGGGTACAGAGGGCCAGAGGAACAATGAGACCAGAGGAACAGTGGACACAGAGGACCAGTGGATACAGAGGAGCAGAGGAACAGTATGAACAGAGGAACAGTGGGCACAGAGGACCAGAGGAACAGTGGGTACGGAGGAACTTTTTAACAAATTCCTAGACAAGCACCCACAGAAGGCTCGACTCTGCCAGGAACACCATATTGATCCAGAGGATGATAATATTGATTTGGCTTAGGTGACAGAACACAAGGCTTTTGTCTATTGTAAAACTGCTTTGCCATTCTTTACATGTAGTTTAGGATCTGAGAATTTGGTGGCCAAATCAAACTCAATCCCTTAGTTGATAATTTGTGTGAATTTTGAATGCTTTGGTGTTGTGAGCATTCATATTACTCCCATGAGGAGTGAAAGGGTCAAATCATAAGGTTATGGAATACCTACTAGGAAGATTTTTCTGTGAGAGAGAACATTTATTACCCTATTACCCTCTGCTACCTTAGACAAAAATTTTCACGGAGAACTTATAGGCTCCTGTCGTAACTTTGAATTCTCTCAGGGAAATCCTGGCTACAGATTGCAATGGCACATTCAAACAACAGAGATGAGTGTCATAAAGTTATCTTTTTATAAGAAGTTACCAATGTAACGATTCTAAAGTGTGTCAATTTGAAATATTCATGGAGAAAAGTATGATTATGTATGTAATGTATGTTCTGTAACATATGTATATATAGCTTATGTAAAGTATGTTCTGGTTAAGGATTTTGTTATGAAAAAGGGAAAGCTTTCAGTTATTATATAATTTGGTTAGTAATGATGAATAGTTTTGTTTGTGGTCAAATAAATTGTTTGTTAAGTGGAAAAGGTATAGCTAAGTTGCTTTGACTGGAACAAAGGTGGCAGTTTGTAGCATTCTTATTGATTATATAATAAAACATATTTTACAACAAGTCTGAAAAAACTTCAACACTTAAATTTTAGGGGAACATGATGCAGTAACTAGAAAAGCATAATATTTTTCAAATTTTGCATAGGGAAAAAATTTTGCATAGGGAAAAAATTTTGCCTAGGGAAAAAATTTTGCCCTACAACTAAACTCAGCCTTTTAGACTTGTGACTGAAAGGAAAGAAAACATTAAATAATATTCTGAAAGTACAGAAACACAAGGTTCAGAGTTGGAAAATGATTCGCTACCTTATATGAATAACTTAAATGCAGCCATAGGATTTCAACAATTTTGGGTGTCTTCTGGCACTGTCCCATCTGGAGCCTTCATGTCCTCTGTTCCCACTTTTTCTCTGGTCCTTTGTACCCACTGGTCCTCTGATCCCACTGTTCCTCTGGTCCTCTGTACCCACTGGTCCTCTGTACCCACCGGTCCTCTGTGCCCACTGTTCCTCTGGTCCTCTGTTCCAACTGTTCCTCTGGTCCTCTGTACCCACTGGTCCTCTGTACCCACTGTTCCTCTGTTCCCACTGTTCCCCTGGTCCTCTGCTCCTACTGTTCCTCTGGTCCTCTGTTCCCACTGTTCCTCCGATCCTCTATACCCTCTGGTCCTCTGTACCCACTGGTCCTCTGTTCCCACTGTTCCTCTGGTCCTCTGTACCCACTGGTCCTCTGGTCCTCTGTACCCACTGGTCCTCTGGTCCTCTGTTCCCACTGTTCCTCTGGTCCCCTGTACCCACTGGTCCTTTGGTCCTCTGTACCCACTGGTCCTCTGGTCCCGTTGTTCCTCAGGTCCTCTGTACCCACTGGTCCTCTGTTCCCACTGTTCCTCTGGTCCTCTGTTCCCACTGTTCCTCTGGTCCTCTGTACCCACTGGTCCTCTGGTCCTCTGTACCCACTGGTCCTCTGGTCCTCTGTTCCCACTGTTCCTCTGGTCCCCTGTACCCACTGGTCCTTTGGTCCTCTGTACCCACTGGTCCTCTGGTCCTGTTGTTGCTCTGGTCCTCTGTACCCACTGGTCCTCTGTACCCACTGGTCCTCTGTACCCACTGGTCCTCTGTTCTCACTGTTCCTCTGGTCCACTGTTCCTCTGGTCCTCTGTTCCCACTGGTCCTCTGTACCAACTGGTCCTCTCACCCACTGTTCCTCAGGTCCACTGTGCCCACTGGTCCTCTCACCCACTAGTCCTCTGTGCCCTCTGATCCTCTGTACCTACTGGTTCTCTGGTCCTCTGTACCCACCGGTCCTCATTGTTCACTGTTCCTCTGCCCCTCATTGTCCATTGTTCCTCTGGTCTTCTGTACCCACTGGTCCTCTGTACCCACTGGTCCTCTGTACCCACTGGTCTTCTATTCCCACTGTTTCTCTGGTCCTCTGTGCCCTCTGTTCCACTGGTCCTCTGTTTCCACTATTCCTCTGTTCCTCTGGTCCTCTGTATTCACTGGTCTGCTGTGCCCACTGTTCACTGATCCTCTGTACCCACTCACCTTACCCTTCTGCTACATCTATCAGTTAATTATTAGTTATTTCAGAACCCAGTATATGAGAGACTACCCCAAATACTCGACCACTATTGTTTTCCGACGCACTTTCTCTTGTAGCAATCATTTCGTGACAAACCAACGCAGGCGCATACCAGCGGTTTCTCACATCAAACAAAAAATTTATAGAATATGCGCAAACAGAATGCGTCCCTACTTCAAGCTTGATTTTCGTGAAGAAAGGTCTACTATGGGTCAGACAGTTGCAAAAGAGAACGCGGAGTCAATAACCCTGGCTTACTATTGTATTAATATCTGTCTAACAATAGTCCTCTTTGCTATTGGAACCTTTTACTTGTGGCGCAGAGACCGAAGAGACCAACAGAGGCGGGAATGGCGCCAGTTGGCGGAAAGAATTTACACCGATTACAGCAAACTGAAGGGTAAAGAAATCCCACAGAAAATTTCAAAGGTAAAGAACACTTTTGAACGTATAAAAATCCACTCAAAAGTAAGTGGCCTAGATGTTTTGCGTTATATGCTTGCCGATAAAAACTACCGCAATTTTGCGAGCGAGTCACCTCAGCTGAAGGCCCTTCGTGAAGACCTCCACATGATCTTCGTGCCGCTAAATATCTGCTCTTCGTTGCTTCTCTTGGGAGAAGTGCCAGTATATATAGAGGAAGAATTAAGACTTGTGGTGGAAGAGTTGGGAAATTTAGTAGAGCCTTTTTTAACAGGTGAACAACAAAGGATCGCTTTGAAATGTCTGAAACATTTTGGCAGTAACACATCATCAAATGTAGTGACTGAGCATGCTCAAAGAAGCGTGAAAGAGCTTGATGAGCGAATTGAAGCTATTGCTCCGTACGTAAACAGCTTACAGTTTGGTGGTCCCAATGCTAAGGAGTTCCCTCAGGTGAACCTAACTCAAGCCACTGCTCCGTCCGTGAACAGCTTCCAGTTTCTTAGTCCTAATGCTACGGAGTTCCGAAACGATTTTCCTGACAAGAAAGATTGCGATTATAGCAAGTGCAGAAAATTTTGGCTTAATAAAACAATGATCATGCAAAACAGCCACAAGAATCTCGATTTTCTCATAAAACTACATGAGGATCTAGAATATAAAGAACTTCAGGCACACTGTGCCAGAATCTTTAGACAAAATCTGGAAGAACTGCCACATGAATCGTTCGAGCAGACCAGCGACAGTGATAGCGATAAAGCGATTTTAATGAAATTCCTACATGAATTGCGTCTATATATCCATATAATTCTGAGTGGAGACCAGTTCATGATGGTTAAAAGACTAGTTGAGCATAACGTGAAGAAACTGTGTCAGCGTCATGGGGAAGTCCACCCGATAAAGGCCATGATTCAATTGGTATGTCAAAGATTCAGTGAAGATCTCTTAACCCTTAAGACGAACATAGAGGGGAACCCACCACCTCATCTAACTGACGAGAATTTTTTCAAACAGCTTAGTGACTTGTTTGAAAAGTTTCTGAGAATAATCACTGGTCAGGAGGTATAGCACTAACACAACTAATACCTCTTTATAAAGTTCATGCTTTATCCTTGTTGTTTTTGTATGATAGTGACATTTTAGTACCAAGATAAGTTCAGGCCTTGCTTAATTAAAGTAAGCTCAAGCAGTTCAGTTATGACTATATCTGAGTTTGAGTTAGCATCAGTTCCATTTAATTAGTGTAATTATGTATGAGAAAGACTTCAGCAAGTATACAAAGGTTTCTTTGTAGCTTACAGCATCATCGTAATTTGCAATTGAAATATTGATTATGAATCTTGTTACATTACTTGAGACACTCCTTTGGCCTAGGACTTGATAAAATACAGAGCTTAAGTTTCAGAGTCAGTGTTTTCTAAATTTGGCAAATGTAAAATTCCCAATGCCCCTTTTACTTTTTATTTCCTTGATATAAATTGCAATGTCTTGCTTGTATTAGGGTTGTTTTAGCAGTAAATAAAATCTTCATTTTTGTTAATTGTTTTCATTTCTATCACCAGGGGAGGAGACAGGCACTCCTCAATATAAGGCTGCCCTAACAGTAGGGGTTCTGAGTAGTTTTGTTTGGAATCAGATATGAATTTTGACCATTATCATCTTCAATAGGGTATTGTTTTCACTGGAATCTTGAGATGGTAGACAGGTATTTGTCATTTTGTTTCCCCCCCCCCCTTCCCATCCCACCCTCCTCTCCCCTATTACCTGATGCCCTGTCTAGAGCCAAGTGCGCTGCTACTACTGATGACTCACTTTATGAGCTTTATTAGTACCCTCTGCCATCTGATCATCAGAGTAAACATTTTGTGTGGACCAAGAACTTTAACCTTACATGTACATCCTAGAAGAGAGGATTACAAGCAAGTACCCTGTTTGATGTGAATGCAAACCTCAGTTTCCTTGGCCTCAGAAGGGTCCCCTTTTGTGTTTATACATGACTTATTTTGGACTCAGTGTACATGTACTCACTGCCAGGTTTCTTGTGCATATATAATGCGTAGTAAGAGATTGGGATACTCAAACCTATAGTAAAATAGGTGATTGAATGTTGTCTTAATTCTACAACACAAGGTCACACAAGCTGAAAGGGATGAATTTTTGCTAGAGAGCGTATTTCCATTAATATAGTGTTCCACTTATATATTGTTTATGGCGATTATGCTTCAATTAATAACGCTTAACCTATTTTTTCATGTGGGACACTCTCAAAGGTTTACCGTATCCTTGAAAATGGTACAGCAAATGTCATCAGAAGTTTCAGAACCCCACTGAGACAGAAACTTCAAGGAAATGAAAAATACTCAACCTAGCCGGCAGGGCAGACATAATGTTTGGCAAATGAGTGCTCAGTGACCCTCAGTATTTCCTTGGTGAAAATTATAGCTGCCATCTGTTAATTTTACAGTAGTGGATGGCTGGGGAGAGAAAGAACCAAGGGGGTGAGCATGGGTTAAAAGGAAGGGGAGGGGAGGGGGTGGTCCATTTAACCCTTTAACTCCTAAGATCTGATTGTTAACTCTCCCTTCTAACTGCTATACATTTCCTTGCAAATAAGTAACAAGAATTCGGTGATAGATCAAGACAACAACTTCTACCTGATAAGTTTGAGTATTCTCATTATTTGTTTCCTAGATATTGTATGGATGTTATAGAGAGAAGTTACTTGTTGATCACTTCTAGGAGTTAAAAGGTTGAGAATAAAGATAAGCTCCTCTGGCACTTTTCAATGAAATGTCCCATCCTCGTTGCCATTTGTTGTGTATTAGGGTTCGTTATACACTACTAGAGAGTAACGCACAGACCAATTGCTCTACACAACTGCTTTATTAGAATACAGTGAAATTAATTATACACAATAATATATAAGCACAATCACATGACTGTGGTCAAGGGTGTGCTAAGCATTAAAATAAAGATTATGTCATAGTTAAGGTATTTATCCAATAGGAACAAACCCAACAAATTAAAAAAAGAACAAAGCAATTGAACTAACTAACCAAAAGAAAAAAAAGACACCTGTAAATAACAAAACAGATGTGACCAAAAAGACCGGAGAGATCAACAGGGGCGGGAATGGCACAAGAATTTACACAGATTACAGCAGTCTGAGACGTAAATAGATCCTAGAGAACAGGTTAAAAGTAAAGAAAACTTTTGAAATATTTCCAATTCATTCTGAACTAACTGGCCTTGATGTTTTGAGATAATGACTCATTGATGATCGCCTCCGAAATGTGTCAAGTAAATCACCCCAGCTGAGGGCCCTCCGTGAGGACCTCCTCACGATCTTCTTTCAGCTAAATTTCTGCTCTTCATTGATCCATTTAGGAGAAGTGCCAAAAAATATCAAGGAAGAATTAAGATATATAGTGGAAGAACCACTACCAATTCCTTATTAGGCATAACTAGAGTATCAGCCCCATGAATTCTAATTTTCCTTGACTTAACTCTTTACACTCTAATATCAGTATGCATATTCTCCATACTGTTCATTAGATATTTCTTAAGGTGCTTAAGGAGAATTTGTTTAATAATCTTTCATTGGTGATCATTTCCTTTATTCCTGTGACCTTAATGTGTGATTCAGGGGAGATATTGTAAGGAGAAGTTAGATGTTAGTTATTCTCTGGAGTGAAAGGGTTAATGTATTCCCTCGAAATATTAGTACTAAGGTGCTTATTTGAAATTTCAGTTTGAGGAGGGGTACTTATTGGCAGTAGGATACTTGATTGAGGGGGGCGCTTCTCAAGTTAGCACAGCAAAAAAAAAAATTGAAAGAACAGGTAACGCACATGAAGGAACTCTGTTAGCACATGGAGAAAGAAATCACAGGAATGAGGAAGAAATTATTATCCTGTACTAATTCCTCTGTAGTTTACACTTGAAAAGTTGTAAATAAAGTGGTAGTAGAAACAGATTTTCCCTGTGTTCCTATTATTTGCAAAAGTGAGGGAGGAGAGTGGGGGGGAAGGGCGCTTACTTAAGAGGGGAGCTTGTTTGACATTATGGCCCAGTAAGTGGGTACTTATTTGGGGGGTTGTGCTTTTTACAACGTGGGCGCTTATTTGCCAAGCTTTTAGTAGAGCTTGTTCAATGAGTATTAACTCACAGTCTTTTTTTTTTTCAAGAAAAATTGACAATCGAATCCTAACCACTTAGGCTGGGCATGTGAGCACAATTTGAACCCCTTCCCCCCAGGGGATTTAAACAGCCAATCTTAAAAAGTTCAAAAGCCCACGGATTGCCCCGGGGGGATGTTGAATCTTCGAATTGACCGACGCATAAAATACTGACAGTCGAGGTGTGACACAGTCATGAACGTGCATACGGACTTTGGGCCATATCAATTGACAACGAGATTTTCTCGGCTTATGAGTTACCATCAGTGTAAGTGTGCAGGAATAGCCACTTACGACTTCAAGAAGATCAGTTTGCCCAGGAGCCATTAAAAATTGAACGTTTGCAGGTTTCAAATCATCAGATGCGTTGCCCACTCCCAAGGGACACTGTGAATTAACTTCTGTTCGATCTCCAACACAAACAAATAAAAGGGAATTTTCCCTGGAAGCTTTCAAGAGAGACGTTCGACTGTGCACATCCGAAGAACACCATTTAGCTGATAGGTCAGCCTCTTCTCGAATTTGATAAAGGGTCAGTTAGTTGTGGAGATTAAACTCGTCTCACGCTTAGTTTAGCTTTCACACAATTTCTAGTCTCGGTACCAGTCTTTTTTTAAATTGACTTGTTCCCATGGAGTAACAGAAGACTATCTTCTCATCATGATCAATTCTCTCTGTATCAACTGTCTTTATCTTTTGATCCTGATAGAGCGCAATGTTTTGTTACTTCAAGTTTATTCAGCGCGCTTTCCTGGGATTTCAAATAGGTGATCGCCGCCTTTTTGTAATACTTTTTGAAGAGTGATTAAAGAGGATTCTAAGTTTACCATCATTTCTAACTCTGCGGATACTCAAGGCGTTTGCTGGCTCATCGGATGAGAATGTTGTGATGATCAAAGTGAGAAGAAAACGCTAAAAAAGGCCGAAAACTTGAAGTTTGAGATTTGATTTATTGATTTATTTATTAAGATGTTAATATCTTACTTCTATGAATCATGAAATTGAATGTGGAGACGATTGTGAGACAATAAGGTTTTCTTTAAAAGTTTTGTCCACATTTCATTGGGAAAGAACATGAGGAGTGATCAGGTGAAATATTGTCATGTTCCTTAAGAGTGTCTGAGTTTCCAGGATAAGAGCTGTAAAATTTCTTAAGTGACTGATGTACGATTTGTCTGCCATAAAATTGGCACAGCCAAAGCCTTGGCTGAAAAACTAAAAATTTCTTCATATACGGAGCCAAGCCAAGATTTTACGCCACTATGTTAGTCGGTAGGTTAACTATAATAAATTAATAGATGATTAAACTGTATTACTGGCGTAAATTTACATTATATATATCACCGATTGGAAGATATTACGCCGTTAGTTACTGGCGTAATATCTTACATATATACATCACTGACTGAAAGATATTACGCTGTTAGTTACTGGCGTAAAATTTAACATATATAGATCACCGACTAACTAGCGGCGTAACGTCTTTCGGTCGGTAGTGTATATATGTAAGATTTTACGCCAGTCACATATTACGCCGTTATCAAACTACCGTTTAGCACTAACGTTGTCTAAGTTTTCTTTACTCGACATTGACGTTTTTTGTCTTGGTAATCGGCCTCGCCGGTTGTGATTCATGTCGAAAAAATTTTTGAAACAAACAAACTTCTTTACTGCAAGTACATTGCAGTAGCAGTAAAGTTGAAGCTTAACAAAACGCTCACAGGAAAGTGAGTACTTCAAATGATCAACCATAGCTTGAGAAAACAATGAAACAATCGAAGTATACTGTGCAATACGTCTGTGCTCTTTGTCAGGCCTCTTGCATCTTTCACAAATAACATCTATATCGATCGCTCAGACAAAGATAACACAAAGACCCTGTGGGTTTAG